CTCCCTTGGTTATTGAGCCATGTAATCCACTAAATAAATAGAGCTCTGCGTAGTTTTGTAAGAGCTTACTGAAGTTGAGTGAATCGGTAATTGAATCTACATAGTTAGAAAAACAGACAGAAACATACCCTAAGCCTAATAAGGAAGGTTGCTTTGTCTGCCAGGTGCCAGGTGAGTCCCTATGCGGATGCCCTCTGTGCCGATTACACTCCTTTATGAAAGCCGGGGGTAGACAAGTTGGTCCTTTCGTGAAAAAAAAACAAAATATGTGCTCATACCATCTTATTATACTTTTCTTCATCCTTAGTCTAAGAACTCCATGTGGAAACACGTAGATAGCATGCAAACAACCTTAAAAGGTCAGATTAGTGGCCATGTCCGTCATCCTCCTTCACCTCTGGGTCCAGCTTGATCATGGTATCGATACGCATGATGGCAATGCAGGCCTCAACAGCACTCTTGAGCTGCTTGATCTTGCCCATACTGGGCTCCAACACACCAGCCTTGAGGGTATCATGCACACGACCCTTCGTTAGGTCGAGACCGTAGTTCCGGTATGTCTTCTTCTTAGCGATGGCCTTCTCCTCCTCATTGGCGTCACCATCCTGCACGCGTTGGGATAGAGCGTGGCGGACACGAAGCTGGGCAACAAGTTCGGACGAGTCCTTAGCAGCGTTTACAGCCAGGGTCTTCGGAACAATCAGAAGGGACTGAGCAAATTCACCGATGGCGAGCTGCTCCCGGGAGCCCTGTGGAAAGAGTAATTGTTAGTGGTAATTTCCATACTAAGGTTTCCGGTCAATGCTTACTACTGTGACCGCGAATTCTTCGAGGTAAATATGAAGGGCCGTCTCGACAGCACCACCACCGGGAACGATGCTACCGCTCTCGAGGGTTCGCTTGACAGCACACAGAGAGTCGTGCACCGAACGCTCCATCTCGTCCAAGCTGAAGTCATTGGGTCCACGGAGAATGATAGAAGCTGAGGTGTGAACCTTGGTACCCTTGACAAGGATACATTCATCATCGGATATCCGCTCCTGCACAACTTCCTCCGCATGGCCGAGGTACGAGGCCTCGAATTTCTCATCTCCGTTGAGGTCAGAGAGCGTGCTGACCAATGTCGCACCGGAAGCCTTGGCAATGCGTCGGAGATCCTCTTTCTTGCAGCGGCGAACGGCCATGGCTCCCCTCTCAACGAACAGCTTCAAGACCATGTCATCAATACCCTTGGTAGTGAAAATGACATTTGCCCCAGACTTAAGAATCATCTCAACACGCTCAATGACAATACCGGCTTCCCTCTCGCGAATCTTCTCTAGCTGATCGGGATCATCAACAGTGATCTGTACACCAAGCTTCATTCTCTCCTTCTGCAGGTTCATGTCCAGACAAGCGATCTTGGCATCGGTAATACGGGTCTTCATGGCCTGAGAAGCCACAGTGCAGTTAAGAGCATAGCCATTGACAAGCATTGACTCCGTACCACTTTTCCCGTGAGCCTTGAGAAGGTTGACTGCCTTGACGGGGTACTTGACCTCGTTCCTCTGGTTTGTAGTCTTCACCAACAGCATCGCATCAACAACCATATTCGCAAAGAAGTCCGCATCCGATCCGATAATTTTGGAAGACATAGAGGTTTTAGCAATGTTCACCAGGCTGTCCTTCCCCAACGTCTCGACCTTTGTAGTGATATTCTCATTCATATACTTGACAGCTTCTCTGAGCGCAAGTCTGTAGCCGTTGATGATGGTGGTAGGGTGTATACGGTTCTTCATCAATTCGTTGCCTCGTCGTAGGAGTTCTGCGGCGATCAGAACGACAGACGTGGTTCCATCTCCGACCTAGATGGACATCAACATTGAGCTGTCAGGTGAGACGGACGGGGTGTGACACTCACCTCCTTATCCTGCTGCTGAGCGAGATCTACGAGAATCTTACCCGCAGGATGCTCAATATCAAGAAGACTAAGAATCGTCGCACCATCGTTGGTAACAGTGACATCCTAAAGTGTTGTCAGAGCGCTAGTCGAAGCACGCGGGGTTGAACAGTGCATACTCCTATATCATCCACCATCATCTTGTCGAGACCCGAGGGGCCGAAGGAGCTCTTGACGACATTTGCAATAGCTTGCGTCGCAAGCACTACACGCGAGTTTAGCACATGTACTCAATCGAAGCTAGTTGGGATGTAAAAGCTCATAACATACCGTTCTGCTCCCGAACATCAGGGCCGGTGATTTTCTGCCCACCCAAGACTGTGCGAATATGGTCAGCTAATGAATCCGACGGATGGAGCACATCGAGCGAGGATACACACAGAGAGTGTCCGCATTCCGCGGCTGCTCAAAAATGCCTGCCATTATTGTGAAACTGAGGAAGAGGTACTGCTGGCAGAGTTGTAGAGCTCCGACTCCAGTTCGTCGTCGTTGATGCTCGTCGTGTTTCCGCTAAGAATTCTGCCGGTTCCTGGCGGTGAAGGTTTTCTAGTCGCATCCCACTTTAACGAGGGGTTCCTTTCCTCTCCACGGATCTATAACCTCGCCTCCGCATTCTTGGTTTATCTTGGTCCTTTCTACTCAGCAGCTCCTTTACAATATGGCGAGCCAAGCTCCTGCTGACACCCCGGTCGCTTCTGACGCGGCGGTAACTCAGACCCTCCCTGACCGCACCCAAAACCCCGCTGATAAGGATGCTCCCCAGGGAGATGTCTCGAAGAATGCCGCAAAGAAGGCCGCGAAGGCTGCAGAGCTCGCCGCTAAGAAGGCTGAGAAGGCTGCTAACAAGGCTGCTGGAAAGCAGGAACCCAAGAAGCCCGCTGCTGCGAAGGCTCCGAAGAAGAAGATCGATGGTGCTGCTCTGATTGGTATTGATGTCTCCAAGGAGGAAGATTTCCCAGGATGGTACCAGCAGGTTCTTACAAAGGGTGATATGCTCGACTACTATGACGTTTCGGGATGCTTCATTCTCAAGGTGAAATGCCTCTTTTTCATGGGTTTCTAGAGCTTCCGTACTGACATGACTCAGCCCGCTTCGTACTTTATCTGGGAAGAGATCCAGGACTGGTTCAATGCGCGCATCAAGAAGATCGGCGTCAAGAACTGCTCGTTCCCTCTGTTTGTCTCTGAGGATGTCCTGAACAGGGAAAAGGATCACATTGAAGGCTTTGCTGCTGAAGTTGCTTGGGTGACTCATGCGTACGATTCCTCCAGACCCCCGCATATGTGCTATAATCCTGCGTGCCCTAGTCACTAATGTCTTCTCTTCTTTTGCAGTGGCTCTAGCCCTCTCGAAAAAAAGATTGCTATTCGTCCGACATCGGAGACGGTTATGTATCCGTACTACTCCAAATGGATCAGAAGTCACCGTGACCTGCCCCTTAAACTGAACCAGTGGAACTCCGTCGTGCGATGGGAGTTCAAGAACCCCCAGCCTTTCCTCAGAACCCGTGAGTTCCTTTGGCAAGAAGGACACACGGCTCACTTGACAAAGGATGGTGCCCATGATGAAGTCATGCACATCCTCGATCTATATGCTCAGATCTACGAAGAGCTCCTGGCTGTCCCTGTGGTCAAGGGTCAGAAGACAGAGAAAGAGAAGTTCGCTGGTGGTCTGTACACCACTACCGTTGAAGGTTACATCCCCGCCACTGGCCGTGGTATTCAGGGTGGTACCTCCCACGGTCTTGGCCAGAACTTCAGTAAGATGTTCAACATCACCGTCGAGGATCCCTCCGCCAAGGGCGATGAGAAGAAGCCTCCTCTCCATGTGTGGCAAAACTCTTGGGGTCTGTCCACCCGTACCCTTGGTGTCATGGTCATGATCCACAGTGACAACCGTGGTCTGGTCCTCCCCCCTCGTGTCGCAGACACCCAAACCGTTATCGTCCCTGTCGGTATCACTGCCAAGACCACCGACGATGAGCGCGAGAAGCTGTATGCCGAAATCGATGGTCTCGTCAACGTCCTGACCGGCGCTGGTGTCCGCGCCATAAGCGACAAGAGAGAGGGTTACTCCCCCGGCTGGAAGTTCAACGACTGGGAGCTCCGCGGTGTGCCCCTGCGCATCGAGTTCGGCCCTGGCGAGTCTGCCGGCCAATTTGTCACTGCCGCCCGTCGTGACATCCCCGGCAAGGAGGGCAAGTCCAGCATCCAGATCTCCGAACTCTCCACCGCAGTCCCGGCCCTGCTGGAACAGATCCAGAAGGATCTGTACAACCGTGCAGAGGAGACCTTCCGCACTCACCGCAAACTGATCACCAACTGGGACGACTTCACCCCAGCCCTCAACGACAAGAACATCTGTGTCATTCCCCACTGTCTCACCGAGGAGTGTGAGGACCAGATCAAGGACATGAGCGCCCGCAAGGCAGAGGAAGACTCTGGCGTCGCTGAAGACGCCAAAGCCCCCAGCATGGGCGCCAAGTCTCTGTGCATCCCCTTCGAACAGCCCGAGGGCATCGTCGCGGGCGAGACCAAGTGTGTCAACCCCAACTGCACCCGGCTCGCTGAGAAATGGTGCATGTTCGGCCGTAAGTTTCCATCTAAACCTTTAGCTTTCTCCCATGATCAAAATATAAACTAACAATTCCCCCACAGGCTCCTACTAAGCGCAATAGATCGTCTCGGTCTTATCTGCACAAATGTCAAGTAGCACCTAGCAAGCGCATTAGATCAGTCACTATGAGTTTGATGACTTATTTCCTTTCAATTCCTTTTTCAAAATTCCAAGTATCCTTTTGTTGTATTGTCTGGCAAATTGGGACATCATCGAAGTAAGAAAGAAATACTCTAGAAAAGAGAAAGAGACGTGCATATTAAATGAGAGTTAAGGAGCAGGTATGGCCAAAAATAAAGATACCTTTGTGATTTACAGGGGGGTGGTGAGCTTACATATCATACAAAATGGTTTTGGGACGCTGAATGAATTATGAGTTGATATGATGCCGATCTTGTTTGATATGATATGCTCTAAGACTTCATCTTAGAATATCTTTATTGTAATTGGTTGGATATGTAGACATGGTATGCTAGCAACGCTAATATGCAACATATGCGGGAAACAGTAGGAAATGTTCAGATAGATGCCAAGTATGCAATGCAAGAGGACATAGATCCTCATTGGATATATAGACCAACAAAAAAAGAAAGCCCGACGAGGGAATAGATGCGCTTGCGAGTATAAACTGGACAAGAAAATCAAAATCAAGGAAGGTATTTGCAGGATTTGTAGAGTCGAAGGAACGTAAACGAAATGTAGCTCAACATCATGCGATAGAGTATCGTCAAGGAAGCGTTGAAGTAAGGAACGGAAGGGTAGAGTAAGATAGGATAGGAGGGGTATATGAGTGGATTCCGTTAAAGACCGGGATGCTAGACGAACTCTGGCCATATCATGGAAAGATTCAGCAAGATGCTACTGAGCGGGTTGTGAGGCCGCCCCTGGAGGATGAACGAGAGGGGCTGTTGCTGCTCTCATTTGTGAACCAGTTTCCCCGGAGGCTCACACTCCTGCCTGACCTCTGTGGCCAGCTCATGAGTTTGAATGCATTTCGGGGAGAGGTGTTTTCGGCGATATAGGTCACATTGTTCTCGTCAATACCATGGATTTGTAACTTGGGAATGCCAACACTGGGTAGTTCGATCACCTCTTCGTCACTGTCTTCCGCTGAGAAACTGATGCGACTGTTGATAGACGATGTTGATGCCTGTGCACGCATGTGGAAAACGGAAGGTGCTGGGTTGGCGCTCTCGAGAGACGCAGTAGCCGGTGGCTGGGGATTACTGATGCTCCTAGCCACATCTGGTGTTTTCCCTAAAGGAACATTTGCAGAGGACTTCCTCGCCTTGGAGAGGAGATCCATGTATGCCACTGACTCCTTGGATGCTTGGTGGTTCTGTTCCAGGGTATTGAAGAAGCCAGGTGACGGAGGGGGTGCGTCAGTGTGCCTTCGCCGACTGGTGGTTTCCGATGACTTCCAGAAGACTTTCGAAGGGACACTGGTGGTGGATATGCTCCTGCGCGCGTCAGAACCTCTCCTGTGCTTCTTGAAGGAGCCCCGCCTGATCAATTTGGAGATCTGGCCCTCTCTCAGAGACATGGTCCGGTTCGTGCTTGGACCCTCGGTCGTTGGTACGTCGATTTCTGGATAGAATGTTTCCTGGGAGAAAGAAGGAGTGAACGGAGGCCCGGATTCAGGAAGCGGCACACGTTGGAATGCCTCGTGGGAATTTATTTCGCGAATGATCGCATCCTGGAGAGTTTCATAAGTGGGATGGGGTGAGATAGCGGGCGACGAAGTATATGCCTGTCTGAACATATCCATTATTTCCGCGATTTTCTGATCCGATTGAAGCCCTGGTGATGGGGAGGTTGGTGACCCAGCTGGTAGCGGGCTGTTCATAACTTCCGCAATGCTGGGGTTCTGCTTCATTGCCAAGCTACTTGGAGTAGGTGGCTGTATGGCGCGGTGCGTAATCTTCGTAGACGGCTTTCCGCGAGCTGCTAATTCTGTATTAATTGAAAGATCCCGGACATTCTTTTTGGGCTTCGATTTGATTGCGTTTGACGGATTGTGACTACCCGACGTCACAGAAGAACTGCGGCTCCGGCTTGATCTGGAAGGTGGTAGATCTGGCGTTGGATGGCTTTCGCTGGTCTCAGTATCCCTAGTCACCATGGGGGGCAACGTTGGACTGTCCGGTAATGGAGTACTGCTCCATGTGTCGCCTTGTTTGTAAGGGGGGGGAACACCGAGGAATCCACCAGATCTCGAATCAGTTTCCCTCTGGGGACTATTAGTTATCTCGGCGGAAAGATTCGGCACTGATCTTTGCTGTCGGAGAGGGCCTTCGGTGGCAGGAGACACATTTGGCCGTGGAGTGGTTGACTGGTCAGCGTGAGGAGGGGTGGTAGATCGCGGGGCTTCCTGAGACATTGACCGAGCCAAACTACTTCCAGCCTTTGACCGAGGGCGGCAACGAGCTTCATCTTGGTGACTCTGGCTACTCCGTTGAAAGGAGTTTCCACGAGAGCGACTGGCAGTATTGCGAGAAGATGGACGGCCGCCCCTCTTGTTTCTTGCTATGTTTCTGTCCGCCACATCTTCCTGATATAAAGCAGAGAGTATGCGCGAGTACACGGTTGGTTTGCCCGACTGCCCTTGAAGGAATCGAGTCATATTTCGTTCTGCGATATCTTCATTGTATGGGCTAATGGGTGACAACGTCTGCGCACTCTGGATATGGTATCGGTGAGAAGAAAATAAAGCATCCAGCAAGTCGACGTGCCGAGGATCTCGAGTCGTGGTTCGACTCGAGGCCCGAGACGGAGGAGCTGGTGAACGTGGGGACAACGGCCGTGCCTGCAGTTGATCATGCAAGACTTCAAACTGCTTCTCGATTCGCTGAAACGGATGGTCTGGTTCTATAAAATGCGAGGTCCTCAGGTTTGAAGACAGATCGCTTTCTGGTGTGTTGCTTGCCCGAGTAGCTCCATCCTTAGAACTTATGGACGAGCTTCTCTCCGCTTGGAAAAATCGCTTTAGGGCGACCATTCTGGGACGAGCAAATTACCTGAATACTGCTCAATTCCAAATCGTAGCAATACTCTCCGGTAATCGAGTCTAGTCAGGCGCTCTCGGTAAATCAATATGTACTAGGGTATATCTTGGTGGAAGAAGCTAGAGCCCAGGACACAGATCAATGAGAGGAAAATTGGAAAAGGAAGGACAAGGGCGTGAGAAAAAAGAAGAGAGAGAATAAAAATAAAAAGATAGACAAAGGGTCAGATTGGAGAAGAAGTTAAAGCGGACAACCTTTTTACACTGTTCTCATGATAATACCAATGTGCACCGAGGTTTCTCCTCGAACCCTATCCTATACCGTACCCAAGTAATGGATTGAAGAAGGAAGAAAATCATCAGTGAAGAAGAACGACCGATCGAGGGGACCGGGAACAAAAGAGTTTACTCCATATGCTCGAGACTTAGCCGGTTTGCAGATCCAATGCCTGTTCCTGGATCCAGGGGAAGAAAATGGGCCAGTCTCGAGGATCCATCGAGCGACGGACAAAGCGATGGGGCTAAGGTCTGAGTCCGCCGACGGAGAAGTCAAAGACTAGTCGGAAGCAGTCGAGCGTTAAGCCCAACGCCATGTGCAGGGTCCAAACTGATAGTCCGGTCTTTGTTCATTTAGGTGCATTACTCCGTTCACCCTCGGGGACCACCATCATCATCACTAGCATTATCATGCATGGTCAGCATGTAGACCAAACCCTAGGTGATAATGCACACACTGTGAAAATCTTCGTTTAGAATGTGCAGGGGCCCTTTCGCCCGCGGTTAAGGTGCATACCATCATGCATGACCTAAAAGTAGAGCTTGGACTCCACTTGACAGCGATGCCACTCAAATTGGATCTGCACATTCTGCCGCCCAATCAGGAACGGAATGGTTCAGCGTAATAGTGGGACTATGAGACTAGTGACAGAGCTTGGGGAGGACAATGCTTACGCTCTCCCGGAGCAGGACGTGGAACTCGTGGAACTCACATACACACATAACATTCATACTCCGTACTAAGGACTTATTTCGGTCATTCAACTGTGGTACTTGTACCGCCCGGTACGAAGAAAGTTTACCAGGTCTGAAAGTTGAAAGAGGGTTGGAAATGGGGCTCGGGTAGGCAAATTGCGGACCAGTCAAATCCCGAGATGCTGGATTCGATATTCTCCGCTAGTCTTGGGTCAGTTAGTCCGTTCCTGAACCGAGGTCACGTTAGCGTATCATCAGCCGGAGATCGTCAAAGGTGATTTAAATAGGGCCAGCTAGTACTAGTAAAAGGGGGTCAGTCTCGTTCACACAGGAGCCGAACTTCCATGATTAATTTCCTAGGACCAAACCATTGGGAAAATCTCGTACGTAGTACGTACATAATTACGGGAGTACGTATCATGGCGGACGGCTCCGGCTACGTACTGTACCCAGGTTACGACGGGTGGACCGCACAGCTTCCTATTCCGGTTTTCTTTCGAGATCAACTTCCGAGCGACGGTTGTTGATCAAGGAAGACGGTAAGATGATTAACAGCAATATCCGCTGATAGTCCACCCTTCACCCTAGCCTGCAGATTACTTTCCTACTTTCTTTTTCCTACTGAGGCCTCGTGTCGAAAGCCGCATTGGGTTAGTCCATACTCCAGGCGGGCCCTGCGTGTGACAGCTCATGCATGTTTCTCAGCTTGCGTTAGGGTTGTGAATGTGCGAGATTGCATATCGCACGGAAACACTCCGTGAACACCAGTTTGGGGGCAGGTCTATCGGGGATCTCAGGGAGATGGAACCATAGATTCCCGGAATAAGACCGACCAAGGCGGGATCTTGAGGAGCAAGCCCGATGAGTCTAGGAAACGAGATTGCGAACGATCTAGATTGGGATGGGGCAATACCGAAAAAATAGGAACAATGAAGTTGAACTAAGACAGTTCTTCGGTGCCTGCGGAAGAACTTCCGATTGCTTTACATAGAAGAGCCATCGCCAATAATAGACCTTGTAATATACGGAGTATGAGGGTCAAGATCCACAGCACACAAAAAAACTGGTTGAGTACGGAGTACGGAGTACCTGAAAAGGTATTACGCATGTGTGTATGGAGTGGACGGAGGTACTTCCCCTGAGTATGTACATACTTTGTACGGAGGTCTCCATTCCTCGGGAACCACATTAACCGTTGAAGCGGCACTAAAGGTAAAATTCGACTCCTCCCGTGGGACGGAGCAAGACAGATGGTTGCCTGACAGCCATCATATTACGGAGTATGTGGATGGGAGAGGGCTTGAGCCCTAGCAACGCTCTCGATGTTCAGTATGCCTCTTATGTATGTACTGTAGGAAATGTACTTCGTACCTGTTGCTGACATTGCGGTAGAAAGGAATCAACAAGACTATCATGGAATAAGGATATGTTATTGGGCATCGTTCTGTCAACTTTGACCCAAAAAAAAAAAAAAAAAACTTTTATGAACCGCCCCCGGCATCCGAACTAACAGGATTCGGTATACACGTCAACGATCCTAATCAGCAACGGACTTTGTTGCAAATGACTGAATGCACTAGAGCCATTTCCGGTAAATAGCACGGCACCTTCTGTTGATCCCTGCGGGTCCAGAACGCAACCCATTCATCTAAGAATTATGATCTGTGAAGCGTGACTTCCTACCGAACGGGACGTTTGCTATCATAATCCTGATCAAGATATGAATACCATCGTCCATGACTCGCCACAATCAAGCTACCTCGATTAGCGTCTTTCGATCATCCCCCATGCGGCTAGTTCCCATGTGATTGGGATCTTGACTGGCAGATATCACACTTGACAGCCAACGAATGACGCTTTCGATGTGCTCAGCTCTGAATCACCTCTGAGACACTACTGCTGTCGTGCATCATTGTTTCGGCAAAGGCTGGCTGAACCGTGCATATGACATACTAACGGTCATTAGTCTCAGCCAGGGAACGTCAAAGTCAGCTAGTCTATGGAACGTAAGGATGCCTTGGGTTAATCGAAAGACGATCTATGAGCTATCAAAGACATCAGTCTACTTTATCAACAGGTCTACGTTGCTTGCATACGCATACACCACGCCGTTCACCAAAGTCTTCAATTCTCTGCTTCAGCTATCTAAGCCCCATCGAGACCAACGTACCGTTTAAGAAACACCGCCCGCTTTCACAGCCTCACTCCCCATGAATTCGTCCCGCTTGATCCAAAAGTAGCATATTCACCAACTACTGGTCATATCTCCAAGTTTGACACCTCATAGGCCCTTCGACGACCATGCTCGTCCCGATTATCAACATGTGAGGACGCATGAGCTTGATCTAGCTTGCCTTCGCAGCAGGGTTACTCTCGTTGTTCTCAGCGACGCCATCCTCTTCAAGTCCACTTTTGCTCTTGTTGCGCTTCACACAGCGTTTCTTCGCAGGTGAGGCTGTCTTTGCAGGAGAGGCGGTAGGCGTAGACGCGGCAGACGGTTCACCCGCGTTGGGATCGCCAGAGCCTTCGGCCATTTCTTTCTCGATTCTGGCTTTCAAGCGAGCCCAACGCATACGCGCGGCTGGGACGTTGATATTTGAAGCAGCAGCGACGGCATTGAAATCGATCTGCAAAGTAGTTGTATTGTAAGCTTACTTTTCCCTTGGTCTTGTGGAGAATCACGTGTCGCGAGATGATTGTATAGACATGTGAAGAGTGGCTTAAGCTCCGGGCCTCCTGGTTGAATGTGGGAGCTTACATTATTGACCCCTGGTGAGTTGACCAGACATAGATACAGGAACACAAGGTGCTCGTCAGTCTTCGCTTTGGGACGCGGGTTTGCAGACTTCATGATGGGCTTGTAGCGTAGTGTAGTCAAAGTCGATTGGCTTGTGTGTGTGGTAAGTTGACTGAGCTTGTGTATGAATAGAAAGGATAGATGGAATGAGAAGAATGTAGCGTGTGGGAGAAGTACACCATAAAGCCGCGTTGTTCTGATAGAATTGGGTGAATACAAGCTCTCACATATGAGCAAGGCAGAATTTCCCACCGACCAATGCATTCACTTGAAAACTAAACTACTAGGTCAAAGGTATTGCAACACCCGCCGAAGCCCTGTTTTGAATCCTCAATATCTTGATAAGATCACAAGCTTTTGAGCTTAAAATATGCTTATAGTTTCCTAAGCTTAGTATTTGGTATACCATCCCACATGCTTCATATACAGCCCAAATTCTGTACGGCCAGGATAGAACTAGGCAATGTGATTGAGGGTAGTATTCTATACAGCTTAAATAGTCTACTCGAAACACTCAATAACTATTTCTCACACGCTATTTAGAAAGAGCCTAGGATAGAGCTTCTTTAGCTTTTTCAAAGTAGGTATCAGAGTGGTTTAACAGTGTTTGAATTAGGCGAGTAGGGCGACTAATCTAGAACCTAGATACTCTTTTTCAAACTAAGTTTGGGCCTGTTTAGATATATAGAATTGAATGCTACCTTATTGGAATGCAGTCTCAGGCTTGTAGATTGGTACTAGACCGAGCGCCTGATTCTACGCTATTCTAGTTTTGAAAGTGTTATTATATTTAGTAGATAGTTGAACACACAAGACCAAATTCTTAGGGAAGTTTGGTGGTATCTTACCCTATATCTAGGCCTTCTATTTATACAGATTTCGTTTCGAAGGGGCCGCTTTTTAGCTGTGTGATAGGTGTTTGAATTTGTTGGTATTTGAAGTACGGGACTTGTTGGCAAGGTGTTGTAAATACTTTTGACGTCAATCTGGTGACCCGATCATGGCCACAGTACTTCAAATCAACACAGGGGACATCCAGAACCCATTTACATTCAATGCTAAAAAGATAATTGACAGAGGATATATTAGAGCATGCAATGACATTTCATCTTGATCTTCAATCGGTAGCTTATTTTGCAACACCTCCCCCAGGAGCCAGACCAGCAAAGCGCTCTGCAGACTCTCTGGCAGCCTCAGTCAGAACGGAGTGCGCTCCTCGAGCCGCATCCACAGCACCATCTAACAGTGCTTCGTGTCCAGAGCGCTTATCATCGGGTCCTAACAGCGCCTTTGAGCTGTCTCCCTTCAGCCAAATCTCTGTAATTTCATCCCTGGAAGGCATATAACCGACCACACATGCGGACAATATGGCCCTGTGTTCCGCTGGATCTGTGTCTAACATCAATTTCGGCTTGGCTTCGCCGTCTTCTGATTCGTCAGCGACAATAGCAGCCACTCCACCAGCAATGAGATCAAGGCAATCAATACGAGCGTCAGAGATGGCAGCAGACGCAGCGGTAATGCATCCAGCAAGAACATTCATCATCCCCCATGGAGCATCGTGGGAGTCAGGCGCATCGCCCCACCAACGGTCATCTTCTGCTTCTAAGATAGTGATGGTGATATCGAGTCCACTCTTCGGCCACCGCTCGGCGACAATTACCCCTCTTAAGGCGGTCTCTAAGTGTACACCAAGATCGCGTTCGGTGGCATCGCGGATATGTCCTTTCCTCTTGCGGGCGGCGAACGGGGCATATTTAACGTGAGTTGTGAGAACTAGGTTAGGGGAGAATGTAGCAGAGCGAGGAAGCGGCTTCGGGCCATGAACTGTGCAGGCGAGTTTCAATGCTGAGGAGGGGGGGATGAGAGACTTTGGTGACGAGCGTGCGGCGGCCAGAGAAGCCGAAGGTTCATATTCAAGATAGGCGGATCCAGAAGCAGAAGGAATAAGGCCGGTTTTCAAGACTAAGTTTTAATTCACGTAAGCCCAAGCACTACATAAGCCGTCGTCAGGGGGAGGTGATATTCCTTACAGATTTTCCGCAACTCATTGGGTTGCCTCTGACGTTGTGGTCGGCCAGTCGCAATGTCGGAGGCGGAGTTTAGAGACGAGGCAAAGACTGCAGGCCTCGTGCCGCTGGGCGGCCCATTGATTCTTCTTCGGTCAGTCATTACACATTACTTGGCATCCGCTGGAATAATCGATGAGGGATGCGACGAGCAATTACGTCGTTGAAACTGAAGACTTGAAGTCAAGCTTGGGAAGCTGGTTTCGAGGCCCAGAAACGGAAATCTACAATTTTGGAGGGATGTTTGTTCTGTTTGCTTGCATTGCACAAGTGGAGTCGACGCCAATTTTTCCTTCCTTTATCTACCCTTCTGCCTTTCTCTTCTTCTCTCTCTTCCTTTCTTTTTTTTTTTTTTCCCACACAAACAACCGACAGGTTACTTGCTTAATGATGCAGTCTTGTCGAAATCTGTGATCATCATGATTCACCCATAGTATCTCGGTACTAACATTGTTATTTGTGAGTCTCCAATCCAGTCTGCAACAACATTTCACCACATTTTGTATGAGGAAAACTATCCAAAATTTCTGTTCGGCGACAAACGAATGGGCCATTGAACAACATGCACTACCATCTGACAATAACCCCTCACAATCTTTATGTTATGATCAACATGTTTGGGTATATGCTCATTGAATGTTTAGACAGGACTATGCAACAAAATTTCCGCACAGGGCTTAAAACTAACAAGGTATGTTTTTTTTCGTTTCCCCTCCCCCCTTTTTCAAACTACATTTCCATGATGTAAAAAGTTTTTATTCAGTTCTGCTTCTGCAAATATATTGAAGAAAACTAAACCATACCAAACCTTCTGATGCCATTCGAAGCTTCACACATTGTCATCTACTCATCGATGCCATGAAACATTTCGCTGACAGCTTCAAGAACCACAACAGGAATTACACCTCATCTGTACAAAACAAAACAACCAGTAGGTATGCAAAACTTCACACATAAAACACCTACCACCCAACCTTCATGATGACAACTAGTCAATCCATTCAATGATCTCCATTGGAGAATCTCCCCTCGAGCTTGCGTCGGTCATCACGCAGTGTCTAATACAATGATCCATTCATCCATCTCCCTTATACTGGACCATTTGTCTGCCGTCGAAAGATGGTGTGACGATTGGGAGGAAGGTTGTGGAGTTTCGGATAGTGGGCTCATATCGTTGTATATCCACGCTGTCTCTGTTGGTTTTGTATGCTATGCTTGACTTGTGTCAGTTTCTATGCCTCGACTTGCTGTTCGTTTTGACAGCTTGGAGAGGGGTAGCGATTGGCAGGGGATGGGATGAATTAACCGGCTTGGCTGATCAATTCGTTACAACTGCCTTGTATAATCGGGTAGTTCCTTACGATTACACACTGCGCTTCTTGATGGCACATTGTGCTGACAGATGGACAGATTGTAGACTTGAGCTCGACTACTATATATAGACGCAAATGTGTTGGCCAGCTTTGACAAGAATAATAATATTTTTTACTTTGAAATTCTTTAGTCCATCATCTCTATTGCTGTAGACCATCTAGTCGTAAAAGAAAATAGTCTTTCATATTTCATAATATGTACGGGACTAAGTTAATGCATAGATAGGTAAACACTACATCTTGGATGCAGAAAAAGTAAGCAAGTCTTTCCACTCGCTCCCTTGACCACCGCTGCTTCTCATCCCTTTCTCGTTCTCTTGATGATTATACCTTACTGCGATAAATCTCAGCAGCATCGTCCTTCCGAATAATAAGCGACACAATCATGTTTAGAAGTTTGTCGTTGCTCATATCAAGTATATCATATCGTTGATTAGAGGAACACCAAGTAACTGTTACACCTTACTCTTTCCTATCGGTCGGGGTGGACGCGCCGTCCCTTGACATGCTGTAAGGAGCCTGTAGAGGGCGCGAAGTTAGTGATTGAGCGGTGATCTTGGGATATATATATGTGCATACCAAGACCTTCTTTGCATTGCAAACCCTCCAGGCGAGGTTCCGGACAGTCCCGTCGGCCTGAACAACGCCAGGGGCGAATTCAATACCAAACCTGTGGCCAAAAGTTAGTATGAGCGCGAAGAAAATCGCTATACAGAAGAAGGATTACTCACATCTGGTGTACGGCAAATACAACCCGCTTAGCGAATTTACCATCGCGGTCCACCAAACTTCCGAACGACTCGTCTACGGCCTCCGGGGCGATCTCCGGATCACGATCGAAGCAGTTGCGGATGACGGGTAACAGGCTCCTCTCCACAGATGTTTGTGTAAGTTCATGGTCATCCTCCTCTTCATATCGACCAATGCGAATCTCAAATGGTCTTGAGATTGCCATGACATTGTGCTTGGCATTGTGATGATAGCGGAATTCGAAGACGCCCTGCGTCCAGAAGAGTTTGTCACCTGAGAATATAACCTCACCGGTCGCAAGATCACGCTTGTCCCCATCCTGCTGTTGTGCAGCCTTGATAACAACATCGCTTTTAACAATTCCCTTTTCACATGTTAAGTTATCGTATGCGCCTTCATTGACGGCAATCCACCTTCCTTGAGAGGAAACCCGGGTAACTTCACGAGATGTATTATCGATGACCTTGTACAAGCCAATCCAATCCTTCTTGCTATGATTTAAAGGTGCAGTCCACTTGACCTGAATCGGCGCACCATATTCGAACACGAGGTTTTTCAGGTCACCACGTCTATCAAGAGGCATGCGAGCGTTAGCGCCCTCTCTACCAGTGCTTTGATCATATTCGGCCAAAGAGGATGAATCAGTGCCTTCAACTTCTAGGGAATAGTCCCGCGAATCGTACCCAGCCAGATCTTCGTCAATGCGTGAGATGGTGACACGGGCGGGGTAATTCTGGAAGAGTGCAGTGGTATCCTTCACAAATGTATTGACACCATTAGCGAGTTTCGGTCGTGCCGTCTCGATAATCTCTTCGATAAACTCGAATGACTCGTCGAAGATCTTATCCACGCTGCCGTGGAGCTGTCTAAGAGTGGGTGGCAGTGACTTTTTCAAGCTCTTAACAAGCCCCGCATCCTGTCGCAGACTCTGACCATACAGTTTCTGCATATGCGGACGCTCGATAAATTGAATGAAAGCTAGGCTGAGAATATGGCTGAGAAGCGCCAGGAAAGTTATGGCTCCACTGCTGGTGATAAGAACCGCACCCCAGACGCCGGCCAGACCCAGTACACGCTCAGGGTTGTTTAAGAAACGATAGATACCATTATACGTCAACTTTGACGAGCCATCAAAGAAGAAGTCACCGTAGAACCAGCCGAATTCACCGAGAGACTCATAGATGCTGACCGAAGTCCAAATTTGTAAACTAATGAGGCCTGCGCCCAAGACATGGCGGAGCAAGACCAAGCCGTACCCCCAGTCAGCAGGAAAAGTGTACATCTTCCATACTGCAGCAATGAAACTGGCGTAGCACATGATCATACTCAAATGATATGTGCCTTTCCACTGGTTCCATGCCTCCTGAGGAGTTTCACCATACTTGACAAAGTGCCGGGTCCATGCCTTATGATTCGACTGGCGATGAAGCATGTATCCAACACCGATCGAGAACCAGAGTCTCCATACAGCAGCGTTTGCTACGAAAAGAAATTGGTACCAAGGTGTAGAGGGTGTCAAAACTGTGAGTGCGAATACAAGGAACTGGATAAGGACAGATGAAGTATCTGTTATCCGATACAGATCCAGATTGTGGAGCCCTAATAGGTCGTGGACTGACTGCGGTGGGCTGCTTGAAAAGGTTGGCGCGTGGGGAATTTGTTCATCAACCGACGTTGGCGCAATGGGAGAATCGGCAGGGCGGCTCGAGACAGATCCAGTTTCCTGCTCTGCTGGACGCTTGCGGGACGGTGGAGGATTGTACGTCTTGTCAATATGTGGGTTTTCGACCAGCACTAGGAAAGCGAATTGAGCCGCATGGGCGATGATAGAAATAAAAAGCACTTTGTAGCTCGCAGCCATCAGGGAGATACCGTAATAGCCAGCGTAGCCAACCGAATACATTGGATGGGGTGCCATCTCAAACACGCCGTCGAACGTAAGTTCCTGGTCAATGAGATAGAAGAAATCGCCCCAGTACCAGGCGAAATCCTTTACCACCCGATGAGCGTCGAGCTTGACCCAAAGGTTGAACAGCACCAACACGATGCCGGCGGACCATCGCAGGACAGTCATCAACACGCTCTCGTTGACAGGGTGGTGACTACAAGCTATCGCAAAGAGACAATACGACATGAAGTCGCACATTAGTATCAGATCCACAAGGCGTCTAAAAACGAGCCATGTGTTATACTCAATTGGGGCTTTATCGAATGAATAGTCCTCGGGGATCTTAGTTTCCAGCTCCCGCTTGAAAAAGTTGTACAAGTTAGGATGGGGGTTCTTGCCCGTAGCTGGATTCACAAAGACCTTGGTTTTCTCAGCCCAGCGGACTAGCGTTTTGTGGTGCGATTGATTATGAAGAAGCCATCCAATTCCGGCGTTGTAGGCCGCACGCCAGAAAAGGTAGATAATGGCAAAAACAGGCACTTTCGCACCGGTAGGAAGCTGCCACAAAAGAAGTATATGAGCACCAAGGATTGCAAGAACAATCACGTCAGAAAGATTCTTTGGTTCCGAGGGCGACAAGAGCTGAGAGACCATGTCATGAGTTTGCGGCACCGTGAATACTGTAGAGGGGCACGAATTAGCTTATTTATCCGCGATGACAGGCACCGATACAACAATTGCACATATTCCTTCAGTTTGTGTAACCAATGCATCGGATAAGGGATTAGTTTTCGAGGAAGATGACCACTTACTCGTACCATCAGGTGTCCGACCAAATGTCTTGCAGTCCTTACCAGCCTTGTCCTTGAGCTCTACGTCACCGGTGGCCGTGAGGGCCTCGGGACTAAGAGTCGAGGTGGACTGAGAGGCCACATGCCTCTCCCGAAGGCCTTCATCATCGATTCGGGTGCTTGTTGAAAGTCCACGATCCATGATTCAGACTCAGCAGAGCAAAATGTTGAAAAAGCGGCGAGGGTTCAAGGGTTGGGGCAGAAGCATGTGAGAGGGGGAACAGCGCGGGTGTTATTTATGTCTAATGATTGGTCTGCGTCATGTGAAGCGCAGATCCACCGCGTTTCCTATTTGGTTAGGTAAGGTAACGGTCAATTGTTGCTGTGGTTAGAACAGAGCAAAAGGTGAAGAAGCATTGGGTTGGATTGGAAACTTTGGAGAGAAGAAATGTTTTTCTTGTGAGGGGATTTGGCAAATCGTTCTAATTTATGCCCTTAGCGAAACGTTGAGACAAGAGTGCGCAAGACAGCACCCATGAGCAGCGCCTCGATCCTTTGCACAGTGGCAGAAGTGGAACTCGCGGACTGGGGAAAAGCAACAGCAGTGGTTAGTGCCCTGGTAAGGCCAATCATGACGGTGGTGCGGGTTCCAGTTGGCAAGGGCAGAATGGCCCGGAATGGAGGAGAAGGACCGTCACTACCCTACTAGGGATGGTTTCAAATGTCAACATTTCAGAACTGGTCTTCAGAGGAGTTTTGGCGCTAATAGTAGTAATTTAGGGGTCTTACTCCGTCGTACATACAGAATACTAGTACGTATATCGTTAGGGTACAGGTCACGGTTGAACGGGACCTGTTCAACCAAATATACCTATGACAGTTAAAAGAAAAAGTATTAAGTAAAAAAAACTTGATTAGATATGCAGTAATTTATATATCAATAATAATAATTTATAAAAGCTCGAATTTTTTTATATATTCTTTTCCTTAGTATTTTGTTGGTCGAGTCCCAAATTCTGCCACCGCCCTTGTGACCCCCGGTCTGGTTTCTATGAATAGAAGACATCCGTATACAAGTGATGGACGACTAAAGAATTATTCTTTCGTGTCTCTTGCCAATCAAAATCAATTTTGGAGGTCTTTTATGTCGTAGGAAATTGCTTGACCTAAGCAGTCATAACAAAGGAAATACTTTATACACACTCACACAGAAATGGCTAAAATCATTACTTATCCCCCACTCACAACCAATCCAGGAACTCTGGAGTGAAGTAACTGAGAATAGCATCCGCCCCGGAGCGAACAATAATCTCAGTCGACTCAAACGCCATGTCCTTCAGTTAAATACTCCAGCGCGGGCAGCAGCATGTATCATGGCGAACTCACCGGACGCCTGTATGGCGACGACCGGCACGGTGGAGACATTCTTGGCATCGCTCAGGATATCGGGATAGGTAGGCTTGACTATGATTATGTCGGTACCCTCCTGCATATCGCGTAGCATCGCCTTGCGGCCTAGGGTCCGCGCTGGCGGCGGCAGCAGATAGTGCTTGCGGTCCCCAAAGGCCGGCGCGGAGGAGGCAGCCTCGCGGAACGGCCCGTAAAGACAGCTGGCGTACTTGGCGGAGTAAGACATGATGGCGACCTTGCTCTCGAGCCGGTGTTGGAAGAGCTTGAGCTTGATGGCGCGGATACGGCCGTCGTTCATGTCAGAAGGTGCGACGCAGTGGACGCCCGCCTGGGCGAACGACAGAGCGATGTCTGACACGCGTGCCCACTGACGCCTCGTTGTCCACTGTGCCATCCGGGAACACCACCGCGCAGTGTCCGTGGTGTGTGTACTCGTAGAGACTCACGTTGGCAACCGAGTATAGACCCGGAAAGGCCTCTCGGATTAGCGGGATGGCCGGCATGATGGGGCCGTCCAACTGTCGGCCATGGAGCCACTAGCATCTTTTTTGTCGTTGCTCGGTGGCGAGCCGAATAGAATAATCAAGTGAAGGCCCTTGGCGACTTGGGGGGGGGAGGAATGGTATCAGCTTATTGATACCTCGTCGGTTCTAGTTGGGGAGACTGGTGATGGGTTTTTCCAGGTCGGGGTCGGCACTGAGGAAAACGGGGTAGATAAACATCGACTGTTGGATTCGATCAGTGCCTAAATAGGGCTGGGATGGTCTAGGAATTGGTATTCACCTTGTGTAGTTGCCGTTCAGCCTGCCACATGGCTGACACTGTATGGTTGTACCCGCTCTTGAGCTCAGTCGGAGGTAGGCACAAGGCACGAACGCTCTTCGTCCGATAATTGGGGTATGACCACTAGTCCATGCAGAGTTGTTGACAGAGACTCGATAGCTGCGCAAAACAAGTCTGCAAATCGATGGATCATGCAGGTCTCATAAACTCGTGTTGTATCTGAACTTTAGCTCTAAGGTCTTCTTTCTGCCGTTGTTCTCTGTTTCCAATTTCGACGCCAGATGTCCTGGTAAACACACTAACCACAGGTCTGTCTTGTCATGCTGTTGTTCCTCGTAGATGGAATCAACCTCAAGTTTGTCTTCTCCATCCTCGACCCAGGCTTCGCTCCCGAAACTGGCCGATCCAACGTTGACGAAGTTGACAATACTCGAGAATCTTTCTTCCTGGCCCCAGCCTGTGCACTTCTGGATGATGTGCTTGAACCCGAGGGACTCGTACGGGATTGCGGAAACTAGATCGGCTTGGACCTCCCTGAGGAGCTCAATACAGCTAAGGTTCGGCGAAAGTCGGACTCGGACTGACATATAGTTCACACAAGGCCCGACAACCGTCTCGATATCCGGAATGTGAGCCTGGCGCCCAGCGATGAAGTCACCGAACACGACATCGGCTGACTGAGATACTGAGGAGATTGTGAGGGCCCAGGCTACCTTAACAATGACGGCTGTGCTGAGGCCGTAGCGCCGTAGGTTTGGTTCCACAATGGACCGTCTGAGCTCGCCGTCTAAGTTCTTGTCGAAAGGTGGTCCGCACCTACCTCGTCTCACTAGTTGTGGCATTCGGCTACCCTTGATATGGTTTCGCCAATAGAGCTCTGCATCGTGTTTAAGGCGTGGGTCTAGTATTCTCCTGGCGTACTCATGGAAGGGCAAGGTGCACGGGACTGGCTGGGAGAAGTAGAGGTACCGAAGATGTTGCCCAAATGTGTCGGCGCAGAACCCATCATACTGCGCATGGGAGAGCCGCATAATGAGTCTATGCCTGGTAGGGGATGCTTTGATCAGGTCAAATTGCAAGATAGGGCTTCCTAGAGGAGAGATCCTATCTATCGCGTATATTTTGTTGCTTTGCGTTTCCGTTTCGTCGATGGTTGAATGGTGAATTCTAAATGGAACGTTTTGTGCATGATGCACCCGCATGTAGATTCTATCGTCGATAAGTTCGAACACAGTTCTGAGGATCGAGTGTGCCTCAACAAGACCTTTGCAGCTTCTTTCGAGTTGTTGCAAGTCAAGTTGGCCCCGAAAGTCGTACACAAGGTGGTCGATCCATCCTCCATTGATTGCGCCCACAGACGCCGCCCACTCCTGGAAGTCAGTTGCTCTCAAAATAATTGTATTGTGGTGCCAGTATAGGTATTTTTTAGCATCATCGGTAGTCGCTGTATCTCCCACATCAGTACTCCCGACTATTGCAAGCTCGGCCATATTTTGCAATATGGGACATCTCAAGATATCCTGCATTGTTAACCCAAGATTCTTCGAGCGTGATGCCGCGACAAGCCTTATTGCCGCGAGTGAATCACCACCCAAAGCGAGGAAATCGCTCTGTCTTCCAATACCTGTGACGTCTTGATCGAGAATACCTGCCCACAACTCAGCGAGCATAGGCTCATTGTCATTTGCGGGAGGCACTAGCGGGTTGTCACTCACGGGTAACGACGACGCAAGCAAGGCCTTATAGCCTAATTTACTCGCATTACTCCGGAGCTTCCTGCGGTTAGTCTTGTAGTTTTGCGGTAGATTCTTCATAACGAGGAAAGCTCTAGGAATCATGTGCTGGGGAAGAGTTCCTTTAAGGTGTTTCCGAGCGAGAGAGATAACTGTTTCACTATCAAGGTTTGGGTAGTCGTCTTGCTTGCGCACATGTTCCAACTCCAGACGACAGAAGGTCGTCAAAACAGGTCGATCTGGGGCATCAAATGGCCTGACTAGGTCCACGATAGCTTCTGATTTTGGCGGCAACATACCACGGAGGTTTGACTCAATGTCTTCTAGCTCAACACGCAGTCCACGAATCTAAAAGTCCGTGTGTTACAAGTGACAAAATTGGGTATTGTATACGTCCTACGTACCTTGACTTGAGCATCGGCGCGCCCATATATTGACAGACTGCCGTCTATCTCATATCTTCCCAAGTCTCCCATTCGTAAGTATCTGCAACCTGTGGCAGCAGATCGTTCTAGCGCCCAAACAGGAGGTTTGATGAAAGTTTTGGCGGTCTTGTCCGGATCATTCAAATACCCAGTCGCTAGTTCATGACTTTCAAAGACAATCTCCCCCACTGCACCTATGGGGACTAACTTGTTCACGTCTTGCGGATCCACAAGCCACGATAGTCCACCGATAGGAAACAGGCCATGCGTTTGATAATGTGGATTACTTCGGTCTGTGATCATAAAGCCCCCTTCGTTCGCTAGTGGATTATATCAGTACCATGCCAAAATGATCCAAACGCTGTCTATTACATACCACTATATAGTTGGATGAAGTGGACGTAGGTAGCCCAAGCGCAAAACCCTTGCTCTTGTTGAAGGCGGCAGTCATAGCCCTGATTATCGAGGGAATGAAGAGACCGTCTTCACTGCGGCTGAAGCTCTAGGAATTGACATGGTGGTGCTTGACAATCCCAGACATTGGTTGGAAGGCCCCCCGTTGGGCTCACTGGCGAAAAGCTTTCCTTCCGGTTGAATGTATGTTGCAGTCTGATGAGGTTGTTTACGCGACGGGTTGTTGACGCAATCCGCGCGTACGACGGTATGGCCTCGTGACATTCTGCGATCACTACCAAGAGCCAGTCGCTGCTGCCGCTTTGGGGCTCTCATTGCCAACGTGTTCTCTGGAAGCATTTGCTCTTGCCACTGACAAGTTCAGGCTAAGATTATTTGAGGCACATAAAGCATATGAAGCGTCCAGCGTGCAAGAAGCCACTAACATCATACTAGAACACAACCTCGAGTTTCCACTTATTTTCAAACCGCATACTGGATACCTTTCAGAGGGCGTGTTCAGAGTGGAGAGCCTCGCCCAGGTAGAGGACGCTGTACAATCGATCAATGTAGAGAGACACGGCGCAGCTTTCGCCATTGAGAGGTACTGTGACGGACCGGCAGTGGATGCAAACTTTATACTTTGCGATGGTGAGGTGTTACACTTCGAAGTATCCGACGAATCCCCCAAAGGTGCGGATGTTAACGGCGACGGTGACGTTGAAAGCTTTATTGAACTAGGAGGTGTCTTTCCATCTTGTCTCCCCACTGATGAACTTGCCCTCCTTCGGGACTCGCTGCATCGAAGCTTGTGTCAAATGGGTTTCCGGGACGGGGTTTTTCATCTCGAAGCGCGGGTTGCAAACTTAAGCATGAAATTCACGATGAAAGACAATGTGCTTGACTTAACCGAACGCTGTGTTCTGGCCAAGGGAAAATCCTCAGTCTGGTTGATCGAGGTGAACCCCCGACCACCCGGCATCGAAGTCTCGGATATCTTGAAGCATACGTATGGCATCGATTACTGGGGCGTTGGATTGCTCTTTGGTCTCAAGACAGGCAGCGTGCCAGGCAGCTTTCATATACCTTTCTGCAAGGGCCGCAATACTGGTCCGAGACAATATTCATTCCGGTTAGGATCTTTGATTCGGAAGACGTGTGTCTAGAACTCTTCAGCAGACGCCCTGATATTGCTGAATGTGTCTCGTGGTTTCATTGTCATTATAGCAAAGGCGCTCGCGTACCAGACCCTCGCACCACAGGTGTGTTTTCGTGGACGGCACATTTTAACATATTTTCGCGATCATCTCGGGCACACTTGTTGGAAATCGCGGACTGCTTTAAGAAGGAGGTCAGGTTTTCGATTGTATAGATGAGGATAGACGTTTTCACGAACTACTCAAAACCCAAATCCCTTAACAGCATAACAAATGTGCACTCAATTCACTAATGACTGATAGGAAACGTGTAATTGATGACATAGACATAAAGGACTTCCAGGGTTTGGGTTTAACAATTCAAACCCGCTCCTGACCTGGTATCGGGTCAGGTTTTTTGTAGTTAATCCAAATGATTACTAACTCAATCCTAAGATAATATATATATATATATAACTAAAGGTACTGAAGAAGCTTTGAAAGCGCGTTTTAGCACTCTAATAAGGCGTGTGTATAATGAGATACCTAAGGAATAGTCGAATAAATCGATGGAGTCTATATCAAGGTGTATTGATACAGTGATTCAGGTCCATACATAGCAGGTATAGTAAGTATTAGTCGGTAAAAATAACAGTATTTTATCTATAGATTTATTATTCCTCTAGAGTACTCCGTACGTACTCGGGATATATCTTTATATTGACTAGTAAATTGCTAAGAAAGTAGAAGAAATAGACAGGAACTACTTTATTTTCTCGCAGACTTCGGTTTAAATCCTGCCCCTCTCTACTCTCTTACTAGTAGTATTTACCCCTCACCGACTCGCGTAGGTTCGGATGTTCACATCTCGGAATCCATGTCATCAGCTCTTTCTGAAGTTTACTACGAGCGTTGCATCGTCAATGAAGGAATCAATGCTCTGTTCTTCCAATTACTTGTATATAGTATCGAAGGGAATTTATTGAGGGTTTATATCGCTCTTATCGAAGACTCCGACACCGCACGTAGGATACCCAATCGCTACTAGAATGTTTGTAAGCTAGTAACCTTAACTTATCTAATCAAACCCCGATTATCAAGCATTTCTTCCGCCACCTTTATCTAAGTTTCCCTCAAATTTTGCGTCTGCACAAGTTTTTCTATCCATTTTATATATATATATATATATATATATAAAAGCAATAGCTGGGGAATAATATCACATTATGTCGCCAAGTCTAGTTGCTCCAGAGCCAGGTATGTGTGTACTTCTTCGATCGGAGGTATTGTTTCCCTCTGTTTTGCTAATTACTTCCAGAGCACTGCCCTGGCCCTGAGTCGGAGCAGGCAGGCCAAGGTGATGCCTGCGCTGGATGCCCCAATCAACAGATCTGTGCCTCTGCCCCGAAGGGTCCCGATCCTGATATTCCCATCATCCAAGAGAGACTCTCCCAGGTCCGACACAAGATCCTTGTATTATCCGGGAAAGGTGGGGTTGGCAAATCGACCTTTTCCTCTCTCCTCGCGCATGCGTTCTCAGCGAATCCCGACTCGATGGTTGGCTTGATGGACACCGATATCACTGGACCTTCGATTCCAAAGCTGATGGGGGTGGAATCGGAGACAATCCACGTGAGCAACGCAGGCTGGAGTCCGGTGTGGGTGACAGACAACCTAGGCGCAATGAGCGTGCAGTTCATGCTACCCAATCGGGATGATGCAGTGATCTGGAGAGGGCCAAAGAAGAATGGTCTGATCAAACAGTTCCTAAAGGATGTGGACTGGGGTGAGCTGGACTATCTCATTATTGACACACCACCGGGCACCTCGGATGAACATCTGTCTGTCAACTCTCTCCTGAAGGACTCCGGAGTTGACGGTGCTGTCGTTGTCACTACACCACAGGAGGTATCCCTATTAGATGTTAGGAAAGAGATCGACTTCTGCCGCAAGGCCGGTATTCGAGTCTTGGGGTTAGTTGAGAACATGAGTGGCTTTGTCTGCAAGAACTGCAACACTGAAAGCCAAATTTTCCGGGCCACGACGGGCGGTGGTAAGCGGTTAGCGAAGAAAATGGGCATCCCGTTCCTAGGGGCGGTCCCTCTCGATCCCAGAATCGGAATGGCCTGTGACTACGGCGAAAGCTTTGTAGATGGCTTCCCAGATAGCCCGGCGGCAAAGGCGATCAAACAGGTGGTGCGCGCGGTCGGACAGTTGGTTGGAGAAGACCCTGATACTGTGCTACCGGATGATACAGCAGAGTGATGATTGCAATTTTCTCTTTCTGGGTCCATCTTTTGTTTTCAAGCGTGATTGCATTGGGGGTTAAAACTGTTCGAGACTTTGGCGTTTCTTTGGCATACAAATGATTGATACCACTGCAGATCATTCGAGGTTATCTAAATAGCATTATGAGTATTTAATGCGTTTTGCTTAGTGAGCATCAGTTTCCAAACCAGTGGCGCTCCCAGTTCGTATCGTGCCGTATAATGCGTTGTACACAGTCAAGAGCCAAGCCTTAAAATGGTGCAGCGCTGAAATCTAGGGACAAGTCGGTTCCCGTCCCTAATGATTAACCCACACAGTAATACTCCACCAGGGATTTCTCAGGGCTGCCACCTGCCTCATGAGGAGAGAATCGGCACTGCCAAGCATGACTATACTAGCAAAATCGTTATGTATAAATTGGGTACCCTGTTGATCGACGTTACCCAAACTATAGATAATTCTTGGCCCTGGTTAGAAGGTGAAATCCCACTTCTTGACGTCCCCAAGCTTCCTTGTGAGTAAAAAATGGGAATCGACTCGTCTTTGGTGTCCAAATTCTAGCGACCGTTGATTGGGCAGGTCTTCGAAAAGGACTGTCCGCTGTTCATGGCTGCAGAATTTATCCACAAGGTTGACGCAATCCATGGGGTACGTAGGCAGATAAGTAGTCTTGGGTCTCGGCCAGTCGAGATCCCTCCGTGTCCAAAAGCGCTAGATTATACCTATCAGATTTTTTTTTTTTTTTTAAAAAAAAAAAAAAAGAATCATATCTACTCTGTATGGAACTTCGATGACTGTTCCCAAGTCTTAACAAGGGCCAATCGCACGATTTCCTTGATTCTTTCTGGGGAAAATCATCCCTGTCCGTACCGCGTCTTATGGGACAATTGTACGGAGTAGTGTACCATACGAAGTAAGAGTGACTTGATTGCCGACGCCGCTGTGAATGGCTAGACTTTTGGAGGCAACGCTGCTTCAGGTGGTCGAGCTGAAACATTACTTGAGGACGCTGATTGGCCATTAAGTTTGCCGCTGGCGGGCCACCAGTCCGGGTGTTTCAAAAATTGTAGCTCCGTGCTTTAGCTTCCCAAGCCTTGAGTGGCTTCGGCGGCTGTGATCTCCACAGCCGCGATGCCTAAGGTTTGCCATGCCGACCCAAACACCGATCAGTCAACCCACTGTGTCAGCCGTATTGACTAACGGGCGAGGTACCAAGACTGTCCCCTCCCTACAGCTAACGTCACGTCGCTGTGGATTGGCTCCTTTCACTCTATTCAATTCTTGGATTCACCTTCGAGTGGATCCAGTACAGGATGCTTCCAAGCCTTCCAGTAGAGCGATGGATGGTCTATTGGCCCCCTATGAGTGGACCATATAAGCGTCTCAAAAGTCTTGGACGACTACACACAAAGTAGTATATCTCGGAAATGGCTCCATCTGGCTGCTTCTGAAGTCCATGCTTTTGCTGTGAATTTTTTTCGCCTTCCTCTTCTTCCTTTTTTTGTACGGTTACTTTTAATTGCTCTCCTTCTTAGATATCCAACTAAACCATCTTAATTCAGTTCCTAGCGCCTTGCTTGCAAGACCGGCTTTTCTTCTCTGATCATTGTCTTCTGACCATATACAGGCATCCAAGTCAGGCACTTGGCCCTGGTATATACCTTCGTTTCATTGATATACCCTTTCTTTGTATAGATACATCTTTTTTTTTTCTAGCCCCTCTAGCAGAGGCTTAATATCGTTCATTTCAAACTCAGAAGCAGCACAAGATTGCCACCATGAGATTTCTTCTGTCTTTTCTGATTACCTTGTCTCTCGCCTGCGGGGTGCTTTCACTTCCGTCCGGCTTAAAGTCTCAACTCAAAGGCAGGTCCTATAAGGTTGAGCGGGTACGGCGCGGAAATGAGCCTGTCCATGGCCCTGCGGCTCTGCGCAGAGCATACGAGAAATTCGGCATTGTTCCAACGGACCTTGGGATCGATTTGGATGATTTCGAACCCATAATGGAAAAGCATGCTGTCATTGCGAAGAAAGATGCCACCGAGCCAGACCAAAAAGGTGCTGTCAGTGCTGCCTCAGTCCTGGGGGATGCTGCATTTGTCTCTCCCGTCACCATCGGCGGTCAAAAACTTGTCTTGAACTTTGACACTGGCTCTGCCGACTTGTAAGTGCAATTCCTTACGGAATCTGTTAGCCCTAGCCGTTGACAATTAATCTATAGTTGGGTGATGAATACGGGGCTCCCAGAAGAAGCTCAAAAGGGTCGTACAGTGTATAACCCTTCCAACTCTTCTACGTTCAAGAAAATAGAGGGGGCTACTTTTAACATCTCCTACGGAGATGCCTCATATGCGTATGGTGGTGTGGGTACGGACACTGTCAACGTGGGGGGTGCCATTGTCAAAGACCAGGCCATTGGTATTCCGGATATGGTATCCAGCGCGTTCATTGAAGACGCCACCTCAAATGGTTTAGTGGGACTAGGATTCTCGTCTCTCAACACCTTCAAGCCTAAGCAGCAAAAAACCTTCTTCGATAACATCGCCGACAGTCTGCAGGAGCCTGTTATGACTGCGTCCCTCAAAGCCGACGGCGTTGGCGAGTACGAATTCGGCATACTCGATCATGACAAGTACCAGGGCGATATCGCAAACGTGAGCGTGGACTCTTCTAGTGGATTTTGGCAGTTCGAATCGGCGAAGTTTGCTGTTGCGGATGGAGATATACAAACCATCAAAGAGAACCCTACTGCCATTGCGGACACCGGAACCTCGCTTATGCTGCTCAGCCAAGAAGTGGTGGATGCCTACTATGCAAAGATAGAAGGTGCAATTTATGCCAGCAGTGCCAGCGGTTACATCTATCCCTGCAATGCCTCGCTTCCGAGTATTTCAGTTGCGGTAGGATCCAAGCATCTGGCGACAGTCCCAGGCAATCTGATCAATTTCTCCGAAGTTGGTATCAATAAGACGACCGGTGGAAAGGGTGAGTTTCCTTTTTCCAACTTTCTTTGACTCATTACTCATGATCTACTTTTAGTTTGCTTCGGGGGCGTTCAATCTAACCAAGGGTCCTCGATGCAAATCCTCGGCGATGTGTTCCTGAAGGCCTTCTTTGTGGTATTCGACTTGCGGGGACCTTCTCTGGGAATTGCAACCCCCAAATAGTTCGAATACTGTCGTCTTTGGTCACATCAATCAACAATTATTGAAAGATAGAGTATAGAATTTAAGAAAAAATTCATATACATCTTATCTTTCTTTATCAGCGGGTTAGACCCGAGATAGGATCAAATTATGGACCAAAGGAAGCCAAACGCTGCCCAACTCTGTAAATTACCGGTTATCCATAAGAAGTAGTAGATCATTATCAGAGAATAGAGCAAGATTGAGAAGGCTTAAGAGATATCATCGTGAACCAAACATTAATTTGGGTATGCTTAAAACAAACGCTGCTTTGGAATGCTGAGTCATGCATTGAAATACTAACCGAATATGGTTAGAAGCTCAAAAAGCAGCAGAAAAAAAAATGAAAGCAAAAAACACGTCCTTGAACCGCTCGCAAGTACAATTCAAGAAGTACATCGCGTGTTGTATTCTTTTAAACTAGATTAGATTCATGAACATTATTTAAAGAATATCTTTACGTATTAAAAGAGATCCCAATTATTTGGGATCTTGGTGGAAAATAAGTCAAGTTGTTTCCCTTTAAGCCTGGCGTGACCCTTCTGCGGGCCGCAAGAAGAACCCCGCGGTTGGTTCGACCTTTGGGACTGCGTTTGGGAATCATTTCTGTTGCCCCTCCTTGTCCGCCCACCACTTCATCTTTTCCCTTGTCTCGTGCCCGTCCGTTCGCAAAAATGGCCATCAACTCCGCGCCTGAGTCCTCCCTCCTTTCCCTCATCTACCGCTCTTACCCCACCGCTGTCTCTCCCGATGCCACAGAGACCGACCTATTGACCGTCTCGCCCAAGATTTTCCCTCAGACCACCTTCTCCGCCCCGGAAGAGGCCGACATCAAGCAATGGCTGGGAACGATCTCTGGTCTACAGGGTGCTCTTACCAAGGATGAGAAGCCCGTCATCACCACCATCTTCGGACAGCTGAACAGTCACTTGGCTACGCGGACCACCATTCTCGGGTCAAAGCCTTCCGTTGCTGATATCGCGGCGTATGCCCTTCTGGCCCCTGTAGTGGAGAAATGGAGCCCGGAGGAGCGTACCGGCGAGCAGGGCTACCACCACATTGTGCGTCACATTGATTTCGTGCAGAACAGCCGGTTGTTTGCACTCCGGATCCCTGAGGAGGAAAAGATTGCCATCGATGTGAACGATGTGCGCTTCGTGCCTAAGCCTGTGGACCCTAAGGAAGAGAAGGAGCGCAAGAAGAAGGAGAAGGCTGCTGCCCAGAACGCCGGTGCTCCGGCTGAGGGCAAGCCCCTCGTTGTTGGAAAGGGTAAGCCCGAGACTCCTAAGGAGGGAGCAGCCCCCGCCGCTGAGGGCAAGCCCAAGAAGGAGAAGAAGGAAAAGAAGGAGAAGCAGCCTAAGGCTAAGCCTGCTCCCGCTCCCGCTGCGCCCCCGTCTCCATGCGCCATCGACCTCCGTGTCGGCCACATTCTTCGTGCTATCAACCACCCCAATGCCGACTCCCTCTACGTTTCGACTATTGACTGCGGTGATGCCCCCGGCTCCGATAACACTTCTTTGGATGAGGCTACTGGCAAGACCGTCCGCACCGTGTGCTCGGGTCTGAACGGACTTATTCCTCTGGAGGAAATGCAGGGCCGTAAGATCGTCGCTGTTTGCAACCTTAAGCCTGTCACCATGCGTGGAATCAAGTCCGCAGCTATGGTTCTTGCAGCCTCCCCCCGTGTCGCGGAAGGTGAGGACTCGCACGGCGGTCCCGTTGAGCTCGTCAGCCCTCCTGCCGATGCGCCCGCCGGATCTCGGGTGTACTTCGAGGGCTGGAACGACGCCGAGCCTGAGAAGGTGCTCAACCCCAAGAAGAAGGTCTGGGAGACCTACCAGCCCGGATTCACAACTACCGATGACCTCGAGGTTGCCTTTGAGGCTAGCGCTGTCCCTGCTGTGCAGGGCCAGGAAGGCAAGCCTGCGCTGGGCAAGTTGGTTACCCAGGGAGGTGTTTGCACTGTCAAGAGCCTGAAGGGAGCTACCGTTCGGTAAAGGAGAATAATCACTACATCAATCAATATTAAAAATAAAGAGAGAAACAAAACCGAGCTCAGTTCTAGACCAGACAGTCCGTCGATTATTTATGAATGGTATGGATATAAAATCACTTGCGTGCATAGTATGGCAGTAAAAGCAACAGTGTTTTAACGTGAAACGACTTCTGTCTCTAATCTTCTATTGTAACTTTTCTGCGCATGTACATACACTAGGTGCCACTACTGTTACACTGTATCTCCTCAATATTCGCCTCTTCGAGATCAATCCCACTTCTGCCCCGCAGACTCCTCCACATCTCAATAGCGGAGAAGCGCCTCTAGATCCGGAAATACCCCATGTTATTCCCAACCCCCAATTCATCATCCCCCCCCCCCTGTAGGACCATATATGAACTTTATATAGGCAACCTACCTGAGGACTGCTCCGCGAGAATCATATACAACCTCTATTCATCAGTCCTTCACAACAACACCGAACCGTATAGTCCACAATGCGAGCAGTTCGCTTCCACGGACGCGGCGACATCCGCGTCGACCAAATCGAAGAACCAGTCTGTCAAAATGGCCAAGTAAAGGTGCAAACCACACACCAACACGATCAATTCGTATCCCCAATCACCCCCACAAACTAACAGAAAACCAGATCCGACCTGCTTTCGTTGGAATCTGCGGAAGCGGTACGTACCACATTCCCATTACATCGGCTCCGAGCCCTTCCATCATATCTAGGGAAAGAAGAGGAAACAACTATCTAACTTACCCTAGATCTCCACGAATACCTCGCCGGCCCATCAACCGTCCCCCAAACCCCGCACCCGATCACCAACGCCACCCTCCCCGTAACGTTAGGCCACGAGTTCAGCGGCACAGTCGAGGAAGTCGGGGCAGACGTTACGAGAGTCAAAGTCGGGGATCGCGTGGCCGTCAAGCCGAACCTGTACGATGGGACTTGTGCGCGCTGTGTGCAAGGGAGGGTGAACTGTTGTCGGAATCTGGGGTTTATTGGATATAGCAGTGAGTTTTCGGGATTTTCTTTCTTTTTTTCTTTTCTTTGGAACTACACTGTTACATGATGGCACCATTGGTTTCCTCGCTGAGCAATGAGTATAGGTAATGCCGGGGGTCTATCGGACCATGTCGTTGTGGATGAGGAACGGGCAAGACTGTTACCGGAGATCCCGCTTGATATCGGAGGTAAGTATAAAATATAACTTACGGTATAGACCGGGGGGTATCAAGACTAAGGGTGCATGTAGCCCTCGTCGAGCCTCTCACCGTCGCCTGGCACGCCGTGACCCGCAGTCCCGTGGCAACAGCTCGTACGGCCCTCGTGGTCGGGGGAGGCCCCATCGGACTCGCCGTGGTGCAAGTACTTCACGCCCACGGCATCGAATCTATAGTAGTAGCCGAGGTGTCAGCGCAGCGACGACGATTCGCCGAAACTCTAGGCGCCACGAACGTGCTAGACCCGCGAACAGAAGACATCGACGCTAGAGTGCGATCGCTGTCGAGTGATGCGGGGGCGGACATCGCCTTCGAATGTTCGGGCGTGCAGGCCGGATTCGATTCTGCACTGAAGGGTGTCCGAGCCCGGGGTACGGTGACGGTCGTGTCACTGTGGGAGGAGAAGCCGGTGATTGATGCGTGGGAGCTGGTTGGGTCCGAGAAGCATGTCATCGGGTCGGCGATTTTCGATGGTGACGATTTTGAGGCTGTTATTGATGCCATCGCGTCGGGTATGTGGGCACTAACTAATGCCTGTTTGCTTTTCCCACGTTCCTTTTGGTTAGATTGCTGACGTTGCAGGAACAGGGAAACTTAAGCCCCAGTCTATGATCACGAGTAAGATCCGTATGGAGGAGATTGTAGAGAAGGGGTTCAAGGCATTGATCAATGAGCGGGATAAGCATGTCAAGATTTTAATCGATGTATCCGCATGATCTGTTCGGGGGGCGGTCATCGAGGTACCTATCTATCCCACATCGTAGATATCCAGAATACCAGATAGAATGCGCAAGTTACACAACTCCAAGTCCAGATCCCAACCATCGTAAGCTAGAACCGCAATTTCTCCGATGCAAGCAATTCGCCGACTGGGTTCGAGTATCCTAGACGGAGAGAGAGCATGGTACCCCCTTGCACGTTCGTTCAGCTCCGTAGAATAACGCCCACTCAGTCCACCTCACGAACCCAGACCGAGTCCCGACCTAGCTAGCTGCAGAAACCGGAAGAAAAAAAAAAAAAAAAAAGAGGCCAAAAAGAAAAGAAACATGTCAGCCCTATCTATTACTAGTACTACTTACTATTTACAACTAGAGTGTCAGCAAGAAAAACCCACAAGATACTAGCGGCGGTAATAATAACATCTCAACAACGCAGTATAAGCAAACACGTGTTTGGATACGAAGACCAAGACACACGAGTTCAAAACTACACCAATGAAACACAGCATTGAAGCATGACAGCAAGGACTCACTCAGTCTGGCCCAAGGTCCTGGAACCAGAGAAGGTCCCTCCCTCACTGCATGAATGACACCACTTTTTTATTTTCTTATTTTTTTTTTTCAACAACCCAGCCACATTTAGTCAAATAACAAGTACATAGTTACAGAAAAAGTTAGTAAAAAGGTAACGCCGTCTGACAGGTCTCTCCACCATGGTACTTTGGAGAATTCTAGCCCCCGAACTAACCATCGCTTGAAGTTCCTCAGGTCGAAATAACCTCAGGGTTAAACCGGATTTGTCCAATTGGAAAGGGGGACGCCGTCATCCGGGTAAGCGGAGTGGAATAGTTGGCCGAAAACTACTTTAGAGAGGGCTAGGGAGATCGCTAGGTAAGCTACGGCTGGGTTTGGTCTTCTCTAGCTTGTTCGTGAAAGTTTTACGGTTCGGTTGCGGAATGAGACACGATTGGGACTAGGTAAGGGTTAAGTTAGTTGCAGGATGAACAGGCGTTCATTCGTTCGTCGGTAGTAACGGAACGCCACTTGCGGGATTCTATAGATAGATCCGAGTTGATGCGTTGTATACACCGTATTCTGTCGGTAGTTGATGGGGACTTCTGCGATAGTCTACGGAGTAGGGAATATAGTAACAAAAATTCACTAAAGCGAGAGACGGCGGCAGTGCATTAAAAGGGGGAGAAAGGAGGGAAAAGGAGAAAAGTTACGTTACTCAATGAAATGAGTCTATGACTCTATGGCGACATCCCGTACCGTCTCCTTGGTCCTGAAAATGAAATACTGACTCGTAGACGGAAGTCAATGGAATTAAGACCAAGACACCAGTGCAACAGAAGTGTCACCACGTCGTTGATGTACACTACGATTCTTGGCTGCTCATGTTTTGCCTCCACCACCGTCGAGAAACACACTTTCATCCACTGTCATCCAGAGAGCTGAATGGTCCATCAGCCGCATGAGTCGATCCAGATCCCGTCTTACTTTTACCATCTTCCAAGTCTCTGGGATATAATACAAAGAACTTACTTGACAACAATCCAGGCTCTAAATCGCCAACAACGAATATCGCCCAACCGCTTATTGTCTCCTAGCTTTGAAGACGCTCTTTCTTGTCGCTTTTTCACTTCTCCACTTTTTGCTTTTTCTCTGGTTCTTTTTTAATACTTTTTCATTGCTCCCAAGTGGATCTCGTCCGAACCCTCCCCACTTGAAGTTTCATCGCGGTTGGCTTTTTCTATTGCCTCGAAAGGTCTGAATGACGGGTCAGATCGCTTTGACTCTTGGAATACTCTCATCGTATCAATCTCTGATCTTGGAATTAGTCTTTTCTTTCTTTTTTCTCTTTTTCTTCGCCCCTAAGCTGTACTCTCGCTGACGCGAGCTTCAGGCCCCGGGGTTAGTACCTTGTTGGGACACAATTGATCTAATCAAGTTTTAGTATAATTTGTCAAGCATCTTCAATATAATCCATCTTTTTTTCATTTTTATTCTCCTTTTCTTTTTCAGATCACTCTTAGAGTTGTCGGTCGGGAGTGTGGGTCGCATCTGGGTTTCAGAATATTTGCAAAGCATGCCCTGCTGACATATTTACTTACTACTACGCCGCTCACTGTTGTTTTTTTTTTTTTTTTAAAAAAAAAAAAAATTTTTTTTTTTTTGGGCGATAATCATTTTTACGCATTCACGATTAAGATATACCCTCCCATGGCGACTCCGCTTTCAGGTACAGCGATTATCACTGGAGGAAATGGGTCGCTTGGATCTTCAATAGCCATCGCCATCGCCAAAGCGCATCCTTTTGTGCATCTACTACTACTGGCACGAGATCTCCGCTCCGATAGCGTCAAAGAACTGAGAGACAAGATCCGGTTGATCGGACCCCGGTCGATTGAAGTAGCAAGAGTGGACCTGACAAGTTTCAACTCCGTCGTCAGCTTCACAGAGAATACAGTGGAAAGGGTCCAAAACAGAGAGATCCCTCCAGTGACGCTGCTGGTTAACTGCGCTGCTGTTGCGTCCTACGTCGCCGACCAAGTAACACGAGATGGGTTTGATCCTGTCTACCAGACCAACTGTATTGCTCCGTTCCTCTTGACCATCGGTTTGCTGGAAGCGTTCCGCGCAGGCGATGGGACGCCAAACGGCGGAGCGAGGGTAATCAATGTTGGCTGCTCATCCATGTCGAAGGGCTCTTTGGATTATTTCGACAAACATGACTTTGGAAATCAACAACCGGGAACACCATTGTCCTCGAAGGAAGGGAATGCGCGTTTTGGAAGTAGTAAATTAATCATGAGCGCGGCCATGTATGCCTTGCGTCGGAGTCTGGTACTCGTAAGTTTACCTGCACCATCGTGCCATTGCCTTGACGGTCCTAGTTAACCAGGGTTCATTTCTTAGAATGGCAAAATTCCCTTAAACATATATACCCTGGATCCCGGTGGCTTGGCAGGAGAGAGCCATTTAACAGAGAACGCCCCTCGGTCAATTCGAATGGCACACCAGACGCGGTCTGGACTCCGGCCATTCCTGCGGGTGTTCTCTAAAAGTGCCATTAATAACCCTAGTGTTCCAGCCAAGGTAATCACGAAAGTCGCATTCCAGAGAGATACTGTGGAGCAATGGGGAAGGGAGCGATATTATATCTTGGACAACAACTACGAGGCCGGATCCGTCATTCCGGTGCTTCGAGACCGGCCTAGAATGGAGGCGTTGCTTAAAAAGCTGATGGGACAAATTGAGATTGGTGTCAAGGGCATGGGGTCTCCCCAGTCCAGGATATCAAGGATCAACTGAAGTTGAGCGAGTTAGTATATGCGATTTCTTTTGAGTTGGATAGCGACGGTTAGCATTTCTCGGAGTTGGGCTCTTTTCCACACGTTGGTTATCCAGTTTATTTCGGGAGCATCGGGATTTGATCAGGTTTCTGTAAATAGATCATGGGTGGTATAGATATAAAAGAACGATGGGACTGCCAATTATGGATCGGTGTGCCAAGGATCTTTGCTAGTATGTATGTAATCGTACGGAGAAGTAGTGATAAGAAAGAATTGAAGACGGTTGCATGTCTGCAAACGGCAAGAGTTGGCCTACCGCCGGATTCGGTAATGACTGGCAGAGTCGGAACTCGACAGGGTCTACTCCGTCCTTGGAGGCGAATCACCGCCCGGGCGCTACTGCACTGAAACCACCTAAACGCTTGGTTCCGACGCTCTGGACGGCCGACGTGCTAATTAATGCTACATAGACCTTTTCGAGTCTTGTCATCTCCCTTCCCTTCTTTTGTCGCCATTTTCCCTATCTTGTTTCATTATTTCTTTTTTAAATTTCTCCAGGGATCTATGATCCTCTATCGTTCCGTAGTGCATTTAATTTTACGCCCCCGCCTCGCAGTCGGATTGGTTTAGGTGGGCGACAGGAAGTCAAGCCAGTGGTTTCCTTTAGATCTAGGAACCCCTAGGTTCCTTTGTCTTCGGGGCCGATTTTCAAGCTACTGATGCGACTGGCTTTGGAGAGATGAACAGGCATCACGCCTTTACCAACGGCTACGCTGCCTACCCTCGCGGGCAGGGCAGCACATTTTCCATTTCTCCCCACCGGTAAGCACCGTCCGTCATCGCATCCCACTCCTTAATCTTTGGGATGGGCGATGCGTAACATCGCTTAATGGTTCCTACCAATGAAGGATGTTTTGCTGACTTTGCTCCGTCGATCGCCAGCTTTCAACCGCGTTCACAACCTGCTCTGCGACGACGAAAACAACTTATCCAACGGCTATTCCTGATTGGCGGCGTCTCTTTATTACTCCTAGTCCTAATTTTTCCTTCCTGGAGAGCCACAATTCTCCCAGTAGTCTCTCTTGGACTTCTTTCTTCCACAGAAGACTTACAAATACAAACCGTACGATACTATGATCTATCGGCTGTTCAGGGCACTGCAAATGGATGGGAAAAAGAAGAGCGTGTGCTCATGTGCACACCTCTTAGGGATGCCTCGTCCCACCTGCCGATGTTCTTTTCGCATCTCCGAAACCTCACCTACCCTCACCACTTGATCGACTTGGCTTTCCTGGTCTCGGATTCAAAAGATAATACGCTAGAAATGGTATCCAGCATGCTTGGGGAACTTCAGGCCGATTCTGATCCGCACATGCCGTTTGGTGAAATCTCGGTTATCCATAAGGATTTCGGACAGAAGGTGACGCAGGATGTCGAAAGTAGACATGGGTTCGCTGCGCAAGCTGGGCGGAGAAAGTTGATGGCCCAGGCGAGAAATTGGCTGTTGAGTGCTACGCTTCGGCCCACCCATAGTTGGGTCTATTGGAGAGATGCCGATGTAGAAACGGCACCATTCACCATCATAGAAGACCTAATGAGACATGATAAGGATGTCATTGTACCAAGTGAGTGAAGCAGTCCACGGGTCTTGTTGTTATGTCTAATAATGTTTCCTATCAGATGTCTGGCGGCCACTCCCAGACTGGCTGGGCGGGGAGCAGCCCTACGATTTGAACTCCTGGCAGGAGTCGGAAACGGCATTGGCCCTGGCAGAGACGCTGGATGAGGATGCGGTTATTGTTGAAGGGTATGCTGAGTATGCGACGTGGCGACCTCATCTTGCCTACCTGCGAGACCCATACGGCGATCCTGATATGGAGATGGAGCTTGACGGCGTTGGCGGTGTTAGTATCCTTGCAAAGGCAAAGGTGTTCCGTGCCGGGGTCCATTTCCCGGCGTTCAGCTTCGAAAAGCATGCCGAGACCGAAGCATTCGGCAAGGTAAGACCTGCGTGCAACTTCCTTCGTCATTTCCTTGCTAATTATAAACAGATGGCTAAACGCATGGGGTTCTCCGTTGTGGGTCTCCCCCATTATACTATCTGGCATCTTTACGAACCTAGTGTCGATGATCTTCGGCACATGGAGGAAATGGAGCAAGAGCGCAAAGCTCGCGAAAAGGAAGAAAAAGAACAAGCGGAGCGGTCAGAGCGCGTCAATACTCTGTTCCGGGACACTAAAGCAGAGTCGGAAATCGATAACGCCTTTGTTCGTGACGATATGGAAACCGAAGGAAAAGAGCAGAAAGCTTCGGAAGATACAAAGAAGCCGGAAGCCGAAAATGCTGAGGAAGTGAAGGCGGGTAAATCATCGAAAGCCCCGGAAGAGGAAGAACAGAAAGCTTCGGAGCCCCTGAAGAACAAAAACTTGAAAGATGCCGAAGAGGTCTCTGCAGTAAAGCCGGCTAAAGAACAGGCCGGTGTTGCGCGTGATGAGCAAGTAAAGCAGAGAGAGTAACGATACTCATTATCACAGTCCTTCATGTATCCGGTAGCGAAAGGCGTCAGTTCAGAATCCGTGAAACACGGAGAGCATCATTGCCTATTGCGCCTCACCAGTCTCTGTGCTGGTCACAGTGTGGCTTTCTCATTCTTTTTAAAATATGCCGTCAAGTGACTGGCGGCTTTTTGTAAATGGGCTCGCGGAGTGTTTGGTTTGGGGCTTGACTTATGCCTCTGATGTTTGGTTGATTTGTAGGTCTGATATTGGGAAGCACTTGGTTTATTTTTCACTGTCCTCACGATGTATCGGTATGAACGGCTTGCCTCATGGTAAAACGTATGACTTAATTATCATAACTTACATACCTAAACAAATTATTTTATCTGGAGAGAGTCTCGAACGAAGCATGAGCATCTGACCTACGGGGCTATAGATACAAAGAGCTCAGGCTCTTGGATACTTCTCCAGAGCCGGTTCTCTATAGCTATGAACCGACAACTATGGTCACGGCGAAGTATAGTAGTGGTGAAGTATCGAGTTCACTTCGTTTTCGAAGCCATGCCAGATAGGTCAGATCCCTGAGACCCCCAGGAGTATCTTCATATCACAAAGGAAAAATTATACCGTTGCTGACTGATTAGGCCTAGAGCAGACACTTCTTTAGGTTGCTCCCCGACCTTTAACAGCTAGAATTTAAGGTCCTGTGAAAACGTTCTTTTCTCAAGATTTGAATTGGTTTCTCCAGAATCCTTTTTAATTGGGGATAAGAGCAAATGATGTGTTTTCATCTAAGTTTACCTAGCTGAGCAGTCGCTTCCTACGACCTATTTCTGCTCCAATGAGAAGAACGAACCGGCAGGCGGTCTTATGGCTTTCTTATATACTTGAGGGCGACATAAGCAGTGATTAAAGGACAGAAGGTCGGGAAGCTAACCCAGAAACAAAATGACTACCAACAAAGGAAACTCACAGGTCCTCGCATCACTTCGGAGTATGTAAAATGCTAACCTAAGCCACTTATATGCAGAAGCAATAAGGTAGTATCATGGTAGTATGTAAGTTAGTCTTGTCTGTGCTTCAGTGGGATTTGTTTAGTTAGGCATATATCTCATCGTTTTGGCACTAACAGCCCCCGTAGCGCAATGGTAGCGCGTAAGACTTCTAGCTCAAAAGCGATCTTAAGGTTGCGGGTTCGAGCCCCGCCGGGGGCTATTCTTCTTTTTTTTTTTGTTTTTGCTGCTGCATTTGCATTTCATACTGTAATACCTCGCTCAAGTGAGACGACAGCGGCCAAGGCGATCTGTCTTACTAAACCTGTCACAGATCTGATGATAACTCTGCATGATGACTGCATCGTATACCCTGCCCGTTGTGCATATACAGCTCGGAGGCCGAACAGCGACAACGGATCACATATCCGTTGACTTTTCAATAGCGTATAGTAGCTCCTTGTCAGTTTTATATTGTTAGGAGAATAAGGGGCTTCTTCTAGATATAAAGTTAGCTTAATGTTAATAGAAGAAGAAGTCAAGAATCAGTCTTCTGTCTGCCTGATATCTACTGCTTAGCTTTCGGCCTACGTACCCTTACCTAGTTGACAGGTCTTCTACCCTTGATAGGAGATATTCCCTTGACAGAACCGGGGTTCACACTTAGTGACGTAGCTTTCTGATTGGTCAGAACTCACCGCCCTAATTAATTGATCGAAGTTACGTTAGTTACTAGAAAATATAAACCTTGTTACTAAGCAAATAGAGTGCTTGAGTCACGTGACTCTATCTCAATATGGAGGAATAAAATTAAATTGAGATTTTTAGCACCCCAGTTGGTGAGAATTTATATGAGCCAGCAGATTTGTAAATAGGATTCTCATATTTTCAGGGTATAGTGAGAATTCGTATGTAAAGTCGAATTGGCCACCGTAGCCTGTATAGTATCGCTGGGGCGGGGTTTTCTCACTTCCTCGGGTCTCACTTAGCAAGGTATTACTATACAGACGAGCTAGCCTTTCCTTGTAAGATTTGTTTTATAACAAGGAAACCATCAACCGCCCCTGTAGCGCAATGGTAGCGCGTAAGACTTCTAGCTCAAAAGCAATCTTAAGGTTGCGGGTTCGACCCCCGCCAGGGGTTATCCTTCTATTTTTGTTTGTTACATTACCTACCATACAGATGAGCTGCCCGTGCTTCGTAGGGTCTGTTTGGTAGATATTCTGGCCTCAACCGCCCCCGTAGCGCAATGGTAGCGCGTAAGACTTCTAGCTCAAAAACGATCTTAAGGTTGCGAGTTCGAGCCTCGCCGGGGGCTACCCCTCTCTTTTTTGGTTTCTCTTTTATTTCTTGCCTTGAGCTTGTGACGCTGTTCCTATAGATATATATATATTTGAATTAACAACCTACTTCGTCCATTGAGATTTATCATGACCCATTCACACATTCCTCTGGTAATAGCGGCGACCACTCCCAGAATATCATATGGTGTGTTTGTGTGTGTGTTTGTCCTTCACTACGTCGTACTTATTCCGCATCATTAGTCCCTAGCTTCGGTGCCGGTCAGATTGTGGCTTTCTCATTTTCCTAAAATATCTTGCCATTCATTGTCAGCCTTCATATAGATGTCGTAGCGTCCCCTAGGGCTTGGGTGTTCGTTTGTCTTATCTTGTCGATTTATAGATCTGGTATTGAGCAAATTCATTAAGCAGTGGTCTGTGCGTCCATCTCGTCGGGAACCAGCACGCGCGTATGAATCGCGTCCAAACGTACCATTTCAATTATTCCTCGATAGGTATAACCTCTGTGATCGCATACCGATTGAATGTCAATATACCCCTTCCCCACCACTACTCGGACCAAGATCAAAATATCATAATGTCTACTCAATCTGCTTCCAGCATTCTTTTCACCCACACATCCCCTCAGCAGGGATTCAAACTACTCGAGCTACCACCAGAACTGGCTGATCTGCTCACATCGAAAGAAGCTCCAACGTACGCCACGCGCTGATCCTCCCCATCCTTACGACAATACTTGAATCTCTCCGAAAGAAACTGACCAAAAATTCCAAAGTCTCGAACTGAAATCCCCCAACCCCCAACAAACAACGACAACCACCGATCTCGAAAACCACGAATATGTGAACCTCTGCACGCCGACGAAAACCTACCTCGTTCGCCAAGTCCAATCCTCAAACTCAATCCACATAGTCCGACCAAGCGACTCCGGTGTCCAAAGAGGAGACATTAACATCGTCGGTGGCGATGACGACGGTGAACTAAACCTCGTCGAGACGATGACCGCTATCGCGAAATGCGGGTCGACACTTGAACTACATACACCGCCGGAGGGGTTCTCCGCGGTCCCTGTTCTGGAGATGATATTGCCTGTGTATGATGAGGTGGAGGGAGCGGAGCAGCAGCAGAAGGAGGAGGAGGAGCGACGGGGGGACGTGATTCGCAGGGTCTTTGCTGATGTTCCTGTGTCGCAGGCGCAGTGTGAGGCGGGGTGGATTGAGCTTTGTGCGTTTGTGCTTGGGCGTGGGGGTGGTGGGGAGGATGTTGCGGGTTGGTGTCGGAGGCCGTCGGCGAGAGTCAAGTTGGATGTGTGGAGACGGTTGCTTGAGGGGGCTGTGTTGCAGGGGATTGATCTGGGTAAGCAGTTCTTGGTGCAGGATTTGTGGAGATCGGTGCTTGATGAGGGGGAGGAGTCTTTTCCGAAGGCATTGTTTGAGGGTGTTGTTAGGAGGGTTTGTGAGGTTGGGGTTGGGCGCTTGTTCGAGGATCTGAAGTGTGAGTATCTTTTCTTTTTACGTTGCTGGAGGGGCTGGATTGGTGGATGTGACTTTGAACTGACGCTTTCGTGGATATAGGGGCTAGTATTGATAGGGCACGCTGTACGCAGTGGGTTGGTGAGACTTATCTGGAGGCTATGGCGCCGACCACTGCTTCTGGCATCGGGCGAAGTGAATTTCTGAATGCTTGGAAGGATCTCCTCCCTGAGTCCTGGCGGAACGATGTTGCATTCTCGAAATTGACGGTAAGTGGAGCGCCTGCTAGCTTGGTTACTCGCTGCATTGATCATCTATTCTTCCTAGATGTTACGGTATCTGACATTATACGCAGGAAAACTCATACAAGCACCCAGATCCCACGACGATCTGCTTCGTTTATCGCACTGACCGCCAGAAAATAAAGAAAAATGTCTCGACAGATGCTAGTGCTGCGACAGCAGCCAAAAAGACAAGAAACTGGCACGAGTTATTCAAGAACCAGAAACGCCAGAAACGCTAAGCCAAGTCCGCGAGGGCTCGAGCGTCGCCTCTATGTTTGAGCCGGTTTACTCTAGATAGCCACCCCCTCTATTAATGCCATGCATTACTCGCCGAGAAATGCAAATCTGGCCGATATTCAGCACCAAGCGTACTTCTCATTCCAGAGCCACTCAACGTTCTTGCCTTGTTCGGCGCCACTCCACCTCAAGCAGGCTACGCTGTCCTGCTCCCGATGGACGACCTGCGCCGTAGGGTCTAGAATGGCAACAGCCCTCTCCAGCACTGGAGTTGGATTCCAGAACTGGACCTTCGACATATTCCATGCGTGCGCCTCTAGTTGGGCACGTCTTATGATTGCAGCCATGGCTTTTGCGGTTTTTTCTGTTTCCTCTGATGAAGTTGGTTCGTCGTACACCCACCTCAGGATGTACAGAGTGTTTTCCTCTGGAGTTTCACCAAAGTTTCTATTCCACGAACAGTATACTTTGGACTGTTCATCACCTGCACCCTTGATCAGTGGCGGTGCTCTGTCCTTGAAGAGAATCTTTGCGTAATATTCCTCCCTTGCCCAGTGCCATTTGAAATGGTCGAAGTCTGGGACCACCGCTACTTTGGCACTGGCAGACTTCTGGGATGCGACGCGGAGGATATCTAGCTCCTTTTGAACCACGTCAATGTTACACATGAAACGGTGCACATCTTCTGCAACCAAGGTCCTTGCCTTTGGAAGGTTTCCCCGAACGATGGCTCGATCATATTCATCCTTTGGCAATGGGGGAAGGCTGAAGTGTGTAGAGGGATAGGGCATCCAGCCGAATTGAGCATAGAACTTCTTTCCGATATCAGAATATAACAAACTGAATGGCATTCTGTTGGTGGCCTTGGGCTCCGTTTGCCACATGTCTATTTTCTTGACCAATTCCTGCATCATTCTTTTCGCATATCCCTTGCCTCTAAATTCAGGTCGACAGAAAACACTGCCGATACTGAGGGCGGACACATGTTCCACTCTACCGTTTTGCGCCAATATTGCTTTCTTTTTGTATGTCTCGCAGGAACTAAGGATTGTCCGTTCGCCTTCTGGTTGGCCTCGGACGACCAACAACCAGCTCGTCAAGCCATCCTTGGTCAACGCTTGCTGGGCTAAGTGATTCTCTCGTGCAATATACGCATCAAGGTCCAAAGGACCCTTCCAAGCTGGACTATTCAGCTTTATAGCTGCGATGCGTTCCTCCGGTGTCGCCTGCACTAGGACTAATTCCGGGGATTCGCCCGATGGCAGGGCAGCGTTGTCAAGATAGGAGTTGTCAGCAGCAATCATAATGAACACAGTGCGAACAGTTCGATTTCTCTCCAAATCAAGCGCTCCAATGCGAAACAAAGCCGGATATGATATTATGGGGGGGGGGGGGGGGGTTATATAAGATGATAACGGGTACTCGTCGTGGTGTTCGGACGACAGTAACTGTTTGGAGCTAAATTGAGGTAGCTCTTGAGGACAGATGTATGTATATAGCATTGAACCAAAAGAACTGGGGGTAGTTATAGTAGAGACCAAGACCCCTTTGGCCGGGGGATTGTTTCTGTTTGTCACGCCTGCCGACGACAAGCGATGCGAAGCGGTACAAAGTTGACTCAGCTGGGGATGTACCTGCCTCTAAAGGCTATACGATGAAGACCATGACGTAGTGAGGGCGCGGAGACAAAGTAAGGGATCCAATTGTAACCTCTGAACGGCTATATTGCATGTATCATATGCGACAGGCACCTGAGGTGTTCCTCTTTCGCCTTTTTTTAATCTTACAATACCTTACGTTAAATGGTATCTTATTGATCCATATCTCGGGTTGTAGTCCACTCCTACAGCACCCAGTTTCCTTAGCGGTAAATTATGGCCTTCAAAATGGTTCACGTTATCAACGGATATTAGTCAGCAATGCGGAGGAGATACACAGTTCGATCTTCCAAAGCGGCAGGCGGTCTAGTTTACTGCCAGCAAGCTTTCACCTAAGATCCCACCACACACCACCTGATGATAACTAAACTACCATTACCTTGAGCTGTTGTCTTGATGGGGTGATATATTTAGATCCCACACTGTTACAGTGAATCTGTCGACCCCATTATGGCATTTGTATGACGGTCAGCTTATTCACCACATTCTCGTCTCCAGAATCCATGATGAGACCATAATTCTGGGGTAAACCGCGAGTCCACTCTTGAGAGCCCCACCGCGACATCCGTCCGTTTAAGCTTCCCCTATTTACACCTTTCCCACTTGGGCGATCTTCTTCGAGCCCCACGGATATTGCTGCCGAGTATACAGATCGTTGCTAGGAAAAAGGCCTCAAAGCTTATTTCAAGGGGAGTGAAGGCTAATTCAAAGGAAAGCAAAAAAAAAAGAGGATCTTAATGTGTGGATGCTTCTCACCTGAGGTGAAGTATGTTTCGTTCTGCTTCGTTTGATGTCTTACACCTCTTTTCATGCCGTGGGAGAAGTTTTATATCGATCTGGACCACCAGAATTCACTTTGAAAAATTTCTCTTAATTCTGTAAACCATTTAAGTGCTGTTTATTTCCGTGGTGCTATGCTTTTGTCATAATGACTGGGTCTTTGTACTTGGATGCGATGTATTCCATCACTATGACCCCCGTTAAAGCTTGAGGCCAGAGTTCCTTCTCATGTCTATGATTCCTCCTTACAATCAGGGCTCCGTATCTCTTATTGATCATTCTTCTTGTCTGACTTTGATAATGCGGTTCCTTTCTAAAATCTTCTCTGCGCAGCTTCGCCTTCGTAAAAAACACCTCAACCGTCTGAAAACGCCCAAGATGGACGGGGACCCCATGGGATTTGGATACCCGTGGAATCAGAATGTTGAAGACTTAAAGGTCCCTTTTGGCGATGAGAGGCTACTGCTGGGTGAGATCCACCATACGCATTGGGGACTCGACGGGCAGAACGATGTTCTGGGCTTTGAGTGGACTGAACCTTCTCTTCCTGCTGCAAGACCTGCAAAGAAAATGAGAAGCCACTGCCCCAGTGCGGCCGTGGAAACTGCAGGTTTGGTTAACGAGTCTCTTCCCATAGGCGTTGATGATATCCCAACACCGTCACGTCATACCACAAACCCCGCACTGACGGTCTTGGATGACCCTACTCCCACGCCGACTACTGACGCAGCATTGCTGCCCCAGATATTGGAGATATTCCCTGACATTAGCCACCAATATGTAGAGGAGCTAATAGCTCGACACAAGGATACGATGTCGGCCGATGGCGGTAATACACCTTTTATCGCTTTTGGGTTGTTCCTGGTCAAAGAGACAATTATCGAAGAGATTCTCGAGAATCCGTCTTATCCAAAGCAGGAGAAGCTTAAAAGGAAGACCAAAGAAGAAGATGAGGATAATGGCCACTGGACAATACCTAGAACGCTTCATGATGCTCATGATTATCGTAAACAAGCGTGAATTCATCTTGGCTCTCCGTCTGCGTGTGCTTGTTAACTGTTGTTACAGATGCGACATACTGGCACATGAATTTCTGTGGATTTCTATTCCACATATCCGACAACTCATATCCAGCAAGAAAGGACTGTATTCAGCTTACCTAACACTTTATCAGGAGTATATTTACCCAGGGACCCAATCACCACACCTCAGATTGAAGCGGCCAAGGCCATCCGTGGAGTTAAGGAGGGCGTGGGGCCATGACTTGATATCGGAACTAAGTGCTGCGAAAAGGAGGGCTGCGAAGGATGCTGGTAAGCATTTGTTGCTGTCATAGTCGGACGTAAACTTTGTTGACCATACTCAAAGCTGCTCACCGAAAGCGAAAGGAAGAAGAGGAGGCGGATAAGCTCAATGAAGAGGAACACACACGATCAGGCGATCTTGTGGAGTGCCAGTGTTGCTATTCCGACTTCCCCTCAAATAAAATGGTTCCTTGCGAAGGTGCAACTGTCCACTTTTTCTGCTTCAGATGCATCCAAAAAACCGCAGAGACACAAATCGGAATGATGAGATACAAGTTAGAGTGCCTTGACATGAGTGAGTGCAATGCCAAATTTGCCCGTGGCCATCTGAAGAAAGCGTTGGGCTCCTCATTGATGGGGAAGCTGGACGACCTTCAACAGCAAGATGAAGTCGAGCAAGCCGGCTTAGAGGGTCTCGAAAGCTGTCCGTTCTGCGATTTCAAGGGAATCTGTCCCCCGGTGGAAGAAGACCGAGAGTTTCGTTGCTGCAACCCCTCTTGTGAAACAGTTAGCTGCCGTTTGTGCAAAGACAAAAGCCACATACCAAAGACTTGCGATGAGACAAGGGCAGAGAAGGGACTTCCCGCACGCCACGTAGTTGAAGAGGCAATGAGCGAGGCTCTAATACGAAATTGCCCCAAATGCAACGTTAAAATCATTAAAGAAATGGGATGTAACAAAATGATCTGCAGCAAGTGCTTGTGTGTGATGTGCTATTTATGCAAGAAGGACATTTCACGCGAACAGTACAACCATTTTGGCAAGCCTCCCACTTACTGCGACACTCACGATGATCGCAAGCCGAAGCGCTTTGAGGCTGAAGTTGAGCAAGCCCAGAGGACAGCAATTGACAAGGTCTTGAGGGAAAACCCCGACTTGGTGGAGAAAGACCTTCGAATGGATAGGAAGGATACCAAGACTCGTTCAAAGCCAAAGCCCCGACGCACTCAACCTGGACTTTGGCCAACGGGGCGGCACACACAAGAGCCTTTGCCTAACCAGAATCAAGACATTCTACCGCAAATGGACTACCAAAGAATGCAAGTGCCGAGAGAAGCATTCCCTAATCTTCCGCAGTTTGTTCCATTTGAACCCACATTCGCTTATACCGGCCCTCAACGTCCCCTACCTAGATTCGAGCCTCAATTGAATCCACATGCTGCTACAGCAATTACCCAAGGCGCCAATGGCTTTATTCCACCTCGGCGGAAAGACTTCCTTCCAGACCCATTTCCTTTAACGACGAATATAGATAATGCGAAGGCTACAGGCAACTTAAAGCAGCCGCAGTTCCCTGCACTAGGCAACTACGATATTGCTACTATGCCTGGCCAGAACGCGAATACGCCCTTGTGGCTGGATGGCCCATTGTACAACTTCTGAGAAACCGTACCTAGGTAGTTGCACACTATGGGCTCTAGATCTATCATTCAAGAAAACAAAAACAACCCCACATTCAGGACTAATGATGGCAATGTATTGAACGGCCCTGCACCTTTTAGAGTGGGCGTTATACCTCAAATTTCATGCTTGGGATTTATTCCGTTACTGCCGACTCAACTGGCTAAATCCTGTAGTCTGATACCCGCAGCTTCGACTGCACGGCACAGTGCAGTGAGTACTAGAAGATGGCGGATCTGCGTCTCACGTCTATTACATACCTACGTGCTGGTTATTTCTGTGTTTGAGTTTGGCATCGGCATGGAACATTTCGGTCGAAAGTTTCGTTCCCGTCTGGTCAAAATCTGATCTACATTTTGATCTACTTTTGGTTTTTGGTTTAACTGATCAGAATAGCAACATACTCTCCATTTCCATTACCGTTCGCTGGAAATCTCAATAAAAACCAAGATTAACCTAAGCAAAGATAGTCCACGAATGAAGAGAACAAGAACAAGCATGGTAAATTGGGTACATGGAGATGTATGAAACATACGTATCAGATACTCACCGAGCATTGCTGGCCTTTTCCGAGCAGTCCGGTTTAGACCACCCCAATAGAAAGTGCTGTGCTATAGCTTCCCGGTGCTATTCCATGGGTGGATAGAGCAGCGAAGGTTGAGTAGTGTTAGACCCTGACTGACTTTCTGATCACACTGGTTGATAAACTTGCCCGACTTAATATCTGCGAGTAGCCTTTACTAGCTTGTGGCAGTCCGATCTAGTTAGCTGAACCTTCATCTAAGCTCGCTTTGACCCGCGCATACAGCGCAAAGTTAGAATAGCTCAATGAACAGCTCTCTCAGCTTCACAGGATTCATTCCTCCAACTTGAGATATTTCGTACTGCTTCAGCTCTATGTAACGCTGTATCAAGGGTAGACCGAATATGGTACCGAAGTCATCAGCCTTCCTAGCCAGCCATGCCACCGATTCCTGCAGAGTTCTGGGCAACGGTTCCTCCCAGGTCTTGGATTCAATTGTAAAATCGCCCAAGTCTGGCCAAAGGAGAGGCTCTTGGCCTTCCAGACCGAGCAACCCAGCGCCGAGTATTGCAGCTAAGGTAAGGTACATATTGGCAGTTGCATCGATGCATCTTATCTCCCAATGACTGGCTTCGATCTTTCGGATAGGCGCTATCCTCGCCTCAGTTCCCCAGCATACCGTCTCCCCAGCCAAGAACGGGAGTCGTCGTTCATAAGAGAGCGTGTGGGGTAGACTGAAGGCGCAAATCATCGGTAAACGCTTGAGGATGCCGGCTAGGAAAGACGTTTCATGGTCGCCATTGACAGACTCCAACGAGAGGTGCATATGTTGTCCAATGGTATGAGGATCCGAGATTACAGGCTTCGGTGCCATGGTGGCCATATAGCCGTGCTGGGCAAAGGTATCTTTGAGATAATCGTGCACCAGATGTAGTTGATCCACGGCCTGCAGCGGTGGTAGAGGTTTCAGAGCGATCTCATACTGTCCTCGTTTGCCCTCCGAATGTATTCCATGGATATGCACCCCTAGAGCCAATAGTTGTTGCACGCATTGCTGCACATACCGGTAGCACGGATCCCGCAGGCCAGATACAGAAAAGTTCCCTGGGCCTTGACTGTGCTTGACATACTCCCCTGTCACGGACGAGACCTTCATCACCTGGAACTCCACCTCGAAGCCGACGAGGAATCTCAAGCCCCACAACTCCCGTGCCTGTCGCACGATATCCACCAGCGCACGCCGGGGACACAGGTCTCCGTTTGGCACTGGTTTAGATATTGTAGTCCCCACTACTCCGCACATCACCATTGCACTTTTGGGATCGGATGCTAGCCGAATAGAAGACCAGTCTGGGACCAGCCATTGCACATGGCGGGCGCTTGCATCAGGAAGATATTGGTTTGTGACGGAACAGTTGGACAGGAGGGGAGGCACATGGAATGGTTGCGTCTCCTCCGCCAGTATGATGTATGTTTCCTCAATTGGTAAAACAAGTGCACGCATTACTCCCGAGTAATCCTGCCATTGTAATCTGATGAAGATGATGTGAGGGTAGTCACGATGAAAGTCTTTAAGCACTTTATTCGCGTCCATCGGCGTTCCCGGTGTTATACGGGACGTATGTATGCTCAGTTGGTCCATATTTGGAAGTTGTATCACACCAGGAATAGGAGAAATAAGTAGTTGTGGCCCCCCTGAGAAACGTTGTCTGTGACTAGAGACGGGACTGAATGCCGAGTCTGGATCACGCCTGAGGTCACGGGGGTGTAAGAGGCCTACCGGACAAACTCTGGGTATCTTGTACAAGTGCCTTCCTGGAACCAAAGATTGAGCAGCGTGGTCCGCGATGGAAAGCAATGCACATTCCCTCCCTAATCAAGATATATTCCACACGTCCCTTACCAACGAGATCGTCGTTTTGGCAACCACGGCCGGCTCAAGGAGTCACGCAGCTGTTTACATCCCTTCTTCAATCATTCTACAGTCAGTGTTCTTTGATTCTCAGATATTTGCAAATGCTTTTTACAACGAGAATACCTATGTCGCTTAGCGAACACTCATCGCCCCTACGCTATGAACTTATTGTTCATTCAAAATCTAAAGCGCATGTGGCCTAGATATTTCCCTTTAGTCTTTGAAAGTACCATCGTCTACAACCCAAATGTTGTACGTGCGCTGGTTTGGGGATCTCAAACTGGCGTCAAGGCTTATAACTAGTAACTGCCAAGCAATGGCCGAGGTGAGTTTTCTTATTAGATTGTCACACTGAGAGTCAATTGACTGAGATTCTAGGTCAGCTCTTTACAGTGGAAATAACCAATCAGAATGTTAACATAGTCATATCAACCGGAGACACTCGAAAACATGAAATCACTGCAGTTTGCCCACCCATACTTATCAACCCTGCAAAGTGTGAATGAAGTCGCAGGTTATGGAAGCCATAAGGGAATCTGCATTGAAGATTCGGTGTGGAGAGCCATGGAGTAACTATATCCTGAAATGTGCCCCCCCCAAAACAATCTTTGGCTGGCGAGTAAACACCACTCGCACGTCACGATTTGCAATTGATGACGGACACAGCGGGTGAAGTGACGTTACGCTATGCTTGTAATCATGATCAACAAAGACTAGTGTTTCATGAAAGTGACGGTTCTGGACCCGTGCTTTGACGAAGGCTGGCTCTAATTCTGAGACAGGCACCCTCGCTGTCTCTCGTTTGTCGTGCAGGAAAGTGACTGCACTGTCAGGTCACATATTATCACATTTCAAAAGAACTGGCATCGTGTGGTCCGATCCATCAGAGTGAATACCACCAAGAGCTGGTTCCCCGATGATTTTTTGAGACGTCGGTGAATACTCGACCTTTGAACATCATACAGAGCTCTGCGAGGAGTAGTCCAGCTGACCATGCGGATTTATAGGTACATTTTGGAACACCAATACCTTGAACATCGTTAGCGCTTGTGCTACGGTATTTTCTTACATTTTAGCTGGGGTCTCGGGGAAGGTCCTCCACATTGCAGAATCATGTCGCTTATAGTTCTCTTAAACAGTGAGTGTGTATGGCTGCTGTTCTAACCGCCAAATAATCCTTGTCTCAATGTCAATATAGTAGCGACCATAAGATGCAGTACGATATCAAGAGTTGGATCAACGCCTGTCTGGTCGGTAATCGATTTCAGGGATTTGGAAATCAGTGTCTCTAGCTCCCAGGCATTTGAGAACTGGGACCATATCCTCTCCTTTCACGAAGATGAACCAGTCTTGTAAATATGTCTATCGTAAATTTGGTATTATAGCAATGTTCGAAAACGTTGAGGTTGTGCGTCTTATGCATGCTGTGGCCATTCGGGATAGCTACCTTCCGTCAATGGCATCGTCAAAAAGACAGCGCGACTTTTTGCAACTTGTGACAAATAGTCCTAAGCCGGTATGAGTATAGATTTGTTATATTTCATGAGAATCGAGGATGGATTTTATGAATTGTGGGTTGAGTGGAGTACCAGTATAGAGACAGCACAGCCAACCATACCCTGCCAGGTAGTGACAGCAGTTAATACCTGGAATTCCAAGATGTACTTTAGTTTATAGCCTTAAACGGGCGCTATTGGTGGAATTACTTACAGTCTCCCAATGCCGGGAGGTTCTTCTCTGCCTTGATTTGAATTATGATGACGAACCTTCATCCAGGAAAGGACCCTGACTTTTCGCCCATGCAACCTGCAAATTAACGTGGCAATTCAGAAAGGGTGGTTCTACCGCTATTACAGCGGTAAGAGGCACGCTCTAGTGGTCTTAACGGCATGATTTTCAATCTCGACAGCTATATTATACGTCGTCTGATTAATCACCCAGTTATTCCAAGTCTCTAACTTTACCCCATCACCCGCACCAACCATCCAGTGCGACACTCTCTGCAACTTGCAATATTTTTGGATTCCCAAACTGTAAGGCATTAGCATAAGTGTCCTAAGTAACTAGATTCCCCAGAGATACATCGTATAGATCGACTAAAACAGCCATTTCCCTTCCCAATGAAGCAGAGTGCGATCGATATACATCTAGATATGATGTGTGTTTAGTATACCCATGTAGGTAGAACTAAGTTCATACCAAGCAGGGTGGACTGACTACGCCGACCCCCATAAAGAATGACGTAGGGAAGAAGTATGCGGCTGCTTCCGCTGCGGAGTTAATGCCCGATGTCTTAAGGCATCTGTGTTATTTCCGGGGAACATGTATGCGTAGCAAGATTCTTTTTGCTCTGGCAAGTATTTAAGCTAAGCATGGATATTCTTTTGATCAAGTTTTGTTACATGTAATTGTCAAATTACTACTATATAGACTATATAAATGCCTTTCAAACACACTACGCCTGACAATCTCTGACCTCCACTATAGATAGGAAATGGGCCTCCATGGCGATGCAAAATAACTAGAGAGTGTTGGTAAACCGAACTCAGAGATTGGAACTGATATTGGAAGACCTCAATTCGGTTGAGAGCCACCACAACACTACAGAAGATATTCCTCGCAATGCAGCCGATAGTCTATCTATAAGTATTCAAAGCCCAAAAGTAGTAGCATGTCAGATCTCTTCCAGATTGAAGAGGGTACCAACTATGACGGAAAACAGGGCGCATATATATATAGATAGAGACAGCCACAGCCCCGCCAGCCACTTGCGGCTCTTAGTGCGGTCCCTATTGTTTCAGAATGTCTCATTTATGCTTATAGTATCATTAGCCTATACCCACGCTAGCATTTTTATGGTCTCTAGACAGACATTTAGACTTTGCTGGTCTACATTAGGGCCTTTCCTCACCCCTTCGGAACTACTTACTATAGGTCAGATCAGACACTGGAGATCAATATATACAGAAGTAAACATGGACTAAAAGGATGCAAAAATACGTAGTCTAACTCAATAACTTCATTGCCATCAATCATCACACAGTAGTGAACGACGTAAACAGAGGCAGAAAACGGCATATACCAGGTAGCAGAACAAAACTCGAACAATTCACCCCCCAATGACAGCAAACACGTGTTTATATAGAATCAGGGACTGGGTCACCCTTCACATATGTAAACGTTCGCTTGATGATCGATTTCAGGCATTCTTTCTCTGGGTGACAAGGACAAAAGCGAAAACCCTTCTACAGCCCACCAGTTGGTTACATGTACCTTTCCACCCAGGCTTCACGTGTGGATAGCCACGATCGTCCTTAAATATCGTATAAAAATCTCCTGCTCTGAAGTTCTGGGTGCCTGCATCTCATTATCAGCCATATCCAAGCATCAAGACATGCTACATGCAGAATGAAACACTTTTCCAAGACCCAATGTGACAGGACCAGTAAGCCAAAAGAGCAAAGGAAAATGTAAAACACATATGAGACGAGAGGAATAGCAAAAAAATGTCAGACTGCCACAATCAAGGGGATAATATTATCAATTACGGACAGGACAGGACTCGAAAGATCTTCACTAACGGCGGTGCTGACAAGACGGGGGACTGATCTGGTAGCTAGTTGCTAGATATTTGAATTTGCTAGGATCATGTAGTAGGAGAGTGTTCGACAAAGGAGACTGAGAGAAATACAAGAGGAAATGGTATGGAAGTGAAACAGTCCGAGGGAGCAAAGAGAACATATTGGATAGAAAAGTGGTCAAGATAGAAAGAAAGGTAGGCGAAGAAAAGAACAGAAGATGGTAGTGAAGAACAAATGGAGAAGGAACGTGACGGAGAAAAAAGACGGAGCAGTGAAAAACAGGAAATGAAAGATATGAACCAGATCTATGTAATGCCATGCGAGTCCCAAACATCGCCCGCTCCCCATTTTATATATTTGCGCCACTCACTTGGACGACAATTCCCTATGCCCTCATCCATCATGTATGTTCGATCATTGGTCACGCTAAAACAAGAGTGAGATAAACGGGAGAAAAGATGGTAAGGTGCAAAAACATGTCTGAAAAAGAAAATGAAACGACTAGATGAACAGAGGCGAGAATATAGAAGATCAAAATGAACAGAAAGTCAGATTCATGGGGGATGTTCTGAATCCACCGGCTCATTAAATTTCTGTCGTGCCTCTTCCACCCATAATTCTAGACGAAGCTCACCGGCTTCTACACGTCGTACAGGCACCGTTTTGGCGCGACCGTTCGATACTCGGGGGGGAGGCTGCTGTGGCTCGCCGTTTCGAAGTTTGGAAACGGAATACGGTGCGGTACACGACCGGAGATGGACTTTGCCCGGCTCGGCCACAATCCAAGTCTGTTCTTCTGTTGTAGTACCCGCAGGGGGCAAGGCATCTTCCCGAACTTCGATGCAGACTGTGAAACTAAACTCGTCATCCCGGGGCAAAGGAGTCAATCGAGCGCAAGCGGAGGCCAATCTGGCGAGACAGGCACGGAACTGCGCCTCGAGGTCAACTGGCGGAGGAGCGGAACCCCGGTCCGATAAGGGGGCACCTGGTTTGGATGAATCTTCCTTTCTATCTTCAAAGGTGGTATTGATCTCTCCAGCGGGGACGCGGGGGAAACCCGACAGATCAAAAGCATATCGCTCGAGGGGCTGGTTGGTGCGGAGAGATGAAATGATGATACTGACTGCGGTGATTGTGCCCTTCAAGATCTCTGTCCCGACCGCAATTGACGCGTCATTGATATAATCACACACTTTCGGGTGACGGGACTGTCGGACCGGATAGTTGTAGGCCCGAACAGGCAAAAAAGTCGCTCGCGGATAGACCGAACGGAGAAATAAGATTTGGTGTATTGAAACGGTGAGGAAATTGGTGAAGGATGCCGCCAACGCAGACTGATTGTTGGGCATCGATCTAGGTGCGGTTACTGGGGCGGAAAATGTTGTCATGGTGGTAGTCACGGGGTTGACGGTAGTGCTGCTCTCACTGGCAATCGGCATTGCAGTCGAAGGCTCTGCTGTCGTCGTTTCCACGGAAAAAATGGTCTTGACGGGATCTCGGAGAATCTGAGTGCTGTTCCACCCTGAGGCTAATCATCGCTCTGCCTTTTTCGAGACGATGGGTCAACAACTGTCTTTTCTGCCACGCATGAAATGATCTGGAGGCTTTTCTCTCCCTCTCCCTCTCTCTCTCTTTTTTGACTTTTGCTTCTGCGACAATCAGAGGGGAAGGGAAAGTGGGTGGGGGGGGGGGGGGGGGTTATATGGGGGTTTCGAGTTGAGTGTGGTTAAAATGAGGGAGGGGAGGAGGATCGAAGAGAGTTTATTCTAGAAATGGGAAAAGAAAAAGTAAAAAGCAAAAGAAAAAGAAAGACGGAGATAGCGAAAGATGAGAAACAAATGTTAAGTCAAATGACAAGTATAAATTTTGCTTTTTTTTAAAGATGGGAAAGAAGTACACCAAATTAGGGTGAAAATTGTGGGAAGTCCAGCGGGAATAAAGTGGATGATGGAATGGGTGTTTGTCTGAAGGTAAGAAAAGGGAAAGGAAGAGAGAGGGAGGGAAGAGGGAGGAGGGAGGAGGGGTGCCGGTGGATTGTGGTTTGTAAGTCAAAGTAAGGAAGCACTGTTCGGATTAAACATACGTTGGGTGGACAAGACGAAACAAGCAAGCCTCAGAGCATGGATGCAAAGTCGTTTGAGGTCGTGACAATCGGCGACAGAATCTGAGATGCGTTCAAGGAAGGAAAATGGCGTGGATGATAAAAGAGATAATAGGGAAATATTATTTCCCTTTGTTTTTTTTTCTTTTTTTTTTCTCTGCCCTGGCTGGAATTTATTTCTTAGTTATTATTCTTTTTTAGTCTCCCCTCTCCCTCGGAAGTTTTTGTTCCTGAAAACCTTCTTTTAAAAATAAATTTTCGTAAGGGAACTAGAAAAAAAAAATTATATTCCCTTTTTTTGTTTTTTTTAATTTCCCTTTTTTACCCGTCTGGGGAGAGGAGAGTGAGTGTAGGCGGGCAGACAACAGGAAAACCAACCCTTTGGCGGGTGGAAGGGAGAGGTGGGCTCTGCTTTGGGTTTGGATGGAGTCGAGTACGGCAAAAAAACTGCTCAGTCCCAAAAGCGAGAGAGGGACCAAAGAGAGCGAGGAGAATAAATCACACGCAAGCAAAGCACAACAACTGAAGGGAGAGAAAAAAGAAGAGAGAGACAAAAGAGTCAGTAGGCAAAGCAGTCCTACGGAGGGGAAGGCTTGTCGGGCGACGGTCAAGAGTCGTTAAGGAAAAGGCGCCCAAGTCACGACTCCAAACCTGTCACGTGGTTGCGTCATGGGTGTGGATGCGTTGCAGAACTCTCAAGCAGAACAAATCCTCCTAGAAAATAAAATTTGAAAACCAAAAAAGGAAATGGGTAAGGCGAAATAATGTCATAGTACATACATCCATGATACATCCCTATGGGGGGCGAACCCGGAAAAACATAAAATAAAATAATAAAAAAAAAAAACAAACGCTATGACAAGAGATGGCAAAAAGTTTGCATTATGCATCATTATGACAGATGTGTTGATGGCGAATACAATTTTTTCTCTTTTCATCAATATTTAAAAGGATAATAAAATAAGATTAAAAAAAAAGAATAGCTTGAAACAAAAAGAGGCATCGGTATGCTCATCACCGATTTCCCTCGTATAGATCTATACACTACTCCGTATAGCTTAATTATGACCCTCACTCACGCCTGTATCCAAGACAAAATAATACCTATGATGTACATACATAGTGACACATACGGCCTTGTACAGCATGCTGACTAAAAGATTCACTACAGACTGCATCGTACAGTGGTCTACTTTACCGCACTAAATATTTCTAAGTGCTTCTCTTCTTTCCCCACCAGATTAGTCCCTACCACCTAGTGAAAGTGTAGTGGGTGGGATGAGTCGCTCCAGTCCACTTAGCCGATCATCTCGCCTCTAGTAAAGGCGAAACCTGAATCGACACTTAGGTAACAGCAGTAACAGTGGTAATATTCATTCTGCAGTACCCGTACTCCGAGTAAGCCTCTTACATATTGGTCAATTAGTAGAAGGGGAGATTAAAAGGACTACCTAAGTAAAATACTAAGGGGGGTGGTGGGGGAAATCAAACGAGATAAAATACTTATATTATTAAGAATAGATCCTAATAACTAACATATCGGTACAAACCATAAAGAGTATGGTAATACCACCGCGGCATCAACTATTACTCAATTTTAGCCTTAGTTTCATTATGGTCTCTTCATTAGCTCCACGCCCCTTGCTTTTATTACATCGATATAGTATGGAGTACTTTGATTGTATTGCATAAAAAAGTAATCCAGTACGGTACTAATAGGGAATTAGTCCCATTACTGGTAGCATTAATGCTCCTGGCTGATTCGATATGCAGAGGATCTGGATTGAGTGGTAGTTACTGTTTGGAAGGGTAACTACATACTATGTACATACCTAACTTATTGCAGATCTTATACCTTTCTTCCTTTGAACTTAATCCCTTGGTGGCAGAGCCAAGCAGAAATCGACAGTAATAAAGAAATGTGAAAGGGGAGAAGAAGGTAATCGCATGAAAAACGAGTTTTGATTTCTGATGTTTGATAATTAGGTAGTCGTTTGTATATAACGTACCTGAGACGACCGCTGTATGGTATCAACTATACTGTATGTACATACATACATGGGATCTACCAAAGTACCTTACCCATGTATGTATGGTACCTGCTCCGCACATCCATACTTCTACTAGACAATTTTCCTAGGAATTCGCCCCTCAGTTGAACCATCTAAGCGGAAGATACAGTTATGCCGAACTACCCTTTATGACCCCCACTACAATCGCCTATGGGAATGGTCAGTTACGTACGATTTCCACCCTAGTCTGAGCAGCACAGCGGGTAGCACAATAATACTGTGATTATGCCATTCCGAATGATCTTCTGCTATTTTGCCAAGTACGTCCATTTTGTAATAAAGAATTTCAGCCATCTACGTCAGACCAGCATAGAATACACTTCTGGGGTTCATCATCTTTGCACCTGCCAAAAAACAAAACGCGAGGGGGAAAAAGTAAAAGAAGTACAGCACATAAAGACCTCTTAGTTCTGCACTTCCATAGGGATATGTCTTTACCAATGGACATGTGTCGGATATTACTGCTGTGTGACGGTATTCCCTCTCCATAAGCATTCCAGTATTGACACCAGTTCATTACATACAATTTGATAGTTTCAATAAAAAAAGACTATCCAATCTGATGTACAAGGAAGTAACCTTTTTTTTTTTTTTTTCTTTCTCATTTTATCTACGAGGAGGGGAGAAGCAGATATGAGAGATTGCAGTGAAACTAAAGAGAAGGGGGGGAGAGACAGAGTAAAGGAAACAATTAATGACCTCAGGTCGGTACTCCAATGAAGACTATATTGTGCAGCAGAGGTCGGTTGGTAAAGAAGACTTCCGTTCCCATGGTTCTCCGTCACCCGCTATGGGGCGGGTCCCGTCTTTATCGCACTTATTATTAGTTTGCTCCCACGAAATTCCAGTCACCGCCTTCGTTTCTGCCTAGTTCTATTATCTGCCCCTCCTTACAACGCGCCAATTCGCGGTCGTGTCGAATAAGTGATAGTACTCCCAAAACCTATCAGTGTCACCAACAGGGACAAGTGCCTGTACAGAGAGCCTAGTTTGTATTGACGATTGGCTCAAATTTTGTGTACTTGATCCCTTCCAGCGAGTCGTATTCGACTGCCTTCTATCAACTAGACTAGCCTTCCGCCTCGATAAGTACCAGTTCCTTCCACCATGGAGCAAGAGCTCCTGTCGTTGCTTGCGGACACGCAATCCCCGGTCGCTGAGTCAAGGAAATCTGCTGAGCTTCAACTGCTTCGTCTCTATTCGAACGAGAACTTTCCTCTTTCCCTCGCCGCTATCGCTTCTCACGATTCCGTTCCTACCAACCTCCGCCAGTCGGCCCTATCAGTACTACGCACCTTCATCGCTGCCGCCTGGTCCCCGAATCTAGATGAGTTTAAGGGCCAAATATTGATCAGTGATGTGAATAAGTCTCAGATTCGCAGGGTCTTATTGGATCTGGCTACTGTCACAGAAACCCCAGACCGCAAAGTTAAATCTTCTGCAAGCTTTGCGGTCAGTAAGATTGCCAGCGCCGATTTCCCCGAGCAATGGCCAGAGCTCCTTCCTACGATCCTCCAGATCATCAACGATGTCAACAGCACAGCTAGCGCTCTGCATGGTGCGTTGAAGGTCCTCTTGGACCTGGTAGATACAGGGTTCAACGAAGAGCAATTCTTTAATGTTGCCAGGGATCTTCTTACCTCATTGTTTAACGTCGCAACCAATGAGTCAAGAAAACCTATGCTGCGAGCCTTAGCTGTCGCGGTGTTCCGCTCGTGCTTTGATACGTTGGAGATGGTACTCGAGCAACACAAAACTGCGGTCAAACAATTTATGGACGAGGTGCTTGGCGGCTGGTTTCCTTTCTTCGTCTCGACTCTGAAGGCACCCTTGCCGCAGGCTCCCAATGAGGAAGAAGAACGCAAGGAAGGTGAAGTACCTTCGCAATGGAGAGGTATTATTGGACTCAAGTTACAAGTGGTCAAGGTATATACTCCTGACACTGAATGTTCTACGGTCCTTATGCTGATCGTACATGATTCTGTTAGACTTTGATGAAGATCCGAATGGTCTTTCCGGCTCTTATGACGGGCCAGAGCCCGGTTTTCTTCTCTACCATATGGACAGAGCTGTCCAATATCCAGGCTGCCTACCATGAGTTCTACATCAACGACGAGAGACAAGGCCGTCTGGAAGATGTGGACGGACTTCCTTATACTCTGGACTTTTTGGTCCTGGAGGAGTTGGATTTAATCCAAACATTAATCAAAGCACCCCCTGTAAAGGCAGAACTGCAGCAGCAATTACAGAACGCAGGGCAGACTGCGACAAGCTCCAGTTGGCTGCCCGAAATTCTGAAGCTAGCCAGCTCATACGCGCAGATCACCACAGAGGAGGAGGGCTTGTGGGACATTGATGTAAACCTTTTCCTTTCAGAGGAGACATCTGTCACAGCCAACTATACCCCTCGCACATGTAGCGGTGACCTGGTAGTCAAACTTGGTGAATGGCTGAAGGCTCTCACGGCCGAGGGCTTACTTGTCTACTTGAATAATGTGTTTGCTGATTCGTCTTCCACGTAAGTATTCCTCTGGTGTGCGAAATGGGATCAGAAAGTGGATCTAACCTGCGATTCGGACGATAGTTGGAAAGCCCGCGAATCGGCACTTTTCATTCTGAATCAACTTCTACGAGACTTCCACGAGGTGTCCCAGCCGATTTCCCCAGAATTGGCCGCTGGTTTCAGTACCCTTATTCAGTTTTCCCTCCAACAGGAGCATGAATTTCTTCGAGCTCGTGGCTATCTTGTCGCTGGAATCTTAGCACAAGTTTCAGGTGAAGCCTTTAGTGCAACAGCCGCTTCCTACCTCGAGGCAACTTTGAAGGCAATCTCGGAAGATCCGTCGGAAATTGTTAAGGTTTCATGTATCCGGGCCCTGCAGGATCTCATGCCTTCCCTCCCTGCTAGCATGACAGCTCCCTTGCAGGTCTCAGTGATTTCAGCTATATCGGATTTCGTCTCTGAGCACGACCTTAGTGAACCTTCCGACAGTGACGACCTCAAAGTTACACTCGCGGAGACGCTCCGTGATACAATCATGGTGAACCCCAGTGTGGTCCTCTCATCTATCGCCATCGATGTTCTTTTTAACATTGCCAGCAATGGTGCTAACAATTTCCAATTAACAATGATTGTAACCGAGGCTTTTGAGGATATTGCAGAATCTGTTGCAGACCAAGGCCATGATTCCTTTGTCCGTCTCTGCGAAAAAGTGCTACCTTCATTGACAGGGGCCATTGATGTGGGGAATCTCACACAAGAGAATGCACTGACAAATTTCGCTGCGGACCTTCTGCGAGCGCTCGCAGAAAGAGCCCTCGAACCTCTCCCAGCTGGGTTTGTTGAGGCCGTCATGCCTAAGCTGAATCGCCTGTTGTTGGATTCGACCGACGCGGAACTTATTCGCCCGGCAACCGAAGCTGTTAGGCATATGCTTTCGCACGACTTCAATCAATTCATCACGTGGCATGATCCACAAAGTGGAAAAGAGGCAACTGAAGTTGTCTTGGTGATTATCGATCGGTTGCTGGGTCCTGCCGTTGACGACAATGCTGCGACCGAGGTAGGACAATTAGCGGCTGAATTAGTGGAGAAAGCAGGATCAGAAAGACTTGGGCCTTATCTGCCACAACTTTTGCGGGCGGTCGCTCAGCGACTTGCCACTGCCGAGCAAGCCCAGTTCATCCAAAGCTTGATTCTCGTCTTCGCTCGGCTCACTCTGATCAGCGCGCGTGAAGTCGTGGATTTCTTGGCGCAGGTGGACATTGGAGGTCAGAGTGGACTCCCCATCGTGATAAGCAAATGGCTAGAGAACTCAGTCAATTTTGCGGGGTATGACGAAATCAAGCAGAACATTATCGCCTTGGCGACGCTTTACAACCTCGAAGACCCCCGGTTAGCACAAGTGCAGGTTAAAGGCGACCTTATTATACAGGACACCGGCCGCATTAAGACACGATCGCAGACCCGCAACAATCCAGATCAATATACGACTGTGACTGCCCCATTGAAAATCGTCAAGGTCTTAGTTGAAGAGTTAGCCGCAGCGTCAGGAAGCAAAGAGATCGATGCGGCCACGGCTGCAGCCCTTGAGGAAGAAGGCAGTGACGACGATGATTGGGAAGATCTTCCTAGCAACACCCTTGATCTCAGCCTTGGAGTCACTAAACAGGAGCTGATGGCGTTCGGAGAGGGTGGCACAGAGGGGGTGTTTGGTGTGCGCAAGCGTGATGACGAGACGCAAGCTTTCTTGTTAGACTTTTTCAGAAACGCATCCACCAAGCCGGAGTTTCAACAGCTCTTTGCGGCTTTGACGCCGGCCGAGCAGGACAAACTTCAGAGCTTAGGATGAGAATTGGACCACTGATATACAATGCAGGGACTTTGTGAAGGCCCACCCTTTCTCTCCTCGGTGGTTTGCTTTTCTGTTCTGTTTTTCGCGTAGCCTTTACCTCGCCCAACTTAAAATGTGGAAAATAAAGGCGTAGGGCTTCCTTGTACCTGCCTGTATGTAATTATTTCCATAGAATGTAGATGATGACGACTATGATCGTGGTGAGGCAGAATAGGGTTTACGGCTGCGATTGTGCGGGTCCGGAACACTGATTTGGTCAATTATTGCATATTAGAAAATTCGAATGAAGTGTACATACTTTGGAGTACGTGCATTGCATGAAAATTCGGCCCCCTACCAACACAGCGCAAAGGCCCATGATCTGCGCCGACATAACTATCCTGGTTAGGTAAAGGGCCGTCTGTGGCACAATGAGATGAAAACTAGCGTGATATTGTGGTTGCTCAACAGTGGCGCCAATTTAACGCTATTATATCTACTTACTACTACATACATGTTTTAATTGTGGTGACTGGTCTTGGCGCAGATGAATGATATGAGCTTTTGAGGGGTTATTCCATATTTTCCGCGCTAAGTTCCAATGATGCAATTACACGGAGTTGTACTCCGAGTATGTGAGTAGTACAGTGCGTAGTGCTACCAGTTCACCTTGAGCACTAGTATAGTAGGACAGTATGATCTGTTACCAATCGGAAACATCTCCTAGATCCATAATTGTTGGACTAGATATGCATGGTCTCCAATCCAACCCCTGTTGAGCCACACGAAGAACGAATAACCGCCTGATTTATTTTCCCAAGGAGTGCACCAACATGACTTGTCATATCATTTCTGGAACCATATAAACCTACCTCCAGCTTGCTTTTACTTAGAGACCTACCACCTCAGCGAACCGTGTACGACAGTTACAGTCAAGCCATGCAAGGTATATTTTACATCACTTAAGATGGGGGGTGGTACATACCAAGTTAAACTGTCAGTCGATCGGTACGATGTAGTAGAATTTCTGACGGGGACTAGGTACTAATTAGGTAGTATGCTCCAAGTCGGGCCGGGCGACGAACATCTGGAGTATGGAGAGTGATGATACCTTATGCACGTAAAGTAGGTACGGAGTAGTGCTACCTCATCCACCCGACAAAAGTGGCTGATCGACCGAATCCGCAGCTTTGATTGGCCTTTCCGGCGGATCCGGCTAATGCGGGGTTTCTAAGCTGTCGTATTTTCAAACTTGCCTCAGTATTCTACTTGTATGTACAAACGTATACTATAAATTATAGGACTGAAGAAAGACACAACTACTATGATAGAGGAGTATGATCATTAAAAGTAAAATCTGGACCAGACAAACTGAGTTTTGGCCGGATTGGCTAAGTGATTCCAGGCGCATCGAAGGTGTCAACCAGTTACACAAAGGGTTCGGCAGCATTGGCAGAGGACGAATCAATTTTCGGCGGACAATACCAAGCAATACCCCGAACCAGTGCCCTGGTGCCCTGGTGCACACCGCCACCGTCAGCGGACCCGACATCCTCTCTCTTGGGTCCAACCCCTGCTGCCGTAAGTTGCAATTTAGGTTTCCCTAATACTCTGTACCTTCTCTATATATTCACGGTTTACCCCTCTATATCGGAAGTGTCTCTTTTTTCTTCTTTGCTTTGGCTTTTTCCTTTCTTTCTTTCTATTCCTCTTTCTATCTCTCTCTTCTATATATAAATATTTATCCCATCTCTAATTTCATTTTCTTCCCCTTTTCGTATTTCCTTCGCATACTACTACCGAACGCTACATTTCCACCAAGCAACTATGGTGCATCCTAATCTTGACGAGCATATCGTAGTCGATGTGAGACACTTTCCCTCCCCGTTTCTGCAGCTTGAATTCCCCTTCCTTTCCGTTTTCCCTGCATCCGATGAATAACGTAAATATCTTCCGCGCATCATAAAATCCCCCAACCCTCTTTTTTTTTTTTTTTTTTTTACATTGGATGACTTCCCTACCCTTGAAAGAGCAATTGGCCTTAAATATACACCGAGAAATATATTATGCGCAGAATGTGACCAATTCCCGTATCATAAATGGTGTCAATCTATGTTTTGTTCAAATTTTGCATCAAATGTTCTGCCCGCTTAGGGTGATCCGGTCTGGGAATCCGGATCGCTCTGGACGAGTTTTTAACCCTCATGCCGAACCGGCGCGTGGTGCTTTCGAGCTCTCTACCACGGCCTCAAGAACGTTCATTGACCCCACAATAAGACTAGTGACGAAGACTCCCTCTGTGACGCCCAATCTATACTCGACTCCAACCTAAGTCTTCACTCCACAGTCCGAGACTACGAATATGAAAATGGCCGCCGCTACCACGCCTACAGAAACGGACAATATCCCATGCCAAACGACGAGGAAGAGCAAGACCGTCTAGCATTCATGCACCACCTGTTCAAACTTCTCCTGGGAGGCGCCCTATACCGCGCCCCAATAGAACAAGTCCAAACGCCGCAGCGCATCCTCGACGTCGGCACCGGCACCGGCATCTGGGCGCTCGACATCGCCGAGGACTTTCCTGATGCCGAGATCGTCGGCACCGATCTGAGCCCCATCCAGCCTAATTGGGCGCCCCCGAACTGCACTTTTCTCGTCGATGACGCCGAGAGTGAGTGGGCGTTCAGTCCGAGTGAAGCTTTCGATTATATCCACGTCCGCAGCTTGGGCGGCGGTATCTCCGATTGGAAGCAGTTTCTTAATCAGGCGTACAACAATGTCAAGCCTGGTGGCTGGGTTGAGATCCAAGAGTATGAGACGTGGTTGCGTTCTGATGATGGCACTGCTCAGCAGGCGTCGCAGCTTATGGATTGGCAGGATAAAATCGATGAGGCGAGTAAGAAGTTTGGACGGCCTATGAATGTTGCTCCTCATCTTGCTCAATGGATGGAGGATGCTAAGTTTATTAATGTGCAAGATGATGTTTACAAGGTATGTGAGAGCTCGTATTACTTACGTTTCGGGTGTTTTGCTTTTTCAGAACAGATATAACTGACAGAAAAAAGGCCCCTGTGGGTTCATGGCCCAAAAGTCACCGGTTGAAGGAAATCGGAAGAGTGGGCAAAGTCACACTGTACGAGGCTGTCGAACCGTATACACTAGCCTTGTTCACTCGGGTGCTAGGCTACACGCCCGAAAAGGCCCGGGAGTATGTGGACAAAGTGCGCGCGGAGCTCCTTGACGGTTCCCACCATATCTACGTGCTATACCACTATGTATACGGACAACGGCCGCTGGAAGATGAAACTAATGAACAAAGTATGAATATGGATATATAACGAAAATAAGTGACACGCATGTATAAGGAGTATCTTTGTCTATAATTTTTGTTGAATACCCTCAGTGTTAGCCAGAACGATTGGAGTACATAGGAACGTGAACATAGCAGATGAGCTAATAAAGAAAAAAATCTGCATCTTATACACTACTAAAAGATATACCACTATCCCTGAAGAGAGTAACCCACACCCTCACCAGTACCCATAGCCACCAAGTTAGCCCTCATCTTCTCCGCCCGCTCCCCAACCCCAAACGCAGCATCATCGCGATGGACCCAAGCTCCAACACCATGCTGCAAAACTGCTGTAGCCCGCACCTTCTTATCCGCCTCATTCCCAGACACGCCCTTCAACCCAATACTACCATGCAGCGTAAGTCTCGTCTCCTCCCCGCCCTCAGGCTTACCGCGATACACTCCACGATGCAGAATATTACTATCATAGAAAACCGCATCACCAGGCTGCAACTCCACAACCAACTGATTCGGCATATCCGGCTCATAAGGATCGGCCTTTCTCTCCGCCTCAGTCCTCACCCGGCGATGCGACCCGGGAACAACAATAAGCGACGCATCAGGGCAAAGCGCCAAATTATACTGCGCATGACTCTGCTTCCCTTGAGGACTCTTCGACTCCAACAAGTTGAGCTCCTCCTCCGGCCCCGCCGTCTCGGGAATATCATCGCGATGCCAGCGCAGCTTGAAATCCTTCGTCTCCGGCGCAACCAGTAAATTGAATAGCTCCATGACCAGGGGCTCCTCGCCGCCCTCGGTGCGCTTCACGCCGAGGAGCTCCTCCGCGACTGCGAGCACCTTCTCGGAGAAATAGAAGCGCGCGAATTCGGCCCGGCCCGGCATCTCGGGGTGCAGGAGGTGCTGCACACCCCAGATGCCGCCCTCCGAGGCGGGAGGCGGCGTTGTCGGCCAGGGGGGGAATTGCTTTGGTACGGTGCGGAAGTGTGGCCAGTGGCCTGCTCGGGTCAGGGTGATGGCTTTTGTGGATACGGCGCGGAACTGGGCGACTTCTTCGGGGGAGAGGAGGGAACGGACGACGACGAAGCCGTCGCGTTGGAGGGCGTCCAGATGGGGTGTTGATTGGACTGTCATTTTTTTTTTCCTTGTTTAGTTATACTCAAGTAGATGTTATTGTGTTGGTGTGTAGATTATTGGAATGAATTGACGATGGAAGTTGAAGTGGGGAAAGGCAAGAAAAAAAAAAAAGCTCATGGGAAAAGCTGGAGAAGAATCAAATTTTTATACATGACGATAACATAACAATAGATTTGTGTAGTATCTGAACATCCCATACAACTTCATTCTATTACCCAACAATGTCGTATACGGAATACTACGTCGGGAACAAGCCCCATACTACCCAGAATCCATGATCTTCGGGGGTCTCGTTTATATTTCCAGGAAATTCGGTCGTGACTCGGATCGGATTACCCCGCGGCTGCCCCAACTGATAGAGAATAAAGCGGGGTTTCTTTGCGTTGTTCGCGAAGTTCCACTCAAAGTTACACTGCGGCCGTGGATGGTTACATACGTGTGTGGTATGATTATGGATGGACCTACCTATTACTTTCTAGTAAGGATTTTCTTTTTCTCGTTTATCTTGTTTAATATATAAAAAGAGTCAAGGTTTCCATTGCTCCGGATGATTGCATTCTTAAGCTCCGAGGCTTATCCAGAGCCTAATCCTGATTAGGTATGGTGTTTTAACCTTGGGAAAAAGCAGCGAGTAAAAAAGGGTAAAAATAATATTAATACAAGCATATCGAAGAAGCATGAGACATCCCTACAACACTCGTACATGTCAAGGAAAAGCTTCGATCAATTCCCCCGGCCTTCTCTCTACCATGCCTCATTCAGGTCAAACCGCAGTCGGATTTTTATTCACAATGTCAGACGGCACTCCCAACTGTACCCACTGACCTGAGAAATCCACAATCGCCAGGAGCATGTCTGCCGTTCAACAAGCACCTTCAATAGGTCTGGTCACCCACTTGGCAGATCACTTGTCATTACGGCTCCGTGACTGTAGGTCTATGAAGATAAGGGAACCCCTTAGGTACCATCCCCTCGAAAGCCTCTACCGACACCCCCATCGTAGCAGCCATGCTAGCTTTGGTCCGCCTGTTAGTTTCATCTCCGGCGTGTCTATCTTTGTAGAACTCCAACGTGCGAACCAACTCCGTCCTGGAGAACACTTCAGAGTAATCATTGACTCTCGCATCAGACGACCTGACCACCGCAACGTCACCATGAATGTCCCCGTTGAAGCACCGACTCACAAGTGGGTTCCTCGGTGTTTCTGTCTTCTCATACTACTGGTAAACATGATAATGCCAACGATCAACAGGTCTGTGGGAGAAGAATTTGCCTGGTTCAAGAATGCCACCTCACCTGGCTCTTTTCTTCAACTCCGTCAGTTCGGCAGACCAATCACCGTATGAGTCCAGGGGCATCGGTTTAATATAGTCCGCATCGGTGGGATTCTCTTTCGCCGGGTCAATGGGAGCGGTGCGGATGAGGAAACAGCTGTACTTTTTTGCCCCCGTGCACGCATTTTTGTGTGTTTCTAATAGTCTTTCTGGCATGCTGAAGAGCAGTATGCTGCTAGTTTGCAACCTGTGCAGCGGTGCGTGCCTGGGTTTTGCCAACTCGTTGAGGAGCAGCTCGGCATGTCCCCTTGGGTTATCATTTTTGTAGTGTACCAGTCGGTTGAGTAGAATAACATCTACTTGGCTTGAAGGTGCAATGACTGGATTTTGGGATCAGTGCGTCTCCTATTCGGAGGACACATTTTTTAGGCGGTGAAAGAGTTCAAGATCATACAATACAAAGAACAAAGCGAAGTTGGGCATGGCTGAAACCCTAGCGTGAAGCTGTTGTGACGGTTGTTTTACAAATGATTCACATATGCTCAGTCAAACAAAGGACGACAAGGCCCGGATAACTGTCATGAAAAGAGAATATTTGCATTACCGAACTAGATAATATTTTAATACATATTGAAGGTTTTTGTGGTTTTTACCCATCTATACCTAGTATACTCTGTAAGCATGGTTTTCTTGAAGGCTAAGTTCAGGTACAACGGAAGTACTTAGCCGAGGATCGCTTGGTCAGCGTGCCTCCGATTCAAAATATCGATCCCATGCATATCATTGCCATTATTTGATGATTATGAGTCAATTTCAATCGACCGGGTTCCACTTTCCATCTTCCGAGAATGAAGATCCATGAGCAGTGACCAATATGGGATGTTAGAGATCGTGGACTAAGAAACGTTGATGCTCGCTTGTTTCGATAAATACGCTAACGTATGGTTTGCCGCGATGATATCAGCTGAAATATGGAGCCCCGTATTCGACTGTATATTTACGGTGTTGGCGAACAGACTACAGAGGGTTCGTACAAGTATGTAACATAGTATGGTATGATGGATACAGTGGTTCGGTCTGTAAATTACCCATCCATTTAACCCCTCCTCAGGGCCCCAAGGCTACTAAGAGTGGTGCCACTCGATTAGCCCCATATACCAAGGAGCTACCGAGAGGAGGTCCTTTTAGAGTGCTTTAGTGCCCCATATTTATCCTTGGTCGAGGTTTGTCAGCTTGTCACTTACTTCGGAGTATTCTCTTCCACATTAAAAAATACTCGTACCTGCTGTAATACGGACCCGAAAAGAGCCCTTAGCGTACAGTACTGAGTACAGAAGCTACTGCACGGATCGTCAGCCTCACAAAGCTCAGCCAGCCTCTAATTCCGTAGGGAACCCTTAATGGTTATCTGATGCTGGTGGCGGGGCTGGCTCTGAAATCATCAGGAAAGACTTTGTCACTCTGCCGTGTGTTGTAGATCAGAACTAGCCAAAAAGGAAAAAACCAAGAAATTTTCCTTTCTTAAAGCTGCAAATTATTTTCGTAGAGCGGACCTTACATTTTCTTCTCGTAAAAATTTTTCCACACGCAATTGGGGAACAAAGACTCCTATTCAGCTGTTTGTGTCTTTTGACTTGCTCCTGTGAGTCTGTGACGCCAAGCGCTTAAAGCTTATCTTTCCCTCTCCTCACATTTTACCCCTCCGCGGATATTTTTCCTTCAGATTTCACAACGTCAACTACAGACCTGCAGCCATATTAACGATGGCGTCAGGGATGAATATGGGCTTCAATGCCCTTCTTATTTTATGTGTTGTGCTCGTCGTGCTTCCCTCTCAAGTCCAGGCATTCGGTGCTGGCAGTATGTGACCTCGGCTTTGTCGGTTTCCCCAAAATTATACTCTGTCATCTGACATGATTAGATATCGCTTCGATCTCCACCGTTGAGGGCAAGAACTGGCGCCATGGCGATATTGAAGATATGCTTAAGACCGTTGCCTTCATCAAAGGCCATAAGTGGACTTCCACCATGATCAAGCGCGTCTATTTTGGCAACTGGTTGCGTGATTAGTGGGTCGCACCTCTTACGAAGCTATCTGCTGCACGCGTTAACCCTCTATAGCTCCCAGGCGATGGACGTCGGCACCCTCAAGAGTGTTCAAGCTGACACCATCCGAATCCTTGTCTGGATCCTGTCTTTCATGACTTTCGGATATGCGACGGCGGAGTTTGAGGTCACATCTGACAGGCTCGGAACTTATCGTCCCGAGGAGCATATTGAGTTCGTATATCTCTCTATGTATATGAAATTGTGTATGGCTAATGCTTCTTCACAAGCAACCCAAAGGACTATGCCGACAACCAAGATGCACGTCAGTACGATTCTCGGCTGCGTGGCCCGGTGCGTCAAATTGAGCTCGATATCGATCCCGATACCGGCATGAAGAACTATATCGCCAACGAACGAGGTGACTGGTCCACGAGTTCTGGGTATATCAAATACAGTTTGGCTCGTAGTATCCATTACGGAAGGCTGTATAGCAGGAACGGTAACGAGGAAGACCTCTGCGAAGCTTTGCGGTGCCTCGGCCAAGGACTCCATACTCTTGAGGACTTTGCAGCACACACGAACTACTGCGAACTTGCGCTTCGTGAGATGGGCTTCCGTAATGTATTTCCACACACCGGCAAGCGGACTGAGATGAAAGTTCAGGGTCACCGTGTCTACCCTCTCGTAACAGGAACATTCGGTATGGTTGATTTCTTCCATTCCATGCTTGGAGAAGCGACCGATCACTTCACCCAGTCAGAAGTCAATGAAATGGATATTGCTCTGGGAGATGCACAGTCAAATACATCTTCCGGCTCTGCTAGCGCCTTGACAGCACTGCTCGGCAAGGTCCCAGGTACGAGGGACCTTGTTAACGAAGCTGAGGAGCTCAGGCGTCGCTCAGACGAGCAAGAATCGAGAAACAGGCACGGCGGTCAACGTTCAGGCTATTCAGCCCGTGGATCTACTCGATCCCGTGACGACTTCGACACAGGCAGCAGCCGAGGCTTTGGCGGCGAACAAAGCAGGTCTGCCAGAGCTGATGATTCCAATCAGGGTTCTTCGGGCGGACTGCTTGACTTCGATGCAAGCAAGACCATTGATCAGATATACCCTATCCTACAGTTCAGAGATAATGTCGTGCGGAAGCTCTCATCCATCATTGAGAATATCCCCGGTCTGGAAACACTGGTCGAGACGATCACTGAAACTCTGACCGTTTTTGTCATGTCTCTATTGGCGCCCTTCGTTCGTCCTATCATCAACGCCGCCTCCAAGCAGCTCCAGGCTGGCTCCTCTAGCGTCATTGATGCTTCTGGCCAACACCAGTATGAACCATGGACTGACCCTCACTGCACCGACCCTACCCACTCCTTACTGTCCAAGGATCACTTCTCCAACATTCTCAATGAGCCAGCTGGTCAAGTCGCTTCTGCCATTCTAAAATATGTCGCACCTCGCGTCCTGTACGCTTGGGAAAACACCAACATCTCCGAGCGGCAGGTTGTGGAGGATTGCCTCAAAGTATTCCATCATCCCGCTCTGAGGGATATGCGCAATGAAGCACATCGGACCATGTACGAAGCAGTCGAATCTTGGGTGCAGTCGAGGCCGGATCGTGGCTCTGAACTGGACGATATCCTCAGTGCCGAGGGTGTGAAGGCAGGAAAGAACCAAACAGGAGAGGGTGGCCACTCCCATGGGCACGGCCATAGTCACAGCCATGCAGCTCAGAAGCCCCATAATCAGTCAGGACAGTCACAGTACCGCCCACCCCAACAGCAGGAACAGCAAAACCTGTCTTCCCCCTTCGACCAACTTTCCAGCCTTCCCATTCCCGGTATATCTAAGCTTAGCAGCGCTTTCTCTAGCTTTGGACTGGGTGGCTCCTCGAGGAGTGACGAGACTTCGCAGCAGACTACACCTCCACCTGAGCCTCAGTATCAACAACACCATCAGTCTTACCATGAAGTATCTCATCAACGCCAAGACTATGAATCTCGCCACCAAGGCTACCAGTCGCATTACTCCGGGGGCGATTATAGCAGCCATAAGAGTCACCAACACGGTCATGGAGGTGGAAAAAGTGCAGACTACTACAATGAATCATCGTCCAGCCATGGATACGATGATTACTCTGAATCTCAAGGACACAGCCAACGTCGCCATCACAACAGTCATCAGAGTCATGGCGATGATCAAGGTTATAACTCTAGATATAACCTAAGATCCAGGGAAAGCCACAGACCAGACTACAGAGAAGGGTATGACTCTGAATATAACCAAGGCTCTGGGCAAGGCTACGGACAAGGACATGGCGGCGGATATGGCTCCGGTGGATCCCGTTGGTGATCCTGAATCATGAAGAAATGCTCTGTATTGCTTCTCTTGTAGTATTTGGGGTTAGTAGGTGTTAGAGTAGGGGTAAGTAGTTTACCGGCTAAGTGGAAAGGCATGTGGCGGTCAGCTTTGTGATTGAATCAGCGCAGTTAGTAGCAGGCTCAGATGTGGGTCCACGAGAATGAACAAATTAATTTTGTTTATTCGAAAATTAAGTATTTTATACTCCTATCTCATATACCGGGTAATAGAATCCAACTAATAAAACAGAGCTCCTGTCTCTTTATGTGTCCTCTCAGAAATGACCTCGCTGTTGTTCTGGAATCGGTGTGAGTAGCTTGCCATTGCTCAGGGCAATCTCTATGTTCCGCAAAGTCAATAACTCCATCTCACGCTTAGTCTCGTGTGTCGTCGTTCCAATATGAGGTAGAATCATAACTCTGCTGTTATGTAATAGACCCGGGTGGATAATTGGCTCGTTTTCAAAAACATTCAATCCAGCAGACGTTACCTTGCCGGTTTGCAACGCTTCTACTAAGATTTACTTCATCAAGTAACGAGCCTCTTGCTGTATTGATAATAACCACGTCATCTTTCATTCTCTTGAACTCGGCTTTTAAGATGATATGTCGAGTTTTCTCTGTGGCCGGTAAATTAAGGCTGATGATATCTGAATATCGCAGAAGTTCATCGAACGGCTCATATTCGGCGTCTCCTGTTTTTGACTCAGTCCGATGTACTGCTGAAGACTGAGAAGAAGCAAATATCCCTATCTTCCTTATCTCTAGGGAGCTTGGAACGATTATGATAGATTATTTTCAAGCCGAATGTACGAGCCCGATGCGCAATAGCCTGCAATCATTTAAGCCAGAAGCAACCACATATACCTGGTTCCAACACCCACCTGTCCAATAGCACCCATCCCCAGCACCCCAAGCACCTTGCCCCCGGGGTCACGGCCTAGAGGTGTATCGCCTTTCCATTGTCCTTTCCTAATACATACTAAAGGTATCATAGCCTGGCGCAACACGCCCAACATCAAGAACATGGCCACATCGGCCGTGGCATCCCCAACAACATTCGAGGTATTAGAAATCTGTATACCCCGTTCATTGCAAGCTTTTATATCCATCCCGTCGTATCCCGCGCCATTAAGACAGATAAACCTCGATGTTGGCGGCAGGGCGTGAATAAGCTCCTTGTCGAATGGCCCAGTCTCGGGTGTTGAATTCGTTCAGTAAAGTGCTGCAACCCCATCCCATGTTACAGATTGACAGTTCTGTAAGAATCGCTGTCGATTGCCTGTGAACTGATGTGCTTTGTATTTGGTTTGGAGTTTGGATCATTCACCCGTGCAATGATAGAGTTTGCCGATCAGGAGTACACTTGGTTTTGGTCGGATTGATGCTGCTATGTGTTTGGCGATGGTTGCCATATTGTTCTCTGTGTTTTGCTTTCTGGGGTATGGTTCTGTATGTGATCAAAGACGGGTGTTAGACATCTTTACTGGGGTGTAAATACAAGCTCTCCTTGCTAATAGCATGGCGTTATGGCGTTCGGCAGAGTGGTCGGCGAAAGTTGCCGGGGCCGAGGCCAACATCCCTGCAGTGCCTGTCCTAAAGCTATGGCTGAGTAGACTTGATAGTAGCCTGACTTGAGAGAATTTTAATAATATAATTATGTAGATATATAATTTCTGTTTATTTTCTCATTTATTTCTTTCCTCATATATAGGTAAGAGCTAGACATAGATATCCACATCTAATCCATATTGACCAGGTAAGGTCTTCCAGTTACCACCCCGGCAGTAATATGCTTAGTTCATAGGTCTGCCATCAGTACATTCATGTTTCTGGGCCTTTTGCAGAAACAGCATTGTAGTCTATCGTAAGAAACTTGATGGCTCTGCCTACGCCAATCATCCATACAAGATCAAAACCCAGCAGCAAGTATGGCTTTTCATAGGGCTAAAATCGGGCCGGGCCGCTACAAACAGAAGCAGGTCATTGGGTTAGATTAAGTTATCGTATAGAATGGTCTATAAATATAGTAAATAACTACCCCGTGTTTCAATTACTTTCGATACACTGGCATCTTGCATTCTCATTCGGGCTGTACCCTTGCGTGATGCACGTCAGCCACAGCCGTGCGACTACTAGTAACTACGACCCGATTGTGATGATAAAAATACAGTCCAATAAGAAAGCGTGTAGGAATCTTGATAAGTCTGTATTTGGTTGAATGCATAATTGCATTGTACAAAGTATGGCTCGCGTGGGTCGCATAATCCCCGGTCGTCACGGGCTCCTTCCTATTATTGATGCGGCGCAGTGACTTTGCATGAAAACCCCCCAGTACATTTTAGCGCCCTCAGAATTCCTGGCCTCCATTTCCAAACACACCATCGACTATTCTCCTGGACTACTCGAGGGTTCTTAGCAAGCCAGAGCTTATCATCTCTAACCGCAATTGTTTCAGAAGGCAAGGCTGTGGCCTACATTCTGAAAAGACGGCCATTCCTCGAATCGGCATCTGTTACAACTACCATATATGGTGCAAGACTCCTAATATGACGAGGCCTCTAGCACCACTAGAATAGATGCTAAAGTAGCGCTTGACAAGGGTAACGAGGCTATGTTGTATTTCGCAATCCACTTAGTGGTGCGGGGAATCCTCAGGCAAGGCACCCTCGTGGTTATTTAAGATCCCATAGAGTCTCATATCCTGCTTCCATCTTCTGTAAAATGCTACATAACACCGATAACTGCGATAAAGAAGTAAAGACTGATAGTCATTGTCCCAATGTCAACACCTTATATTTTCAAGGGTTCTTCCCCCCAAGCATCCAATCTTTCTACCCAAGACTTCAACTTCAGTGCCATTATACCTTCCGTGGAAGTCGCGGACGAGGATCCTCCTTCATCAATAGGGGGTGAACGGACGCCTTCCGCGTCGGACTCTGAAGACTCCAGTCACCGCGCTTACACTCCAAGCCAGAGCACGGCGACTCCTCGTCACCGTGAAAATCTAAGCTTGGGTGTCACGGAGCCTTTGCGAGCGTTAAATCTCCAAGGAACTCCTACATCGCATCGGACACCTTCATGGAGGCATGATTCTCGGCGACAGAGTACTGGTCTATCCCCAGGCAATTCCACATCCACGTACGGGCGCTTGTTCAATGCGACGCCTGAGCCCACACCAGAGCCATCACGGGTACAGCCTATTCTGAATCGCGATTCAGTCGTTGACGGCTTAGCAAGCGATTTAGAGGATTCTCATCTGCATGATGGAGGGCCACCAAGTGATGACAGCGACCAATTGAGCGAGGACGGCGACGACGCAGCAGACAGTGACGACTCTTCCTTATACAATGTGCGATGCGAACACTTGCCTCGTGCCCCTATATACAATGCTGGCTTACAGGAAATCCTGCGAGACATCAAAACCCAGTTATCAGTCCTCCAAAATGATATGGACCTATGCCCATTATCTCGTGACCACGATTCTGATCTCTTTCAACTGCGCGAAAAGGTGCGCATGTTGAACAAGCTCGACTGCCCCGAGACGCGCACGGTGGGGTTCATTGGAAACTCCGGGGTCGGCAAGAGCAGACTGATAAACTCTCTACTAGATCAAGAAGGCCTTGCCCGTTCAGTAGGTTCATCCTCCCTGGGGAGAGATTATTTATGTCAATAATATTCTGACAACGTATGCATAGAGTGGTGATGGTGCTGCATGTACCTCGGTAGTTACCGAGTTTCGACACACAGATGCGCGCCATCCAGATCGTTATTCCATCGACGTTGACTACATGAACGAGGAAGAAGTGAAGGAGCTGCTAGAAGAGCTCGTTCAGAGCTTTAGAATGTATTACACCGAGCTCTACCGCGAAGTTACTAGCATAGAAGAGCAGGAAAGAATCCGTGACCGGTCAACCAGAGCATGGAGCACCCTGAATTCACTCTTTAGAGACCGGCCGGGGCTTACACACGAGTTCCTTTCCGATCAGACTGACGGTGCTTTGTCTAGAATATTGGAGCAGCTTAAAGATTGGGCAGCTCAATCATGTACGCGACGCCCTGGGGGTGCGGCGCTTCAGCACACCATTATTCCGGGTAGTGTCCAAGAATGCAGATCTCATCTTGATATGCTTACAATGGACCCACGTGGTGAGAGTGAGGTTGCCATCTGGCCCTTCATTAAACTGATCAGGTATGTGCAAATTGCGCAGTTCTACTTTACGACTAACATTTTCTAGGGTATACCTACGGTCGCCTGTCTTGAAGACAGGATTGGTGTTGGCCGACTTGCCTGGTTTGTCCCCTATCTCCTACATTTGAATTTTCTATACACTAATACCGAAAACTAGGCTTTCGTGACCTGAACTTCGCCAGAGTTCGGGCGACGGAAAGGTACCTCAGGCATTCATGCCACGAGGTTTTCGTCGTGACGACAATTTCTCGGTGCGTTTCCGATCAGAGTATTGAAGAAATAAAGAGGCGCTGTGCCCAAGGACAACCATTGCGTATAGTATGCACACGCAGCGAAGTACGGCCATCTTATGTTGATATGCTATTACTGGAGATCAAGTGCTTACGTGACTCAGGAAGTAAATGCAAGCGAAACGGCTCGCGACTGCCGTGACCTTACGGCGCAAATCGAGCAGCTGCAGAACAGGCTTAAGCAAGTCAATAAGCAGCTCGCGAGGAAACGAAGCTCTAGGCATAGACACGCTGAGGTATTACAACTCATGTGAGTCTTGCCTTGCATTGCAGTTGTACTCACACTATTGATTCAATGCTAACGTGAGTCAATGTAGGGAAAATCATGAAGACGCAAAATTTGAGTACGTTATAGAGCTCAATGGAGACATGAGAGGAAAGATAAAGGCATCACTAATATTCTTATAGGCTTGACCGGTTTCTGGTTGAGAGCCGAAATCTGAGGGTCACAAGACAGTTACTTCAAAACCACGGTGCTGAAGTCCGGGTCTTTTGCGTCAGTAACGAATGGTATTCCAAGTACCGCCAGGATGCAAACAGACACGCCGACACCTATATCGGGCTAAGCGGTATCCGGGAACTTCGTCGTTATTGTCAATTAGTTCCAGCAGAGGCTCAGTTTCGTTTTACAGCTGCGTTTATAGAGCATCGGGTGCCGGCTGTTGTGAGATCCGTAAAGCAATGGGCCCTTGCGGGTTCAGATGATGTAACCGCAGAGAGAGCCGATGCACTTCGGCAAGTATTACGGGATGTGGAGAACGTTTTTCGCGAGGTAAGAGCATCATATGCGAAACTGCATCCGGCTGACATAGAGTAGCGGCTTATCCTTCGAAATTCAGAAGTTCGAGAGTTTCCAAGAAGACTTGAAGATCGGTTTCGTGACGAGATCTTCGGTGTGACGTGTGAGTATTCTGCCAAAGGGTCAATTAGTACATTGACTAACAGTTCTTCATTGCTGTAGATGAGTGCTGCCCCTTGTGGAAACGCAGCGCATTACAGGCTAGCGGGGGGTGGGAGCGTGTAAGTTTATGAGTTACTACTGAGAATCATCATGAAAACAGCCTAACATATCGCAGTGGCATCATAGTACATATTCTGCTTTTTGTCGCAATTATGGAACGCATTCTACCCCCGGTGCTGGTGGTTACCATTGTTGGAATGAGGAATTGCTCGAAGGCATGCAAACCGACCTCGAAGCACGCTGGGCATCCATACAAGAGTGGGTCTGTATGCAGAAAACTGTATTAAAAGAGACTGTGAGAAGAACATTTGAGGAGAACACAGCCCAAATAGAGGGTATGCGGTATCAGCCAAACCCTCTAGCTGAGTGTTCCACTAACCCACCCTAGATATAATGCACCTAGCTCCCCTGGCTCTGGAAAACTTCATCGACAACATGGACGACTGGGAGAACTGCGTGATTGCAGCTATTAACCAGTCTATAGATCAATTACTCCAAGGGTTAAGGTAACACACCCTCTCCTGCCAACTGTACAAGCATCATGAATTAACCTCAGTGTGTACAGTCGGATAGAAACAGACACTCTCCATGGCCATGATAGCTCCTATATTGCAGGTTTAATGCGACCTGCGTATAATAATTGCAACAGTGAATCAGGTTCGGAATCTTCCTCGTTAATATGATTTTGTCTCATGTGTTATATACGAAAGCAAGCTAATTTTGATGCAGGGAGAGGGTCTGATTCTCGACGGAAAATGCTGATGCATAGCTACCTCACGAGCTCGAACATCTTCCCAAACCTCGCTAATATCAGCGAAAGCCAATGCCGAGCCATTGTCAGAGAGATTTGCCAGGAGATGAAGCACACGTTAGATGAGCAAGTAGGCAATATTTGTGACGATCTTCACTGTATAATTGCTGAAGAGGGTGAGGTTACGGAGGCAAGGAGGTTCCCTGAAATGGCGAGTACACTGCAATTTAAGGTCGATGCAGCCCAAGCGACCCTCGAGCGTGCACAGAGGATTGTGGACGGATTGAAGAGCCAACCACAGTGATGTATAGCTTTTTCGGATGATGTCGGTTATATTTTTCCTACTTTTTATAAGAAATGTCGTGTATATCCAGAAGCTCAAGCAAAGTCTCTCCAGTCTTCTTAGAATTATTGAGGTTATTTGAAATCATTCATGTCAATTACAAGATTATCCCCCTTACTTGAAGTAATATAGAGCCTATCTTTACTAGTCTTACGAATCCGCGACATCACTGCCCTGAGCCGGTATCTCAATCAGCCCTCTCTTCTCCTTCGTCCTCCACTGAACTCCCTTCAGCAGATTATATAAAACAGACAGGGTTGGCATAGCCACTCCATTAGCACGACCGACCCGAAGCGGTTCTCCAACAATACTCTCGACCTCGACAAGATTGCCCTATCACAGACCGTCAGCAAAACAACCACTAAAAATAAAGGAATCAACAAACCTTCCAAACATCCTCCAACATACTCGGAGGCAGATACATAGTCACAGGATAAGCCTCAATAACCTTCTCACAGACATCCTCCGGCAAATCCACCCCGACAGACCTCGCCGCCGCCCGAATCTCCTCCATCGCAGGTCTAACAAGCATCTCAACCGCATCACCCGCAAGCCGAATACGCCCTGTATCCAAACCCGTAAGCGCACAGATCGGATTCAAACACGCATTTAAAACCAACTTCCTCCACCGACTATACGCCACATCGGGTCCAAATATACACTTCGTCTTCCCAGCCGCAGAGTACAACCTGACGAAGCGCTCTGCGGCTGCCGCTTCAGCCCCAACATCCAAATTAGGATTCCGGAATGCACCAATGACCAGATCATCCGCGGACCCGTGCTCAATCACCCCCGGTGAAACCTCATGCGAATCGATCATGCTTATACCCGAGAGGACAATGGTCTCAGGGAAAGCGGCTAAATAGGGCTTTTCAATATTCAATCCGTTTTGGATCAGCACGATCACAGTGTGGCCTGGCGTTACGGCCGGCTTGATCAGATCGACTGTTGACGGGGGACAATCGGTGATGACTTTTGTGGTGCAGACTATGTAGTCATATTTTGGGGATTCGGGTGTTGTCTCGCGGATGAGATTTGTTACTGATTTATGACATGATTAGCGGGGATATACTATAGAATTGGGTTTGGGGATAACAGTTCGTACTGGTGGTTGGCTTCCATCCTTTTAGAACTCCGTGGTCGCAGGATGTGATGTTGAAGCCGTTAGATAGTACGGCTTGGTAGTTTGAACGTAGGACGGCGGTTACGTGGGCTAGTTGGCCTGCTTCGAGGTTTAGGGCTGCGATTGTGCCCACGCCGCCGCTGCCGATTAGGAGGATGTTGGCTTTGGGTATTGACATGGTTTCCTTTTATTGGTTAATTGGTTAGTTTGTCTGTTGCAGGAGGGACTTGGGGATCTAAGGGCAGTTTAAACTGGTGGTGAGGGGGATGTACAGGTGTATCTCCAACTTGGTGTGGGGAAATTAGTCAAGCATACGGAGTACTTAGTGGGTGATTATATAGGCTAAATTATGGCGGGCAGCGGGGGCTGTAGAGACTCTGAGAATCATCATATCTTAAAATCATAATAATATGATGAGGTCTTGAAATGCTAGTAATTAGGGGCTGTCTATTTAGATAATTGTCTTACTACTGGCGAAAAATCTTGGAGGAGTTTGGTAGTAACTGAAGTTCCTAGGGTTAGCGTTACATACCCTCCAAGTTATATTTAGACACGAAGAGCAGGCTCGAACAGGCAGTATATCTAGAAATTATACTCAGATATAGTCGGCAAAGCTGTATATATTCAATCCATGTTTGAATGACTTTGCTCTGGTCCTACCCTAGAGGCAGAGAAAATGTTGCATCAACACCAACAACGGATAAACACCACTACTGCCTAAGGTCGAATTGAAGATCTCAGCTTTCCAGCTTCATTCCATATGACAATTACGAATCCCTTTAAATTATTCCCCATAAGGATCTTCACTACCTTGTCGGATTGCTCGGCAAGGTCGTTTGGAACCCTATAAACCACAATGCCGGGAAGTGACCCGACAGGAATTTCATCGATAGTTCTCTGCAATGCCACGAGGTCCGAGAGGAATCTTGTCTACAGTGATAGACCTGCTCTAGCCTGAATCTATAGTACGCCATTTGCTGGAAGGTAGACAATAGGAAGCTAATATATCCATGGCTTGCGAATGTTTATATATATCCGTTGTCCCCGTACGCTACAACGCACCCAGAGGATGGAATGCTCTAATTTAGATATCTACTAAAGTAGATATTTAGAATATAGCTGGAAGAATTCCCAGTGAAAGGAACATCTTCTTCACCTCCAAACCTGGGCCTTCCATGTCTCCGATACCATGTATCATGTACTTGGATTAGGGCTGCAGGATTTTTGCTACAAGCCACTGCTCATATACCAAACTAATCCTCCCTGCCTTCAACAAAAGCCGGGCTAGCTCAATCGGTAGAGCGTGAGACTCTTAGTCATCACGGTATCTCAAGGTTGCGGGTTCGACCCCCGCGTTCGGCTTTCCTTTTTGCATCCTCCACATGCTATTGTGACTTTTTTTTTTTTTGGATCAAATTCTGATCTGAAGGTGTTGAAACAGCAAGGGTTCGGTTCAGACTCTGATTGGTTGGCTACTGTGGGGCGGAATGGCTGCAAGCGGGTAGACGGCATGAACCCCATCAAAAACTTATGCAGCCCTATTCAGGGTGCAGAACTAATGTCGACTGGGAGAATTTCCCTTTCTCAATGTGTTTAATTTGAGGAAATGTCCAATCCATACCCTTGTATACTAGGGCTGTGTGTCTAATCTTTCTATTAGCACGTCTTTGTATGAACCGCAGTTTCTACTGATCAGAGCTTTTTTTCCCATGCCGTTGAACATGCTCAAGGCAAATTAATAACCTGCCTCCTACATGAAGATAGATCGGTTTCACTTCGTGGAGCTTACATAGATCTGTAAAAGCCTTTAACTGTTTCTGCACGGTCGACCATTACATAGTGAGACAGCTTAGCAGAGTCGGCTCTGTCATGGACCAACATCTAAGCCCTGACACCACAAATCGTGACTTACCGCCCCTTTGGATGAGTTCTGAGCTCCTTTTGTCCTCCAAGATTTGCTGCGACAAACCATCATAATGGGCATCCTCCATAGACCCTTTAAACCATTGAACCAGTTTCCTAACAGACAAAGAATTATGAAAATGTCTGTTCTGGGCCAAGGGGTTTTTCATCGTTTTGTTGGTTCGACGAATACCCATGGACCTAACGCAACAAGGAAAAACCTGTTCTGCTATACTTCCGGCCGTTGGCTATACGATGAGCACAGTCAACTGAGTCGATAAAATGTTGAGTTCAACGTCCAAGCACTCTAGGCGCATGCCTCTCAGGTGCTCGGAACTAGATCTTACCCTAACCTTGACTTGCTAACCAACGAGATATTATCATTATAGCTTCGTAATGTGCTTGATATTCCAGTCCCTAACGTTCTGACCTGGAGCTCACAATCACCAGAGTTGAATTCAGTGGGTACAGAATACATCCTGATGGAGAGAGCGAATGGCCGCCAGCTGAGCGATGTTTGGGCCACTCTGTCCTAAAAACAGCGCTTTGGCTTGGTGAAAATCTTGGTAGAAATCGAGAAGAAATTTGTAAACACTACATTTACAGGTCATGGCAGTCTATATTCAAGACTACACGCCCTCACGGTTATGATGCCGTTGACCAGACCCAGCTGCCTATGCTAAAACAGGAGGCAGCATCAAGGTTTGTTATTGGCTCAACAACCGAGCGTTCTTTCTGCGCTGATGAAAGACAAGAGCAAGGCGTGAGGGGTCCATGTACGTGCTTCCGCGACGCTGCATTCTGGCTTCCCCCCCTGGTATTTGCTATCCATTTCTAGGTAGTAGTACACTAACCTTAATCTGCAGGGCGAACGGTAGAGGAGTATCTTGCAGCAGTTGAGCGCCGTGAGATATCACTAATCCAGAAGTCCGCAACCCACAAGCCCAAGGGTGTTCCAGCGACTGTAGGAAGAACGCAGGGCGCAATAAACAACCATACTCGACTATTGGAGAAGTTCATAACGCTTTTGCCCTATATCATACCCTACGGGAGAGGTTACCAGGCCCACTCTTATGCACCACGACCTTCATCTCGATAATATCTTTGTTGACCCGAAGGATCTAAGGACGATATCCAGTATAATCGATTGGCAAGCGGTTTATATTGCCCCACTCTTCTTACAGGTCAGATTCCCCTCGGCCTTTGATTGTGACGACCCTTACCCATGGGGAGCGATCCAGCCTGAACTACCCGATAACTTTGACACTCTTTCACCCACAAAAAAGGAACTCGCCAGAGAATCACATGAAAGACTGCGATTGAAGAAGTTTTACGAATTGGCTTCAAGGAAATTCAACCCGCTTCTTGTAAAGGCTGTGGATGCCATGCAGAATGATGACGATCCTGCCTCTTATATTTTCTATCATATCGGGCAATCTTCATCTGATGGTGCAGTGCCCTTAAGGGAGCTTCTCGTCCAAATCTACGAAAACTGGGACCAGATCGCGAAGAAAAAAAGGATTAAGAATGCAGTGCCCAATATTATCTACTGAAGAGGAAATCAGGAACGGACGGCGCCAGGGAGAAGAGTGGTCAATAGCTTTCAATGAATACGAAAACCTGCGAGCTCAACTTCTCGGGAAGGATGGGTGGGTCTCCAACGAGGAATATGACGAAGCGATGCCAATATATCAGAGTCACAAAGATGATTTAGAGGCCCTTCGACGGTGGTTAGAGCAGTTATCATAGCAGCTGCTTTGACGAAGCAACATGGAACAACCAGGAATTCTGAGCAAAAGCTGCGGCAATAATGTATATTAGTGTTCTGGTTTAGCAGCATTGACATTGACGGAACGACATAACGGCTGGAGACCCCCTTAGACACGCCTAGTCAATACTCTAGATAGACGCCAACAACTTTAACATTTTTTCCATGTCACTCAAAGAAGGCCCCGGCCCCCTTCCCCCAGAGAAAAGTATTACCCAGATGAAATACCTACATCACCTCGAATGATGGGAACCGCGGGGCTCAGCATCTGCCTCTCCCCAAATGCAAGGGCATTCGTGTGAGTGAACGCCGGAAAATCATCTACTGTGGATCAAGAAAAGACGAAACGGATGATTTTCGTCCCAACAGATATTGATTGACTAGACCTTGTCACTAGGCACCGTATTTCCTTGTCAGAGTAGTCGCATGCCGCAGGATATGCATCATGATTTCGAGTAGAATTTGTTGGCAGTTTGCGTCATATGCCGAGGATTTTCCTTCTGACGTGTTTTTTAGCCGATTCATTCCTACACTGAATGTGACTGGGTGGTCATTGGGGAGGAGTACAGAAACATATGTTAGATGACTGAGGTCAGCATTTACAGGGGAGGATTATACATTATATTCTTCTCTATCATTTCTAAGTGCATCCATTGTGAGAAAGCGCTTGTACTGTTCCTAAATCTTAGAAATGGAAGTTAGTGGAAACGAGAATGGCTTGTGAGTCTTTGCCACATACGTGTCTATCTCTTTGGCTGCTGATACTGGCGCCTGATATTATATTACTGGGCTATGACACGTCAAAGCAAGAGTGCGTATTACATGTGAACGTGTAATGCACTTCGTATGCCAGGTATACTCTTATAGCTGACTGTACAATGTGGCCATGGCATAATGCAAAAATCATTCTTCCATAGGAGGTGGTACGTGCTCATTCACTGCCAATGGCAGAACATGTTTCCTTAGTTAGAATCATTGTCTCTAGTGCTACCTGGAACTATATAGGTATTCTTGGATATGTTCGAAAAAAATGTCCCTCAGGAGGCTTTTCAAACGTTGCTCAAAGTAAACAGATAAACAGATCAATGTGGTTGTTTTTTGCAGCTGTATAATGATCCCAGGGGACACCACGGCCTACTCTTCTTACTATGATAAGTGTCGGGAGGCGTAGCAGTCCTCTGATAAAGAGGGTATTTATTTTTCTTTCTTTTTACCATTACCTATATTGTAAGTAAAAGAAACGCCAAACTACTCTACATTGGCAATTTCCATCACAGGTACGAAAAGAACGGAGATGGTGAGATAGTCCTAAATTCCAACAACCAGCCAATAAGCCAGCTCCTTATAAAAAAAAAAAAAAAAAAAAAAAAAGAGGAATGACTACTCCAAGCAACTCAAGGGAAATGGTAGGCATTATAAATTGAGGCTGGCTTACTCAGGGTTGCGCTTGACTTTTTCTATTACGAAATGGGTCCCTTTTCTTCAGGTCATGGAGACGATTGATTGCATGATGATACTGGACCGAAATGCCTAGGCTCCCAAGTTTTAAGTCATCTACCAAGTCTCAATTCATTCTATTTGGTCTTGTTTGGATGTGAAGTCGCCTATCAGCAAGCTCTCGCAACCCATTCCCAAGTTGGACTAGGATGCTCCCCGCACAACGGCAACGACATCCCCATAGAACCCACTGCCGAACAACAACATCTACAACCACAACCAGCTTGCTACACCCCTAAAACAACCCTGCCTGATCAGAAAAAAATTAACTAAATACAATCCGAATGACTCAATGCCCGAGACCCCGAGGCATATCTGCGCGGGGAGCCATGTTAACTGTGGGTTACTTCACATGCGAACCATAGTTAACTACCGATCTGGGGCTTTAGTTTGATGGACCCTCATTACCGGAGCCCATTCAGGGGCCACATCTCTTTTTTGTTGGGAAAAAAAAAAAAAAAAAAAGATCTACAGATGATGATCTACACTCCAGTACTTTCCATCCTACACTGCAAAACAGCCTCTTTTCTTCCTTCACTTTCACATGTAGAAACACACCCTCTCTCCGGAACTACCGGTAGCCCCTCTAGGGACAAAACGATATAAACAATGGCTCCTCCCTCGCCAACATCCCCCAGAAGAGGGCGGCCATATCCAAGAGACCCAGATCAAGTCTAAGAACAGCGAAAATGGCTACCAAGCCCAACCCCAAGGACTCGATGAAGTCCACCTGGCGCACCGCCAGCCGCGACGAATGGAACATCAACCACTGGGCCATCGAGCTGCTGAACGTGCACCCAACCGAGCTCAACAAGGAAATCCCCGTGCACCAAAAGGATGAAAAAGTCCCCTACATCACGCAATGGTCGCTGAACATCTGGGTCCTCTTCTACGGAGCCCTACCGCTACTCATGCACCAAGTCTACGCCACCTTCACAGGCCACAATCTAGGCCCAATAGCCGTCTTCAACTTCTACTTCATGGCCTTCAACGCCGTCGTCATCTTCGAAGTCCACATCCTCCGCCGTCTGGGCCACATCTACGGCTTCCTCGACGGCGACAAGCACGACCGCGATGGCGTCCCAGACGTCGGCATCGCCAAAGTCGTAACATCACTCTACAAGACGACAGGCTCACGCATGGCCCTCGCCGTCTACTTCACCTACAACATCAACCAGCTCCCCTCCCAGCTGAACTGGGTCATGCTGCCGCTCCAAATCGGTCTCTATGGCATCGTCCTCGACTTCTGGTTCTACTGGTACCACCGTCTCATGCACGACGTCAGCTTCCTCTGGAAATTCCACCGCACTCACCACCTCACAAAGCACCCTAACCCCTTACTCGCCGCCTACGCCGACCACGAACAGGAATTCTTCGACATGGTCGGTGTTCCCATGGCCACTTACTTCAGTCTCAAGTTCATGGGCCTCCCCCTCGGCTTCTACGAGTGGTGGCTCTGCCACCAGTACATCGCCTTCACCGAGGTCCTGGGCCACAGCGGTCTGCGCTTACATTCAACCGGCGCCTCGACCCTAACCTGGCTGCTCGAGTTCCTTGGTGCGGAGATCGTCATCGAAGACCATGATCTCCATCACCGGAAGGGCTGGCGCAAGAGTCATAACTACGGGAAGCAGACCAGACTCTGGGACCGGATTTTCGGGACCTGTCATGATCGGATCGAGGGGACGAAGGATAATATTGATTATGTGAATTCGGTTAATATGCCCTTGTTTTGATTTTGTGTGTGTGTGTGTGTGTGTGTGTTTGGATTTTCTCTGGTGTTTTTTTTTTTTTTTTCGTGTGTGGGAAAACTAATGCAGGGTAGAGACTCGGTACGTGTTTCGGGGATGGTGAAACAGGAATGATCGAGTCTCTTACATTCCATTTGGAAAGGCTGATGAGGAGTTGGAAGGAGTGTGGAAAAGGAAGGACAAAATTAGTTAAGACTCGGCGTTGTTGTCCTACATTGATATGCCCCTGTATGAATCCTGAGTATATACCCCCTCTTTATTACAGTATAGAATTTATACACTATTTGTTCCTTTTTTGTCATCAGTTGAACATTACTAGAAAGTTAACCTTTTTATAAGCAACAAACCATGTTTGCACAAAAAGCATTAGCAAAGCATAAGATAGCGCAATGTTTGTTAAGAAAGTATTCTATATCATTAAAGAAGATGAATCAGTAGGCCTGGTGGTACAGCAGGTTTAGTACAGACCAATACCAACAATTTATCACCGAAATATCACAAGGCTATCTATAGGCTACAATACAACTCGAATGTGGCCGCTGGGTATCAGAAAGTCAGTCGCGAAAAAACACACAGCGCCATCTCTTCAGACCTAGTCTAGTAAAAGCAGTTATAGCAGATATCATTATTCGTTGAGTCGAATGATAGTGCGCACATGCACTCTATCAAAGTTTGGTCCCTTCGCGTCCGCTGTCGCTGAGTCTTCGGGGCCGAAGAAATCCCGGAGATGGCGCAGCAGCACTGCTTGGTCCTGACGCCGAGGAACCTAGCTGCCCGGTTCGTGTTTCATTGCCGTTATTGCTGTTGTTGGTACGAACCCCTGTCCGTTGGCTCTGGTGGATGCGAGGGTTCATGAGCCATTGCACCTGCATTCGAATGCTGCTGACAGCAGCGTTCGTATGCGCCATATCCTCCTTGAGTCGAAGGCATTCGTTCATGATCGCCATGCTAGCACGAGCATCTAGATCCGTAATTGCATGTGATAACTGTCCAACTTCTTCTCGAAGGGACTCGTGGAGAGCAAGAAGATAAGTAGTCGCATTAGATGAGGCGTTGGAATTGTCATATTGTTCGTTTGCCGGGTCAGACGAGTTCGACGGCCTTGTCTGACTATTAGCCTCGGCCGGTATGTCCGGGTTCCGTGAAGACATAACACGAGATGACTCGACAAGAGTAGACCGGATGCTCGCAAGTCCATCCTCAAAGATCTCATTGCGCTGTTGAAGATGACGGATAGTCAACTCCATAGAATCAAGCCGTGCATTCTGAGCTTCAAAATAAGGGCCCATAGTTATCAATGGGCAATTCTGCTCGTGCACTACTAGCTCCGCTCGTTTAACTTTGACAGGACACCCATACTTAGATGCTGCGCAGCTATGGATCGCCTCTGGACATGCATCTATGTGTTCCCTCAAAGCCTTGCGAAATACCGTAGACTCACAGTCAGGACATGTGGTTTTCAAGCTCGGACATAGTTCCTGAACATGCTCCTGCGGTTAAAAGCCTTCGTTAGTCACAATTTAGTTGCCAACGGTATATCAGACGCACCTGGTAATCTTGCTCCATGATCTCCTCCTCACAGCGTGAGCATTTATGAAGCTCATGCATGCATTTGTTTTCTGCACTCAGGTCCTTCTTCCGAGTCTTCTTCGTGCAGAAGACATTTGGACAGTCCAGAAGTCTGTAGCCGCAGTATTTGTCGACATGGGACTGGATATGGCCTCTTGGAACGATCTCCTTGCAACCTTCGGCCTCAAAAGGGCACTTTACCCGTATATCGTCGCACATATTGACCAAGAATCGAGGGACGTTAAGGTAGACCCCACTCGCTGGCGCTCGACAGGTAGGGCATTTGAACTCGTCTCGACCGGTGGCAAAGGTAGTGATCGCTGTGTTCAAACATTTCTGACAGAACACATGGTCGCATTGTAATCTCACTGGACGTATGTATGGACAGTGACATATCGCACACATGAGATGATCGTCGTATCTGGACACATAATCCAAAGAGCGGAGGTCGACAATCTCGTCAAGGTCGCTGCTCGGCTCCATCGCAAGAAACTCGTCGATATTCATCTTGCACAAGCGTCCCCGGTTCGCAGCTCGTCAGATTTATACTCTGGATGGCCCTCAGCCCCGTCGCACAAGTAACAGCCAATGTAGGGGGCGATCGAGAACGGGTCGTCTTTCGAATTGCCGAAGGGATAAGAGGATGAAACAATAGCCCCGAGAGGCACGCATGAGGGGTTACACGGTGGCTGAAGTCCGCTAGGAATGTAGTGACTCGGCGGACGATTGCAACAAACTCGACGATGTATCTAACACAAAGAAAGAATGGAAATGAGTAGAGAGGTGGAGCTAGAAGTACTCGGAGAACCGGAGACAAGGAAAGGAAATCGGTAGCAGTCCTGCGGGGGACGAGTTGAGCGGACGATAATTGATAGCGATTCCACTGGATGGCGGCGGCGGCAGATCACTCCCGCGCCCGGCCGAGAACAGTCTTCCGTCTCACCCCCTCGGTCACACTTCATCTCCATCTTCATTCCACCATTACTACCATCCTTTTCACCATCATTCTGGGGTTATTCGCTGTGTCGATCACTTGGCCATAGGTGTGAGTGAGCGAGTTATAATCCTGTCCTTTCCTGGTCGACCGATCCCGTATTTGTCAGAAAAACCCCCCAGGATCTACCCGAGCCTTTGTCTTCTCCGCATTGCCTCATCAGTCAAGCTGAGACTGACTGCGACACTTCATCCGCCAATTCGCGACATATCACCTTCTCATTCCGGACCCACCGTCTTACCTCAAAATGCCGAACCCATCGCAGCTCTTTCTCCTTGCAGATCATATCAAACTCTCGCTTTTAGAACGACAACGAGCGATCTCATTGGATTTGGAACCCAATAGCCAAGACGGGGAGATCTCTCGCTCTTTGGAATCGTTGCACGACGGCATCGAGGATGTGGAGCGAGACCTCGCCCAGTTGGAGCAGGCCAACGACGATGGCGCCACCGAGATGAAAGACCAGCTATTCCATCTGAAATCGCAGTATCAAGATTTGTCGTCTCAGTTCAGCGGACACACCACCTCAGCCGGCGCCAGCGGCTCATCCCCATCGCCTGAATTCGCCAATGTCAAGTCGTCTCCTGACCTCAAACAACCTGTCCCGCAGCATCCTCCTTCAAAGTCAGTTCGGTTTATGAACTCGGCTACAGAAGAAGCCGATCTCGAGCGACAAAATCTTTTCCGGCCGTATCGCGACTCACCTTCCCCGCCTGGCGTAGACCAATCTGACATGTCGAATGAACAAATATATGATCGACACAATGAGATCATGCGCGACCAGGACGAACAGTTGGATCGCCTAGGCGAATCCATCGGGCGGCAACACCAACTCAGTATTCAGATCGGGGATGAGCTAGAAGGCCACGTCGCGCTATTAGACGGTATGGATGGTGATGTTGACCGACACCAACATCGGCTAGACGGGGCTAGAAAACGGCTGGACAAGATCCGGAGAAGCGCGGGTGACAACTGGAGCTTGATGACGATCGTCGGTTTGATCATTATCCTTGTCATTCTCATTGTCATTTTGAAATAAAGCCTAGAGCGTATAGAACCTCGGGTATACTTCACATTTTTGTGAATATTGGTCAAGGGCGAAGTCCTCTGAAAGGCGCAGGGCGTTTCTTATTGGACAGGGGTGCGGATTCCCTATGAATGTATTATCGGTTTGACTTATATTGATGTTTGAACTTACATGGTGTCTGGAGTAATCATCAATTACGGATTTGTTTATAATATGGCAACAATTGCTTTTTTTACGCCACTTTCATGCAACTCCCAGCAAGGGCTCGGGGTCTTACACCCCACCCTACACAATCTACATCTTATATCCCATATCAATATCATACACCAAATCTTATTCCTCAGGAATAGTTATACATGACATCAAGAAGAATCCCAGCCTAGGTTAATGAAAACAAGCACATCTCTTAGAACTCAGATTGCACCTTAGTACCCCAATTACGAAAAAGACGATAGTACAAAAAAAAGAGAAAAGGAAGCTAAAACCCATTCCTTTATTGAGTCTTGTTCACCGGTCCATCCCGGTTAGGCAGATGCTTCGTCTTCTCCTGTAAGTCTTTTATATCATGACCGTCACTATCAACCTCACCCCGATCTGCTTTGACCTACATATGACATTAGCACCACAATCGCCCTTGTTATTTTCTCCTTATGATGGGGAAGGAAAGGGGGGGGGGGGGGGGCAATGAGAAAAACTTACCGAAGCTTCACTGTTACTAGCAAGTTCCTGCTTCCACTTCGCCTTTCCTTCCTTGGTGCTTCTCAATTGGTCCTGCTTGTGCTCCTCGTAGGTGATGTGTAGGTCCTCTCGGTCTGGAGGTGAAAAGGTTAGACTCGTGTGCTTTCAAACAGATACCAGAACAGAGGAAGTGGAGTGACGAACTGTGATCAGATTCCTTGAGACCTGAACGGAGAGGAGAGGTGTGGAAGGCGGAGGTGACGGTATAAGATGGTCGAAGGGCCACACGGGGGGCAATTGTTGAACGGATGGTGGAGGCGAGGAAGGACATGGTCGGTTACTTAGTTAATTAGATATAGAAATTCGAGAGGATGGAAGTTTCTGTATGATTAGAGCTGTTAGCAGCAACTCTCATCATTTTGTAGAGACAACCGTTGCATGAAATAAGGTAGGAAACCTTACCAAATCAAAAAAAAGTAATCTGATCTATTGTAGAAAGTGGAAGTTTGTATCTTGCACACTTTCAATGCGGTACAACCAGTAGTATTTATAATGGTTCGCAGAAATGGAAGAGAGGGAGAAGAAGAGCCGAAGACCAGACAAATTGCTTCCTCCACTGCCTTTGTAATTCCATGTGAGCGAGTGGGTTTGCTGTCGAAAGGGAAGTCCAGAATGTCACCGATGACGTCATTCATACTCAATCCTGGTCGTTCTTGGCAGTGAGGGACATTTAGTTCATTCTTCCGTACCTTTTTCGTGGGCTCTTGTTAACTCTGTAATTGGTGATTATATGCTTTAGGGGATCATTGTAGCCTAGGTCTATCTTTTCTATTTGACGTCTGAAATTGTTGTGAATGTGAATTGGCGAGGTTGTTTTTGGACTTTTGGTGATCGTCACGGGGATGACATCACGAGCAGGGGTTACACCTCATACTGTGTATCAGGCCTTGGCAGCTTGTATGTATACTAGGACATACTTGGTTGTGTCCCCATGAGGTTGCACATATTAAAAGACCCCATTTGGCCGATGAGAGTTTAGTTAGCACAGTTCTTCACTGAGTACCTTTTCATCCTTGGGTTTTGTTCTTCAGGTGATCACATACAGATCGCCTCCGCGGTATATTCATGTCTTCTGCTAACTTTGAGGACTTCAAAAAACAAAGTCAGTTTATCGATGGCAACTCGGGCTATTTTCAAGTATTAAGAGTGTGTCTAGACAACAAAGTAAAGGATTGAACGAGCATTATTGCATCAATTATAACTACAGATAAACCGATGGATTCACATCGATTTAATCCACCACCTATCCAAAACACCCTTCTCCGATAGTACCTCGCATTCTGAACATACCTAAATACCCATACGAGTATAAAGAAAACATTCTTCCCTCTGAAATTCCACACACCAAAGTCAGGCCACCGGTTAAGCCACCGGATTAATACAGCCCTCCAGATGGAAGTATATATCCCCCATCCCCTAATCAAACATCAACAGGAATCGTCGGTTTATTCGCAGCACAAAATGAAAGCGTCATGATATTTTCACACCCTCCTTGACTATTCTTAATCGTCTTAACACTGCACGAATGGCAATTCCTCGCACACTACCAGAAGATCAGTGTCGAGTACAAAACAATACCAATGCCAGTAGTTAGATCTTCTACTTGCCAGGGATTCACTACTACATTTCATGTCCCAAGTGCCACCCCGAGTGCCCGTACTATGTGTGACATAGCATATGCGCGCTGCCCCTGCTATCTTGCGGTAATTCTGTACAGTAGGCACATAGTTAGCCATCACCTTGTTGTTCATTTCTGGCCTGAATTAACACCGTTATTTCAAAGAGGGATTTGACCCGCTACTGAGATCTATTCATTTTCCTTGCGGTTTAAATCTCCCAATTATGCCCCGAATTCAGGCCGTTGATACTTGCGGGGACGTATACTGAAGGAGGGGCGGCGTTGTATAGTCGTTTGGGAATCAGTTGTCCAAGTTGGACCGCTTGAGGCTAGTTTTATGTCCGATATTAGTAGTGCAAGGTAGTCTAGGGGAAGGGGCTTGCCACACATTGGGAGATTACTGCTCTACTGAAGGTAGTTGTTCGGGGGGGTGGTCTTTCCCCTGGGGTGTAGGCTGCTCAGGGGGCGAAGATCTGTGCCCTCCAGGGGGTACTGCCCCTGCTGGGTTGGCAAAGAGGAGGCCGAGGATAGATGCGGAGGAAATTGCAGTCATCTTCATTCTGAAACACTTGGATTGGCAATCGTGCATAAAGTAAATGTGAACAAAAGGTTACTTTCCTGGTAGAATAATAAATCTTGCTGAAGAGATCCTTATTTACCTCAAGTATGTACGGGATATATTTCTTGCATACTGGAATAGCCTCGACACTTCTTTTTTATGATTGAGATACTATAATGTCGGGTACTCTAGAATTTGATAGCGTTATCCATTATTTCATCTTTGTCATGTAGTTCAAGTTTTTAACGACTACCTAGTACATACTTAGGAAAGGTTCGAGAGGAGTGTTAATGCTGGGTGGCAATGAATATACATCGAATATGCCTAGACGGTTCACTGTACTTTGTATTACTTGACAATAGAAGCATCGGCAATGGGGCACTCGAAAGTTTACGGCTCTTTCTAGTATATAATAGCTCTCTTCCTCTAATTAATAACTCTGTCCATAAAGCTAATACATATTATCTATGCAAAGGCCGGTGGGGTTCCGAGCCGTAAAATTAACCTTACAGCGCCTAGCAGTACTACATGACACACCCAGGTGAACGACTAAATAAAATGCTTGCATACTAGAGTTTAACGAGACTACAAGAGGGGTTGTGGTGACACCCAGGCAGATTACCAGTAGAAAGCTACCTATCGACATTATCGATAATAATTGTGCTACCATCAGCTAATCTTTTTCACAAAGTATATCATCATTGGCGTCAATCGATCTGCATCTTGATCTCGTCATGCTGGTTGACCTCTTACACTACTACATGCAGCCGAGTTCTGAAACCATGTCTACTGGAGTGAATGTTATGATAAAATAGGACTGTGTCCAAAGCTATTCTCACAACTATGTTTAGGCATTACCTGCATAGCTTAGAAAGAAAAAGGCATATAGACAAAGGAAATGGGATGGAATGACGGAATGCCCAAAAACGAACGTAAACACAAGATCATACACTGCATCACTCTCCGGGAGTTCCCAGATATATCGAAAATATCCAAACGAGTCAACGTTGAAGCAAATGAAGCAAGATTGATGGTCGATTCACGACACCAAAGAACATAGTTTTCAAGTAAAACCGGTCTATGTCTCCCAGACAGACCCCGAGGCAAACTCCACATCCAGTCCATGGATTTTCACAGCCGTTAGCCAGAAGCAACAACATAGAAATGTCACCCATCACCAACCCATATACACGAAAGAAATAAAGTAAAAGATAAAAGCACAAATGCGAAAGATATGATCAAACAAACAAACACACAAGACATCCCGAACAATTCACAGGCCCAATCAATGCAGACGTATATCATTTCCACCTTTCTAGATCCCTAAAAGCATGAAAAAAATCCGACCCACCCAAAACCAACCATGGATATCAGAAATAGATGGCAAACCGCTGAGTATCTTGCAGAGTCGCCATAGGACACCAAGAAAAAACTCCGGACCAAAAAGAAATGCGCGCCAATATGGCAAATCGCCGCACTTTCTATACATCATCGCGGCCAAAACGACACGAGGTCAAAAGGACGTATTTTCCCTAACCGAAGAATAAAAAACAAGGTATCGTCTGAAATGTGAAAATGCAAAAATCGAATCGCAGGCGCCGTCGCTCGCAGAAAGTCGAAAGCATCACTCTAGATAAAAGTGCTCAAGATCGTCATCGGAGGAGGGTGTATATACAAGAGGAAACAATGATTTAGCCTTTTATCGCAAAAAAAAAAGGGAATATCGGTTTAGTCGTAAAGAGATGCGATGGCCATGTCAAATAATAAACAAAGCAACGAAAATTAAGACCCGCGGTTAGGGAATCCCGATGATGCAGAAGCCGGACGAAGTGGAAGACATGTCATGGGCGCAGGCCCTTGGCTAGTGACATGGCGACTGGTAAGATAGCGGTCCTCACCAGCGACGCTGGGCATTCTGCATCGAGGCCGGGGAGATGGACGTAGGCGGGCTGGTCAAGGTCATGCCAGTATGAGGGTTCACGATAGGGATGACCTTGCGGGTGCGGACTGCAGATGGTTGCTGGAAGTTCACGTGATTAAGATTACCGGTAACACCGGAATGGACGTATGAGTTGCTGGATGCGGGAGATAAAGAGATGGACGGTGTCACCTGCTGAACAGGCTGAATTTGATGTTGGAGAGGGGACGAATCGGGAGAGCCACTGGAAAGAGACGACCGATCTGAGCCAGCGGAATGGATTGAGTGAAGCTGTAGAGGTTCGGGTGCATGTTAGAAGACTGTCCTGTATTATACGAGGAAGACGATTTCCAATATGGAAGGGTCAAAGGGAGCCGATGCTCAGGCTGTGGAAGAACATACATCGTCCTCGGTCAGGAGACTGGGGCAGAACTCCAGGTCGTCGTCCAAGTCGAAAGACCGTCCAGCCTCGAACCTCGCGCGGAAGGCAGTCACCGCAGGAGCCTCAGCGAGCTCTCTCATGCTTTTTACACCCCGAAACTGGCGCTGGGCGTTTTGGGCGGCCATTTTGGGTCCTCGCCGAGAGCGTCCGCCGTGGTGGTTATTCGAAGGCTGCATGTGTGCAGTGGCACCGTGGTGAGCATGCTGCTGTTGCTGGTAGAAAAATGCCGACATATTGGTGCAGTCGTGGTAAATGAAACGGAAGAAACAAAGCCGTTATATCGTTGAGTCTTGAAGGTGGATACAAACAAGGGACCAGCACGCTGGAATCCTGAGGATAAACAGACTTTTAAAAGGAAATAGTAAGGAGAATGACGAAGGGTCGGTTGGAATGTAATTGAAGATAAGGGCAGAAGTAATCACGAGAGGAAAGAGAAATATTACTGGAGACGAGAAGAAAATTGAAGCGAAGGGTCGGAGACGAAAATACGTTTAGTGGTTGTGTGGGATGGGGAATCACTGATTGATGGCGGGACAAGAAGTTGAAAAGAAGACCGGGAGCGAAGAAAAAGAGCCCGGAGTGGACGGAGGCGAAAGCAAGAGGGGCTGCAAGTGTTATTCGGCTGGGGCTGAGTGAGTGGAGCATTGCAAGGGAATCATTTGTAACGTACCGTACTAGTACCCCCGGCGATCAACAAGAGTTCCCCTTTTCCGGCACATCTGTGATGTGGTAAGTTTCGTAACAGTTCCGTTCCGACCCTCCTGCGCTACTGGCAAGGTCACGCACCAGTTTTAGGGCAGGAGGCCACCCAACCAGAGAGCCGTTGGCGGCAGCTCAGTGGCAAGTCTAAGTATCAGGAGCCAATAACAGATTTCCAAGTGAATTTTAAGTGGGGATATTACAGCCACTTTGGATCAGCAGCCAATGATTAAATTCTAGAGCGGCTCGAGGCGGCTACCAAAGTGGAATAGAGTGACGTTGTAAGTTTCGCCCTAATCCTTATCGAGGGTAGATAACCTCCACCATCTCGAGACCTGATATCTGGGCATTACTTGATTGAGCATAAGTGGCTGTCGGCCAATGCCCGGCCCTAGTGTGTCAGCCTGGCCTTTAAGGCTGTACTCATTTTCTTGACGAACCAATACCCGCTAGTACGGCTACAATACGATGGATGGTATGATGGTTAGCAGGTTGTGCACCCGACTCCCTGTTGTATGATGCGTACATAATGGCTGTTGACACTGTCCTATGGAATGACGACCGGCGTACTACGGACTATTGAAAACGGCTGTGGACCTACAATCATATTTTGTTTTTGTGAGACCCTACGAAGATCGTGGCGAGTATGCAGAGGGATGACGAGGGACTACATCATATTATTGCCAATAACGAGAGAGGGGGACGGATGTGTCCATTTTGCCCTACTCAATGGAGCATATTCATTTAACAGTATCGCTATTTCATTGCAGGAGAAGGCGGGTTAAAGACATTTTCATGAACAGGATGGGGGGAAAAGGATGGAATGTGGTACCCATTTCCGAAGACAGACAAAAAGGAAAAAGAGGAAAAGGGAGAAAACGCCTACGACGACATGTGCGGGTAATGATTTGCAACATGTAAGCTCCACTCCACCCCTTTGGGTGAGAATGATTTGCTGTAATCATTCTCGGTACCTTTCCCTTGATTGAACCGTGCCACTTGGTCCTGGAAGTCTAAAGCGGATCCTTGTTTCCCCCAACCATTCATTGAGTCCATTGATAGCAAATCCTGCGCTGGCCCTCTGACTCTCTGACATCGCCCTGCGGTCTTCGCGGCTTCGACAGTTTTCCAAAGTACTCCGTAAAAGTCTATCCTCCACCTGATCTAAAAATCCCCATTGTAATGGAGCACTAACTCAGATATTGGGCGTAATAAATAACTACCTTATTCAGCCATAGTGGTTTACTGAATACAGAATGTATGATGCATACATGGAACCCAAAGCCCTTTTTCTGTTACCTGATTCATGGGGGACAAAAATTGATGGGGTAAGTTTAGGTAAATTTATTTATTTATTTGTTTGTTTTGTTGACTGGGGCCAGCAACAACAGAACCCAACATCGAGAGGCGCCCATTTTGTGCAGAAGTACTCCGTAAAAATTCGATGACAACAATAGCGATAATGCTGAAGTCCCACAGAGATAATGTAATACTGATTTCTCCCGTAAAGACGGATCTTTTCCCAGGACTTTTATACCGCTTTTAATGGCGGTGCTACAGCCACAATGTGGTCTGCCCGTCCTTCGAAACAAACTAACGGCGCTTGCTCATCATCATCAAAAAAGATAATAATAGATACGTATCTTAATTCTGCTGTCAAACGCTCCCGACGCATGGTGCCGGGTATGTGCTTTGATCTCCTGGGCCCTCATCAATTCCCTGTTAGAGTCCCCGACTCGAAAGAAATAGACGAGTGGTTGGAGGATACAGAAAACCAGTACGTTATGCGATATGCACTGTGTGGAACTACTGCGAGGTAAGCTGGCGGTTACTGGAACAGCATCATGGCCTTGATTGGGTCACACCCCCTGCAAGCCCTACACATGGATTCCTGGGGATGGGTGACTAGTACTATCCTTTTCCCGATTATCCCAGGCGCAGCATTGGGTACCCATCCGTCATTGGCGCCAGAGACTCTCACTCTGCATGCAGGACGTGTTGGTAACTTGGTGTCCATGAGCCTGAGGGCTTTCTTAGTTTCGAGACCACCTCAATACTGCGAAATGTTCCTGAAAGACGGCACCTTCAGCTCACCGCCCCTTTTGTTCAATGAGATGGGTTTCCGCCCTCCCAGCCATACACCTGCCCCTCTTTTGACTAGAACTTTGTTGATAATGTCATTATTAATGATAAGTCATATTGCGTTTATTAATTCCCGACATTATACGAGCCTTATACTTTCCATATCTTAACTTTTCCACTGCTGTCTTAGCTAGGAAGCTGTATATAAAGTATAATGTTTGTAGTAGATAAGGAGACGACGCCACAGGCAGGGAGGCAAAGAACAGTATATGTGTATAGGAGCAACTGATGCATTCGATACAGGAATCTTCACAATTCAACGACACAGACCAGGCTGCACTGCAGAACTCGCTTGTTTGCTTTTGTCTCCCGTTGATTACCCCGAATCAGCGACCGAGCCATAAGTGATCCTATAGGCCACCCCAATCTCGGAGTAAATGTGGTACATCACTCGAAGGCAACCGAAGCTAACGTACCCCAAAAAAGCAAGGGGGGTGAAACACGATCTACTCCTCTTCTTGCTGGGCAAGTCTCAGGAAGCGCCCGTGTTCCAGTCTCAACTGAGTTTTGGTGGCCAATCAACCACTGTTATCTCCCTTGTCTCCAAAGACAAGATCTCATGTACGGAGTATGTAAGTCGGTGGCTCAAGGAGTTGCGAAAGACTCACATCGACACAATTGCACATACATCTGTTTTATACTCCACTATTGATTTTAATTTTCCGATCTTATTGCAAGCGCACGGGTGGGTTTCAACTGAAGGAATAGTTGGTTCTCCTGTTTTTACTCCGTAGATCCATCGATATCTGGGGGCCCTTGGTGATCCAAAATTAAGTCGCTTCCTCTGCCCAGCCGTTCCATGGACATTGAGGCAGCCCTCCCCCCGCCCTTTCTCAACATGCTTTGACAATGCAGACTCATGACGCATTATTTAGCATGACGATCCAAAACCCTCAATTAAGCACTCGCACATGGATGTTGGACATGTCTGAGACAAGGCCTAGTCCCTCAGGAAGCACCTCCCTGCGTGCTGTGTGATACTCGAGTATGTAGGTATGTACATATGTATGTACATGCTTTACTGTACGCTCTTTGTTCAGATACAGATAAGCTGGCAATGCAGCTTATAAATCTCTTCACTTGAGATGCCGCCACAAATACCAGGTCATTGTGTAAAGTATCGCATTAAGGCAGCAAGGGACAGTCTCTATGCATGCACGTGCCTTGGATGCTTGCTAAGCTGATTATTCATCTGGCATTGGCCTTGAAACTTGACCTAGACCTTGGTGTTGCACTTGTGTTCAATCAAAGCTTCCCTCGTAGACGCATGAGTTCTTATGCCAAATCTGTGTAGATTGATCGACAAGGCATTATAAAGCGTCATGGACATCTTGGCAGCTATCTCGCGAGATGTAATTGCCGAGTATGCAGTCAATTGACCTATTATCAGCAATGGAAGCTGAAAATAATTTATATCCGTTTCGAAAGGGATGAAACAAAAAGCTGTGGCCAGTATTATACGCATTTACGAACGGCCTGAGGCCATAAATTTATGCTAGCTTATCAAATTGAAATGTATATATACATGGTTCAACATACTGAGTAAAGGCGTATCTACATCTGTTACCGTAACACCGCGCATGTTTCATATGTAACGCCACCGAAACTCCCTAAATGCAATGCAAAAGCAAAACGCTCCGATATTACTAGAAATGAGAAATAGTATAATGGGTCCATCACATAATCTCACTTGTCCAGATTCTTGCTCTTCACCATCCGGCCAAGTAGCTCCTTACAGTGCTTTTCGCTATAATTCTCCCAGATCTCATACAGAGACACCAGCTCCTGGGTGCATTCAATAACAGCTCGGATATCAACCTCACTCTCAGCAAGCCAGCCGACAAGTTTCTGAATTCGAGGAGGCGGACCAGCGCCGTTCTTATCTCCCAAAGCTGCGAGGATATTCATCCCTCCATCTCGCATCGCTCCGGCCAGTGGGGCGGCAGTCCCATGGAAGCTCGTCTGGCTCGGTTTGAAGACAACAGCAACAATGATTGCCATGACCGCGATCACATGAGGTGGGTATAGTAATGGTAGGTCGGTAAGATAATGATCATTGATTACTGACCATGCCAGAGCTACCTCATCTGATGTAAGCGATAGCTCTGGTTGGAGCTCGGATAAAGTCCGATATGGATGATGAACGATGAGCTGTGAGTTCATCTCGGATATCAAAGCGAACTCGCATTCACCTAGCTTTGACACGTCCGGGGCAATGAACTCTACCGGAAAGTCAGCGACAGACAAAAAGAAGATTATCCTCAAGGCTGTTCGTACCGGGCCAAAAGTTCCGGGCCTCTGCGACCACAAATCGGATATGTTGAGGACATTCTTCCATCTTACAAGCGAGATAGAATGCAGTGGTGACCACCAGATATGGATTGGTATGTCTTATCTCGTTTTTAGTATAAAACCGTTTGATGTATACTTGAGCCGTAGCGAGTGCTTGCTGTCTAGTTGACATCCTCTTTCCAAGCTTTATGAGTTCTGTTGAAATGTTTAGTTTAAAATTATACTTAAGACCCTTGAAGAATATCATATCTCACGTTGGCTAAAGTAAATGTTGAGCAGCCTCTGATCCGGTAGAGGAAATTGCGAATGCGCGGCCTTATCTCTCTCTCTAAAGGACTCCCGAATGTCTGCCAATCTTTCTTTCGTAAACAGCCAGTGTCGACGTTGAGTCGACGCCCAATAATTGGCAGCCATGACAGTGACAAATGGCCAGGAAAAGTTAATTAATAAAGGGTTGGAGAGTTTCAAGCAGTTCTGACTGAAATCGTTGTCATCATGAAGAACACCCGATGATAATTAGGGATGTATGTGTCATCCAAGTGCTCAGAGCTCCTGTAACGGCCGAATCAACCCGATTCTATCGGCACAAAGAAACACTATAGACAAGAAACCGCGCGCTAGAGCTACCTAATTCGCCTGTTCCTTAGGTCATCAAAATGTCGCATATGTATACTGATATCATCCACATCGAGACGTCTGAACAGGTGACCTAATGGATTTCCCAAAGGGGTATAGTTGGACTGGGTTCTCCAGTCCCGTGAGTCCGGACCGGAGTCGAGGTTTATTCCGGCGTATGTCGTAAGAGAAGCAAATCATCGCGGGTTGATTTCTCACGGCTAGCCGCTGCCCCATCCAGAGACATACCAATGTATGCGGAACCTCTCCTCTCTTTATAAACCAGCTCCACAGATTCGATGCACAAGCTATTATTGCAGTCTACTATACTACCACCCTGTTTTGACAGGGACACCTCCGCTCTCAAATCCCGTGACCCCTCCTTGAAAATAATGTCGGATAGCCGATGATAAATTTACAACCGAAAAATGGCACCCGGCGAATCCAAAGATGAACGTGACGAAAGAGTCGCGAAACTCTGGCAGAGCTTAGGTGTCCGAAAGGACGGCAGTCTTGACCTCAATGGTTTGAAAAAGGGGCTGAAAAAGATTGATCACCGTGAGCATATCATCCGCCATGATTTTGTCTTGTGCTTGCTGCGCAGCTGACTGACCCGCCTGCTCTTGGTCTGTTACCCCACAGCCCTCAAAAATGCGGATAGCATGCTTCAGAATATTTTGAAAGCGGTTGACACCAATGGTGACGGGTATATTGACTACTCCGGTAAGATCACACGCAGTGGATCATGACTTGTCTTCCCGTCGCAACTGGCTGGACGCCAGTCTCTTTACCGACCTAATGATCATCAGAATTTCGGACCTTTGTCGATCAGACCGAGCAAGGGTTATGGCAGCTTTTCCAGACCATCGATCGTAATCATAACGGTGAAATCGACAAGAACGAACTCAAAGCCGCTTTTTCCAACGCCGACGTGACGGTATCCAGCGCTAAACTGGACGCATTCTTTGCGGACGTGGACACGAACAGCGATGGTGTCATTACTTATCCGGAGTGGAGGTGCGTGCTTCATCGGTCAAGTGGACCCTGGCTATGGTTAATCCCGGTGATATATAGGGATTTCCTTCTCTTCCTGCCTGCCTACTCCAACTTGCGCGCTGTCTTGTCATATTACACGGCCACGGGAAATCTAAACCCGGAAGGAGATGTCCACATCAATGATCTACAGGGTTTAGGTACAGACCACTCGTTTCCTAAGCGTTATATCTTGGCCATAAAGAACCTTTTGTACAATATTCTCCCAGTTCACGCATTGGCAGCCCTAATCCCGTCAGCTTATGCGGAAGTCGGCGGGGCACTCAACTTTGGGGTTGCGCTTGAGAATGATTCTGTATCCTTAGACGGTGACTCCGAATTGGAGTGGCTGCCTGTACCCAGGACTGTCGCCATGTGGATGTCCTTCCGATATTATGAACGAAAGTTGACAGAGAACACTCCTCAATTAGGTTATTTTATTGCCGGCGGGATTGCAGGTGCCGTATCAAGGACAGCAACGGCGCCTCTTGATAGACTTAAAGTCTATCTCATTGCCCAGACCGGTGCGAAATCGGCAGCTGTCTGTGCGGCGAAGGATGGTGCTCCGCTGCGGGCGGCAGGGAATGCGTCAAAATCCCTTGCCGATGCTGTGAAGGAATTGTGGCGTGCTGGAGGCATACGGAGCTTATTTGCAGGTTCGTCGACTGAAGTTCGAAACGCAGACCCAATCTAATCGCCACAGGTAATGGGTTGAATGTGTTGAAGGTCATGCCTGAATCAGCCATTAAATTTGGAGCATATGAGGTTAGCTTATTAAGCTGTTTAAGTGGGCTTCTATCAGGGCACTAATATGTCATAGTCTGCTAAACGCGCGTTCGCTCGTCTTGAAGGTCATAATGACCCTAGACAACTTGCACCGACGTCGCAGTTTCTGTCTGGAGGGTGTGGTGGAATGGTGGCTCAGTACGTTATATTATCCTTATGCATGGAATCATCATCTAACGAAGTGCCAGATGTTTCGTCTATCCTCTTGACACTTTGAAGTTGTAAGTTGCCTGATGCATCTAGCTTTTGGGCATGTTCATCCAAGCTAATGGATCTTGACAGTCGGATGCAATGTGAGACAGTGGAAGGTGGTCTGAAAGGCAACAAACTCATCGCAGCCACTGCCCGAAAGGTTTTGAACAAGCATGGTATACTCGGCTTCTTTCGCGGCTTGCCTCTTGGTCTTGTTGGCATGTTTCCATATGCCGCCATTGACTTAACGACTTTCGAGTACCTAAAGCGCGGATTACTCGCACGGAAAGCTCGCCTTCATCACTGCCATGAGGATGACGTCCCATTGAACAATTTCACCACGGGAGCCATCGGCGCGATAAGCGGAGGATTCAGCGCTTCCGTTGTTTATCCACTGAACGTCCTCCGAACACGACTACAGGCTCAAGGCACCATTCTCCACCCCGCAACCTATAGTAGCATTGGCGACGTCGCTCGCAAAACCATTCAGACCGAAGGCCTCCGCGGTCTCTACAAAGGAATCACTCCGAACCTTATGAAAGTTGCTCCTGCCGTATCCATCAGCTACGTCGTGTATGAAAACTCGAAACGAATGCTTGGTCTGAGGTAAAGCAAAGAACAAACATTACGGCCTGGGCCCAGCCCAGGGATCAATAAAGGCTCAGACTTATGCCCAGAGTCTGCTCATTCCGGCTGCTTTCTCGATCTTCCAGCTTATTTCCATTGATATTTAGAACATTTGTCAAGATACCCTTTCAAGCCATTCACTATACGGCACCCCTCTCGCTTCTGGATGGACATATCATATGATCTCCACCTTTGGCTTACTGCTTTTCTCCGATAGCGGGGAGGCCCTTACTTTTCCCAGTTTTGCATAGTCTTCGAACGACTTTGCTGTTTCTCGTTCCGTTTCCGGCATCGTGAGATCTACGTTCGTGTTCTATCACATAGCATCTCGGCCGGGCTGCATAATTGACCTCACTAGCATGGCACGGCGTCGTGCCACAAAGCATATTTACGGAGTTCTGCCCATATCTTCACTTTGTTTTTCTCGTTTGTATACCTATTGGATTCCCCGACTGTCCAAATATGGGCGGCCTACTCTATATTCACATATATTTAGACCTGCGAAGGTTTTTCGGTCCATACTATTTACTGCTGTGACATTAGAACATATATTCACTGAAATAAAAGCATAATCATTCTCATTTTTAGCTCTTGGGGCACTCAAACATTAGCCACTGATATATTACGTAGAAAGAAATTCATTCTAATATTCGCGTTACTTCTTCATAGCAGCAGCAGCCCTAACCTCCTCTTCCTTTGGCAAAATATCCGGCACCGGCCCAACAGGCGTAATCGCGAACTGATTGATCTGCGTATGACTTTTTGTATAATGAAACTTGATATGCTCAAACTCCGTGGTCTCCTGGAACGCCGGAATGTCCCAATACAGATTCCTCAACCAGCGATGAATAGCAGGATATCCGGATCTGATATCACGGATATTGCACTTGAAATGCTGCACATACACAGGGTCAAATCGGACGATCGTCGTGAAAAGCCTGATATCCGCTTCAGTGAGCGCCGAACCGAAGAAGTACGGTGAGGCGTTGCTCTGGAGGTGCGCTTCGATCTTGTCGAGGGAGGAGAAGAGCGTCGTCACGTTCTTTTGGTAGGCTTCTTGGGTGGTTGCGAAACCGGACTTGTAGACGCCGTTGTTGACATCGTTGTAGATCCACTCGTTTGAGGTGTCGATCTGGCTGCGGAGATCGGTTGGATAGAGGTCGAGAAGCTTTTGAGAAGAGTTCGAGGGGAGGAGGTCATCGAATTCGTAGTAGAGCATGCGGATTATCTCGGCGCTCTGGAATGGGGGTTCTAGGTTAGTACGAGGTTGTCTGAAGAGCTGGGCAAGTTGACGTTACCTCGTTGCTTACGATACGTTGTGTCTTCTTGTCGTATAACACTGGGACGGTGAATCGGCCTGTGTAGTCTGGGTCGTTGGCGAAGTAGATGTCCCGCAGGTGGGTGACATCAGAGTGTAATGGATCTGGGGTTGTGTTTTCTCCGGGGAGCTTTTCGTCTGAGGTTACGAAGCGCCAGCCTGGAATCGCTGGTTAGCTCACTCGTTCTTTGCGTATTAAGCTTGGAAATTCCGGACCTTTCTCGCCCAGGTGCCAGTGCACAGATGTGAAGGTAATAAAATCTTCCAGACCCTTGAGCTTCCGGGTGATCAATGTGCGATGAGCTACAGACGGTGTTAGCGATTGAAAAATCTAATTGAGAACGCAAAAATAGAATAGAATATCACCCACCCCATGGGCAAGCATAGGAGACATAGAGGTGGTAACGGTCCTTCTCTGGGGGGAATTCTGCGCCTGGCTCTCTGGAGATCCAATTGCGGAAGACGGAAGTCTGCCGTTTGAACTCGCCCGATTTGTCATTGCGACTGACCCAGTCAGTGATCTTATCGGCATTACTAGTCTATGGCCATAATCTCAGTCAGAAGCTAGAGGCTAATCCATGAGCAATTGGTATAAGCTTACCGCCATACTGCGCGTTGAAGAGGGGAGGAGCTGTGCGGGGCCGACGGAGCTTCTGTGGGATGTGATGATTTTGGGTTGGGTGATAAACTGCGAGATCTGTTGGGTCCGACGCAGTGCAGAAAAAATACGAGACATGGGAGGGGATATATTTGAAGGGAGGGGTAGCGTTTTCAAGAATTAAGTAGCCATCGAGGACCAGAGCTATGTTGCTGGAGAACCAATGGCGGGGACAGCCTATGACGTTAGGCTCGCTGCTTACGGCGGAATCACATAACACCTGACAAAGCACTCGGCTCGGTCTAGATTCCGAGATTTGGAGCTTACATGTTCATTAGATGGTTGATTACTCGAACGGCTCAACATAGATAACAATCGATGACGGAGAATCCTCTAGGTTTTTCCTTTTCATTTCTCTCTTCCTTCCTTTTTAATCTTTTTTTTTTTTCTTTCTTTCTTTTTTTTTTTTTGCATTTCGTATATGTTTATCAAAGCTAGTCTACGCCGCTGAAGCACTATGGCGAACGTATACCATCTTGAAGAAGGAAAAGTCATATATCATTGTTTATAAACTTGAGGTACCATATGAGCCATATTCTAGCGTTCAGGTTTTATGTAGATCCGACACATTATTTCCTCATCTTCACCATCACATAAGGGATCTCGACATCCTCCTCAGTTGTATCTTCAGCCGTAACTTCAAAGATGATGTTCTTTTGATGCTCCGGAACGGGCTTCTTGCTGATATGCTCCACCAACTTGCTCATCCTACGTACCAACGTTAGTTAATCAATTCAGTAGAGCAGTCGGGATTGAGAGAATACGTACGTCAATGGGAGGCGGTCCTTCACCTTCGAGGGGGGATAGAAACTGGCATACAGCAAGCTCACTCCTGAGCTGACCATGCTGATTTCCAAGCCCTTGTCAGAGAAGTGCTTGAGGAAGTCCTGCAAAGGAATATCGTCCACCTCGAAGCGATCCCAGAGTTGATCGATGGTGACTTCACCCTCCTTGCCCTGGTATTTGCCCTTGGGGCTAGGAATGGGTTCACTGAAACCGAAGAATGGAAGTGCAAGATTCACAAAGCCGTTCTTATACTGTTCAATGTCATCCTTGCCGTCGATAATCTTGTAGAACTCTAGGGCCACCAGTCCAGTAACCAGCGCGGTGGTCGTCGCAATAGCAGGAATGATCTTGCCAGCTATGAATTTAGTCTTATGACGGTCAGCCTGAGGAATTTCATAGTTGTCGGCACGGAGGTTGCTAGCCGCCGTAATGAAGTCAATATGATGGTTGGTATCATCATCCTTCTCAAACTCAACTGGGTTCAAGCGGAATCCAGCAAGCGACTTCGGCGATGGCAGCGAGCCGACAAGGCGTCGGATCTCCTCGTTATCATCAAAAGATGAGCCCGCGTTTCCAGCGTTCGGGTCGGCCTCATTCTCATCTGCCTGGATCTTCACGCCAGACTTGGGAGAGAATTCAGGAATAATCATATTATCGACAACCTTGCGGTAGTATTCCTTGTCTGCTCCGGGGTTTTTGATTCCATAGTTGAAAGCGTGGAGGTTCGCTCCGGCGACGATGAACCCGAGGTGAGTGGGGTTGGAGCTATCGAACTTCAAAGGTGTTGGAGCACGCTTGGGGCCGGACCAGAAAGGCTGTCCAGAAGAGGTCTTGGAATCCCGAGGGAAGTTGTAAAGTAACTGCTGAATTGCATTGTTGTACTGACCTTCAAATTGATGGCGAGCCCAGGCGATGCAATCGTCAAAAGTCAATGGCTTGTTGGCCACCAAGAAATCGTGCAGTTGCTCTAGAGTCTGCTTCTCATTGCCAGCCTGTTTGAGCGTCTGCTCAATGTAGTTTGGCTGTGAGAGATACATGTTGACAGCCTCAGGGGGTCCAACAAAGTAGGTCTGGAAAAGATCCCTGGCCCAGGCAATGGTGTGCTCAATCCGGTTGGGGAAACTCTTCAGAGTGCACATGGGGAAGGACTTCTCGGGAGGATCCTGGGAGCTGGAGTAGGACTCGGTGATATGCGGAAGGATAACTTGGGTGTTGCCCTTGGTGCCAAGAGTGCCACTCTCGAGGAGAGGCTTGCGGAAGAAGACACAACGACGATCAACGTAAGTTCTGGCATCAACGTTATCCAGCGCGTTGGTAACCCCGTCCAATCCTTCCCAGAATTCCTCATTGAAGATATGCTCAGTGTCTTGCCCGACACGGTCACGCAATGCGACAATCTTGCCCTCTAGCTCGGGGTTCATGGCCTGAACAGCGGCTGAGGCACACTCACTCTTAAGCTTGCCAACATCCTTACTGCGGAATAGGAACTGACGGTTGAGATTGCTCTTCTCAATCTGGTCCATATCGGTAACATAAATTTTGCCTTTAGGACCAGTTCCCAAACCCATCATGGCCCAGTTCTTGAGAGTCTCACATCCAATTGCACCTGCGCCAACAAGGAACTGGGTAGTGTTGGCGATTTTGTCCTGGAACTCTTTACCAAAAACAGCAATTTGGCCATCATACCGGGTTCCAAGTGGTTTGCAGCTCTCTTCAGAACGGGTAGTGGAAGTCGGAAGCGACTCGAGCGAGTCTAGGTAAAGCCATTGCTTAACTGGGCTAAACTTTCCTGAGACAGCTTTAAGGACCTCCTGCGCTGCAACACCACCAAAGAACGCGGCCAAAGGGCTGAGATCACCGCGTGCTTGGTAACTAAGCTCCTTAATAAGCTTCTCGTCCAGTTCGACCTTGTCTTCCTGGTTTGAGGCGAGGTCGTTAGAGATCTTGAGGACCTCCTGGGCATCACTCTCGTTGTGAGGGCGAGGAAGCTGGCCATCACGGCCCTCGGCAAATTTGTGGAGTGCCTGGACACCGATGTGTAGCTGTTGCGGCCGGTCAAACTTGGCGAAGTCCGAAATCATAAGCTCAGGTTGCTTGAGCTGCTCCTCCAAGGGTTGGTAGTCGACAAACTTGGGCATCTTGACCTGTGTAAAGATACCGCCAGACTGGTACGTCCCCAGGCCAGAGACATCACCAATATGGAACGTGTAAGGACCCTTAACAGTAACTTTGCGAGGAGCAGAGTTATTCAGACCATCCATGCCCTTCACCTCAGTGAATGTCACATAGTCTCCATCTTCTAAACCGTGTCGGCTCTCGTCAAGAGCGGACACTAGACCATCCTCATCAATGCCGGCCACAATGCCGCTCACAGGCTCTTCACCTGTAGCATCACCAATGGTGAAGTTCTTTCCAAAGTCGTTAAAGAGGTAACCGAAAAGACCGAAGGTGTCGGCAATGGTGAGGTAGATGCCATTCTTGTGGCAGAAGTCTGCAATAGCAAGTTGATCCTTCAGGGGTGTGAGAGTAAGTACCACTGCCTGATAGCGTTTCAGTTGCTCCAAGTTATCTACGAGGTTGCCACCTTCGTGGACCGTGACGGGAACATATGAGTTGAGTTCGGCAACCTTAGGGGCCGTCACTTCGGCACGCGGCTTGCCGACATCTTGGGCTTGAAGGAAGAACTGGGAGGAAAGGTCTGAAATGGCAACGGGCGCGGGATCGTATAAAGTGAGAGACTTCACACCGGCGAGAGCAATGTTCTTAGCTGATACAGTTGTTAGAATCGACTGTACTGCATGCGGCCACCATCGTACATACCGATCTCAACACCAAGGCCCTTCAGTCCGACAACAAGGACATTCGAAGTACCCATGCGCTTCATAGCCTCATGTCCAAGCACATACCTGCAGGTAGAGAAGAGAAATAGTCAGTATAGCCATTTCCGTGCTGAGATATGAAAGCTGAATACTAGGAGCACTCACAGCTGTCGACTGTATAAAGATTCATCGATCTCCCCCTGCTTAATCTTCTCCACAGTTTCCTGTGGGTTGTCGACCTTCATCTCGACGTCCTAGAACTTGTCAGCGGGCTAAAAGAAAATTTAGGAATGGATGGCTGATCCTGAGGCATACCGTCATGATCTTCTTTTCCGGTCGAGTTGGGGACTTGTCGGCAGACGCTCTTCGCTTTCCCAGCTTCGCAGCGTCGCGAACGGGAATTTCGGAGGTAATTGTGGCGATCTATAAGACGAAAGTCTTGCCTTCAAGCAAGACTTTCCAACAGTGATTTGACTCGAGTCTACAGCTCCCGGCACGGGCTTAGGAGGGGTAGCGGTCAAAGTACCGGGAAGGTGGCGGTGATTGTTCTCACTCTAGGATATTGTACAGAAGCCTCCGAAAAGAGATGGAGGAGTATGAAATAAAACGTTGAGATGCGAGACTGAAAAGCAAATGGACAGAACGACAGAGAAAGATGGGGAAAAGAGACAACGTTGTTACGATGGAAACGTCTCCTCCAGTAGCGACGTAAGAGGGACAAGCTGTCGGCGGCTGACTCAGCAGTAGAGCGCGGTGATTGGTCGTTGCCCCGCGAGCGGAAGATGACCGCCAAATTGCCAATGAACTACGAAATACACCTAGTATGAGAGCTCAATTGAGGGCGGTGACGGAAATAATAATGACGGGTACAATGGGTAAGCTCTGGAGGTATCTGAAGCTTAAAATAGCTAATACTGAGCTCTAACTATAGCCCCCACCCTCTAGGACAAGTCCTGCCTCCCTCCATCAATTACATACCTACGGAGATACTCTTCAACTCCGCATCCACGCGACGCGCCGCAATATCGGGCTGAACAAAGGCAGCAGCACCCTTGGCAGCTATTGAGTGTCGGCCACTGTACATGTGTCGGTACGAGCTTCTTGGACGCGGACTTTTATACTGGCAGCGTAAATGGTCCAGCGCGGACAAAGACGGCGCTTTGAGGTAGGTTGGTCTTGCAAGATAGTGTTAGCTCCTTTATCACGCACATATCTTAACGGTTTCTGTAGAGAGCTCCAAACAGAATGCTCCACGAAATCCTTCTCTCCCTCTCCGGCCAACCGTCACCACTTTTCCAAGCCCATACTGAAGAAGACACGGTCTCTGAGGATGCGTTTCCTCTCCTGTCACCTCCGGAGAAAGCCCTCCTCGCCTCCCTTGCCCGTCTGAGTCAACTCCACGCTAAACTGCGAGCTCATACAGCTCTGATCTCTTCCTCACACCCTTCTGTCATATGTCGAGCTGCTTCAACTGCGATTAGCACACAGCACTTAGGGAATTTCCAACGAAAGGTACTCGAAGTAGAAAAATCAATTTTAGTGGAAGATAGCGGGTATGTTGGTGGTTACGGGATTGTGCCGTTGTCAACGATAGTCGGCGAATTCTCCCCCTGGACCCGACGGCTCGAATGGCTATGGGAGGTTGCCCAATTTATTCTTCCTGGTCACAAGACAGCCAACAATCAGAGTTGCACAGGCGCAGCACTGATCGATTACCTTCGGGCGGAATCACAAACCGGATATATAGACATTGGAGAGATAGCGCTGCATCTAATCAGTGCGGCTGAAACTGCTTGGATGAGACAGCTGTCGACGTGGCTACTGCATGGGAACCTTCCTGTGCTAGGTAAGGACGACTTCTTCATTCAAGAGGATAGCATGGCCGAGGGCAATCGTGTCCCGGCCGTGACAAACTTTGTTCTACGAACAGACTTGCAACCAAAATTTGTCTCCCCGGATACAGCTTCATCTATCCTATTTATTGGGAAAACATTGAACCTTATCAGGGCAAAGCGCAGTGGCTCTACAACAGGTCCTCCAACGGGTCTCTTAACTACACCCGTCACTCTACACGGAGAACATATCGAGCACTTTGCTGCACTGAAATCACCTATATCGACTGCCAAACTATCCAATAGCATAAACTCCATTCGGTTATCATTGTCACAAAGCACGCTCTCTAAACTGCTACCACTCCCTAAGATCCTCGAGATTCTCGCTGTCCTCCATGATTTCTTGTTGCTGAGACGCGGCGAGTTTGCGTCGGCGCTTGTATCGCATGCCGATGCTCGTTTACTTGAAAGACATCGACGGCCGGGAAATCTGGCTTCCAAAGGCAAATTTCCCGAGGGCCTCCAAGGGCTTTCCATCAAAGAGGGAGATGTTGCGAATGCTTTGTCACAAGCGTTAGCTGAGCTGTATTCTTTGCAAAACGAGGAAGACCCTGTAGATGATGAGCTTGATCTTGCGAGAAGCCTTCTGCAGCTATCAATGAATGATAAAAGAAAAAGCCACTCAGTCGCGGCAACGCCTTCAGCAGGTGGGCCTGACCATGTAGCGAACATCTCAGATATCCCTTTCGATGACCTCCTTTTCCCATCTCCAACAGCTCTCTCAGCACAAGTCCACCCACCCTTGGATCTATTTCTCTCAGCTTCTGACGTTTTAATATATTCAAAGATTCACTCCTATCTTCTGGGTATACGACGTGCGCAACTACACTTGGGGGACCTTTGGAAACACACATTCCTGCGAAAAATTCACCCATCCCCATTGGGTCCACCCAGGAGCAACTCCCAGTTTGGCCAGAGCAAGCTCAGAGCGGGGAGGCAAAGGGATAACATCCGAACACGTCAGATGAGACCCATCTGGGCTACGTGCAGTGCTTCCCTTTTTGTATTATCAGAAATAGGCAGCTTTTTTCAAGGAGAGGTTATCAATGGCTCTTGGCAACACTTCCGGGAGTGGATTGGAGGTGCCCCAGTCTCGTCCACGAGCTCCCGGCCTGGAACTTCGTCGTCGTCAAAGAGCAAACCCAGCTATAACAGCATGGTCTCTGAGGAAACGTCTGAAACTGGATTGGACCGATCCACTCAGTTGCCAAGGACACAGCATGATCCTGAAACATTGACGGTCGCACATCGTCGATACCTATTCACCATGGTCCAGGCACTCTTCTTGACCGACAGACCATTCACCAAAGCTCTTCGGTTCCTACTTACCAGTGTTGACCATTTTATCGCACTTGTGGTCCGTCTCGAAAGCATTCAGCGCAATATGGACTTAGAGACAGACGAAGGTGTCGTGGACTCCTTAGTCGATTACGCCGGGGAGGAGAAGGAAGTATGGCAAGCACTCAGTGCAGCGCGAGGCGAAGTTGAGACGGGAATCAAGGTTCTTGTGGCACGGCTGAAAGACATTGACGACAGCCGGTCTGGAGAAGGACGAACAATGTTTGATATGTCGAAAAGTCCACGTGAAAACTGGTCAATGTACCAGCAAAATGGAACAGGTGCTGAGGCCAACATGGGTCACTATGTGCCCAGAAAGGCGGCCGGAGTGGATCGACTGCTAATGAAGTTAGACTTCGGGAACGCAAATGGAAGCATTGGGCCTGCAGCGTTTGTATCAGGTGGATATGGCAACGCGGGATACTAGGATTACCAACTCCTAGGAAACGAGTTATGAGTATGGTCATGTAATGTATTTTTAGCATGAACTTAGGAATCTACTATTGTCATGGGGCGACACATGACTGCCTAACTCCCCACCGTCCTCCGGGAGGAACTACTACCCTACGGAGTAGGGTCCGGGGAAGTCACTACCTACGCGGCCGCTAACATTAAGTTAGAGGGCTTCGGGGCTAGGAACAACGATAGCGTCACTAATGCCAGTCCTGAACTCTGCCACATAACCACTGCCTATGGCAGTCGGTCATATCTCCCCTGTGAGAGAGGAAGTCTACTAATGGGACTTATAGTCCCTCAAAGAAACAAAGAGAGGTGAGAATGTAACTCTCTATTAACACAGTTCAAGTCTCCTAGCCATTCTTTGCCTTAGGCTCTAATAGTATTTGTTGAAGCCTACCTAGTAGGTTTCGACTAGGCGGGATTTGGTTTAGCCCCTGCAGACTTGACACCTGCCGGATCCCATCAAAAAGCTTCATGTTTATTATTTTACTTCCTCCTTCTCTGCAAGCCATTGAGGCTCAACTCATGGATGGGACTCAAATATTTAACCGTTGTACCTTTCTAAAGTCAATTTTCTCCCATCAAGATTAACCAAGCTTGTCCATTTGGCCGGATGACGGTGTGACTATACACACAAAGTACAACACATTATCTCCTCTGAAACCGCCTGGGGCGAAGTTTGAGCAGCTAAGGAGCAGGCAGCACTTTGGCTCAAAAGATATGAAAGATTCCCTGGGCCTTGAAAAGGAGCTTTGTGAAACCTGGAGTTCTACCGAATAGGCCAATTACCAGTAACCCCATCGGCCTGGGGCAGTGTCAGCGGTCAAAAACGCAGCCACTGTCAAATGATCAACATCCAATCTCTTGTACCTCAATGTATATCGTCCTACATGCAGATTATTATACGGCGTTAGATGAGCACTCGCGAAAAAATTCTGAAGGTACACATGATTCAGAGTTCCTTTAACGGAATACCCAAATAGGTAACCGAGAAGATCGGGCCCTAGCTTCAGCCACAAGGGGAGAGCTTAATTTGTCGGGATCTCAACAGCCAGTGTCTATTTTAATTTCATGCTTATTCTCCGACCGACTAGGCGATGATCTACTTTGTCTTTGTATATGAATTTTTATGCTTGGCTCCTATGCCCCGCTTGACCATGAGCGGTTGAAGTGCTGATGAGGCCCCTAAATTGGTGTAAGGGGGATTATTGCCCAGCCGGGGAGACAGGCGAGATACCAAGAGGTTGGACTTGCCTAACAGGCAGGTTACTCGAAGAATCTTGAGTTCCTGTGGATGGAATGCTACGATCGAAAAGATTATCTACCTCTGCTATCGGCTCAGGCATGGTTGTCTTAGACTGTCATTTTTCATGTGCTAAGCAGCAAAAGTACTGTCGTGGGTCCTTCCATAGCGAATCAGCAAGAGGGACCGAAAAAAAAAAATAAGAAAAGAAAAGAGAAGGAAAAAAAATTATTACCAAGGAGGTATGGGTTACCAAATCAACCGGAAGTTCGTTTCCAGGCCACCGACGTTTGGAACTTTTGATATAGGCTTGTGGAGCAATGTTGCTATAAACACGCAAAGTGTGGGGAAGAAACAAAATGGGCAAGAAAAACTCTGGAAGGATGAATGACCCAAAGACTGGGACAGATACTGCAAGGATCGTCTAAGACTGACTGTCTAGAACCATGAAAAAAGCAACGGATACCCTAATCAGTGTTATCTTGCTGCGGGAAGGCACTTGGATCCATAACTCACTATGAGGGCGGATTACAACACCACTTACGATGCCGAGGCTGCTATTGGAGGATTGCCTTCCCGCAAAGATGGGAAGCCGGGGTAACCGTCGCTTCCCCGGCATTGGCTGGGAAAGGCAACCATCGTGAGCTCATTACAATACAACCTAAGCAAAAACTCTCAATTGTAGCCGGATTTTCTCGACATTGATTGTATCAATTGAATTCCATACTCCGTACAATTGGCATCACCGTTTGTCTCCTTTTTCTTTCCCCTTTTTTTTTTTTTTTTTTTCGCCACCAACTCCTATTGCGAGGGACACGTTGATACCGAAATCTGATCCAGTATCTGCCAATTCTCGGTCACCCCATACTCGGGAATCCCGCGCTGAGTGGGCCATTCCACAAACCTAATGATCGTCATCCCTCGATCAACTGACCAATCTGTCTTACCGTTCTCGGCCATGAACCATCGTCCGAACAAAAGCTCACGATGCTTTCTCAGACACAACCACACCCACAATTTCACGTCGGGATTATTTGTCCAATGCCGCTCCATGCCGGTTTATCCCCTCATCCCTGTGGCAAGGTTCTACCACTATAATCTGTGCATGGACTAGACCCTGTACCATGGATCCTCCCAGGCATTGAATTGGATCGGGGTCACCCTGAAGTCATCGTGAAAGCAATCTAGAATCCAATCGCGGACCCATCTGGGTATCACGCGGCCGTCTCGATTTTTCCTGCTGGCCTTGATTCGCATTCTCCTGTGCAGTACCTACGATGTTCGCTTTCGGTTGTTATGTCTTACCCCCGCGCGGTTTGCTCCCTCTGGGACTATAAACTCCAGGCCCTCCTCCGTAGATAGTGTGGTTACCAAGCGATTGAGACTTTTTTTTTAACCTGTGGTAGCATTTACTCCTGCTGTGCTATTTCTGTCCCATTTTATCACTGGCGTCTCTGTTTAATTTTTAATTCCTCTTAATTTACCACCACCGTAGCCATGTGCTCTACCCTATCGCAGACGCTGTTCCAAGCAGGCCGTTCATGGCAACCAAGCAAAACGCTCCGCCCACTCACACGACTCTCGTATTCCACAACTACCACTACCCATGGGGCGCATCACATCCAAACGCGGATGCCTCCAAAGGACTCAATCAAGAATGGGCATCGCTTTAAGGAATTCGACCTCAATGACCGCGTTTACGCCATCACCGGCGGTGGAAGAGGACTCGGTCTAGCCATGGCCGAAGCCCTAATGGAAGCCGGCGCCAAAGGTACATCCCAACTTGCTCACCAAATTCGCCCAGCATCCATATTAACCAACCATGGTATCTAGTCTACTGTCTCGACCGCCTCGAAAACCCCCACCCAGACTTTATGGCCGCAAAAGAGCACGCAGAAACCAACTACGGCGGCAGCCTGGAGTACTACCGAATCGACGTCCGCGACGATGCAGAAGTAAACAACGTGTTCGCCGAAATTGCCGGCCAGAACAAACGTCTGGACGGTCTGATCGCCGCAGCCGGAATCAATCACCTCCAGAGCGCCCTCGAGCACTCCCAAACCGCCATGAACGAAGTCATGCAGATTAACTACAACGGAGTGTTTAACTCCGCCACCGCCGCCGCCCGCCAGATGTTCAACTACCAGCAGAAGGGATCTATCCTACTCATCGCTAGCATGAGCGGCCTCATCGCCAACAAGGGCATGACTTCCCCTGTCTACAACTCCTCCAAAGCGGCTGTCATTCAGCTGGCTCGCTCTCTCGCAATGGAATGGGGCCGTCACGGTATCCGTGTGAACAGTCTCTGCCCCGGTCACATCATCACCCCCATGGTCGAGCAGGTGTTCCAGCAGAACCCGGCTTCGCGGGCCGTCTGGGAGGCAGAAAATATGCTTGGACGATTGGCGTACCCTGAGGAATTCAGAGGCGCTGCCCTCTTCGCTCTCAGTGATGCTAGCAGCTTCATGACGGGAAGCACGATGCTCATTGATGGTGGCCACACCGCGTGGTAAATTCCTTGTGTATATTGACACAATAAACAAAAGACAACCTTATCATATACATAGTATGGTTAATAATTGGGGAAAAGGGTATAAATAGGGGTCAACGGAAAAACACGGGTTTGTTTGGCGCGGGTTGCTTGTATAGCCTTTTTGTCTTGTCGGAATCTTGAGCACGCGCGTTTTTGTGTCGCATTCTATGCTTGCTGGTTTGATTGCATAGTTGGTTGATCGGGTTCTTTTAACATACCTTTTTTTTTTTTTTTGCGGCATGTATTTTGCATCGATATACATATGAGCTCATAATTGGATTTCCAATTAGTCTTCTTGCTTCAATTATTCATCTTAGGGGTTCTTATAAAGTCTTGGTGTTGATAGCTGGGGCTTTTGTTATTGAACCTTTTGTATTATCCGAGGTGTTTAAGCAAGTAAATGTGACATTTTATCAAATCATATCTAGTCCTTACATAACCAACCTAAACAAGTTTTATCTTAGAGGATATACGTAAATTTCTCCTCCACGCGACGTCCAATATTCCTCCCACCCATAAGCACCTCGCTCTCCTCCCCACCATGCATCTCAATCTCATCTCCCTCTGCCTCAACCTTGCGACGCAACCTTAGCAGCATAACCCTCAACACGAACGCCAAAACTGCCACAACAACCATGAAGAACGAACAAGTCGCCATTCCGCGGACATACCATGGACCATCAACACTAGGGTACAACCTCGTCCCGAGGAGCGGTCCACACTGACCAATCACATTCATAATGGCAATACTCGCGCCTTTACCTTCTTTGGCGACGCGGTTATCCATAGTCCAGGTCATGATCAGGGTGATGGCAGAGAAGAAGCCCGCTGTTGCAGGGTAGACGCAGAGGTATCGAATGGTTGTGTGTGCTGCTGCGGGGAGGCGCGCGTGGAAGTGACCTGTTAGGGCGATGATAAGGTAGGATGCTGAGGAGAGGAGTGCGTGCGTGATGAGGTAGGGGCTTCTTTTGCGGTTGCGGTCGGAGAGGTAGGCTGTGAGAAGGACTACAATGAAGGCGAAGAGGAAGGGCGGGGCGGAGAGGGCTTGTGAAGTTACGGAGGAGTAGCCCATGCTGTTTTTTTATGTTAGCCTTACATGTTGGGTAGGTGTTGATTTTGTGTATGCTTACTCTTTTATGATGGTGGGGAGGAAGACGGGCATGGAGCTGAATGCTACATTGCAGCTGAAGAACATGAACTAGTAGATATCTTATTAGTAGAGCGCGTTTTGGGTGTTGATGTGAGATCTGTCGGGGCTTACAGCTGTAATGTAGGACTTGGGATCGGCTAGCGTGGTTCTGACTTCCTTCCAGTTGAACTTCCCTTGACGTGGCTCGTGGTGGTTTGGTTTGTTCTCTTCCATCCGTAGCTCGGCTACCATTCTCTGGCGCGGTCCCAGAAACCAGGCGCTGCCGGGTGAGTCTGGGATCACGATCCAGGCGAAAACTGCGACGATCACGCTTGGAAATCCTTCTACTAGGAACAATGTGCGCCAGGGCGCGATTGGGCCGTTGCTGCTCATTTTGACAATCACCCAAGCGAGGCTACTTGCAAACGATGAAGCCAGGGGTGCCGCGGAAATGAACAGTCCGTTTCGAAATGCGAGCTCTTCGCGTTTGTAGAAGAGTGATAGGTAGAATGGGACGCCCGGGCCAAACGCCGCTTCTGTAATTCCAAGAAGGGCGCGCAGGAGGACAAGACCCCCGAATGAAGTAGCCAGAGATTGGAAACATGCAACAAGGCCCCATCCACATACGCAGAGTGAAATGTAAATATGCGGCGGGACGAGACGATACATTAGAGTCATCCATTCAAAGAGTATATAGGTGATGTAAAATGCTGTAAGAAGCCATTCATATTGCGAAGATGAAAGCTTAAGATCATCCGTCATGCCAGCAATTTTGGCATTTCCAATATCTGAGTCGCTGTTAGCTTGCTGTATGTATATTATCACCTGTGATTTGGGGGCGGCGGTCTCGCTGCTTTCTGACATGATATATCATCACTTACTAGACCGATCCAAGAAAGAGAGTAGATATAGTAGCGCTAAGAATGGAACTAGTCGGTGATCGAATTTTTTCACGATCTGCTTCTCTTCTATTGCTGTATACTTCGGGAAGCCCGTATCAGGCTTCCCTTCAGAATCGTCGTAAGAGTCGTATCCATCGTCGCGATCGTCTCCGTCGGCACTAAATTGCGTTTGCACTTTCAATGAGCCCGGAGGTGGGCGACTTGGGGGCCCAAATTCATCTTCAGATCTGTCGGATACAGGTGTATACTGAACGGGGGAGGGCGTTGTGTTACTAGACGTGGAATACGCGGCCTCGGTCGGCTGAGGAAACAAGGAGGCCATTTCAGGAAGCATGGAAAGTACGCTGGTAGCAGCTCAAGGCAGCATCTCTCTTCAAACGGAATAAGCCACAATTGCAACTCAAACTTTACAATCCCCGGCCTGCATTTGGCGTATAACGAGGTAGTATCGTGTTGGGGGTCAAAAGAGATACAGTATTGCGTATGTATGGAATTCCCGATCAGGAGAGTGCACGTGGTGCCCACTAGCGTTGTGATTTGCGCCAAGACGTGGGAGAAGGGAATATGATTAAAGAGCATGCACTGCATTCTTTCTACCTATAGTACATTACAATGCTTCACCCATTCCTCCGTTTCATGCTAATGTACAAACACGTTACAAGATGAAACTCACTGAGTAACAGACAGGTCAGAACGCACCTCAACTCCCAGCAATCAATCCAGCCCATGTTAAGTTAGTATGCAAATGTATTCACCCCCCACCAAACCACAAGCGAAGAGAAAACACACATGGTCTAAGGGTCATTTCCTAGGACGGTATGAGTCGAGGGCCCGCCGCTTCCTCCTATGACCATGTCTCTCAATACCTTCATCGAAATGCCTCTTTCGACCACCCGTAAGCTGTGTCGCCTTATCCCTGGCAATCAGGAAGACCTGCTCTACATCCGGGACAGAGGTATGGTCTGACAGTCCGTTTGAATGAAGATAGCGAAGAACATTTTCGGCTGTGTCTCGAAGAAAACGAACTGCCTCGATGCCAACAAACCCCTCCGTTTGCAAAGCTTTGTAGTACTCATCCTTGGCGCGGTGGTAAACATCCAAAAGCCTATCAACTCGGTCGAAAACTTGCTGTGTGTGTCTTTTCGAACTGGTCTTCAAATCGGTCTGTTCCACGTAGTGATGATCGTTGTGATCCCTGGGTTCATGTTCAGGGTTAAAAGGTGCCTGGTCAACAAACAATGTCTCAGGCTGCAACTTATGACCGATAACTATCTCCGGCGTAGTACCATGGGTGGAAGCTAAGACGCTACAGTTAAAGAAGCTCTGTGAACGGAGGAATACGATGGTACGCACCTCTGCTCAGTACATTTTCCAGCTCGAGCTGTTTAGCTAGTATAGCTCTACTTTGAGATGTAGGCGAGATAGGAACAATGCCGAGAAATTCAGTTAGATAAAGCTCAAGTGCACCGGTGTCAGTCAAATTCTCTCCATTTCTGCTGAGCTTCAGGAGCGCCCGGTCGTAGGTGGTTATCTGACCATCCTCGAAAGCCTGTGAGCGGCACTTGATCAGAGAGACCTGGCGTCGAAGCGCGCTGAAGAGAAGCGATGCCTGTTCCGGGCTTCCGAGAATTTCGCGGAGGATATCAGTGGTGCTTTGTTGATTGATCGTGTAGTATTTGCGCACCAGCTCGTCGGCTGTCCTTTCTGGGTCGACTCTTCTTTCTCGATGACTTCTCCAGGGGGATGGAAGCCAAGAGGATGCCATGGCTGTTGATTGACAAGGAGAGTTGAGGACAACAGATATGAAAAGGGCGCAGCTACCAAGGAAAAATATTGGTATGTAGAATTAATAAATCAGTATGCATTGAGTATGAGTGAAAGCAGAGCAGGTAAACACGGATGACTTCCATGAAGCATACTAGAAACACAACAAAATATCCTGTTGTTGGGACCCTGTATAGCAACAGGATAATTTCAGTGCTAGTAAGGGTGAATGGTTGCTGTGACAAATGTGCACGATTACTTTTCTGTAAACGATGCAATGTGGAGGGGAGATGAGAGTATATGGCGTGCATCTGTGAAAGATAGTCCTTTGTGATTTGCGTATTATTTTGCATGGCAGAAAACTGAAATGCAGAATCTTCTCGATCAAACAAGAAGAGAAAAAAGAAACAGATTCTTTTAGACATTATGAATTAGCGAGCATCAATATCTGCAATAAATAATGCTTATATATATCGCGGATATCATCTTAATACTGTCACCTGCAGAGATACGAGCTGAAGCTGTAACCAGCAACCCTTGGAGACGATTTTCATAAATCATAACAACCATGCAGCCATCATAACCCTTCCATAACACTTAGTTCTTCTCTTGCCAGAGTCTTTCGATTTCCTCCACGAGTGTAGATACTTGACTGCCCTCCCCCTCCTTAGCGCAGTTCTTCCATTCTCCGTCATCGCGGACGCACCAAACAGAGTCATCCAGCCGGACAGTACAACTCGTATGAACTTCAAGGTCTGCACTATGGACAGCACTTTGACGCAACAAAGCGAGACCACTTAAGTCGCCATTGTTGGGATCATCCTCCTGCCTGCTAACGCAGCTGTTCAAAGATTCAAAATCAATACCATGTTGTAAGGCGCAGTTTTGAACCAGTGCGCGGTCCGGGATAGCCTCGTACTGGCCGACAAGACAATTCGCAAATCCGAGGGAACGGATGGTAGGCATGCGAGTAGTTTTCTCGGTCTCACCCTCAGGTGAGAAAGGGAGATCTTGAGCGCAAAGCATAAGCATGTCGCCAATGCATTCGCCAGGGCCGTGTTTGCAATGTACATCAGATGATTGATTAGTGACGCTAGATGCCGGTTAGTTCCGTAGGTTACAATATTAAACCGAGATCGCCCTGCCTACACACCTTGCAATGAAGGACAATTCAAAATCGACTTTCTCACTGATACGCTCCATAGTAGGAACGACCAATTTCTGGAGACAGTCCTGCGCGTCTGGACATTTGCTCATAATATGAGCCTCAAGCGGGACCTTGTTACTTGATGCCAGCACAGATGTCTCACCACCCTTCGGGGAGGATAAAAGTGCACCGAGTTTTCCCCTCATTTTGTGACAGGCAGGGAAATTGATGTTTGGGATGGCGAAGAACACGGTGCTTAGCGTGAGCAATGAGATTAAGCTCAGGGCAACTGCGAGCTGGGAATTGCGACCGCGTCGGGCACGTATCGGGGTCGCATCGGGAGAAGTTGGGATCTCAACATAATGGTGTTGGCCATAAGGCCGGTTTTCCGACTTCTCCATAGTTACCACTTAACTGGTGAGTATTCGTTGTGAAATGTGACGGATAGCTATGGCGCGTAAGGGTTAGATAAAGGAAGTAGAAATAATCGAGAACCTCGATGGAGTCTTCTTCCCCATGTAAGATTGAATCATGGGACACTTGAATGGCCAATCGTTACGCAATACGTCTGTCAGTTGTCACCGCTATACCTAATTTGTCTAGGAACATCCATACCGCCTACTTAATTCAAGCGCTAAAGCTCTCTAGGTAGCAAGGCGGTTTTTCAATTGATAATACGTGATTACCTCATGGGCTCCGACCGAGGAAAGGGCCTCTCCACTTGTCTACTGCGACAATAGTATCTCTATCTAAAAGGCTTCTTGAAATTCTAAAATTACCCAAGATGATGATAACCTATAGGGGCCTCTACTTATTTTTTGACCGAAAATAATCGCTTGGGATGGTATGATGAGCGTGAAACTCCTAGCCCCGCCAAAGATGAGAGAGTGTTCAATTAGCTCTGCCAGCAAATGCCGAACTCCGGTTCAGCCCCACTGGACAAAAGAACGGTTCCCTATTTCGGCAGCTCTCGTTATAGTCCAAGTAAGTTTCTTTTCCTATGTCTTCTTCAACATTCTGGACATCTATGCGCTGCAACAAAATGCTATGACTATCGGGCCCTTCACTGCATAATTCTGAACCACACCTTCCTGCGTTTCCACATATGTAGCGTCATCAATCGAATGTTAAAATTACTGTATAGGGCGTGATTACTCTTCATTAGTGGGATTGAAGCCCAAAACAACCCAATTGTATGCGGCATTGTAACCATTTAAATTCAGGCATATAAATGATGTGGCTTCGTAAAGGACACCAGATAGTAGACTCCAGAAGTACGCCTGATATTTCGTCCTAAATTCAATAACACACAATGAAGATCGAATCGTCGCTACAAGACTTCTCCTTAGCTGGCTATAAATACATGGCGTTTTAAAGAGTGGTCAAGTGGAGGGGACGCCTCTGGTTTCAGCTACTCCTTTATAATGAAATTATATATCCCAGCATGTCTAGAAGATATACAGAATGGCTTGGATCGGTTATGTGGAGTCTTGAGTGCCTCCCAATGCTTGATATGGCATAGAACTATGCATGTGCCTTGATTTTTCTGTACGGCTTACATTATCCACACAGGGGAAACAGTTAAGGAAATATTTTGCGATAGGTTATCATATAGTAGCAGCAGATCTCAGTGATACCCACATGCAGACCCACCTATGATTTTTCTTTTCTCCTACTAGTATTTTTAGAACTGCTTACTCCTCTGTCAAACCATTACAATCTGCGAGAAAATGCACTTCCTGTACATCTGGAGGGAAGAACAACGCATCATGTCCGATAATATTTCTTCTTTATCCCTTCTCCATGGTCCATCCGAGCCAGCCCTAAAATCATACTCTATTGGGCAACTCCTCAACCAGCAGGCAACCCACTTCCCAACCAAGGAGGCAGTCATCTTCCCAACTGAGGGTGTTAGATACACCTATCAAGAGTTGAATTCAAGAGTACGAATTGTTTCCCGCGCACTCGTAGCGCGTGGAATCAAAGCCGGTGATCGTATCGGCGTCTTCTGCGGTAACTGCGTGGGATATGCAGAGGTTTTCCTAGCAGCAACTAGGATCGGGGCGATTACAGTATTGCTCAATAATGCATACTCAACTACAGAATGCCTAAATGTACTCAGAACTACCGGTAAATGATTCCCTGGCTTTTGTTTCACCTGGGAGAGACAATCTTACTAATTACATAGGGTGCTCGTTGCTTTTCACTGCAACACATATCGGACAGCGTGACTTGGCATCTTGCCTCAGAGCTCTCAAAGCTTCATTAGATAGAGACGAAATTCCTGATTTGAAGCAAATCGTTCTATTGAAGATGGATGGCGACACTCGAGAGCAGTTCCAATTTTTTGACAGCTTCCTCGGCTTGTCGAGCAACATACCAGACTCGACACTCTCTGAGATAGAGCAAAAAGTCCAGCCCGATCAGACCTGCACTTTCCAATTCACAAGTGGCACGACCGGTGCCCCTAAAATCGCCATGCTGACACATAGGTATTACTCCGGGGTATGAAGAATTTAACTCTACAATACTGATATGTGAATAGGAACGTAATCAGCAATGCCCATTCCATCGGCTATCGTCTACTACTATCAGAAAAAGACGTCGTCTGCTGTCCATACCCTCTATTCCACATTTCCGGACTGGTAATAGGCCTACTCTCCTGTCTGACATACGGAGCCGCAATTGTATACCCGTCACCCACATTCGACCCCTCGGCCGTACTCCACGAAGTCGTGCGAGAAAAGTGCACAGGGCTTCATGGTGTGCCGACCATCTTCATTGCTCTCCTTGAACGATATCGTCAGCTCAAGAATGGCCCAATCCACCTCAGAACGGGTCTTATAGGCGGCGCACCAGTCCCCGCAGCTTTACTTAGGGAGATGCATAAGGAATTCGGGTTCGAAGATTTGACGGTGGCTTACGGTAAATCTCTCCCCTTATCCATTTAGATGTTTACTTCTCTGATACATGAACTAGGAATGACTGAAACATCCCCGATCAGCTTCATGTCTCGATCAGCAGAGCAGCCAAGTGATGCGGTAGTGCATAGAGATATACTTCCTCACACATTTGCCAAAATCATCGATTCATCAGGGAATATTGTGCCACAAGGAATACGCGGCGAACTCTGTATCGCGGGGTCCGGCGTGCAGAAGGGATACTATCAGAATCCTGAAAAGACTCGTGAGGCGCTTAAAACAGATCCCTCCGGGGTTGTGTGGATGCATACGGGTGACGAAGCAGTTATGGATGCACGGGGACATTGTGTCATCACTGGTCGGATTAAGGATATTATCATCCGGGGTTAGTACACCCTTATAACGCTTCATAGGTTGCGCTGGTAACTAATATTCCCCAGGAGCGGAGAATATCTATCCGGCAGAAATCGAAGAGCAATTGAACAAACACCATACCATTTCTCAGTCTTGTGTCGTCGGGGTCAAACATGAAACTTTAGGCGAGGAAGTGGCAGCTTTTCTACAGAGCACTCCCGGTCAGCCGCGCCCTTCTGCTTCTGAGATCATTGAGTGGTTACAATTGAGCTTGGGGGCCCAGAAAGCACCCGCATGGATCTTTTGGTTGGGAGATGGCGATGTGCCTGTTGTCTTTCCGATTACTGATAGTGGGAAGATCAAGAGGAATGAGATGGCGGATTTAGGAAATAGGTTTGTTGGAAAATATAGAGAAGGTACCAAACTTGATGGTGAGGTTCATGGGGTATCGAATAATGTTGCTTGTACATAGTCGTACTTAGCAGTATAGCAGTAGGGTATACTCCGTTCATCTATTCAGAACACGAATCGAGCTTTTTGCAACGCGGATTAAATTTGCCCGGCAATCCACAGTGAGGCCGATTCCTTGTGGAGAAAAACTGGAGTATGGATTCGAGCGAAGTTCTAGAAGCTCGTGAATGAAGAAAGGAGTGGATACTTGTTGAATATGCCGTCATCTTCAGGTCCGGCAAAAGTCCGGTGTTGCGGTAAAACTCCGGACTGCAGCTATCGTTGTCCAGAACTATATAGAGCCCTAGATCCCATTCATCAAGGGAACAAACTACCCTCTATTATTTGGACAAGTTCAAAGTCTTAAAAGATACAAACCAATAACAATGGCCGATATTCCTTCTACAACAAGTACGTACATCTCTACCCGGCCGACATGAGTAGATCCCAACGCTGACATGACCAGATCCAAGCCCAGTCCACACTGGGCCCTTCCCATCAATTAGCTGCCCATTCAACTCAAAAGAAACAAGATTAGAGACACTCTCTTCGAAACCCCCACTTGAATCAATCCTCAATACCTACGACTTCGAAAAAGTCGCCTCCCAAGAACTAAGCCGTAAGACGTGGGCATTTTATTCATCCGCAGCTACGGACATGATCACACGAGATGCCAACAAAGCCATCTATGATCGTATCCTGCTCCGGCCAAGAGTCCTCCGGAATGTCAATAAGGTCAACACTCGGACTACCATTCTCGGATGCGAGACCGGTCTACCGTTATTTGTCAGTCCCGCAGCCATGGCGAAGATGGTTCATCCCGACGGCGAACTGGCGATCGCAAGGGGTTGTGCGAAATACGGCGTTGGCCAATGTGTGAGTTATGCTTACTTTAAGGTCCGGTGATACCTGCTGACGATAAAAGTAGATTTCTACGAATGCATCATATACAGTGTCTGATATCACGGCCTGCGCGCCTGGTCACCCTTTCTTTTTCCAGTTATATATCAATCGGGACCGTGCTGCATCAGAGCAGCTTCTTCGGCAAGTTGAAAAGAGTGGGATTAAGGCTGTTTTTCTCACTGTTGATGCCCCGGTTGCAGGGAAACGGGAAGCGGATGAGCGTGTCGGGGCTGACGCCTCGGAGATTATATATACAGCACCTATGACCGGGGCACAAGGTGTTGGTGATGCAAAAGGCAGTGCGCTTGGCAGGACGATGGGAAGATATATTGATGCTAGCTTCACATGGGAGGATTTGAAGTGGCTTCGACAGTCAACGTCCCTGCCTATCGTGTTGAAGGGCATTCAGACGGCCGAGGATGCCTTGATGGCAATGGAACACGGAGTCGACGGGATCGTTGTGAGCAATCACGGTGGGAGAAGCGTAGACACGTATGCTTATATCAATTGTACCGGTAGAATAAGGCTAACTTGAGTGGATAGGTCGACGTCATCGATAGCGGTATTGATGGAAATCCGTCAATGCTGTCCCCAAGTATTTGAGCATCTCGAAGTCTATGTCGATGGTGGGATCCGTCGCGGGACTGATATTTTTAAAGCTATCTGCTTGGGAGCTAAAGCCGTAGGAATGGGAAGGCAGTTCTTGTACAGCCTCACATATGGACAAGAAGGTGTGGAGCGCTTAATTGAGAGTATGTATTGGTCTTTTCCCATCCGGCTATTGCTGCTAACGAACGCAGTCATGAAAGACGAACTTGAGACCACGATGAAGCTGTTGGGCATTACAGACCTCTCGCAGGCACATCCCGGACTCCTTAACACTCTAGATGTGGATCATTTGATCCCGAAGAGACTTGGGGAAACGTATAGCGGCCCGGTAGTCAAGGCAAGACTGTGATGGTCATACAGCTCATTAGGGGAACACTCCCTGAACCTTTATACCAGTGAATATCTAATGAATAAGTTGATGTGTATAAGATAGAAATCGCGGTCCGATTGAGGGACTATATGCCCAGCTCAAAGTTATCTGCTGCCATCTGACCGAGAAGTGTCTCATCGAGTCCGAAGCCAAAAGACCCTCCGAGATCGTAGAAATTATAATCCCCTGCCCAGAACGCATTAGCATCGTTAGATTCGGAAGGCAAGGCCGGAAAATGGTCTATGTCGCCACCATCTATCCGATTAGCAAAATCGGTTGTCTCACTCTCATCTAGAGCACGAAATTGCTGCAGCATCTCAAGCATTCCTGTCGCTATATGTTTCGCAATGTGACGCTCATTGAGGCTCATAGCAACATTAGCCAGCATGTCAGCAGAGCGCTGAACAAGAGAGACAATATGTCTTGTATTTACAGCCAGACCGAATTGCGTCGAGCTCTTCCCCCATGTGGCAGCCATTTTCAAAAGAAACGTTGCGCAGAACGCAACCATGGTATAAGTAAAGATGGGAACACCAGGAAAGGCACGACGAAGGTCGTCATCTTCTAATATCAGGGTGAGTGTACTTGTAGCCGCCGCAATGGCTGCATTGGCAGCTTCCCGATGCGCCAGTGATAGTGGGCTCTTAGAGGTAAGTTCAGGATTAGATGTCAAGCCAGAAGGACTAATACCACGCAAAGCAAGTGAATTCAACTGGAAGCGGGCAAAGTGATAGTACAGTACCAACGCTTTTGAGGGATAGGATCCCAAGGCAGCACAGTCCTTTGAGCGAGGTTGCCACTGTAGTCTCCACTGATCAATTGCCACGTTAGAAACCCATAACTTATCGAAGTCTCTATCTTCTAGCGGTCGGTCTGGTTCATTCCCAAAAGCTACGTAGGCCTCTGTTAAAATTGCGAATAGTGCAACTTGTGCGGCCAATCTCGCATCGCCGGGGTTTACCTCCGTCGTATGCATGAATCGCTCAATATTTCGGATGGATTCATCATCAACCGCCGCCGGTGGACGGCCATGGGCGATACTGAACTGATGATCACAAACATAAGTTGCATACCAGAGACAGACACGGTCACGCTGCATATTATCGCCCTGTATCAACTTTTGATACGATTGGTGTAAGCCAATCTCGGCCGCAATACGCGTGGCCTGTCCTGAAAGCTTCCAGCTGAGATTTGCGAGATAAAATGCTCCGATGCAAAGCGCCCGAACATCATCGACGCTATGATTACGAGACAGTGACGAGCTGCAGACCAGTGAGACAAATACGTCATAGCTCTGGTGAAATGCTTCGGTTTTCTCGGGGGTATGCAAGGCACCGACGGTAAGGACTACGGCTGCCAGCAGCGTTGAAGCACGTCGAACAGAATCTAACGTGCGATGAAACGGTAGTATACCATCCCATAATAATCTATTGTTGATACGCATGAAGCGATCGAAGAGGTATTCAGCCTCCGCAAGTGTAATCACCCCTTGAGAGATGAAGTCATCATGAATCAAGGAGGAATTCGGCTTCCATCCTGCATTAACGCGCAGGTTCTTCAACCTAGTAAGTTCGTACAGATTGCGCATAGGCACTGTAACGAGACTGGATGAATTGTCTTCTTGCGGCTGGGGGGAATTTTCTCTTGACATGTCCATTGGAGCCATGGATGGCTCGTTTACATTTTGGGGCTCCGAGCAAGGGCGTGGTGAGCCAACCACTTGACCCTTGGAGAATGTCCATAGCTCCGGTTGTTTGGTTTTCTGTAACAGATGGGCAACAGCAGCTCGTAGAAGTGTAATATCTGCTGTTGTTTGTATTTTCCAGCTGCTATGTGTTAGAGGTAATGTTGATAAGGTAAGATTAATCTTACTCACGCTGAGTCCTCCTGTAAGAATTGCTGAGATATGTCATGTGAAATACAATCTAGTTTATGGCGAATACATCTATTGCATGATGTTTCACCTGGATTTGTTTCACATTTCGTCTTTTGCTTCTTACATTCCATGCCTATAGTACTAGCTCGTTAGCACCGCCGTCGGCCGAAAGATTTCTTGACTTACACACTCGACTCCTTGTTAATCGTAGGCCTTTCCTGCTCGAGACTCGAGACTCTTCGTCTCCATCTGAGCGCTGTCTTTTTCTCGGCATGATGACGGGTGCATTGTCATTGGTGAATAATAATGGGTGGTCGAAGTGCAGGCAGTGCTCAGTGCTACTTAGTAGGCGGTCCAGCTGAGGTGCCCAGTCTGTGCCCAGAAAGTGGAGGGTTTCCCAAAGAAGTTTAGCGTGATATGGACGGTTTGCATATGGCTTGACCCAAAGTACTGCTGGATAGGTAGTAAAGAACCCTGTATTTTACAAAGCCCCTTAAAGCTAATATGTGTGAGTGGTGAAAACGATAGTTAAACAAAGCACGCGATGGATCGGTATGTGTATAAGGTACAAGAACGATTCAACGGATGCATACATACATGCGGCATCGAAACTACTAGTAGGTAGAGAGTCGAGCCCTTATCTTGTTGGTTAGTATACGTAACATCCCAGTAAGTCGCGTAAATTATTGATGGTAGCTACTAGTGGCAGAGCGCCGAGGTCCTTCTCCTGGGCTGCTGTAGCCCATGCCTGGGGATGAGTAAACCGGACGTCCCATAATACTTAATAAGTTACGGAGTAATTACGCTAACGATTACAAAGCTGTAGATGATGAGGTCCTAGGTTCAATCCCGCGTAGATGCACTTTTTTGCCGCTATTCCCTACCCCGTCCACCATAATATTGCAAATATACTATGGGCAGCTACCTCAATCGTTACCGGAGCCCAGCATTTAGAAAGAACCTGAGTGAATTCAAGCTATTTCAACTTACCCCTGAGGCGATCGGCTGGAACCACTATCACAAGAAGTCCACCCGTATAACTCATGTGGATAGCTCTAAGCTCCAGAGAGATATGGAAGTCAAGTGCCAGCATCAGGGAAGGAGAATGACTAATAAAGCTGGGCGGGTAATTTACAGATTAAAGGCAGGACAGGCAGCGACTTGCCGTCCGAGGTTACGGGTGGAATGACGGCCGTTTCTGGCTGTCATTTTCGGCGTCGATTTCACGGGTCTATATTCTACTAGTAAATACTCAAAACACCGGCCTTCCTCCGGATTTTCGCCGAATATCCTTACATCAACTCAAATGAATCCTGTGTCCTTTTGTGAAGGGATTTACAACATATGTAGAGCTAATATTAAATGCATAAGTGGGGGCAATCTCCAGAGCCATTTAGCACTTGATTCAATGTTGACACACCGACCATCGACATCTCTTAAAGCCGTGGCAAAATCAATCAGTTGTCATCGCGAGTTCTTCCGAGCCAACATCATTATTGTCGCGTGCTAGACAGTGATTGCGTGAAGATACTTGCATTCCTAAGGGCTAGGTGTCGCTTGCGACACGCTACTGCATGCTACCTGGCAATAACATCATTTTCGATTAACCAGGAGGCAGACTGGAGAAACTTGCCCGAGTCATCCACCTCGCCAGGAGGGGTGACGAATGACGTCCAGTGAGCTAGCGCCCTATTAGTAGACGCATTCGATCACCGGCTATATACCGAGACCCTAGGATCTACGCAATGTTAGAGGGGGCCGCCTTCTCGCCAGCGTTGACCTAAATCTCTCCGACTTCGGAGGCAGGTTAAGTCTATGTCGAACTCCATCTAACAGACAGACTTTCAGTCCACCTTATTTTAGGACGAATGCGCTTTTTAGAAAGCTGATAGTGGCCGTGAAGGTTCCTGATTCAGCCGAAACATATCCGGGAATTAACCATAACCTATCTCTGCAGCTCGCTCCATGACCCACATGATACGATGGCGAGCACCAATTTGGCGATGCTAACGATGGTTTTATGGCGTTGCAAAAGGTCCTCGTGTCCACAGTCCTCCTGCAGGTTCTCGGCTCGAGTCAAAGCCCAACAAGGCGGGCAAGTCTCAACGAGGATAGGGTGATCGCTTTTCCGCCTGGGCTTTGTTTAGCACGTTGTGTCCGTACATGAGAAACCTTCGTGCCATCTCACCGGGAAAGGTCATGGCGCCGGTTGATCCATGCGAGGTTTAACAAATTAGGGATCTTTGACAAGATGAAAGGGTCTGAAACGCGCGGCATCTAACTTGACGTTAAAGTCAGTGCGTTTGAGTACCGGAGTCGGTAGAGATTGCCCTGCCCCACTGTCTTCCACATGGTCTGTCTGATTAAATGTCTAGATGCTTGGTGCAGTATTTTTTCAGTGTTTTTTTTTTTTTTCTTTTGCTCGGAAGAGGACTTAGTTTCCGGTGTGAATATCAAAAATCTGGTTGTTTTCATTGGTTGTGTTCAACATAGTTTCTCTAGTGAGTCACTGTTGTAGTTCCAATTGATGAAGATTGATTACAAAATTAGTTACAGAGCAATATGTGCAGTCTTGCTTAAACTTTATTGTTAATGATTATTATTATTGATATTATATTTTTCTCCTTTATAAAAGATTTTTTTTTCTTTGCATTGAGAGAAAGATGAAAAAAGGAAAAGGTTGTTTACGTAGCATCTAAGATAAATGAAGAGCAGGCATACATATGTACAATCGATGCGAAAAGGTAACCGTGATAATAGTCCACTCGGACCATTGAAAATAGCAATGAGCGGGAGGGGAGGGGAATTGACCAAAGAAATCGATGAACGAATAAAATCCAAAACAACATGACCCGAGAAAAGAAGCTCCTCCGAGACGCTCCGCCGGGGGAGGTGGATAGAAGAAGTAAAAAGCATCATCCGGTGGTACTGTACCAATTGTACCAATAATACGACTGGGCCTCCAGCGTCACATCGTTTGGGAGATGGTCACATTCGCTCCATCCAACGGCAGCGGCTCTTCTACCTTACTATCAATCATATTAATCTACTAAACTAACCTTCGTCTTATTTTCCCTTTCCTGTCCACAACGCCTCTTTATTATTTTTTCGCTCTCTCTTTCTCTTTCGCTTCCTAATTCATTTTCTGGGCCTCGTCTCCGGTGTGGAGACCTGGCCATATATTCCCCGTATCCACTGGCTGGTCTTGTTTGTTCCTTTTTCGTTTTGATTTTACTTCGCATGATCGTGCTAGTTTAAATATAGTACTTAATTGACTCCTTCCCTGTCTTCTCCGTCATACCTACTGTGTACCCACATCTACTGTAACATTTTACACTCACACTCAAACTCACATATACACTATTTACTGCTGCCTTCAGCGACATCAACAACTACGACATAGATTCTGCTACTCTTTCACTTTGTGTGAGTGCAACCACTCTGTGCAAGGTAAGTAGCTACTGTTTTCTTCTGGGCCTAGTCACCCCCCCCCTGATAAGGTTTTCTTACTTGGTGCGTGCGTTGAAGCTCCCTGCATTATGATCGTCGAGGTTGTTGCTTCTTGTTCCCCCCCCCCCCCCGGCAAGATTTTGTTCTTTATCATTCCACTGCAGATACGCGTCATCACAGTTGACAGGATTGAATGTCTACATCTTTGCTATTCTAAGTTACCGCGATACCGAAACTGACATTTATTTCTCATCTTCCAGCTCCATAGCATACGATTGCGACAGTGCCCCACACGCTTGACCGCACTCCGTATTCACTCCTGATCGCAAGTGGAATCTCAAATAAGGTTACTCCATAACTCCCCCGGATTCCTTTGAGGCATGCGCCTTATCGCTCAAACCCCAGTCCTCATTCCGGTCCCTTATCCTTCCCACTCGTAAACATTCCGCGATACAGGAGCAAATAAACACAAAAGCCCAAACTCCGTTCCCCACGGCGCCTTGACCGGACGACTTATCCGCTCGAGAGCCGTACAAGTCGACTTCCTCCGGTGCGCAATTATTCTACATTCCCGCTCTCCGCGAAATTTTCCCTTTTCCTTCCTTCGGGATTTCATCTTACAATGGCTCCGATCACTACGGTGGCTGCGGAGAAGACGAAACAAGAAGAATATGATGATATACATGAGGACCCTATTGAGGATGAGGAGGATGAAGGTCCCGACCTAGACCCTTCTCAGAGGGAGTACCTAGAGCATCATCGCAGACTTGATCAATTCCTATCGCCACTGTCTCTTGATGAAGCGGTTCTATACAAACTTGCGCGTCGCTTCTCTAGCGTGTATCGCGATCTGGCCTTACACTCGGAGGAACAGTTTCTACCGACGCCAGTGACGCATTTGCCCACAGGCTTGGAAACAGGACGTTATCTAGCCATCGATGTCGGGGGAACTAACCTACGAGTTGCGTTCATTGAGCTGTTGGGGGATGCTGCTAATTCTGATATTGGGTCAACGGATGCCTCAGAGCAATCGACCACCATCCGAAAAGCACAAAGACAGCGCGTGAGACGAACACTGGAGAGAGCGTGGCCTATCCAGGAGCATTTAAAGATGGACAACGCAGAGGACCTGTTTTCTTGGATTGGTGATCGTATTGCGGAAGTGGTAGCCGAAAGTTTGACTTCGGATGCTACCAAAGGCAAGGTCCCCGAAGAACTAGAGATGGGAATCACATTCAGTTTCCCAATAATGTAAGTTCTTGTGCGATTTTGGGCATACTGATCACGGATGCCGCAAGCAGTGTCCGCCAATGTAGGACCGAACGCCGAACTATATACAGCTAACAACTATTAGGCAAGAATCATTGTCGGAGGCTACGTTGATGCCGATGGGTAAAGGTTTCGCCATCACATCAGATCTCAACCTTCGTAAGATCCTTCTAAGTGGCTATGAGAGACACACTAGACGTCCAGACGATGAAGATGAACCTTCTTCTAAGCGCCGGAAACTTTTCGCTCTACCGAAACTCAAGATTGCTGCCATAACGAATGATGCTGTCGCTACGCTTGCATCTTTGGCTTATGCTGTCAAGTCGTTACCTAACAGCCGGGTCGCTATGGGCATCATCGTAGGCACGGGATGCAATGCAACAATTCCAATGAAACTGAGTTCTTTGCATGAAACGAAGGCCAACCATGTGAAGTCGAAAGACTCAGATGCAGTAGAGACGGTTATCAACACTGAGTGGACTCTTGCCGGCAGCGCACCTCCCTTGAAGGAACTCGAGATCATAACTAAATGGGACATTGAGCTGGACAGGGCATGTGCACGACCTGGTTTCCAGCCATTCGAGTACCTGACTGGCGGACGATACATCGGCGAACTTATTCGGCTCATCCTTTTTGACTATCTCACCAACGTTGTGGGATTATCTTCGAAGGAACTTCCTGCTAATCTCATTCAAGAGTATGCATTGACAACTACATACATTTCAGATAATGTTGCTCGTGCTCGGTCGGACCAGGAACTTGCGGATGGGTTGAATCACTCTCTACCTTCACCGGAAAGTAGTGGGTGGCATTGGGATGCTGTGTGTGCCGGTGCCTTTCGGAAAATTGCGCGGACTGTACAAAAACGAGCTGCTGGTTTGATTGCTGCGGCAGTAGTAGGGTTGCTTGCTTGCGCGAACGAGATTGAGTTGAAAGTAGAGAGCACCGAAAACTCACCACAGCCTTCCGGCGCTGCATCTCCTGAACACAGTGACGGTGCTGACGTCTCGACTGTAACAAACTTCTTATCGCCATCTACGTTAAAAGTACCAACGAATGTTCAAAGTGGCAACGGGCCAATTGTCCCGGTTTTGTCGCCCACGCCCACGCCGGCAGATTGGCAATCAGGCCCTGAAGAGCTTGTCGTCGCTTACACGGGCGGAATCATTCAGCACTATCCTAATTTCAAGAACATGTGTCAGCAATTCATTGACCGTCTCATCATGAGGACTGGGCCGCAGAAGAGCGGGAAATCGGTCTTCTTACGGGAAGTTTCCGATGGTGGTGTCATTGGCGCTGGAGTTCTGGCGGGAATGGTAGCCAACCGGTGATCCTTGAGGAACCCCCCATCTCTCCCATTTATGCGATACGATCTTTACATTTGTAGAATGTCTCCGGATGAGCGCTGTGGTCCATTGGAGTTCACAATTTTGTCTGGGCGATAGAGGCGCTTGTTTAATTGAGTAAGGCGTTCTGCACTAATGGTCCCTTGCTTCCTTGCTAATTTTGCATTATTATCTATACTACATGGTCACCGCTTTATCTCAAATTGCGTTTATTAGATTGAGGTACATGGCCGGTTTAACTCGTATTAAGCTGATGGGCCCTCAAATCGAGCGTCTCAACCAGTTCTTCAACTCAGTAGATGGGCCAAGCCGCTCAGAACAAGATGGTTGTCTGCAACGGTTAAAGAGTATGATTTGGGCGATTGGGGTAAGTTTCATGATGTCGTATAGCGTTTTGTGGCACCTAGGAAGAGGGGTACTGCCATAGGTTTTTGTCCAGCATTCATTTGTGCTTTGAATATAGAGCTTTTACCTTCATTCAGGTTAAAATACAGGTTGAGATGGCGTCAGTTCAGGTCAACGGCAGTCTCTTCAGCTTCATATTTGTAGCTAGAAGCTGCAGGTAGCCGCTGCTCATGAGGTGGCAGACTTCTCGATGGTCGTTCAAATATAGCGGAACATGTTATTTCGAACACTTCGCTTCATGGCACTAGGCTTGCCATCTTCGTATTCTATCCCAGCGGCTCCTCCTCCGCCAGACATCTGCTCTAATTTTTGGCGAAGCTCCTCGTCGGCTTGCGAAACAGTCTTGGCCTTTTCTGGCTTCACTTGCTTGCCAGTTTGGGGTGTTGAATCATCTTTTGCCATGATATCCGGCCGCCTGTTTGATTCATAATATGCGTCTGCCAATTCTATTAGGCTGAAGATCTTCAAGGACAGTACCAGTGCTTGAACAAACTTTTCTTGGTATCGGATAGCCTTTGCGCAGTGGAGGATATTTGTCTCAGCGGAGAATATATCGATTGCACTGGGAGGAGCCTCTCCAGAGTCCGCAATAGTGGAACTTTCTTCATTTGGCTGACCATAATACCAATTTCAGACATTATCATTACTAGAAATTGTTTACCTGAAATTAAATTTGTCAATCATATTGATGTAATAACCTGGACGATGGTCACATGATATCAAGCTGCATATCACGTGCAGATACTCCCCACGGCCAGCCATATCACTCAGGCAACTTTCACCAGGTCCAATCACCCCAACTATCTCCCTCGATCGCTCCATACTCGGCACCATGAGCAACGCACAAGCATATTACGAGCTTTATCGTGGGAGCAGGTACTGACTGGCCAGCCCAATGTGTTCAGCCATTCACTAACCCGTTTCTCATTCTAGCCTGGGCCTGTCCCTTACCGACACCCTCGATGACTTGATCAATGAAGGCCGAATCGAGCCTCAGCTCGCCATGAAGATTCTTTCCACTTTTGATCGAGTGATCACCGAGGTCCTCGCAGACAAAGTGCGCGCTAGGCTTACTTTCAAGGTACATATATCCTGCGGAGCACCGTATCAGAGAAGTCCCGCCAGCCTCGTTTGTTAAATGTCAAAGACTAACAGAGCTTCTCTCTCAATAGGGCCACCTGGATACATATCGCTTCTGCGACGAAGTATGGACCTTCCTCATCAAAGATGTCACCTTCAAACTGGACAACCAGACCACCGTACAAGCGGATAAAGTGAAGATTGTTAGCTGCAACAGCAAGCGCCCCGGCGAGGCATAGCGACCTATCGTTCCCAAACATCCATGGCTCTTTTGTGCTTTTTTTTTACTCCCTTAGGCTCTATTTCCTGGGCCGGCGTTATGACAATGTCAACATCGGGTTGACTGGGGCATGGACTTCTTGATATTAGGGGTTTTTTATGTGGCGTTGGGGGCATAACATTGATTGCATGTGTATTACAAATCTTGCTGTGCAAACGCTACTTAGAACAAATCGATACCCAAGATGGACGCGGGTTTTTCTTTACAACTTCTTCTGTGCGGGTAGGAAGTAAAATGCTCTGATATACAAGTAGTGGGGTATTTACTCCCAGTTGAGTTGTCCTCTCTACCCTAAATGGATCAAGTCGAGCCCAGGACATAACCTTACTGCATTCAGTAAAGTGATCATGCGGAGGCGGGGCGGAAACCATCCCGCGTCCCGTCATCTCTTATCGCGCTTCATTCGCGTCCCATTTCTGCCCGCACTCAATCTTTCTAAGATTCAAGGAAAGTGAACCGAGAGTGATAAGCGATTAAATCTAGTCTAGTCGTGGCACAGCGTCATCGAACATCAGGCAAGATGCCTCGCACGCTACCTTGGCTCACCGGCACAGGAAATAGCAAAAGCAGCAAAGACTACAAGCCAAAGCGAACGGTAAAAGAAAAAAGCGACAAAAACAAGGACAGCGATGCGACTCCCAGAGCGAGAGCGCGCGATTCTAGTCCGAAGAAACGAGACTTCTTCAGATCATGTATAGTGTTCTGAGGGAAAATGGGAAGCATAGAAACTAACATCCTAGTATAGCCCCGACACCGCCATCATCTCCCATTCACCGCTGTCCATCCGAAGAGTCCGTTTTCCTATACTCTTTCCGCTAGCCAAGCTCAAGGGGACCATTTTTAATGTGGGCAATTGATTGTAATTAGGTTTTTAATCGAGGGTCTGTCAAACGATGACATTTACATTATGGTCGAAGACGAATTCTACGCTGTGGCCCAATCCTTTACGCAACATCTTCATTATGCGGAATACGCGAAGCGCAAGAAGGAAGTAAAGTTACAGAATGCTGCGGCGATTCAGAATCTGGCCAGGCCGACTGATGGGGTGACGCCTGTTAGCGACGTCACCAGACGGAGAGATGCTGCTGATGCACTTTCCGCACGTCAGAAGGCTGGGCTTGAGCGGATACGGAGTAAACGGCCGCAGGTGGATTCTGAAGAAGAGAATGGAGAGCTAGAGGATGAAACGTGGGCGGGGACATCACTACATGGTCTAATGATGAGTCCCAGGAAGGCAAGGTCATTGGTAGGTATGCAGGAGATCAAGTCATCGACAAGGGCGGCTGCGGGATTTTCGCAGTCATCTGGCACAGGGAGATATTCAGGAGCGATTGGCAGTTCGCCACCAAGGATATATGAAGCAGCCAAAAGTATTGATGTTGACGAAACAGCTTCGGAAGACGATGACCTAGATCTACAACACGAAACACCGAGGCCCACTCAGAAAGCACGTCTCATTAGTTCTGATTCCATGTCGACGAATTCTCAACATAGCCCTTTGACCCCTACAAAGGACCGGGGAAGAAAAGTGCAGTCTATCAATGCTAGATACAAGACACCAAGTGTTACCCACTCTAAGAGGAGATTGCTTTTTGATGATGATTTTGATGAGCTGCCAGAGCTACAAAATTCAGACGTACAAGTACAGGGTCGAGGTTCTTCACCGTCTATCAGGAAAACCCGACAGAAAACTCCACCCCGTGGGAACAATCCGCAGTCGAATAAATCGCGTCTCAACGAAGTTCCAACTTTCCTGCTTTGAATTCGCAGATGGTTTAAGCGAGATTATTTCATAGCCAATCCGGCACCCATTGATTCCAACCTGGCGGCACAACTTCTGAAGCTCTGTAAGCCAGGCATGAGAATGCCTGGCTTTGAGCCAACGGCCTCAGTCTTCGTGTTCTGAGACTGGCCGAGCTACTCTGATACTTAGTCTTCGGACATTGTTCTTGATCCGTTGGCGAGTTGAGGGTTCACGTTCCAAGGTCTTGATCATTGCATCCTTCTCAAGGGAAGAGCTGTGGCTATGTAACGTTTGAGCACTGTGAACGGCATTGTCAGAAACAGTCTCTCGAGGTTTGGTGCTAACATGTACTGACTCGTCATCTGGGAAGAAAGTCGGCATTTCCTCCTTGCGGAAGTTGGTTGGGTGTCCCTGAATCTGCTGTCAGTTGCATTTTCCAGGCCAAGTCTTAGTTTGAAGACCTTTACTTACGATTTCTAATGCCCTATGGTGCGAGTCACGCTGGAATGGGGCCTTGACCAATCGACCAATCTGCCGGAAACACTCCATAATTGCAAAGCTGGGGATGTCGGAATGAAGAAAATTCGTAGTCAATTAGGTCGAATCGAAATGAGATACAAGGTGCGCTGATCGACCACTATTTACCGCAGGATCGAAGCACGCAAAGGACTAAAAATCGGTATCGCCAAAGACAAAAAGGGAGTGGACGCTTTCTGCAAGATGTTCTATGAAACGAAGGACACGGTCAGAATGAAAGAAAGACGATGGCCCGAAAGAAGAAAGGTACTAAAAAACAGAAGGAAAGATAGACGGGCGGATGTTCTATGACATTGGAGACGCTGGCCGGGGAAGAAAAGGACAAACCTTTTGACACAACAGTGAGAGGCAGGACCATGATATATACCGAGATTCTTGGAAAGAAAGAACCTTTTGCCAGCCAGCAGAATGAATTAACGGTTTCGCCCGTGCAAAATGCAGACTTAACCCGATCGGCACATTCTGTAGCATGAAGCCAACAGTGACAGCCTTATGTTCCTTTCGTACCGCGTTATGTGACACATTCCTTTGGCAGTTATCCCCTCGCAGCAGAAAAGAGCGGGTATCTCTCAGGGCTCAGGGTGACTTGGCCGAATGAAATCGCGTGAATGATTTTCTCTCTCTTTTTTCTTGGATATTAAGATTAATACTATTATTTTCTTTTTTTGGTCCTCCCCCCCCCTTCTTGCCTCATTTAACCATTTAATACAGTAACATGCATGCAAGAAATGCTGGCGCAACACTTGTCTGACTCGGGAGGCGACAATCTAGACTGAGTTGGGCGATAGCCTATTGACGACAGCGCATACATAGCAAGGCGCCTAAAGATCGTAATCCAAGTCTCCTATCTAGCATTTGCATTGGTGGGTAGTCCATTGTCGATTTCTCCAGCAACCTGTAGCTACGGCAGCGCCTAAACTGTACGATGAGATTATTTAATTTTTTTTTTCTTTTTCGGTTCCATGCATGTTCCCATGAAACTTTGCTGAGTTGGCCCTCAGGGTCCAGAATAATCTCGGGAGGCGGCAGTGCACCAGTAAAGACTAACTCTTGGGGCGCGCGCGCGTAGTCGCTTACTTTCAGACATTCCGACCAGAAAGACTGATCGATCCAATCAATAATTCCCATTGTTTACCAACCTCCATATCACAGATCGCGACGAAATAGAATTTTAACCCAAAAAAGAAAAATAAAAAAATAAACAGACCCAACAAACTCCCGATACCCATAAACCCACTTGAGCAAAAGAAATCGAAACACTAATGAACGAAAAAAAGGGCAACTGAATCCATGGAACATTCCATAGGTGAATGCGGAGTACAGTACAATTACAACCATCTTGATGGAATTTAATCAAAGATCGAATGGAACCACGCCCCGGTCATATTTCAAACATGGCCAGCCAGCAATCTTAATTAAAGGAAAAAAAAAAAAAAGGAAGTAAGAATAAAGGGAAAGGAAAAGGGAAAAGAGAAAAGATAGAACTCCGAGACCCTAGAGTCCATCCTCCATTCCCCAATTAAACACGGTATTATTGCATTCCACGGCTCCCCAAATCCAAGTAATTGACGTCCTCACGCCTGGAATCTCTTCTCCCTTGCGTCAGGAAACACTTAACTGACTTCACGCATTCCCAGTGGCTCAATAGTACGCGCAAAAAAAAAAGGACGACATATTCGTCGTGTCCGTCCCTTTGGTAACCATCGTTCTGGGTCTCGTTTCTCTTTTTCTTTCGATACCACACCCCCTCCCCCCTATTCCACTCCGTACTACGGAGAATCCATCGAAAGAAAGCAAAAGAGGAAAGGGGAGAGGGTTAAGATGGGGTCTATGGGGGAACGGACGGGAGATCAGTGGATCGGTCACCGCATACGGAGTACCCACTATACTTTCTCACATCTCTACCTTCCTCCCTTTTGCCCCGTTTGCGCCCCGTTTAAGGAAAGAAAAAGGGAAAAACTTAAGGTATAGAGGCTAGGGTTAGGTATGTTGGGGTCCTGGAATGACTGGTCGAAATCTGATTTACTGGCGGTGTGAGATTAGCTGAGTATTACCTATTCCGGCGGGTGTGTGGTTTCTATGGATTCGGATGCATCGATATAACCGTACCTATCTGCCGTAGATAAGGATAAAGACAAAGGAGGATGTAAGCGAGCAAGTGGTATGACGCTTGAGTCTGGCTCATTTTAATATCTACGATCCATGAGCCGCGGCGGTATGTCTGGCTGCGCTGAACAGAACCAACCTACGTACTCCGTATGTACAATGTACGGATCGTCGATACATACTATCACCGGCCGAAAACCTACGATGAGAGATCGGAGTACCCGTCTTTTCACACTAAAGCGCGACATGATCGTCCGGTCCGATTGATGGCTTTCGCTATTCTTATGACTTTAGTAATCCTCTTAAGGGTGATGATCATAATATGAGCGTCTATTGGGGACCCCCGGGGATGAAACTTGCGCTTGTTTCTTTGAGGGCTTTTTTTGTTTTATCCCGGGGCGTCTGTGCTATGGGGTGGACTGCGTAATCGGGTCTCCATGCGTTATTTCTTTCTTTAGTAATGACATATGCGTTATGTACATACGGAACAGTCTGTGTATAAACAGAAGTTGTTCAGGGGATCTAGGACCTACAGGATATCGATTATGGTGCATATGTGGCCTACATGCGGAGGCGTCGAAAATAGATACCAATGCAGGCGGAAGCAGGCCAAGGGGCGATCTAGAACGGTCTTGTTGGTCGGGTGTGAGATCAGATCTAGGCCGGGTAGGATTTAAACATTGGTGTGTAAAAGTACCAGTTGACTTTGAGTTACTCCGTGAATGGAAAAGAGTATGTTAATTGAGGGGAAGGAATATTCAATCAAAAATGAGATCTCATCCCAAGGGCGAGATGAAAAAAAATAAAATGCAAAAAGATATGTGCCTCCAACGAGAATCGAACTCGTGCTTGCGGATTGCAACTCCTTTAGATAGGAATTGTCATATTGCTATGAGACCGCCGTCCTAACCACTAGACTATGGAGACCAGTTGTTGAAAACAGCAACAGCTTTAAAATTTATAAGCAAAAATAAACAGTTGATATTAATTTTGCCTACCTAGTTGTCAAGTAATTGTACGAGACTTAGCCTGAATATATAGTCATGTTTAGATATATGAGTTGTTAAGTGATATTTATGTATGGTGATTATTCTCTATGGTCGCTCGTGTTGCTCTAATTGGCGTTGTATGTTTCTCTATATTCTTCTCTGCAAAAATATATTTATTAGTGTATGCCACGGAGTAGAGCGACCGGCTATGATATTTATCATTTAGAACTAGTTGAATATATGGATATCCATGATAGTAGGGCTAGTAGCTGTTTATCTACGGATCATAAATATTCGAAAAAGGTGAAGGATATATCTCCAGGGACCTGCCCCTAAGCAATCATGCCTAAGTTCAATTTGATCATTTTAGTCTACATTACCATATATGATCATTGGCATTCATAAACCATAGCAACTAAAAATGACCCCCTTTATTTAGGGTAGGCCTTGATGTGGTGGCTTTTGAGCTTGACAAATTGCTCGAAGCCGAATCTGCTCAGAGTTACGCCCCGTCCCGAATTCTTCCAGCCGGTCCATGCGAGATCCTGAAATAGTCAGCATCGTCCTAGGCCCACCATGGCAATCAGATCTCGGTCGGTCCATATTGAAACTTACCGGACTAGGATAGTCAGATCGGTTGATGAAGACAGTTCCCGCTTCCACCTGCTCAACTAGCTCCTCAGCCTTAGCCACATCCTTGGTCCAGACACTGGCAGTCAGTCCAAACTCGCTGCTGTTCATCAGCTTAATAGCTTCCTCATCGCTGTTGGCCTTCATAACAGGAATGACAGGACCAAACGTCTCCTCCGTCATAACAACCATGTCATGGTTCACGCCCGTCAGAAGCGTAGGCTTGACGTAGTTGCCACCCGCAGGAGGGTTTTCAAATGTCTCATTTGCTGGAGTTTCATCCTTGGCACCCTTCTGGATTGCATCGGCGACATGGGCCTGAATCGTATCCTTCGCACGCTTTGAAATAACAGGTCCGATCTGCGTTTGCTTGTCAAACGGATCCCCGACACGATACTTGCTTAGGACCTTCTTGACTTCCTCAACGAAGGTATCGTAGATGTTCTTGTGCACGTAGACCCGCTCGATCGCACAGCAGCTCTGTCCACTGTTAAAGATAGCTCCATCAACGACCTCCTCGGCGGCCCACGCCGCATCCACATCATCCCGAACATAAGCTGGGTCTTTGCCACCGAGCTCCAGCCCAACATTGACGATGCGGTCTGACGCGGCCTTCTGAACAGCCAAGCCACCAGCCACCGAGCCTGTGAAACAGACGTGGTTGACTAAAGGTGACCGGACAATAGTCTCAAGTAGTGTGGGGGATCCACAGTGGAAATACTGGATGACGTTTTGAGGCAGCCCTGCCTCGGCGAAGGCAGCGGCAAATTGCTCTACTATGGTCGGAGTTTGCGGAGAGGGTTTCAGAATGACAGCATTTCCAGCCAGAATAGCAGGGATCAAACTGTTGACAAGGATCAAATAGGGGTACTATTCCATGGCAAGTATAAGGTTAGTATAAGGTTAGTATACTTTCGCTGTGACTGACTCAAACTAAAGTATAAACGGTAACGTACGTTCCAGGCAAATATGATAAACGCCACACCAACAGGCTTCCGCTTGATATAGCGTCTGAAGCCCTTCTCCTCTTCACCCGGGACAACGCCCTCTTCGCCCAGGACCGAATCACTGATCTTGGTCAGGTAGCGACTGCGCTTGATAGCTGTCATTACCTCCACACCGGTATATGCGATCGGACGACCCATCTGCTCGGTCAGCTCGCGCGCAAGCTCATCTTTCTTTTTCTCGAGGATGTCTAATGCACGTGTTACAATTTCTTGACGTTGTTTGAGGGTAGTCGACTGGGAGAATGATCGGAAAGCCTCCTGCGCGACCTCTGGGATTCGCTGCAGGTCCTCGGAGGTGACGCCCGTCCGAGTGATAACTGGCTGATTCGTGGAGGGCGAGATGGTCGTGATAGTTTCGAGAGACATATTGAAGCTGCCCGTTTGCAATCTCTAGACAAAAAGGTAACAACGAACCTTAGCTGGGATATTTATCCCGGGCATGTATAAAGACAGCTTGATAAGTTGGAGGGGCATCTTCGTCACGTTATCGGTTGGAGCTTCCCCGCTGTGGCGGCACCCACTATACTATGCCCTAAACAGTAATCTACAGCTTCTTAAGAGGTACCACTCTTTTGAGAAAGTATACTTAGGAGGTAAAGACAATACTAGGTGTGGAGTAAAGATATACCATTAAATTGGTAGGTGTTTCAGAACTTGAATATCTAGATAAGCAAGCATGAAATCTATGCCTAAGCAAACCCCTCGCCCGCTACTAAAGATCCCGCACCAGTCGTGCTCCTGCCCAGGTGTAAGGATAGTTGTGCTGGTACCAATTGACGCTAGAAATGATGTCAGCATCCTATAGTTACCCCGGGCTCTATGCTGGTAAACTTACAAAGTGGTACGCCCAGCAACGCGGGGATGAGTAGCCCAAGAACCACCCAGGATGATGTTGTGTTTACCGTCGAAGAAATCGGCTGTGTGGAGTTAGTAAATAATGATCGATTCTTGGAGGGCATCCGATTATGAGACTGGCACTTACAGGTGTATCCCGGATAGATCTCCATGGCTTTAAAGCCATCGTGTGGCGCTAATGGCGTGCTAGTCCACTCCCATGCGCCTCCCAGTTCACCCTGACCGGCGAGTTGATCGCCGTTCTGGATAACTGGGGTTGGGTGCCAGTGCTTGAACCCGACGTTGAGGCCGTCGAGATCAAGGAACACTGGCAAGGTGTTTCGGGAAGGATATTGTACAGGCTGGTGGTCCGGCATACGAGGCTTGCTGGGGTTGATCTTTGAGTAACCATTTCCGCTCACCCCATTCAGATCACCGTTTGCACTGAAAGCAGTTAGCTCAGCTTAATTATCAGGGTGTGGCATTATATCGAAGCTGCACTAACCTATGGCCGTTGGGCTCCCCGTTATGCTCCACGCTACCTGTCTCCTTTAATAGCGCTGAGTGCAGATAGATACTCCGTGCCTCTTCGAAGGTAGGGATCCTGCAGCCCACCCATTCGGCGTATTCGGCCAATTCATCATATGATGCCATCACAGGCCAGTCTTGGGCGAATTCAAGTGGAATTGAGCCAAAGACAGTACGGACAGCAAAATTGGCCATAAAGTCCTTCGTAGCCTCGACACTGCTTCCGTTGACGGCCATAGGTATGGCGTAGTCTTCACTCGAATGGGTCAGAACCCATGATGCTGGCCTTCTGCGCGACTGATTCGCCTGCAAGTATTTAACGTATTCGCCATTGGTGATAGGCCTGCCCTGCGCCTCAAATGCCGGAACAGTTACTGTTCTCGCAGGTTTCTCATTGTCCCACCCATAGGTCGTTGGGGGTACGTCGTTGGTATCAGCACCATCAAGGCCAATAGTAAGTGTCTGTTCAGGAATGGAGAACCACTCATTTGTTTTCATGTTTTTCCGAGCTTCTTGATACATTTTTTCAAAGTCCGGCCGTTCAGCGGCGGGTGGAGGAAGTATCTTTTCGCTCTGAATCAGCATGTACAGGAATGTCTCGAGGTGCATCACCTCGTGCTCAAACCCAATCCAAAGCGCCTCGCCCAGGATTCTATTTTCTGCAAGATCCTCGATTTGATAGATGGATCTAACTCTATTCCTGACTCGCTCTTGGTAGTCCAGAATTTCATCAAGAGCTGGCCACTCGTCTGGGATCTCGCTATGGGAGTGGCACATCTCGGGGTCATCTACGTCAGGATCAATCCCACGTTCGAAAATTAGTTTATAGGACTTTGGCTCTGTCAGTTTTCCGTGCAGGGCTCGGGTCAGGTGGATGTCTGTTTGCATAATTAGCATCATGCTATATGATGAGAGTAGTAAGCCATGTAGACTAACCCAAGAATGTAGGAATGTGTCCCAGATAGAAGATTAAAGAGTTCCGTAGCTTGATCGGCTTTGACAGAAGCTCCTCGCGAGGGACCATGGCCTTTGTAGCATTATCCCATGCCGTCCACAGAGACTGCCATTCTTCAAAGCTGGGTATAGGATGAGCTGCATATTGAGAGGGAGACATGGGGAGGTTTAGGGTGGCGGATGTCAGGAGATGGAGATCTAGCTCCGGGAAAGTCAGAGTCAGCACACGCTCCTATTGGAAATGAGGCAGCCATTCGCTACTCACGGTAATCGTCAGACCCACTGCCCACTTCCGCGGTCTGGATTAACTTGGCATCATGCCACAGTTGATCGCGTTCTTCTGGTCCGTATTTGTACGCCTCTTCAAAGTAAAGTTTCTCCCCTTTCTGAAGCAGGACCCCGTTGATGGTGACGTCCTTCTTGGGTGAGTAGGCTGCCCAGTGTCGTCCCTCCATAGTATCGTAGTCAGTCACTACTTCCCACTCATCAGGTTTGAAGGCTTCGTATCCGAGAACAACATTTGCATGCACTAGTCCGTTCTCATAGAACTGCCGTGTAACACCTTTCGAGTCATTGTATGCCCTGTATACTTTGCCCGGGTCCTTGCAGCCATCCAGACCAATGATCATCATATCGGACGGGCCAAGAAGGCTAGCATACTGCGAGAGAAATTTTGCTGCGCCGGGACGGTCAAAGTTCCCTAGAGAGGAACCCATAGACATGATCACCGTGGGCCGCTTCCTGTTTTTGGGGCTGTTAAGCCAAGTGACGGCGTCATCGTAGGTTCCATGGAGACCATGGAGGCCAACGTGTGTGTAATCGTCAATGGATACCTCGGCGAATGTGCGCTGCAATTCTGATAGCGACAGGTCGAGGGCATAGTAGTCCACGCGCTTTCCCACGCGCTCAAACTCCCGTAGCAGAATCTCAATCTTCCGAAGATTCCTAGATGGCGGTTAAAACCGGAGAACATTATTGATACGCTACGCAGCCTGAAAGGTTACGATTTGATTTGGAAGGATGACGCACCCACTACCTAACTCAAGCAATTGCGCATTGTCTGGAATCCGTTCAACTATCCTCCTGGAATTTGTCTCCAAGACCTCAATCTCCGCATTTGTTAGATAATACTCCTCCACATAGGTGATTTTCTCAAAAAGCTTGAGGCCATTGGCATCGTAAAGAAGCATCGTTGGCATTGACTTCCTAACGCCAGCGGGAGGATTAATACCCTTATAGATCTCATTTACGAGGGAGAACTCCACGTCATTCTGAAAAATGTTGACAATGTCAACGGTCTTAGGAGGAAGAGCCAACGGTGACATTTTGATCTGACGGCGCAGAAACCACAAATCCGCAAGAAACACAGAGAAATACCAGAAAAGGACTGCAAGTTTAACCAAGTACCTTAACCGCGGGGTTATAGCAGACGGACCGGCTAGTTTATATGGTAGGCAAAGACAAAGAATATGCTCTGGGAGGGCAGATCAATGAGGGGTAAATGAGGAGTGCAGATAGTCCCCTGCAGATGGTATGACACACACAGGAGTTAGTAGAAATACAGAAGAGAAAGGAAGAATTGAACTTCGTATGCTAAAACAGGTTTGTTTGGAATGCTGCGGAAGAGAAAGGGAACTTTATAAAGATTGGGTGTAGTCTAGCCCTTGGACTTCCCAGCTCCATGGATTGAGCTGTTCCTGAATAATCCATGCTGATTCTGTAGTATTCCTATTGCAAACACCCCACGGTAGAGAACTAGTCCAGTTTTGGTTATCAGATTGGGATGATGGTTGGAAGGTTCGACGGTTTGCGCTCTGACATCAAAGCAGATCGATCCGATTTGAGATTTGCAAGGGCAATGCAGGTCAGACCACGGCTAGAATGACACAGGCTATCCTGTAAGGGCGAGAGTGTTGGCCCACTTCCGAAAACGGACGTCAACTGCTGCACCAATCTGTGTCACGCATGCCATGGTCACTGAGATTGATATCCAACCATACGAGGAACTTCACCCACGGCTGGTGGAGAAATGCGAGATGACGTTGTGTTTGCATCGCCAGTTTGCAGCGTTTGCAGTACCCCCACTTGTGGGGTCATTTCTGTGGTTGTTGCAGACTCAGCTGAAGGTATGGAGTACTTCCATCAAGTTACTTTATGGCATTTGCTCCAATGCTCCATAGTGAATACGACTCAGCTCCATTCCGCTACTAATCCTGGAAAGATTCACAATTTCTCAGTGGTCTGTGCATGTGCAATGACCGCCTCTACCCCCCTTGAGAGATTTACGTCCAATCATGGGACTACTCATAGTCAAAGTCGCGCGACAACCGCACATATGTATACTAATCAACTTTCAAGGTTACTACCGACACGGCTCACGGTCGAATTAGGATAATCCCTAATATTGATTATGCATGACATATGATCCCAGCCTTACTACACAGTACAGACATACCAGTCCGCCCGAGGCTTTATGTATCAAAGATTCCCTTCAGCCACCCCTCAGGGTATGAAGGACTCTGGAGGTCACATCTTTGGTGTTGACCCCGCCGTGTTGTTCCGATAAGCAGAACACACATACTGGGTAGCATACAATGTCTTTGTAAAACAAACCAATGTCATTGTTAACAGACTTCCTCCGGAGTACTCTGGAACGAGCCATGATTGGCTGTTGCGTCTTGATTCACTATGCCACTCTGGCCTTTCTTGTATTTGCCCAGTGCCTGAAGTTCAACAGCTTCCTAAGCTATGTCCTTTACAGACAACTCTGCAAGTTGTGCACGCTCTACTAACTCCAGCAGCAGTTTCCTTGAACATATATGATGATCGCCAATATGGATGTGCTGCAGTCTCGCCCCAAACGCTTTTTGATAACTGACGCTTTCTGTGCAGCATTTGCACTCAAGCTTCGACTGTCATCTCTAGAACCTAACTATGATAGCTCTGAGCCCAGCGAGAACAAAACGCGACCCTCATTAAGGACCGTCAATGCAAATTCCTGGGCTGTCATGCAAACTCAAGGTCCATGGTGGAGTACATAAGATAGGAAGAAATGCATCTATTCACCCCTCATCCAACCCTCCACCCACAGTATAGACTAGTTCGCAAACTACTAGACAAGCGTAGCCCTATCCTGCCCCAAGTACTCGAACGAATTCTGCAACCCTGACGTCACGCTCTCACTGTTCAAGGCTGCATGGTATCACTCGGGCGGCCAAGTTCGCACATCAGAATCTATTATCTCACAAGCCCTGCAACAAGCTCTGCAATTAGCCTAATGCAGCTCTCGCGTTACAAGTATTGGCTGGGCCGCATTGAGTGGCTTAGGGGTAACGTGACAAAAGGCCTATCGATACTTTTTTGAATACAACCTTGGGCCAAGGACCTCCCTCAAGGCGTGGAGGTCTCACACTATCTGAAGTTCCTTAACCCTGGCCCTGAAAAGGACAATCGGCAGCGCACTTTTCTCACACAACATCGTGGGGTTTGCTCCCTCCACACCAGCGATATCCTGCTCACAAAACCAAGTTAATCACCGATGATAGCACAGTGCTCGTAAAGTGCTGTCACGATGACAAGAATCGTTAAATAGAGGTCCTTGTGACTACACACTCAAAGCCAGGCGAGAGAAGTAAAAAACTCGAGGATACGGGTAGAAACTAACACCAAGCTTCCACCCCCCCGAGTGTCGTGGTCGACCCGTAGGATCCTACTTTGAGACAGAAACATGCGGGCTGGGGTATGACCTGGCTCACTGCCGCAGAGAACTCTTACTTTCGCCCGCCACAAGGTCAATTTACGTTCACTATGTACTCTAAGGACCTAGTATCGCGTACACGCTTGATTGGCATTTTCCTGATGGGACGTCTATCTATATGAAGATGAAGAGTAAATGCATTACTATGGGATTTTTTGGCCTATGAAAGAGAGGGACTAGGCAAGGCAATCATGGAGAAGACACATTGAATCTTGAGATAGATTGCAAAGTCTTCACCTGGTATCCCGTTGGGGCAACCGAGCTCTTTATTATTTCAAAAGCCCATGCCAAAGGCCTGCCGTGAAGGGTTGGTTTGTTCGCTAGTAATTTCCAGGCCGCTGGTTATAATTTAGCATTGTTACTTTTTGCCCCATGCTCCATGCATGATATTCTTTTTCATGTACCAAAACCATCAGTTCGATAGCATCCTCGCATAGCAACATAATCCATGATCACACATTACACATCCAATAACACAAAACCAAGCAGTTAGACCAAAGCCGCAATATCGAAAGGCGACATTCCCCAAACCCAACCAGCAGCACCCATAGCGCCCACACTCATAATAAACGCCATCAAAACATTAACAGCATTATTATCCAACAAATCCCGTCCACTCTCAACCCTCCGACTCTCATGTACCGTCTCAACGCCCTCCTTCTCCTCTTTCCTCTGCTGCACAGATCCAGAAGCAGAAGCAGAAGCAGAAGCACTCGAGTATCCCGTAGCACCCCCAGCCCTAGGATGAGGATGAACAAGCACCTTCTTCCCGCCCTCTCCCTCAACAACCTTCCCCGTCCGCTTATCCACAACACTCGCCTGCAACAAGCCCCCCAAAACACTATCTAGCACACTCCCCAACGTGCCCCAGCCGGTAAACGCAAGGGTCCAATATACCCGATCCATAAGACTCGACTCCGCACAGAACGGCAAAAGCACAGCAGATGCAAAAGAGACCGTAAATGCACCGAATACGCCCGCCAAAAGACCCGCGGCTGTTACGCCGCCGTTTGTACCCGGTGGAACGACTCGGAGTGTGGGCGAGGTGATCAGACGGGGCTTGGATTTAGACAGAATGCCCAGCTCGGAGGAGAAGGTGTCGGCTGCTACGGCGGCATAGTTGCTGTTTTTATGGTTATCTTCGTTAGTAATTACTGGCCTTCCCACGTTTTTGTTCTTGGTCTTCGTCCAGGAACAAATAAAGAGCAAAAAGAGAAAGGGTGACATACGCAACAATCCCCACCACCAACAAATCTGCCGCACTTTTACCATTCTCGAAACACTCCGCCGACGACCCACTCAGAACATAAGTATGGAAGAGGATAAGCACCGTCGCAACGACACTATTTGCCAGAACCTGGATGTGGGTTCTTTGGCCCTCGCCGCCTTCCGACCCGGTCGCGGAGAGGGTTAATTGAGCTTTGATATCATGCTTGACCTAGATGACGAGCCGTTGAGTTAGTTACCTGTACCGTATAATTTTTTTTTTTTGAGAACTAGTTCATGGGGTAGGTCCCGTGCTCAGATCCTGACCCCGTGACGTATATGATACCTTTGTGGCTTTTGTACCGCCGAAGTAGAAGACGGCAAGGAGGGCGAAGGGTGCTGACCAGGGGTGAAGGGCGTGGGCGGTTGCTGTTAGAGCTGCTGTTGCGAGGCCAAGGTGGGTGAGGGATTTGCGGGAGTAGGCGCGGTGGACGAGGGCTATTATTGCTGGGATGGCGATTATTGGTTTCATTTTGGTGTATGTGTTTTAGTTTTTGATGTTGTTGTGGTGGTGGATATTGAGATGTAAGGGTTATAGCATGTTCTGTTATGAGTGTGGTGGTGAAAGGATGAAGGAATAAAAAATTGTGTCTTTGTTAAAAGGGAACAATAGCCTACGATTAAAGCTGATAAGCTGAGCTGGGGCGGAGTTAAACTGAGCTGAGCTCCCGGTGGGTCGAGGGTCGGCGTCATCGGCGGATTTCATGTCCGATCTTTTTCCCTCTTTAGCTTCTGTCCGCGGTGGATATTGTTGCTTAGTTTCATTTTTGGTAGTTGTTACACGGCCTAGAATGGCTAGAGTTCTCGCTATTGTACTACAGCTCAGTGAATCTCTATTTTTCTTTCTAGAAATTCTGCTTTGTCTATATACAAGCATCAACGGGGCCATCTTCGCTCCGGCCATCTTACGAGAAGCAGTTCCGTAGCATAGCCAAACATTGTAGCAGCTACACATGCATACCACCCATCTTCGTTTATGCATCACCTGAAGTCTCTACCATGCCATCATTGGCAGAATCACTAAGTAGCCACTCCCATCCAATATGAGGCTGAGTAAGTGGGAAGAGAAAGCTGCTGGCGCCTCTTCAGGTCGACAGGCATCTGTCTGTAATAGCCACGTTCAAGTCTCCTTATCCGGTACTGGATCAAGGCTCACAGATGAAACATGGAACTATCCTCGTTCGCCTCACAAAATCTCCAGAGCCCAGCTGCAACGGCAGCATCCCTGACAGAGCCAAGCTCATCATCGCGGACCGCGCGGTTGATTTCTGCATACCGCACTTCGTCCTCTTCGTCGCCTTTCGCATTCTTCGTCGTCCGTTTCCTCTTCCCTACATGGGCATCCGGGTGATACTGCTCCATAATATGCACATAGAGGTCCTTGGACACATTTTCTGCCAACCAGCGCATAATCTCCCGGCCCTCGTCCTCCTTGCCAGGCATAACCAAATGTCGCAGTAGGACGCCTCTCTTAGCGATCCCATCCGAAGTAAAACATAAATCGCCGACCTGTTTATGCATGGCCTTTATGCTCTCCATCGCCGTCTCAGTGTAATCCTCGGCTTTGAGCAACCGCTTCGACGTACTATTCTTCCATACCTTGAAATCAGGCAAGTAAATATCAATTAGACCGTCCAGTAGCTCTAGAGACTCCAGCGAATCAAACGAGGACGTATTGTAAATAATAGGAATGTTGAGACCCATATCGCGCGCCGTCAGAATCGCGAGCGCAACCTGCGGCACCACATGTTCCGGCGTGACTAGGTTGATATTATGGCAGTTACCCACTTGCTGAAGCTTCATAAACCAATCCGCTAGTTCTTCAGGAGTAACGTCGAAGCCGTTTCGTTGGTGGGCGATGTCCTAAGGAGCCTTGATTAGCGCTTTGATCTGAGCAATGCAGAACTGCTGCGAAAAAACAGGTATGAGATACATGATTCTGGCAGAACACACAGCGCAAATTGCATCCTGAAAAGAAGACGGATCCACTCCCATTGAATCCCTGAATACATGGTTCCTCTCCACGATGTGGTGCAATCGTGTTGACCTTGACGGTCTCAGCGCCGATTAGACATACCCCGGTTTCTTCGTACCGGTTTACTCCACAACGTCGTGGGCATAAGTTGCATTCTCGTAGATGCGCATAGGCGAGTGAGCGCTTTTTCGAAGCGTCTATCGATGTGAGCAGCTGATAGCGCGGGATATATTCGTCGAGCAGAAACGCGGGCGGAATTCCTATGTACCGTTTCGGAACGAGGGGTGTAAAGGACGGTCGCGGACGGAAATGGTGAGGCGATAATTGACTAAGAGATCTGCTTAGGCGATTCATAATTCAACGCTAGTTCCGGGGTAGTCACCCATCTCGTTGAAAGGCTAGGAAACAAGGTAGGTGGAGATTGGAAAGCAGCGAGAACCGAGGGATATGTAATAAATCCTTATCGCCGATAAAGAGCTTATCTCAGCAGTGGCGTCATACTTGGAACAATCATAATCATATCTAATATTATTGGAGCGTTTCTTTTGATGTCTCATATTTATCCACTATAGCATAATTCAGGTACCAACTTAAACACAGGCAAGGTCTGACTAGTGCTGGATCATCCTCCAAGAAGCCGGCACTATGTACTTACTACGGCTGCACGGCATTCTCCGCATATACGAGCTGATTGACAACGAAGAGTTGATGCCTCAGGCCCGAAAATATAATCTCAATCTCCTGTATAGCTTCATTTACAATGTATAAGAATACAACCCCATCACTATGAATTTATTCTCAAAAGAGCCAGAGAAATATAGCAATCCTATAAATATAAATCTACCAACTCAACAAAGAACATAATCCGCCATCCATTCACGCCAAAAACACTCTTCTTGACCACTCTTAAAATAAATACAAGCATCAAGTTATCGTTGCCAATCCACAGCCATGCTCACCATCATATCCAAGGCCAAAGTGACAACCCTCCCAGTCCATACTGATTCATGCAAGGATGACACCCACAGGGACCCTAATAGTCATCTCAGTAAGCCCAAACTATCCTCAGCACCTATCCAGCCCTAACCACTAAGTCAACATCCACGGCATTCCAAAGCGAGAATCCCTCGAAACACTACTACGACAAGCCCTCATTACCCATGATTACAAGGGTAATCCACCGCCAATCAACATGAATAAAGTGTGGAAGGAGTGAAATGGCCGAGGCGCAAAATATGGGTCTCAGGGAAGTCTGCGGCCGAACGCTGCTTGTAGATATCCGCTTCAATTTTATGAGTCCCAAAGGATATGACTTTTAATGGTGAAGGCTGCTGTCTCCATGTTGTCAATAAGCTGCGCAAGAAGTATCCTCTTGATCTCATGAGGAATCGGGAGACATGAGCGTGTCTTCATCGGCTGGTTAAGTCAAGTATGCCGTTTGGGTTAGTTATGAGTTTCGTTGTAATGTAGTATTTGTATCCGTGCTTGGAGTTTTGGTGGGATGGACAGAGGCTTCGATTTGTGGTGGATTTGTTACACCATGGAGTGGAGGGTTGGATAATATAAGTGCTTCTTGCTTTGACGAAGTGCACTGCTGACCGTGCCGATTATCTGGTGATGCATTATCTATGTAGACGACGTCTATGACATGCCCGGCACATGAGACGCAGCTGGTTCTTTTTAAGCAATCAGAAGTCTCCACATTGAAGTCCTGACGCTGTATCAAGAATACTCTTATGTAGCTGTAGGATATGATACCAAGGTGTGGGATGATATGTGTGCATTATTGACATGTATTGATTTTTGAATTGTGGGTATATATAATAGAACTATACTGCTGTGGATACCAAGCAGTGATATAAGCAATAAAACCGACGATAGTGTACAGGTCACATCAACAGTAGACAAAGAACCAGGGGGCGAAAACTATATACTGAAAATGGTAAATGTGTCAAAGGGGCCCTGTCGGTCCTTCGGACGGACTGCCAACTTGACCTAAAATACGTGCTGAGCCAAACTTCGAAGTGCAACGAACTTGGCGAGAAGCGAAAATATTCAACGATAGACAAGTCGAGAGACTAACAAAAAAAGGAAGGAAGCAGTAACACAGCCCATATACTAGGTTGCCTTTTGAACTCCTGGACCCCAAGGCCGACCGGGCCTCTTCAATTAATAAATGTCATGAGATCGCATCACGTCGTCAGGTTTGCCAGCTATGCAGATGGCAAAGATGCAAGTTAAGAGTAATTTGATGGCGGCGGCGTTCATCATAGTGCAAGACCACTGCCATCACCGGCCCAGCGGTAGAGGGCTAGCACTTCTCGCCTACGCTGTTGCTGTTCACCGAAATCTTCAGGCATGCGCCCACGAACCTGCGCTAAAGCCGAACGCATGACCTTGCGGAATGTCCTCTGAGAGATAAAAATATTAGACATCTATCAATATGTAACCCCTAAAAGGTAAAACTCACCTGATACTCAGTGTTCAGTGTCACGACGCAAGCCTCGTGTGCACGAACAATCGTTTCGCACGCACGGACGACACTAGGACTGACCTCACCCTGAAGCTTATCGGCTGCAAGTAGGAGCAGAAAACTGCCCTGCAGTAAATATATTCCGAAGAAAAAGGGCATGAAAGTTATATCTGGATCGTACTCCAATATGTCAGCTGCAGCATCAGCAGCGCCGACTGCATGGCTCATTGCGGCTATGAACGACTCTGAAGATATCCAGAGGTCATGGTCCTCAAGCAAATTGATAGGGTCCCATTTCCCCGCCAACAGCACGTGTAGGACGTGCATGATATGGGTTCCGTAGGCGACTACCATTTTCGTATGCACGATGGACTCATTCACCCGCGACCCAGCCGTACTAGTGGAACGGCCAGATGGACTCACATGGTCCAAATGCGATCCTTCCATAGCGGCCTCATTTTCCCCAGCCCCCAGAGTTAGACTACTAGTGTAACGAGCCTCGAATTCTTTCAGGCTCTGAGCATATGTATCCAGTTGGCGGGTGATCTCCAGCACTTGGTGGTCCCAGTCTGCACTATTCCGGAAGACGCGACCAAATCGGGGATGTTCCTTTGCTTGTTGGAGGTCGACAATTTCACCCAAAATTGTCATCAAGGGCAGGAAGAAACCGAACATGCTGTGTCCAGTACACTCTACCTGCGGCCCTACCTGCCGGTAAGTGGCACCAGCAAAATCGCCAGCCTGCCATAAGTCATCATTCATCGGCTGGAGGAGTCCTTCACATTCCTTGTCCAGTAGTGTCAGGGGGCGATTATAGCAGAGCGCTAAGTGGCGATCTGTTGCATAGAGTAGCCACCAAAGACGCCGGCGTTCTTCTCGTTCCTCCTCAGTGAAATTGAGAATCGTGCTTCCAGAGCTACCTCCGACCGATGTGACAAGAGGAGGGAGGTTACGTTTTGACATGTCGACATCTGTATCGTCCTCAGGCTCGCCGTCCTGTCTCGACTGGGAGACATTCGGTGGTAATTCACGTCCCAACTTCAATTCGCGAGCGAGAGACCATGCTGCCGTCCACCAACGCATGCTAGCTGCCTTATACTCGCTGGCAGAGATCACGGTCGCTAAGTGAACGTACGTGGCAACGTCATCTACAGCACCTGTTGCGCTACTTTGCGCGCCAAGTTGATCCATGGAGACGCCAAATCCTCCCAGAGCCACACCGTTGATGACCATATTAGCAGCATAGTTGGGAGATGTTTCCCCGGGGGCGGGGCCATGGATCAGCGGCCGGAGTAAGCCAACCGTGAGTTCCAAGAGCTTTTGGCATACTCTGCCCCGAGCAGACGGCGGAGATGTTAGGAACGCTGCGTCGCTCGTTTGCGCGGCAACCCATAGCATACTAGCCAGTAAGCCAGGACTACATACCCTCGGCTTTGTGGGATGGAGAAACGACTGTTTTCGGAAGATATACCCGACAACATACGGGGATTGTGGCGACAGGTGGGAAGGGGAGAAGCTGGTAAAGTAGACATCGAGGAGATCACAGGCCAATGACTGAGGAATGATCGAGGCGATATGAGGGAGGACGGGCTGAAGGACAGGGTACCGCAAGGTGCTGGAAAATGGAGGCATGCTAAAGGAAGCGAAATTTGCAGGGGATGGTGAAGGGAGTGATAGCCATCCTGGCGATTGCGCTGGGGGAGATAAGCCTAGAAAAGGCGCCGGAGGATTTTCAGCAGAGTTCCCGAGTCGGTATTGGTTGATTGATGGGTGATTTGTTTCTGGCGCGTTCATCAGAGAATAAGCGCCGTCATTATAGCCGGAATTCAACCCTTGAGGTGGCAGTGCTCCCGACGGAGACCGGGTATTTGCGCCGGATGGATGCAGCATCTGCAATGAACGAAGATCGGGAACAGACATCTGCGGTCGGTTGGAATCATTAAGAGTGTTGAAGTGATTCAAGTGAATGGCATCGATTGCACCACCTAGGGGTGGCTGAGAGTGCGGGGTCTGTTGCGAGCCCTGCATCCCCGCCATGCCTGACATATCTGAGTGCTGCCCTAATTGCGACTGTCCCGCTGTCGTCAGGGTTCGGGTGGCATCAAAGGTCGGATCGTATCTCCCGCTGACCTCTTGCGTTGATTGACCATCCGAAGAGGTGTGCTGTTTAGCTAACGATGCGGAATCGTTGGATGTATTGCCGTTTGACGTCGACGCGGTGCCATTGTTGGCTACGACGGCGGCAGCCGCAGCGAGATCCTTTTTGGATGCTTTGCCACGTTTTTTGCGTTCTCGAGCATATTCACAAGTGAGGCCAAATTCTGCCCGGGAATTGTCAGTATTTATAAAGCATTGCGCAATGAATAAAGAAATCACTACCGATGCAATGCGCACATGGGTTTTGCCCATCGCATTTCGTCCGAAGCTGATTACACTGGTCACATGCGCGACTGATTCTTCGGCGGACGGGACCGGAGTTTGAACTTTTGCGGATCGTCGAGCGAGCCTCTGCCAGTTGGTCCCGTTGAGGCAGGTTTCTGAACCCGGTGGTTGCGTTCTGGGTATGTTGGGTGGAGGACTCATCGCTGTAAAGCTGCTGGCTCTGGGGTTTGGAAATTGAGCTTCTAAGAGGGTTAGGAACTCCACCGTCGACAGCACTGGCCCCATTGGCTTCTCGCGACAGCTGCAGTTGCTCCAGCGCGTATTGCGAACCCTCGGCGAGCGTATCCAGCCCGACCGTCTGAGATGGCGCCATTCCGACCGGCTGGGTCCCTGAAGAAAAAGGAGAGAAGGACCTCGTGAAATGCTGAATCGAGGTCATCGACATTCTCACCGGGCAAGAGAAGCGACCGGTTGATCTACTGGTACATATAGGAACGCGGTTGGACAAGATTGGCGGATGTGGGGAACGGAAATGAAAAAGGGAAAAACGGAGAAGGGCCGTTAAGGCCCCAAAATCACGTAAAAGTGGTACTAGTCAGTTAAGTAGATATAGTCCGTCACATCGAATGAGAGCTAAACAAGAGAACAATTTGGAGAGAAACGAATAGGTGTAGCGAGCCAAAAAGGAAACGACGTAGTGAAACCTGGCAGTTAAGAGAAAGAGAGAGAGCCAAAAGATACGGGTCAGTGGGGAGGGAGAAATTCGGCTCAAACTCCAAGGTCAGAACATATTGCCGACTAAAGTAATCGGGTCGGGAGAGAGATGAAGGAATGGGTCTCAGACCTGGGGAACCAAGAAAGACGTGCTAAGGAGGATTTTAGCTTGACGGTTTGAATTACCTCGAGACCTTATAGGCCGGGGAGTCGCCGTAAACCGAGTCAACAACAGACGACACGAGGAGACGCCCCCAGAAAGCCACCGAAGCAGACGAGAAAACCGGGGAAGGAAAAGCACTAAAAGCACTAAGACGGAGACTAAAGGTCACGAGTGGATGGCTTTAGCCATCGGTCAGGCCACAGGGCGACGGGGTGGGAAGGCCCGGGAGGTAGTAAATAATCTCTCTCCTCATGAGGCAAACTTGGTCTAGGGCTCCGCCGAGATCCAGGTTTAGGATGACAAGACGACGATCCGTTTTAATACCCGTTCCCTCGTCCACCGGCGTGAGTGATGGATAGAAAGATGTGGAGTTGTAGCAGTTGGTTTAGAATCGAACAAACCAATAAATGACAGGAAAAGGACAGAAGAAAAAGGCGGGGAAAGGTCCCTCACTTTCGGATGAAGGTGCCTGCCGGGGCTGCGTTCCGGATCGTCAGGTCAAGGTGGAGAGGGTGATTGGTGATCAGGGTCTGGTTTGGCCTTTAACATTGTTCTTTTTCTTCGCTTTTATCGTTGGAATAACCTTTTGAACAAACTCATTGTTATAGGATATGGGATGGCCCGGCAGATTTCAACAAGAACACATTTATTTAAAGTATGAAACGGGGGAGAAGTGCCGGCATCACTATCTGTTTGGGGCACTCGACCCATGTCATGTGCATACGCCTAGATATTGCACTTCCCGGGGATATAAACTCAACATATGGAGTAGTGAAATTGACTCAGAGGTGGGTAGTGACAATCAGTATATACGTAGTATATACCGACTTATAAGTCTATTCCATCAATGCACGTCTGAAGAGCAAACCACACGTCCTTCTACACACTGTCGGCAGATTAACAAAAGAATAAACAATAACAGTACTGTCAATGCAAATTTTCAACAATTTTAGTCGAGACTGCTCGACTTTTAGTCCGACTCTTACAAGCCACCTCTCTTTGTCAACTTGAGTCTGAGCAGATTTGTCCTTTAATTAAACCCCCGATCGTCTGGAGAAGGGGCAGAAGCCGACGGAAGGTGTGGTAGAATTTCCCCGCTGGGCTGCTGGTATGCAGGACCCTGTCTAATGCTCCTACTTTCCTAAGCGACCTGCAGGTTGTCAATGCTACTACTAGTGCGGTACTCAGTAATAAGGAAGACTTTGCTGCAATAGGCAACATACCTTCATCCTGAGTCTGCTCTCAAACATGCCCATCATGTCTCGGCGGATGCCCTCTTTTTGCCCGACATTTTGCCTAAATTACCCCGGAAAAACACAAAAAGTTTGCTTTTGCATGTTTACTACTATCAAGTAATAATGGAAAGGGTTCATCGCAAGCCACAGAATTTTAGAGTTTTCATATATTATTCTGTATGTACAATGATCACATCCTTTAGCGTCTGTGATAGCCTTTTGCATATAGACTTAAATGCAGAGTTAGTCATACTGTACATGTTACCCGATATCCAACGCCAGATCTATCCACGTGAAACATACATTATACATCAATCACCAACAGTGGCCAGACAACCACTGTACACATGCCGAAAAACAAGGACAAAAAGATTAATAATAAAAAAAAAAAGGGAAAATACACAAGGTGAAGAGAGGGGGAGGGTTTTGTAAAAGATGCAACAAATACACAAAATGGGGATATCACTAATCATGCTCAAACAAGGCAAACGCTTAGGTAGGTGAGCGAGGCACTAGGGCGTAGACGATCCCGTCCCTCTAATTTTACTTTTCATCGTCGATTGCGCCAAACGAAGCCAACACCAACCCAATACGTTCAGACACCCGGCCAAGGAGGACCCGCTCAGCCAACCAATGGTCGATTCTTCAAGAGAAGAAATATTCACTGTCTCGGATGCGCGTGATGTCCCACTCCCCTTTCCGAGGTACCTCGCGGAAGCGCAAGGGTAGCCAGAGCCAAGTGTGGATAGCACCGCGCCTTTTCTTCTTCGGCTCGTCAATTTCATCCACATCGGCTTCAGCAGCGGCATCTTCGGAGTTCGCCTTCGGGCCAAGAACGTCGTCAAAATCGGTCATCAGACTCTCAATGACTGGGTCCGAGGAATCTGTTTCCATGCCCGAAGCTTTCCGCTCTGCTGCCTCCAGATTCTCCGGGACATGTCCGACGACGGTCTCACCGAGCGAGCTCGAAATAGCAAGATCCTTATCGGCACCGCCGGCCTGCTCAAAGACACTAGCGGGAGTGACCATTGCGCGTCCCTGGGCTTGCAATTCTGGATCGTCCGATTGCAAAAGCTTTTGTCTCTTGTACTCCTCCAAGAGTTCCTGCACCTTGGCCGATTTGTGGTTTGCGTGTCTGCGGTGAGCTCGGATAGCCTTTCCAATCTTACTTGAGACATTGACCTTCGCGAGGAACAAATTCTTGCCGTAACGGACTTCAAACTCCGCCGCGAGCCTCTTCACAACATCGTCAGAATGCATACGAACGAAAGCCTCTCGGAGAATATTGTTCATAGAGTCGACATCGCAGGCATGGGTCCAGAAGGAGTCATGGACCGCCGAAAAGCTGAGACCAGCCCTGTCGCAGGCAATAGCAGACAACATCATGTGGGTAGCGTCGAGAGAGTGAATAAAATTAGGTGGGAAAGCCTGGAGTTGCTTGCGCTTGGAAACAACATCGTCAGAGCCCATATCGACAATGCTCAAATCCTGTAGAGTAGTACGAACGCGTCGAGATTTCCGAACGCGGTAAGGCTGGACAACAGGCAGCCCTAGAGGAGTTGTCCAGATCACAGTGGATCTGAACTTTTGAGCTGGGTCATTGGCTTTCTTTGTCGAGCCTTCGGCCGATTGCGTAGGGCCCAAAGCTTCTTTTGCGATTTCCTCGATCTGTTCAGGAGAGAGAGATTGCGTGATCCGACTTGCGCAGTCTCCAAGCCAGTATTGGATTTCATGAGCGCCATTGAACATTGTGCCTAGAGCCTCGAAAATCTTTCGAGCAATGTATAATGAACCGCTCTTGGTGTCATCGGCCGAAAGCTCCGGGTAGTGGTCAACAAGCTGTTTGCGCACTTGCTTCATAGCTCCCATAAAGGTGACACCGTAGACATTCGTCATGACAGTCTGTTTGACGATCTTACGGGTGATCTTCCCGTCAAGCAACTTTGCAATTGGGTTGCCTTCTTTGGCTTCACGGGCGACGGCCTCCTTAACAAATTCGGCGACACCAGAATAGACATCGGATGGGCGGTCGGACGGCTCCAAGTTCACTTGCTGAGCGCCCACCTTATCACCGCCAAGAGCTGCGTAATGTTGCAATCCATTGCACGAGCCATCTTGATGGATAGGTAGTCGCGATGGATATTGTGTGGGATCCGGGTGTTGGAGAGCGTTTCTCAGCTCACAGCAAGCGGCCAAGCATTGCCATGGATCCTCTGCGCCAAGCCACCACCGTCTGCCGTGTAAACCTTTGTTTGCAGAATCAAGAACATCGTCTAAGTGATCCATTGTCCATTGTTCACGTTCCGATAGGCTAGCCTTGTCAAAGCCAGCCAAGTTTGCAATCTGAATCTTCAGCCATCTTAGGCCACGAGCGCCCAGCGGCTTAGCTTCGCTGAAAAGGAGAAGTCCTCTAGCATTGTCCGCACCCATTTGGTTAAGATATGGTGGGAGCGGGTAAGCACGACCGCGGAAGTCCATGTTATGGGGGAGATAGAAAGTATCATTTCTGTACGCACGGGCAACCTCTAGCTGGAAGTTTTGAAAGCATCGATTTGAATGCATGCCGGATCGTCTGTTTTCGATCTCACGCATAATGTTACCCCACTTCTTCTCGGCCGCGAAACCTTCTTCGGGAGTTGGCTTAGGTGGATGAGGAAGGTCAGGGTTCAAGGGTGCAAGGCTGGCAACAGCATCTCCCGAGTTCCATGCCTCAAGCATGACCTCGAATACATCGCGATTGATCCTCCACCCAGTCCTTCCAAGAATATTCAAACCCTCGCGGACCTGTTCCAAACCGTTGTTCTCCATCGCTGCCTTGATATAAGACGGTTGTAGAGTCTCGCCCGGTGTTGCGCGTACAATGCTGCTCTGATAGATGAAATATCCACCATCTTTAGGACCGTTCCACGGCTTTGGTTTACAGATCATGGGCAACTGACGACCTAGCACATCTGCGGTAGGTTCCCTGGCAACGATCTGAACAATTTCCGGGTGTAAATGAACGTATCCCGACTTTCTCCCCCAGTTAATTTGATAGGAGTGCTGGAATGCGGGTTGCAAGGTGATTGTTTTCTTCTTTGTCCCTGGTTGCTCCGCTGTGACAGGAACCTTTCCGACATCAAAAAGGAAACTCATTAAGACGGCCCCGACTTTAGCTTTAACCCTAGGGGGCCAGATAGCTGCCGGGTCCTCCTTTTCCAAGTCGTGCACGATCTTCTGCCACGGCGCTCGGCCGTCCTTCTGTTTGCGACCAGCAAGAATTTCCCTAAGTGCTTTCATGCGACGGGCATCATTTCCTGACTGCTGCTTTTTAAGGGTCATTTCAGCTATCAGTTCATCTTGAAGGTCTTTCCCAATACCAGTGGCAATTGCAGAGACCTTGATTCCTTTTTCCATGCCTCCGCGAGAGAAGGTAGATATAACGGCGAGAATAGTGAGCGCGGCCAATCTTTCCGGGTCCAGACTCCGCAGATAAACTCCGTAGTCATAACGCTCTTTCTGCTCGAAAGTCCGAATGGGATTGGCCTCCGCTTCATCAACAAGCTTGAGTTCTTCTTGGATCCTGGATACAAGTCCCATATGCCACTGATTCATAATGGTACCAAGCTTTTTCCCACCGCCAGTCATATCCAATCCTGACTTTTGCATCTGAGTAAACTCTTGCCGCCATCGTTCAAGTGAAGTCCGTATCGAATCCGTCTCTAACTGCCGCTGTCTGAGTTGATTGTATAATTCTAACTTCTCCTCTTCCGTATACTTGGCGTCAGTTGGGAAAGCGATATCAGAACCAGTGGAGAACATTGAGAGAGAGTCCTGCAAAGACGAAAGCCCAAGGCCTTTTTGGTCAACAGGCCTCACAGCCGGGACCTCATCTGTGATCGATTCGGGACTTGTATTGGCAACATCTGAGTGTATACTACCGATCGCAACACGTCGAAGGTCAGATGAACAGATCTAGTAAAAAAAAGTGTGTCAGTGTCAATTTCTTATTTTCCGCATACCTCATAAGGTTAACTTGAAAGCAAGGGTGGGATAGACAGACCTCTGACAGTTCGCCTAGCTCTAATTCCGAAAGAACTGGAACAGCCAAAACCTCCTCCTCGACACCCGCTGTCTTCGCGAAGCTCCAATATCTGCGAACTGCCCTGTCCCGCTTAGCACCATGTAACATACGTAGTGCCATCCGAATCATGATCGCATATGTTCGCGCATCTGGCTGAACGCCCCCGTGAGCCATGTCAACTTCGAACCATCTTTGCAAGGGCAAGACCAAGTTGTGTTGCCTTGTTACAACCATGTGTGACACCATTTCCTCCAGATAGCGGTTATGGATGGCCAAATACTCAGGCGAACCGATTGGAAAATACTCCCCGAGACGGGTGATAAGATTGGCAGCCCGATCCATTCGGCCAACTTTCAGGGAGATATCCAGGTTTGCCATCATCTCGTCTTCATCACCACCAATACCCTTGTGCTTTTTGAGTGCTCTCGGTCTGGTCTGTAGAAGGTCGTCTATGATGATTAAGGATGAAGCATTGAACCCCTTTGAAATGGGTGGGAAAAGAGAAGCCATTTGTGCCGGTTGGTCATACCGGTGACCGGCTGTGTATGAGGAGTTCTCGAACGAAGGATACGGTGGTTGTTGTTCAACGGGGGAGTGATCTGCCGCCGTAGCGAGATGCCGATTTGATTGAAGAGATGGTTGACGAAGACGATCGGGGGAAGGATTGACGGACGTGTTGACAAAAGAATTCGGCCGACCTAGGTGGGAGTGAAACCGCAGGGTGGCCAAAGATGGCGACACCAAACGCCCATTAGAGACCCGGAGATGAGGCGCTGCATTTCTCTGACGAGCAAGTCGGGATAACATGACTCAAAACTTTTCGCTGAAGCAACTGGATAAATTAAGAATATGATGTAGAGGCACGTAAGGAAAGGAGAAAAATTATGAAAGAAGGCAAAAATTATGCAAGAACAAAATCATTAGTATGCAAATATGCGCAAGAAAGATTCAATAAATTGACAATGAACTTCCTGTCAGCGGAAGATATCTGCTGACAAGCCGTCCTGCAGCCCTTCACCAGTTTATAAGAGATGGGTAAAGAAAGAAGGGGGGGTGAAGGTCTGATGAAGGCGAAAAGGTCGAAATGCCGTAGTAGTTCCTGGACGGAGAAATCGGGGGAAAAATACTCGGATCCTCAAAGGGGAGATAAGGCACGTGTGTTCACGTGATTTGATTATCGTGTTTTTTTTCGGCTTCTCATTTGCGGGATCGCGTCCACATCGTACTACGGAGTAGACCTATCAGCTTGGGGGGTGGCGATCGTTCAATCTTTCCCGGATTTTCAACAATATTCTACAACAAAGCTGTTCAAATTTTTTGTATAATGTACCCATTACATTCTGTCATAAGCTCAGATTTTTGTGCCTGATTTTCATAGAGCTTAGGTACCTATACTATCAATCAATTGACCGTACCTCGCACGCACCATGCATTTTTGGGGATATTCTCATAATGCCATTCGTAAAGTCTATCTTTTTACACGTAGAAAATTTAATCATTGCTCTTCAGTACTACTCCTAGAAGAACTCCCCCTTCCATTCTGCTTCATCCGGTTCTGCTTCATAGCCCATCCAGTCATCTCTGGGTTTGCCGGGTCAATACGGGGCGCACTCATCTTATCCAGGTAGTCCTCACTATCGATAGCCGATTCCAATTGCGGTAGATTTTCCAAGTCTTGGTGCATCATGTAGTTTTCATATACTTGCCATGATTCCTCAGTCTTAGAGTATCTCGAATCAGCAGAGCCTCTCAAAAGTAACGAAACCATCACGGAACAAATACTCACCTCAGCATCGACCCAATCATAGCTACCCCATTTCTCCTCCTGCATCTTCTTCAAAAGATCCAGATTGCCAGCCAACTGACTTGCCTGATCATCTTCAGCTGCCTTGACCTTGATATCAATCGCGCGAGCCTCATTCCCACCACCCTCCTCGTCATCCTTTTTCTTCCCCTTCCCCTTGGCAGGAATCTCATCTAAAGCATCAAGATGATGAAGCTGAGGATGCACCTGCACAACTGCCGAAACAGGCGACAAATGAAGATTATCTATAATCACAATTAGCGCCCACATGCAACAACACCACCGAAGAGACCCAGCGCAGCAACTCACCCCCCCGGAAAGCAGCTAACATATAAACCGGATCCCCCTCCTCGGGAATCTTAATGCGTCCGCCCAACGTCTGCACCCGTAATAAGGAAGCTGAGTCTCCATTTCCCATGCCGCCCATTTCCACATCCCCACCGGCTTCCATCTTCACCTTATTCCCGCTAGCAAGGGAACCGCCGGTAAAGCCACCCGCCATGCCGAATGCGCCGCCCTCTTGCGAACTGCGACTTTTCTTCAGCGCATCGCCGTACTTCAGGCCTTTATTCACGTCATAGTTCATGCGGGTGTTGATCGGGACATCGACTTCGACAAGCCCGGTTTTGGGTTTTAGGCGAAAGGCAGTGGGCTTTTGGCCGTGGCGGTCATCGTACGGATAGTCTGGTAGCCGGTCGAGATATTGGAGGACGTACCGAGAGATTTCGGAGTCTGTGAGGTAGACGTCGTAGGATGCGATGACGGGGTCTGAGGAGTCCATGGTGTGGATATGGGGTTTTGGCCAATATATGGGTTGGTCGATTAAGGTCGCATCATTAACTCAATAGTATTCGTTAGAATTGGACAGGAGCACGGTAAATCGTGGGCAATTGACTGCTTTTCTCCGAGTCTCCCTCAATTTTTTTTCCATATCGGGGCGGCGGAGAAGTGGCTGATAAGAGCCGGAAAAGTGGAGTACACCGCCTTCCATTCTGATGACCTTTTATAACGGAATTTATAAATGATGTCTGTAAAGGATGGCACTAGTAGTAATACTGGAGAGGAGGCCTTCAAAACTAAAAACTGGATTTAATAACAATTATAACGTCACACATAAAATTTGGTGGCTGTTACCTGCGGCGGTAAATTGCCATCGTAATACATGAAGATTAACGGAATTCGGCTGATCCAACTCTTAACGCTTTTAGACGTAAGGCGTATACAGGTATACACAGAAGCAAGCGACGATGGCAACAAATCAAATAACTACACCAATGAAACATGGCTCACATGAAAATGTGGAATCTAAAACAATGCAACTGACATAGTTAAAGGTGGTCATGACAATCAAAGCGAAGCCCAACATAAGTCAAAATGATTTAACCTCTTTTTATCCCTGATTTTAATTCTTTACTCGTCATCTTCGTCTTCAGCAACCTGTTTGATTTCGTTAGGTGGAAAGTCTGAATGTACGTGATAGCAAAGGTTAACTTACTCCTTCATGGAAGTTGCGTCCATCAGTAGTTTCCTTGATAACGCCTGCACGAATACACCAGTCTCCGAACCTCTCAGGCTCTTCGCCATCTGTATTACGCTCAAGTGCGTACCGCTTGAGGAGACCCTTCATAATTTCCAAAATCTCATCCTCCTTGATAGAAGAGCGGTAAAGCTTGTTCAGACGTTGTCCGTGGTAGCCACCGCCGAGGTACATATTGTAGGCACCGTATGCCTTACCGACAAAGGCAGCTTCGGCGAGCCAGGGCCTGGCGCAGCCGTTGGGGCAACCTGTCATACGCATGACAATGCTGTCTCTAGCCAGACCCACCTCTTCGAGGGTAGACTCGAGCTTAGAGATAAGAACTGGCAGGTAGCGCTCAGACTCGGCCATGGCCAGGCCACAAGTGGGGAAGGCGACACAAGCAGACGAAGAAAGACGCATACCACTGAAAGAGGTGTTGTCGAGCTTGTACTTGGCCATCAATTCCTTGATTGCAGGGAGGTCCTCATCCTTGACGCTGGATAGAATCAGATGCTGATTACCGGTGAGACGGAACTCGCCCTTGTCAAGCTTCGCCAGTTCACGCAAACCGGTGCGCATCTGGAAGTCTGCAGTATCCTCAATTCGCCCGTTCTCAATGAAGAAAGTGAAGTGATTGAGGCCCTTCTCATCCTTAAGCCAGCCAAAGGTATCAACGTTGGAAGCAAACTTAAACGGACGAGGTTCGGCAAACCGCAGGCCCTCTGGAAGGAGAGCCTCTACCTTCTCCTTGAAGACCTCAACACCCATGTCGTCGATAGTGTACTTCAGACGTGCATGCTTGCGGTTCTGACGATCACCGTGATCACGTTGTACCAACATAATCTTTTCACAGACAATGTGGGCCTGATCGGCGGGTACATATCCAAACATGCGGCCGGTCTGAGGATACGTCTTCTTGTTGTTGTGAGTGCTACCCATGCCACCACCAGCGAGAATGTTGAAACCTTCCAAATGCCCGTCGGCTCCCTTGATGGCAATCAAGCCAATATCATGTGCATACACATCGGTGTCGTTGTGAGGAGGAATAGCAATAGTGATCTTGAATTTACGGGGGAGGTAAGTAGGGCCATAGAGGGGTTCGTTATCGACAACAGCATCTCCAGCGACTTGAATCTTTTTATCGTCCTCATCCTTCAGCCAAATCTCATGGTAGGCTGTAGTAGAAGGAAGAAGATGGTCGCTAATCTTCTGCGCGACAGCATGCGCCTCACGATGGTAGGAAGAGAGCTCTGGGAGGGAGCTGCACATGACGTTACGGTTGACATCACCGCAGGCTGCAATGGTAGTCATAAGTGCTTTATTAATAGCACGCATCGCGCCTCGGAGGTTACGCTTGATGACACCGTGGAATTGGAAGGTCTGTCTGGTCGTGAGCTTCATGGTCTCGTTACCATGGGAGCTGCTGATAGCATCCATTTGCAGCCACTGAGTGGGAGTGGCAACACCACCAGCAAGCCGGCAACGGATCATGAAGCTGTAGGCGGGCTCAAGGCCTTGGGCTTTGCGCTCATCGCGCACATCACGGTCATCTTGCATATAGGTGCCGTGGAACTTGGTCAACTGCTGGTCGCTTGCAGAGATAGCACCGGTACTCTCATCCAACAGACCCTCAGCAATGGTACCACGAAGGTAGTTAGACTGTATCTTGATGTCCTCGTTTGTCAAAGGTGCGGGCTCCTCAGGGAGACCCTCGACTTTGTCCACCCCTAATGACTGCCAGAGACGTGGCTCCCATTCGGAGTAACCAGTCTGGTAAGCGTCTGGATCCTGATCGTCCCCAAGTCCAATATCCGCGAGCTTACTTCCGCCCAAAAAGGCAACCCGGGCGTCAAGGTCCTTGGCGGGCTTGTTGTAGTAGATCTTATCTTCCTTGCGTGGCCAGTAGTGGCTGTCACCAAGACCAAAAACAGAGTAGTTGATAGTAGACAGATCAAGGTCACCAGAGTTCTTCACAAATTCCCACAGACCACGGCCATTGACGGGGAACTCTCCCTGGCCCGCGGTACTGGTGATAAACACCACGTTTTCCTCAGTCGACAGATCCTCAGCAGGGTAATCATCCATGGCCATGACCATAGTCTTCAGTCCCCTGGCGCGACCGCGGTTTCCAAGACGCTTGGCCAGATTTTGGGCGTTGCCATTGTCTGACGCGAATAGGATCGTTAAGGGTGCGCCGAAAAGACCTTCGAGAAGCTTCTCATAAGAGTCCTTAGCCTTACGCTTCTGGAGGGCCCGAACTTCGGTACCGTAAGATTCAGAGAGGGCAGAAGAAAACTTGGGATGACGGTTCATAAGCTGACTGAGCTGGTTGTCCCTACGAAGGAACTCTTCAAGTTCACGCTTGATACGTTCCGAATCGAGGGAGAACTTAGGCTCGTTGTTCTCTTCGTTTCCAGGGTTCCAGCGGTACAAAGGCCAGTATCCGAGGTCGATGGCCTTCTTCGTTTCCTGGAGAACAGTCAAGGCAGAGTCGTCCTCCTGGTTGTAGGGCAAGTATGCAACAACTACGGATGGGCCCTTGAACTGTTCGGCCTCAGCCATAGCCTGGAGAACCTGAGTGTAGGAGCCGTACACGGCAACAGAGGCAACATAGGCATTACCGTAGTTCATGGCATAAAGACCAATGTCCTTCTTTCTGCGTGTGGGATCAGCAGCAGTGCGTTCAGAATATGGCTGAGAATCGATAACGAGCATGTTAACATTGGCACCAGAGGCAAGGACATGATGGACACCTGAGTTCCCGAGATCATAGGCCCAGGCATCGGAGCCAACGAGCCACCGCGACTCATCATAGAAAAGCTTCTTGGATTCTAGCAGCTTCTTGGCCAACTCAGAATCGTCCTTCGAAAGGTGATCAATTACATCCGGAGCCAATCTGTTGGCCTTGGATGCATCTCCGGCATTAAGAGCCCAGTTTGAGAGGGATGTCTTCGGAGTATCAGTGGCGAAGCTGCCAGCCTTCGATGCTTCTTCAACCTCCCGCACAAAACGGCGGCGGTGTTCCATCCGGGCAATCAAGGAACCAAATCCATATTCAGGGCTGGCTGCAACGGTAGAGGAGACACCGGCATGCTTGGAATCCAACTGGTTGGCAATGTGCAAACGCTCTCCGAAGAGCTGGTTTAAGATCTTCAGATAGGCATTTTCGATATGAGGCTGCTCCAAGGCAGACTCAAGTGTTGGAACTTTGGAGCTACCGACTTCGAGGTTCTGGATAGGAGAGGGAGTGTCCAAGTTCTGGGCAATGCCGCGGAGTGCCTGAATGGCAGTAGATGGCTCAACATACCCGAGTCTGTAACCGACAATCTGTGGAGCACGTCCTCCAGCAGTGGTAGGGTTCAAGCTTGACAACAGATCCATGAACGAAGGGCCCCATCTTGTAGTTTTGCGGACTTGTTCCAGGACGGCGATCTTTTCAACAGAGGCTGGAATAGAGTTCACAATCTGGCCACCCACCCAGGGTCGGTACAACCGCGCAGTGATGAGTCCGATGTTCTTAAGCTCACTGGCAGTGTCTTCCTTAGACAGAGCATCCACAAACACTCCAGTGGAGCCAAAGATAAAGAGAGCGGATTTGGCATCCGAAGGACCAGTGTACTCGACCGCATTGTAGTTGCGACCCACCAATCCCGACAGGGTGCGCCAAATCTGAGAAGTCCACTCGAAGATGTCTGCGGCACTAACTGGCCTAACAGAAGAAGCATCCACGGTTGTTGCAGCGGAGCTGGTAGCACGGCTATCAACGCTGCTATCTCTTCTTGAGGAGCCAACGGACGAGTTGTCAACACTAATGCTCGAAGGCGTTTGAGATGGCTGTGCAGGGGTAGCAGCACCCGAGGGGGTCTTAGTGTTCTCTACAACTTCATCTGTGACGGTGGCCACCCGTCCCGAATCAGTGTACAATGTTTGGGCACCAAGTCCAGTGGAGTGAGTAGCATGGTGTCCGCCCAAGTTCAGAACACTCTGAATTACATTCACATCCTCCTCTGCAATGGGCTCGTCGCGAGCAGAATTGGCAGGGTCAAAGAAATGGATGACACCTTTTCCGGACTTGCGTGCCAAAGCATGAGCAGTGATAGAGATATCTTGTGCCTCTTGGACAGTCTCGGAGTGCAGGAATGTGAACCCACACTGCCGTATTGAGCTGATTACCGAATAATCTGGGAACGTAGAAGGCTCCAAGGCAACGTGGATGACAATGGGGAAGTTCGCTAAGCGGTAGAGGTGAGGGATGGAAGAGAGGAGGACAGAGGAACTAGAGACAACAGAAACTACATCTCCAGTCTGCAAAGGGTGGAAAGCAGAGAGGAGAGGATCTTCGTTGTATCGTACCGAAACCACCTGATGAACTTGTCAATTCACTGTCCGAATTTAAACAAGCTGTATTTCAGTATCACTCACATCGGGTATACCCTTGGGCAAGATACTGCGCGCCTTTTCTTGCTTGAGAGCCTTCAGCGGCTTGCTAAACCAAGAATCTGTCTGCAGGGACGGCTGGACGGAGACCACAACGTCGCTAGTGAGATAGGCGACTCTCGCCACTGAGATGTAAATTAGTATTCCATTACCAGATCGTAGACAGACAATGATTGCAGAAAATAGTCAAATATACAATCAACGGACTAGGAAATGGAAGAAAGAAAGAAAGGAAATGACTCACCTGCCTCTCCGGCAGTTGAAACGGGTGCCATGTTGGCAATTGCCAGTTGCGCTATGTAGAGCGCAAAGGTGGGATGATACTAATGGTATATAGAGTAGATATCACCGCATACGGTGACTCCACACTCAAATTGAGCTCAATCGATGAGGGGAAAGGAGGGAAAAAAGAAGGGAAAGTGACAGTCTTAAGGACATATAAAAAATTAGCTTGACTCTTTCCCGTTTATCCTTACGATTTCCTTCAAAATTAAAGCAGTGATTTTGTTCCCCATAGACTTTCTCCGCCATCGGGGTTGGATCAGCAACATTCTCATTGGACTGCGATCACGACATCGATGCAAACGTGCGCAGGCGGTGGGTGCAAACATCCTTAATCGGGTCAAGTGCGGGCAGCAGGTCGAGCACGTCAGTTCTTCAGCGGGCTTTGCTTCGGCAGAATGCTGATAGGCCGGTTACTTTTACTCTGTATGTACGATTAATCTTGAGATCTCGTGTTGCAGCCGAACGTGGGAGACATCCACTCATCAGCCTCAAGAATAAATTTTGAATCAACATATTTAAAGAAAGATTGCTCCGTAAGAAACTGAACAACACAGATCATGTATGTGTATCCCATAATTGCCCCCTATTTCCCGTTAGCAGGAGACCGATCGGTATTTGATCATTCGGCGCGTACTACGAAGATAATTTCCTCTCGGGCGAGAGAGACTCTCGGCGTGAAAGGTCAGCTGAATGCTAACAACCTAGTATGGTGAATCGAGGACCATCGTTACAGAACCCAACTCGTCCTTTCTCATTTAGTTTCTACAACAGAGGACTAAGAGGACATGCTTTTGACAAAAATAGAAAAACAAAAGAGAGAAGGAAAAATGACGAGTTACAAATTAAGTCATACAAATGAGTACTGTGCCCTGTGTAGTGACTAACTTGCTGTCATTTGTCATTCATGATAGAGCATTATGCGATTCCCTGATATAGTGCATGAAAACTGATCCCCAAGACGCCAAAGGTTGAAACAAAACCCATATCAATATCAATGTACAAGTCCCAGACGCTGGGGACCACATCTAAAAAACCAATCCTTCCGTACATATGGCCGAACACACACACCGTTCTCTTCCATAAAAACAACTTCTATTGGGCAAATGTACCTTTGCGCAAAGAAAATTCGGACTCCATCTCTGTGATCCGCTCCGGAAAGGAGAGAAAAAGAGCTCTGAGCGCTGTTGAGTCATCAGACTCTTGCACCATATGGCTAGTGACCAGCGATTTGTAGATCATCCCACCAATTTTAGTGATATAATTTGTAACGAAAACCACGCAATGTGAACTGGGTAAGAGGCGAGGCTGTTGACATCAGAGCCTCGTCGCTTATGAGTTAGGCGTCCGTAGTACGAACAGGAGCATTGACATCCGTCTGCTCTGCCAAGGGCACCCACGTTGTATGGATTTGGACGCAATTACTTCTCCCAGCATTGACCTGAACTTGAAAGGATGACCTGTAGCGGATCGACGACATCCGGTCGCTTCCGATTACCTAGTTTCACCCCAGTCCTGCATTTTGACGTTCATACCCGGTACCTCATAGATGGGCTGTTGTAAGGCAGCCGCCTGGACAGCCGACTGAGAAGGTTGCGGAGGGCCCGTTCCAGATCGACGTCTCCGTTCTCTTTCGAGGGGGCCGGGAAGCTCGGTGCTCTCGCCGCGGGCACGGAACCGTCGCCCCATAGTATCCATCCAGTTACCATCCTCATCCTCGCCCAACCAATAATTACGACCAACGCTAATCATAGCGCGACCAAGCTTTCCCTTCCAACCTTGACCATCAGGCGTGAACGGCGAGAACGGCTCCTTATCGATATCAGCGACGCTGGCCACACTGGCGATGGAAGTGTTCCGGCTATGAGTCGGGAGCTGAGTGTGGCGAGGCACAGCGATATAAAGACGCAGAGACTGGCGAGCAAATGCCAACATGACAAAAACAAAATATGCGCGGATGATCCATAGCGAGCAGATGAAGACAATGCTTTGGAAGCTTTCCGGTTGGGTAACCGCGTTGCCTAGGCCATCGGAACTTCTGGCATACTGGGCGCCCTGGGAAGATGTCGAATCGTACTTCGGGCTGGTGAAGCCGGCAGTCTGAGCAATTGTCTCACTACCAGGTCCAGAGGTATTTCCACTCTCGTAATTTTGAGAGATGACAAGGAACCATGTTACCCCAAAAGCAGCGGTATAAGCGGCGTTGATGACGCTATCGAAGAGGTAGAGCCAGGCGAGAGCGAGGCATTGCAGAGGTGATTGTTTCCGGATATGCGGGAAGAGCAGTGTTGCGACGCCGAGAGCGAGTAGGGAGTAAAGGTACATGGACAGCTGGACGGGTGAAAGGTGGTAGCCGGTTAGGAGCGCAAGCAACCCGTAAAGGCCGCTAATTTTGTTCAGGAGCAAGGATAATGTGATGAGAGAAGCGCCTGTCCGCAGGCTCATGACATAGAGGAATGTCTGTTGTACTCGGGAAGTTCATTCTTAGCACCATCGATTAATCTAGACACGGAACGGGAAGGCCTTTTATCACGAAATTTTAATTTCTGACATACCTCTGGCCGCGGGATGCGGAGAAAACGGGTTGGTGAAAACCCCATCATTGATATCGCCGATGGGTTGCTGTGGGAGTGGCACAAGCGATGGGAGGATGCAATAGAAAAAGGAAAAGGAATGGAAGCCAATACGTTCAGAAGAGAAGAAAGGGAGAAGGCTGGTAGTCAGCAGCAGTTGGGTCACGATGCCCATGCGGTAATATTGTCACACAGGGGCTTGGTTTTCCGGACGATCCGCCCCGCCGATCGCTACTATTTTCGCCTATTGAACGCCAAGACCTGGGCGGCGCTTTAATGACGTTCGGGTACTCTGTACTCCGTACATGAGTTTACGTCCAGTGAATCGCTCAATGCGCAATTTTTCAATAACCAGGTTTAAGGAGGAGGGCTATACGTTCCAGCTATTGCCTCAAGGTCAACCCGAACAATCAACTGGAATTCAATCACTCCCTTCTGTCCTACTCCCTGCTGAATTTCCGGGTTTTTCTTTCGTGGATGGGGCTATTCGCCCTAGGCAGTCAGCAATATTGCATCAGACAATACGAGTACGAACGTTCCCGATGCTAGCGCTAATGAAGGTTGTCAAGTATCATGAAAATCTTCCGAATACGTCTGGCCTGACATTATGCTTTTTCTTTTCCATTTTTCGCTTCCTCCCAATTATGTTGGCTGAAATTTTGGGACACCATGCAGTTGTGAATTGTATGGTAAATAGTATAATATATATGTATCGTAGACGTTATCCAAAATCTTACAAGAGCCATGACATCTTAAAACCATAACCTCAAATCTGAGCCGTTAAAGATAAAAAGGATATCGCAGAAATCTGAGGGGCAAGCAATGAGATGCTGATGCAATGCAGCAAGTAGAACGCCAAATTCTCCCACCAAGCACCAGGCGACCGTGCAGGAAAAACAGGAAAAAGAGAAAAAAAAAAAAAAACGGCTTCGATCTAAACACGCTATTCACTCGAGAAGCAAAGGGAGAAAAATGTACAGATTAAGAATGACAGCAATATTGACAATCTCGAACCTCATCATTGAGATCGAGGGAACAAATTGGTGGAAGTAATCGAAAGTGGCGACCAGGTAGTAGTACATTACAGCATTCAGCAGGCGCATCCATCGTTGGTTGTGGTCTCTTTTGGAGTGATGTTCACATCAATCACTAGAGTCACAGTCAGCTCTGAGGAACTTAGACGTAATGCCGAGGAAACAAACCTTGGCTCTCTCCTCTGCTACCTTCACCTTCCATGCCTGGTAAAGCTTGGGCTATCCGCCGGAAAAGTTGCTTGACGTTGTGGCCAACCTTGGCGCTAGTCTCAATGAACATCAACCCGTTCTTCTTAGCCTCCTCTTCACCCTGCGCGGTTGTAACCTCGCGCTTGTCGTTAAGGTCAGTCTTGTTGCCAACTAGAACAATGATAACATCATTGCCGCGCTCCCCTCGTACGTCGTCGATCCATTTCCGGGTGTTCTGGAAGGACTTGGCGTTTGAAATATCGTAAACAACAACAGCAACGCTCGAATCCCGAATGTAGGAAGGGATCAATGACCGGAATCGTTCTTGACCGGCTGTATCCCAAAGCTGGAGTCGAACAGTTCTGTCCTCTAGGTACATAGTCTGAAAAAAACGAGTTAACACTGGCATGAGCGATCAAAAGTCGAAGGTGGAGTGCTATGCTCGAGAGGCTGGCTAGTTGAGATATACCTTTGACAGAAAGTCGATTCCGATGGTCGCTTGATATGTATTATCGAATGAGTCGTACATGAATCTCGTAATCAGGGACGTTTTGCCAACTACATGTCACAATCAGAAACTTGCACAAGCCATACACTAATGGAAAACTGGCACGTGGTATCCATACCGCTCTGCTCTCCCAAGAACACCAGCCTGTGTGTGGTACAGTCAACAATTAATTCAGACTACAGGGAGCTTTGGTATACATGGACGTACTTGAACTTTTTCAAAGGGTTCGAATACGACCCTACAGCGGAAGTGGACGCCATTGTGACAAGAGAAACTTGTTAGAGGTAATGGTAGGATCAGGGGTAGCGGAGGGAAATGTCGCAAGTAATTTTACGTAGGCCTGTAGAATGGGTGCGCAAGGGGTTTAAGGATAGAAGGACATGAAAGTGAGAATATTATCGGAGATCAGATGCAAGACCAAACAAAGCGCCAGAGTTGTTCAAATGGGCGATTTGGGAAGGGAGTGAAGTCAACTCGAACCCATGGATCGATATGGGGAAACTGTACGGTAAGTAAATGTTATGGACTGACAAGCCAGCATTACTCCGACCGCCTCCCGATGACGGATTAAATCCGGCCCGACCCATCCATCATCAGCGCAAGGTGCGGCTGTTGCTCCAGACGAGTGATCCGGACAAGAGCTCCGCTCCACCGCAATACTTCTATCGTTTGGGAATTTTCGTTAGGCGTCTAAAGGCCCTGTAGCTTATTCGCTGTTTCCTCCAGCTTAAAGAATCGTGTCAGAAGTTGGAGGTCACCATGGGTCTCGTCTATCCAGCTGGTGCTGCTACCGTGTCACTCCTGGTGATCGGGGGCTGTAAGTGATCTCATCCAACAGGGATATTGATAATATGCGCTAATTAATACTTGTAGATATGCTTTTCCATGGAGATGGCGAACAATTTAATGTATTGAAAGACATTTGAATGTTTCATATCTTTTATAGGGTGCCTTGTTAACATTTCCTAGGTTGGTCAATTCCTCGAATCGGTATCTCCATATGCTTGGGCAAACATCGGTATCGCGATGTGCATAGGTTTATCAGTTGTTGGAGCAGCGTGGTACGTCCTAATTTGGAGCTATTTTCTTTGTTATATCATTACTCATGACATGACTGTCCAGGGGTATCTTCCTCACGGGTTCATCGATTGTCGGCGGAGGTGTTAAGGCACCAAGAATTCGGACAAAGAACTTAATCTCCATTATCTTTTGCGAAGTAGTGGCTATTTATGGTGTCATCATGGCAATCGTTTTCTCTTCGAAGCTCAATCTCGTTGGCGATGACGAAATCTTCTCCGGCAGCAACCAGTATACCGGATACGCACTCTTTTGGGGTGGTATCACTGTGGGCATGTGCAATTTGATCTGTGGTATCTCTGTCGGTATCAATGGGAGCAGTGCAGCTCTAGCCGATGCTGCTGATGGAAGCTTGTTCGTTCGCCCCATCCGTGATTATGTCGGAACAGTGAGCTAACATTTTTGCAGGTTTGTGAAGATCCTTGTCATCGAGATCTTCAGCTCTGTCCTTGGCTTATTCGGCCTTATCATCGGGCTTCTGGTGACACAGAAGGCTAACGAATTTAAGTAAGGCTGCTTAATGGTTGATGGGAGGGGGTTTGCTCCGAGAGAAAACCATGCGAGCCGGGGTAGGAACCATTGTATGACTTCTATGTTACAGCTTCACTTTGTTCTGGTGTTCTATTATATACTGCATTATGGCGTATGGATCCGATTTGACTGTAGAGTCTTTTGGGTATGCGTGAATAGCATTGATTGTCCCGCCGGTTTGCCATGATGTCTGGGTTGGTGTACAGTAACAGGCGCCGGGAAGTAATGGAAGTGCCGATATTATCAATACGATAGCGCACCCTTATGTATAGCACTGATTCGGATTTTACATTATTTTATTAAGGGCTTATAGTTAACTGGCGATCGTTGTATTGTTGACATTGATAAGGTTGAGCGATAGCATTTATCCTACGGGGTACTACTAGTATATATTCGGAGGGTACCATCAGGTTGTTCCCCGCATCCGACATAACTCTCCACTTAACACTGGCAACTCTCAAAATTCCAACAAGGTAGCATCCAAAATGACAGACGGCAAACTCAAGGCAGCGATATTGATCGTATCAGATACTGCCTCTAAAGATCCTTCCACGGATAGAGTTGCTGACACTCTCACGTCTTTCTTCTCTACAGAGGGGTCAAATACTTGGGATCGGCCGGCCACTAAGATCGTACCTGATAATGTACTTGACATCCAACGAGCCATTTGTGACTGGACAGATGGACCAAACTGGGTGAATCTCATCCTTTTGAGTGGTGGTACGGGCTTTGCGGTTAAGGATAACACCCCTGAGGTTCGTTGAACCCTGCTCCAAAGTTACTCTGCGTTGCTAAAGTTGTTGATTAGGCTGTCTCGCCTCTGATTCATCGCCATGCCCCTGGCCTAGTGTGAGTTGCGTTAGATATCTTTCAGACCCGATTATATGGTGATTACTGACCGTAAAAATGTTAAGTCATGGCATGATTGCCGCTTCTTTGCAAGTCACACCTTGTAAGCTGGTATACATATGACTTGCTACTCAAGGGCTCGCTAACATTGATTCTAGTTGCAATGATGTCTCGGCCTGTTGCGGGTGTTAGGGATAAAACGTTGGTTATTACCTTACCTGGCTCGCCAAAAGGGGCTAAAGAGAACCTCGACGCGGTCTTCAAGCTTCTGCCGCATGCGTGCACCCAAGCAGCTGGTGCCAACTCTCGAGCCATTCATGCAGGCGGTGTCAAGAAGCTAGAAGCTGAAGCAGGGTTGTCCTCGGGGAGCAAAACGGAACACACACACGACCATCACCATCACCACCACCACCATTCTCATTCTCATGGTCATGGACATGGCCATGTTGCCCCGAAGGCACATACGTCACCATCGGAGAGACCGCAATCAAATGATCCCAATGCAGGCCCGAATCGACGATATCGCGAATCCCCGTACCCAATGCTATCAGTGGATGAAGCACTTGGAGTGATTAGCCAACAAACCCCTGATCCAGTGGTTGTTGAAGTTCCCGTAACCACTGCTTTGGTCGGATCGGTCATTGCCGAGGATGTCTATGCTGCAGAAGCTGTTCCAGCGTACCGAGCTAGCATCGTAGATGGGTACGCTGTGATCGCACCTGAGACAGCAGATGTTGGACCAAGCACAAAGGGGGTTTTCCCTGTGGCCTCTATTTCTTACGCCAACCCTGGAGCGTCATTATCACCCCTCGAGCCCGGAACTATCGCTAGAATAACCACAGGGGCGCCTCTCCCACCAAATTCTAACGCCGTAGTAATGGTTGAGGATACAGTGCTCGCTTCATCGACCCCTGATGGTAAAGAGGAAGCAACGATAGAGATATTGACTGGTGATATCAAACCAAACGAGAATGTCCGTGAGCCTGGCAGTGATATTGCACTGGGATCAAAAATCCTTCAGAAAGGAGACCTCATTACGTCAGTCGGCGGTGAGATCGGTCTACTAGCAGCATCTGGAACAAAAACAGTCAAGGTCTTTAAGAAGCCATGTGTGGGTGTTCTAAGTACTGGAGATGAGCTGGTTGAGTACAACGATCCGAGAAAGCTCCATGGAGGACAAATTAGAGACTCCAACCGTCCATCTCTACTCTCATGCCTTGCCTCTTGGGGCTTTCCCACCGTTGATTTGGGAATTGCTCGTGATACACCAGCAGGTGAGCTGGAACGGAGCCTTCGGGATGCCCTTCGTGGAGTGGGGAGGGCAAATTCCAGCGTCGACGTGATTATCACCACCGGCGGCGTATCAATGGGTGAGCTCGACCTGCTGAAGCCCACTATCGAACGTACACTAGGCGGGACCATCCATTTCGGCCGTGTGTCCATGAAACCAGGCAAGCCGACCACATTCGCTACGGTCCCATTCAAGTCAACGTCGTCAACTCAACAAGTCCAGAAAGAGCGTGAGACTAAACTTATTTTCTCATTACCTGGAAACCCTGCCTCGGCACTCGTGACACTCAATTTATTCGTACTCCCCTCTCTTTACAAGCTAATGGGCATGGGTGAAAAGCAAACTGCGCCTGGCTTATCTTCAACACTTGGATTACCACTCGTTTCGGTCAGCTTGGCACATGCGATCCCGTTGGATCCCAAGCGCACCGAGTACCACCGTGCCATTGTAACAGCGTCTCGTTCCGACGGCCGATTGTACGCCTCTAGCACAGGCTTGGGGGGAGTTGGGCAGCGGAGCTCTAGGGTAGGAAGCCTAGCGAGCGCAAACGCGCTCTTAGTGCTTCGACCAGGAAGTGGACAGATTGAAAAGGGTGTATTAGTAGAGGCATTGATGCTGGGGCCGGTCGTAGCAGCGCAGTAAATGTTGTTCAGTGATAATATATTATACCACCGTCATAGGATGTCATTTCCCAGCAACCGGTGGAATCATGTTATCTCGATTTTAGTCTCAAGAAATGTACTCTCAAATATTGTTCACTCATCGCTTTTCAGTCCAAAGGACTTTCGAAACAGTACTTAATGAATGTAGACACCAAAAGCACGATCCCATGAACCCCCTTCACAACCGTTCGGCCACCCACCTCAATCGACATCCCCCAGGGCCAAGCATGTTACTGTACTCATCGTATTCTACAACGGATCGAAACCTCCAGTTCATTCTGGCCTCCCTCCCAGCCAAGTCCAAACTGCTCTGATCATGTAAATACTGCGAAGGAAGGCCTGGAGGAACCATATCCCAATCCCAAGGTGGACGGCTCCCAAAATAAATACTAGTGGTGATAACCCCCTTCTCCTGGCAAGCTAACCTCACCATACGCTTTGCAGCATGTAGTTGCGTATCCCAATCAAACAAGTGCATGAAATAGCCGGAATTGATCAGTCTAACGCGGCTAACCAAGTTATCAAGTCGCGGGGTTATCCTCGAAGAAAATCTTCAACTATAAACGCGCAGCGTAGCCTGGATAGGTCGGATTGAAGAAATTGGTAGTGTTGAAGACAGGGGTATTCCGGGATGGCCCAGGCTTGGTGGGCCTATTGTCGTTAGCAACTATGTTGGTTTTTTCTCTGGTTATGGATGAAATACGAACAATGTGTTTGACATGTTTCTCTGCTCTTTCAGGGTCTAGCTTGGCATATTCTTTGATGAGTTTTCCTCCATCACCCTTGAGGATATGGGAAATGTTGATTTTCTCGTTCCATGCTGAAAATCATTCGGGTTGGTGGGCCATCATTGCCTATTGATGAATATATGGAAGCGTATGATGTGAATATGAACAGCTCTACATAATAGAAAATAACACGCCTATGCTTCCGGGCCTTGTAAAGGAAGGGCTTAACCTTGCAGGACTTACATAGAACAATATATAGAGTTTAGAAACAGCTTTTCCATAAACGAGCCACACCACCAGTGTCTGTTATTGAATATGCCCCAGGTTCTAAAACTCATGATGGGCCAGAAAATAAGCATCACTTCTTTTGGCACTGAGTTTCCAACCTGATATCACCATGAATATCATTAAGCGAAACCTGTCCAGCCGTATGCTTTACCATTCTTCACCTCCCCAGCTGAAGCTCCAGAACCAATAGAAACCAAGCGTTGACTGACGCTAACCACCAGTATACATATGCCATCGGGATGCTCTTATGCCTCTATAGTGCGAACAAAATGGCCGGAAAGCATCCCTGACTCATGGTATAAAAATTATGATGATTAATACGGCTTATAGTAATGCACCGATTCCATGATTGTATGTATTCTTATATTAATTTGAATAAAGGAGAAAGGTATCCAGCATAGCCTAGCTCAAATCATGACTTAACAACCGAATAACTTCCCTAAGGTATGATGAGCAGCACATCATCTGTGGAAGTAGGGAAAAAAAAAAAAAAAAAAAAAGAGAGAGAGAGAGAAAATCCATGTCTATCCCACGCTTCCGAACAGGACATCACACCAAATAAAACCTCGACCGCTATAAATATGCGAACAGATAGAAGGAGCAGTATGATTAGTACGAAGATCGTCTACATTGATCAACCTTTGTGGACTTTCCAGTTCTTTTTCTTCTCAGCCCGAAACGCAGGAATGGTATGATCTTTACCTTGCTTGCGAGCGATTTCTACTACAAGGAATCGCACGAAATCTGAAAGGGTCCAGTAGCTGCTATGCGCACTCAGCATATTCAAGTATTGGATGTTTAAGGGTCCACCGCCACCGGAAAGGTAGTAGTCTATCTGGCCATTGTCATTGAGTAGAAGCATACGTTTTTCTGCGATCTCTTCGCGGGTGAAGTCGTGGGTTTCAAGCTCAACATTGGAGGGAAGCTTTGAAATGGCGGCAGGACGAGATGGTGCTACATTAGCGGCGGCCATTATGGATGGAGCTGAACTCCAACGAAACACGCTACCGAATGACTTCCAGAATGATGCTGATGTGCTGGGAATAGAAGTTACTTTAAGTGAGTTGGCTAGGTCGCTGTCGACGGCGGCGTTAACACGGTACGCGACTGGGTCAGTCGTATGCATAATGTTGTAGAGGTTATCAACAGCCAAACATCCATATGTGTCTGCTTCTCCTGCCACACCACGCACTAGATCATCACCTTCGCAGCCAGGTTTCTCCCTTCCACGCCGCGGCAAAAGATTCGCTTTGTTGAGTAGTAAGAAGAACCCAGCCGGACTTCCACAGATGAATAAGTCCTTAGTGTCAAATTCGAAGATGTCTCCAGGAATACTAGTCTTGGCGAAATCAATATCGGGTACATGTGTGGGCTGATGACTGAGTATATCTAACGCCATTGCACTTCCGAGGGAATGGGCAAGTAAATGCACGCGGCCATTTTGTTGAAAACCAGGGTTATTCTTACACCATAGCCGAAATATGCGGTTGGCTTCTTTGACAACTGCCTGAATCATCTTCGGCTTATGATGCGACATGTAATAAGGAATATCTAACATGACATCACTTATCAAAGACCTAACGGCAGGTATCGTCTCCGGAGTGATGTCGTGCAGGGTGAACTTATTGCTAATTGGATCCTCAACGCCCTGGGAGTCGAAATTGGCGTCCTCTAAAGACAAAGTCGACCGCCAATTGACAGGGAGGATCATGATACCTCCATGACCCTGGCGTACATGTGGCCACACTGGCTCACTGTTCAATTCCATATTTATATTCCTGCGAAAGGCATTAATCGCATGTGTGAAGTGGAAGCTTTCCATACGTTCCGACAGCTTCTGACCTATGCCATGGATGACAAGTACTAGATCAGTTGGTGTGGGACGCATCTCTTCTATGGCACAAGCATAGCAAATCTGCCTACCGCCACTTGCTGTGGATATAGTGCGGGACTGAGTACTGCGGAGGTAGTTCCTGACATCAACAGGATTAGGCTTAGATGGATGTAGCTGGTCCCATAATCGTCGATTGAAGCCACGAATAACCGGTATGCCAATTTGCCGCCCTTTACGAATTGCACTAAGTGGTCTTCTTCCTCTCGATACCGATGGTAATAAGCTGGGTCGAAGAATCTGCGCATCTCTGCCATCAACATAAATCACACTAGAATTGATGTACTGCTTGACAGCTTCCGAATGTGCAGCTGGTCCACCAGCAGCCCGGCACTCATCAAGAGAGGCGATAGCCGGATTAGGGGTGGCAACTCTCTCAGGTCCGCCCGGAACAGGACTTGAAGTTACTTGATCATGCGTTAAAGTGACTGAACTGAGACGCTTGGGATCGTCTTTCGGCCATAATCTGTGTACGATTTTCATTTCGGCGTCTGCACCATTTTCCACGCAGCTATTGAGCTCATCTTGCCATGTCTCGGACCAAGGTTTCAGATATACATATCCATCCTCGAGTTTATTGGCAAGCTCCGTTTCCACGGGCAGCATGGTATTCTTGTAGAACCATGTCGCACGAAGAACGCTTGAGATATCATGTAGAGGACTCCAGTATATAGGTTTCATCTATCAAGTTTAACGCTAGACTCCGAACAAAAGGGACATTAAACACATAATTCTTACCTTCAAATTAGGTAGTTCAACTAGATGGAGCCGCGATACACCTACAGGAATCTTCAGCTGAGATTCCTGGTTATCAGTAGAATTGTCAGACCCATCTGGAGAACCATCTGGAGCCTGTTCTTGATATACACTCGTTCTCAAGCCCGATGGCTTCTGTGTAGCATGGCTAGATGTGGTGGCTTGGTGGTCAGCTCGATGCACTTGATCTCCATCTTTTGAAGAATTAGACTCAAGTGAGCGCCCAAATACGCTTTCAGATTGGCTTAGAGGGGCCCTTGCAAACGGCGAGCCACTGATGGTTCCACCACGAGAGGGGAAGCCACGCCAGCTTGTGCTTTCTACACCCTCTGAAGCTGCACCTTCGCTCTGCGGGGAACCAGCAGTCCTGCGTCTAGTCGACTTGGGGTTACCGCTAGGGGATGACTCTCTCTTGCGATAACTAAGAATGCCCGATCTATCGCTTTCACCCATACCGCGATCTGAAGAATAGGGAATACGAGATTTGTCTTCGGAATCCTTGACGCTTGCCTCCGGGCTGCGACATGCTTCATCGCCTAGAACGCTGCCAGGAACACTCGAGTAACTTTTATGACTCCCATTCCAACTCTTATCTCCATGGCTTCCAGACTGCCCTTTGCAGCTTGTGTCGAGTAGGAAATCCTTCCCAGGTACCGCTATTCCCGCATTTCCGACGGATGAAGAGCCCGCACGCGGATGCTTTCTCGCCGCTAGTTCGGACTTCGTATTGCGTAACAAAGATAACCAGGACTCCTCGAGTGCGATATTATCTTTGACCGAGAATGGTTGAGGTGGAGCTCTTTCATTACCCGGTCCTTGGCTGCTGGACGGTGGAGGTAAAGCGGTCAATGGGTCGTCGATGGGTAATGAGGAGACATAGAAGAACTGAGGGCGAACTTTCGGTGGCTCGTCTAATGAATGCCAGGAAGAAGGGTCAGGATCGTCATTTGCCAAAAGACATGTCGGACCGTAAGTATGAATGGGGCCCGTCATTATGAGCACTCCGCGCAATACCGAATACGCTTGTTATCTGGGATCTTCAAAGGAAAAACTAAGGAGCACGGAAATAAAATCTACCAGCAAAAGGCTAGCATTTCTGAAACACGCAGTGATTAGCGGTCTGTAGCGTTGTCTAGAACTCGCGTCAGCAAGGGAGGGTCGGGATAAAAGACAGCTTCTGGATAGCTTAGCGTGCGGGATAGGGAGGATAAACTATAAGAACAATAGTGACAAGGGTGAGGCAAGCATCGTTTGAGGTCCAGATTGCGGTCTTCTTGCAGGCAAGGGTCGACAGGCGTGCATGTTTGGCCAACAGTGTCTTTTTTTGCTCGTGGTCCGCGTCTGAGCCTATGACGTCGTCCCACGTGCCTTGGCTTCCCGCAGGAATTTGTTGGCCCAAAAAATATGAAAAAGACACGTCGTCTGCAGTCTTAGGAGCACAACTCCCAATAACCTTTGAGTTTGGTGTAGAGTGGCCTTGCATTTTGAGGAAGAAATATCGTTGTTATTTTTATTTAAAAAGCGACTATATGAGGGTGGTGCTAAGTGAACGGCCGAAATCCGATGCAATGTGGAGGAGCACCCGCAAGAATAACAAAAGCTGAAAACAAAGCTGTGACGCTCAACGGTCAGCCAAAGGAAGCAGAACGATCACAGAACTAAGCAATAATCTGAATTACATGAGTGGCCGTGAATGTCTTTCTGTGTCTAGCTCCACGCTCCACCTAACTAGCCGGCACCTAAACTTTGCGTGGGGCCATTGCCTCGACCTGGAACTGGGTTGTCACTATTGTCGGTCGGCATAATTACATCTTTCGACGCGGTGCCCCATTAAGGACAGTGCTTGCATGTGCAGTTTCTGGCAAATGACTAAAGTGGAAATGGGGGCTCCCAGCATGTCGAGGAGCTTATAAACATCGTGCATATGCTTGCGGATCATGCTGTCAGGAGCACAGAAAGTGCGAATGCTCATCTCCTTGACGATTGCTTTCCAGTTATGAAGGTTGGAGCTGAGTAGGACTGGATTCGTCGAGCTCTCTCCATGAAATCTCAAAGACCTTTTGTTTTCCATGATTAAGCGCTGTTGAGTGGCCTGATCAAATTGGAACTCGACCACTGATGGCCTATTTTTGGATCCCCAGTAGTTCTTGATTCTCTTGATCGATTCTCCTGAAAGTCGACCTTCATGATATTGTTCGACGAGAAATACATTTGCACTGACACATATCATGACCTCCAGTTCTGAATATAGCATCGCTTGTATTGGAGGATTCAGTGAGATAGGAATAGTCGATTGTGGTAGGTGATCTTTCATACCACGGGGTTCATGAACGATTGTCTGGGAAGCCTTCGCAATGCCCTCGGTCTAATCCAACATTAGTACACCAAACAAGGCCATTTGGTAGGCAAAGAGACCTACAAATCCATCCACTATCTTTTTTCGCAGATCTTTGAGATTCTTTGATCTGTGTTTCTCACTCGATAGGTTTTCTAAGTCTGCTGTTCTCCCGAGCCAACCGTTTCGCCCAAAAAGCTTTTTGTGCGAAGACCGTGACTGGCCAAGCGGGCTGTTGATGTGGTAGAGTTCGAACGACTTCCGCTCACAGATATCAATGGGTCCTTCCACAGGTAACAAGGGTTGCTTGCGAGGAGAATCATACTCTAAGATTGCGGTCTGACTGGCCGTGGCCTCTGGGTGTGTGTTGTAGGTTGGTGTATACTCATATCCGTCATGAATAGCCACGTGAAGTCTTTCTGCTGCAGAGGCTCCAACAGAGTTTGGCTGGAAATCAAGTACCGGAGGAAGCGACAAGATTTCTGGGGAGTAGAGAGACTGATCAAATTCTGACCTGGAACCAATTGAACGCGAAGAGTTCGTTGGTGTATCTGAAGGGAGAGTGGTATCTTCCATCTTGGGGGACGTGTTCCAGAAAGATCTATATTCCTCATAGAAGGGATTAAGTTTCGCGACATCCTCATAGGGAAGTGTTTGGCTGCAGCAGTTAGTTTCTCAAACCTTGTCGGCCGGTATTTCCAATCGCTTACGCTGGACTAAGCATGATGGGGATCTCCAACGAAGAAAATTTCATCGCAATCTGGACAGAATGAAGAGGATGTTGACGTCTTTGCTGCGGCAAGGAAGTGTATAGAGAGTGGCATGAATCTAAAAGCCAAGATAGAAATTAAGTACGAAATTTGAAAAGTTTAACCATATTTCATGAGCTCCAATACTATTATTGAAGTCTTCAAAAACATGGTATTATCGGCGAGGATGGGCTAATTGGGGTTTATAGTGGCTAACTATGAAATACCCTATTTTTCAATGAGGGAAGTGTTCCCGTACTATTCAATAGTCCTGTATTGACAATAATAGCAGGTTTCATGATAGGTGTTGTATTCACAGTCACAATAGGACTTCGTTTAGATTGTCTGTGACTGCATAATTAAGTGACTACGGAGTACCACTATTGTGTTTCAAGCCACATCTTACACAACCCTTCCTAATAGTAAACAAGAACACACACCAACACTAGACTTCTTATGTTAAGAGTATGCGCAACTACCTTCTTCGCTCAATCCAACACGGACTCATCGCTTTCGATACAACATTGTACAGCAATTCGTGGAGAATCATAGTCCATGCTCTTGTCCTCCCCAAAGCCTCGTTACTATGAAGGTAAGTAAAGCGTGCTTTATATTACCTCCATCCTTGAGGTAAGATCCACACACTCTACAGATTCTTTTATTCATTTTCCTGTGTAGTACGTCCTATTAGGTGATGGTAGGAGGAAGTTGCCCTGCCAATTGTCCGGTCCGCTCGGCATGCCGTGAGAATTGCCGATTTGATTTAAAGTACGCGGGCACTAGTCCTATGATATCATGATCTTTTATTGGTCAGAACGTTATATTTCCAATTTCTGAGTAGAAAGTCGTCCCAGCCGCAATGGAAGCATACGAATTGTTTGTTCTACTTTGACTACAGCCAGAGTAGGCTCTATTACTATCCTAGGTAATGTCTATGTCTTAGGAGTTTCTTAGAAAAGCCTAGAGAGAAGCTTGAGGCATGTTCTCCCACCGCTGCTGTGAGCTTCATTCCCGAAGGCCAACTGCCCTTGGAATGGATAGCGAAGAGCAGTACTGTTTCGCCAATTGGGAACCTCACCTAAGAAACTCGACATGCTCGATTCCGGAGTAGTCAAGGAAATCAAGACGGTAAAGTGGGATTCAAACCGACTACCCTGGATCGTAAACACGGTAGTTTCGGGGTTTTACATGTTGGCGTAAGCGTTAGTACTAGCAGTGATTGTCGATTAGATGGTGGAAATCTGGGCTACCCTCAGTCATGGGCGAATAAGTCATGTAAGCGAACCTGTGAAGCATCGGTTCGCCGATTAGTGTTCCTGATGCATCTGCCTCCCACAATCGCCGTGCCTGTCTCCATATTCCCCATCCATACTCCGTACACTGGAGCCCCATCAGTTAAATTATAAGGCAAAAGCATCGGCATGTTCAGTGACCAATGACAGGCGGCAGAATCAGCGCAGAAATCCCGGCGATTTTGCCGATGCTGTAGATCACGTGCACATACTCCACATGCCGACTTTCGCTTCCGCAGGCACTCCAGACTCTCGGAACGAACGACGGCACTGACGTTCTCAATTCTTCCCCACACGCTCCGTTGTGGTTACTCTGCTTCCCCCCAATGACATACCGCCGTTACCTATTGCTTACTAGCCGGGGACCCTCCCCTACTGCAATTCATTACCTGATACCCCAACTTAAGCAACTATGTATGGCATCTCCCGTCGATCCAACCGAAAATGAATGCCGTTGTGGTTCTCCGTGGCAGGCTTCGATACTGCTCCTCGGGACCCTACCCAAGCTCTCATTTATTTATAAATGAGCACCTCACCCTTTGAGCTTCACTTATTCTCCTTGTAACACTTTCACTTAAACTTCTTTAATTATTCATGTTGGTGACATTTTGATCTTTCCAACATTCCAAAACCCTTACCTCATATTGTCATTTGTCGATCCTCATCCCCACAGTCGCGAATACCAAAGCAGCCAAAAGCTTAATTTTCGCATTTCGCCGCCAGCATGGCTCAAACGCAAGAGAAATACGATATTGTCATCGTGGGCGCAGGCCCTGTTGGCATTCTTTTGTCCCTGTGTATGTCACGATGGGGTTACAAGGTTAAGCACATCGACAACCGCCCAGTTCCCACTGCCACAGGTCGCGCCGATGGTATCCAGCCTCGTTCCACTGAGATTCTCCGTAACCTCGGTTTGAAGCGCCAAATCATGGCCTACAAGCCCGCTAAGGTCTACGATGTCGCATTCTGGGACCCTCTCTCCGGGGATCAAGGTATTCATCGCACTGGCAGCTGGCCTAGTTGCCCACGTTTCATTGATACCAGATATCCTTTCACAACCCTTGTTCACCAGGGAAAGATCGAGCGGGTATTTTTGGACGAGATCCAAAAGGCTGGTACCACTGTTGAGAGACCCTGGACTATTACAGGGTTCAAGAATGATGGCTTGGACGAGACATACCCCGTTGAAGTGCAGCTGAAGTGCCTTGACACCAATGTCATCGAGACGGTCCGCTCTAAGTACCTCTTCAGCGGTGAAGGAGCCCGGAGTTTTGTTAGACAGCAGCTTGGGATCCAAATTCATCACAAGGATCCTATCTCATATGTGTGGGGTGTTATGGACGGTGTAGTGAGGACGAACTTCCCTGATATCGAGGTGAGAAAAACCCAATCTCCATAGTTCAACTAATCAAACACTAACGAACTTTTCACTTTAAAAACAGACCAAGTGCACAATCCACTCTGATGCTGGTTCGATCATGGTCATTCCCCGTGAGGACAACATGGTCCGTTTGTATGTCCAGATCGCTTCATCCTCGGATCCCGACTTCAACCCAAGAAAGACAGCGACTGCGGAGGAAGTCCAAGAGACTGCGAAGAAGATTCTGAAGCCGTACTGGGTCGAATGGGACCGCGTGGAGTGGTACTCTGTCTACCCAATTGGTCAGGGTATCTCCGAGAAGTACACCCTGGACGAGCGGGTCTTCATGGGTGGAGATGCCTGCCACACTCACAGTGTATGTCAAGCCATTTTAAACAATACGTTTCTTGTTCGCGCTAACTCTCCTTTAGCCCAAGGCCGGCCAGGGTATGAACACTGCATTCCACGACGCTTTGAACATGGCTTGGAAGCTCCATGCTGTCGAGTCCGGACTCGCCGATCGCTCTATTCTGAGCACATATGAAACTGAGCGCAAAGACATTGCAGAGACTTTGTTAAACTTTGATGCGAAATACGCCGCCCTGTTCTCCAAGCGTCGCCCCACTGCTGGAGAGGTTGGCTCCGCTAGCCATGCCACTGTTGCGTCTGGCAATGAAGAGGAGGATGAGTTTGTTAAGACCTTCAAATCGTCATGCGAATTCACCAGCGGTTATGGTGTTGCCTACAAGCCGAACGTCTTCAACTGGGATTCTAGCCACCCGGCCAAGTCGTCACTGTTCGACGTTCCCGGCGTGAGACTGACCGCAGGACGCGCTTTCACGCCCTCGACAGTTACTCGACTGGCAGATGCCAACTTTGTGCATCTGGAGCAAGAGGTGCCAGCCAATGGTGCATTCCGTATCTTTATCTTCGCAGGTAAACAGGAGAAGACAAAGAAGGCCATCACCGATCTTGCGGCAAACCTGGAAAAGGAACGCTCGTTCCTATCGGTCTACCGTAGACCCGATATTGCTGATGTTTCATTCTTTGAGCGTCACCAGCCTCACTCCAAGCTCTTCACCCTCTGTCTGGTGTACGCTGCGCAGAAGAACCAGGTCGACATGGAGGCTGTGCCGCAGATTCTCCGCGATTACCATCACCACATCTATGCGGACGACATCCCCGATGTGAGAGTCCCTAATGCCAAGTTCGCCGCACACGAGAAGCTTGGCTTTGACCCCGAGATGGGTGGTGTGGTTGTCTGCCGCCCAGACAGCCATGTTGCTTGTACCGTGCAGTTGGTGGAAGGCAGCGGCACCGCGGATGCCCTGAACGCCTACTTTAACGCTTTCTCGACCAAGCCGTTGGGCCAGGACCAACAGCAAAGCCGTCTGTGATTCACGATGAACCTGTCTATTTTGTAGTTTTTTGATGTACATAGCACCTTTGGTTGTTTTTTCTTTCATATCGGCTGGTTTTAGCCTGAGCACTTATGTATGACCCGCATTCTTGGCGTTCGTTGTATATATACCTGCAATAGAAGTATTCCATTTAGAACATAAACTTGTGTGCTTTGACCTTAATTCAGATAATACTCCATATGATTAGTTGTGTTACAAGGAATGACGTTCTTGGTGGTGTGTGCGCGGAAGATGCCCACTGTGGCTACATAAATCATTCTCTTTGCGGAAGTCATTCCCCGCACAGATCAATTATCAAGATCTTCATCAACGGCGCGCTCAGCATTGCAACTGTACCAACAGACAGCCAACAAGATGCTTTCTCTAGTCCTTTCAGCTGAACTCACAGGGTAAGTGTATTCTAAGTGTGGTTTTAGAATTATGAAAAGCTCCATTTCTTGATTCTCCCTGCTCTGTCCGTATTTATTTGCATAGCTTCCCCGCACCTCACCATATATAACACAATCGCTGGCAGTAGCTCACCCTGGTATAGAGTCACTGAGCTTCGCCCTCAAGATACTGAAGAGGATCCCTACTACTACACTTTCAAGGTGCAATGCACGTCCTGTCGGGAGACACACCCAAACTGGGTCAGCTTCAACCGTTTTGTAAGTCCTATTTGGCGTATCTCCTCCCCTTAACCATTGTGTTACTTCTTAAAAACTAGTTTGACTCAAGCTAAATATGGACCATATAGGAGCAATATGAAATTCCTGGAAGCCGCGGAGAGGCGAACTTTGTCTGGAAATGCAAGCTTTGCCAAGTCAGTTTGTTCATTTTCAAACGCCTCGCCCTGCCTGCAGCTAACAAGTGTGACCAGAAAACCCATTCCGCCTCTATTGTCGCAGGTCCCAACGTGTACGAAGCAGACGAGAAGCGCAAGGGCCGGAAAGTGATCGAAATTGACTGCCGCGGTCTTGAATTTACCGATTTTAAAGCTGATGTGAGTTGCGCTTCTTCATTGTAAACGATCGGATGTGATCCTAAACAGGTGACCTAGGGCGACTGGGAGGCCAAGGGCACCGAGTCTTCCACCCCTTTTACTGCCATCGACCTGTCTGAGGGCGAGTGGTATGACTATGACGAGAAAGCTGGAGATGAAGTTGCCATCAAAGAAATTACCTGGGAGGTGAGAAGAGCTTGAGAGATCTCTTTACTGAGGATACCACACCGTTGATGGCTGTATGGTCTACAATAGCATTCTGACTTGTCTAATTATTTTTTCTGTTTAAAATGCCTGTTGATTGTGGCTGAAAACATTTAGTAGTATCCTCATGCCATTCCTTCTGCAGCGCGATAATTTCGAACTACATGAGGAAAGTTACATGATGAGAGAGACCAGCCGTAAGCGTCATGTACAAGGAGCTAAGAAGGATCAGTAAATGACAATGATGAGTGCAATTTTTATTGGAGCTGTGGAATGTACTTAAGCTTTCCATCTGTCTTTGGATAAAGGCGGTGGCCAAAAGCATAGTTTTATTGGCTGTTTCAAGACCGGCAATATTTCATTTTCGCCGACAAGGAACCTTCAATCCGCCTGTCGAGAGTTGGCGACCGCGATAATCCTTTTACAAGCTCAACACGCGACCAGCACAGGCGGCACCTCGACGCTGGAACAAGTTTTTGATTCAGCTGGTTGATAATCCTCTTGTCGAATCGATACAGTATCCATCAAACGGCTACGCTATCCTTAAAACCGTTCAGTCGCAGACCCCGACCAGCCAACCATAACCATGAGTGTCAGTATCTAGTACTTGCTCTTTTATGATTCAAGTCCAGCAGGACTTATCAACACATGGATTATGAACTTATACTGACTTAGTTTGCAGTTCCAACCAGTCAACCCCCGCCCTTTTTTGCAGACTAGGTACGCGTTAATATCATCCCATCGCACTTTTTTTCGATTGCATTGAGCTTTTCTTTCGCCTAAACCAGACGCCGCGAGTATTACCTATCTAACAGATGTGCTCTAGGGTCGGTACGGAGATGGTCATTCGTCTTAAGTGGGGTCAGACTGAGTACAAGGGCAAGCTGGAGAGCATCGACTCGTACATGAACGTGCTGTTGCGGGACACGGAAGAGTTCATTGATGGAAAGAACACAGGAACCCTTGGGCTTGTGCTTATTAGGTATGCTTACTTATTGCTCTTACATGAATGAAGCCTGGCGGAGGGTAGTTCTCCACCCGAGGACCCATTATGTTTTGGTTTCAATTTCATAATGGCAAGGAACTTTCGCTGACCTCCGGCTTCACACAGGTGTAACAACATTCTCTGGATGGGATCGGCAGACAACGTCGAAATGACTGATTTGGGGCTGCGGTAGAGAAAGGTTCGACCGGACGTCGTTTACGAAACACCATGCGAGAGCGAAATGCATATACCAGCTTGTGTCTCCTTGGGAAAGATACGTCGGTGAGGATATGGACGAAAGAGAATTGTCAAATGAGCTTTGAGAACTGGCTATCACAGGCTCTGTCTATCTTCTTGTTTCTGGCACGAGGCGTTTTCAATGATGGCTTCTAAATACAATATTTTTGGGTGACATGGCAATTCAATCTGCGAACGATGAAGAGCCTTGAATTTGCGATCTAAGGAACAAGAAAAGTCCTCTTTATCGCTGGCGCTCGATCGTCGAATAATAACAATATCGTGCTGTTTACGAAGCATGTGACAATAAAATGTCTTAATGTGTTGAAGTATATAGCCACCTAGACCAACCAAACCCATGGCAGAGTAGAAATCTATGCAAAGTCTTTTTTGGGATACATTCACTGTATGGAGACAATAAGTAATTCTTATGGGAAGTGCTATCGTGATTATGCCGGGCGAATAACATTACCCCACCTTGTAGAAGTCCCCATGGCTCACTGTCCGTCCTTCTGCCGAACAACATCTGACGGAAGTGATACCAACACCCTTGTTAGTTGGTTGATTTAGCACTCAACCGATCATTTATAATGGGCGTCCATAGCCAAAATTCAGATGGTTACTACAACCTCGGGTCGTTCCAGCGGCCGGTGACCACCGCCAGCCCCGAGGCTCAGACCTGGTTTGATCGAGGACTCATCTGGACATATGCTTTCAACCATGAGGAGGCAGTCCACTGTTTCGAAAAAGCCATTGAGCATGACCCCGCTTTTGCCATGGCGTACTGGGGGCTTTCGTATGCCCTAGGCCCCAACTACAACAAGCCATGGCAGTTCTTCGATCAGCGGGAATTGGAATTGACCGTCCAGCGCACTCATCGAGCAGCTGAAGAGGCCAGAAAGCACGGGATTACGGCGAGACCCGTAGAATCGGCACTTATCGAAGCCCTCCAGAAACGATACCCACAAGATCAGCCACTAGGGGACTGCTCGTCTTGGAACCAGGGATACGCCGATGCTATGGGATCTGTCTATCAAAGATTCCCAGATGACCTCGACGTCGCAACATTGTACGCAGATTCGTTGATGAACCTGACACCATGGGAGCTGTGGGTTCTGAAGACTGGTCAGCCGGCACCAACCGCACGCACCCTTGAGATCAAGACGGTACTTGAACGAGCGTTAACACAGGACGGAGCTCTCCGTCACCCTGGCTTGTTGCACATGTACATCCATCTGATGGAGATGTCGGGCGCACCCGAAACGGCTCTTCTGGCTGCGGATAACCTACGTGGATTGGTCCCTGATGCGGGCCATCTCAATCACATGCCTACTCATTTGGATATTCTATGTGGCGATTATCGGAAGGCAATTGCGTCCAACTCTGTAGCGATCCGAGCAGATGAGAAGTTCCTTGCTCGTGCAGGAGCTGTTAACTTCTATACCCTTTACCGGTCTCATGACTATCATTTTAGGATCTATGCTGCTATGTTCGCAGGCCAGTCAAGGGTTGCCCTAGACACTGCCCAAGAGCTGGAGTCATCCATTCCAGATGAGCTTCTACGTCGCGAGTCACCGCCTATGGCGGATTGGCTTGAAGGGTTTTTGGCAATGAAGGTGCATGTCTTGATTCGGTTCGGTCGGTGGCAGGATATCATTTATCTGGACGTTCCACGAGACGAGAAGCTATACTGTGTGACAACCGCAATGATTCATTACGGGAAAGGCGTCGCGTTCGCTGCGATAGGACAGGTTGACCAGGCAGATAAGGAAAGAGAGCTCTTCCATAAAGCTTTAGAGCGTGTTGTGCCTACCCGCATGCTGTTCAACAACAAATGCATTGACATACTAGCCATTGCAGAGGCGATGCTTGATGGAGAATTGGAGTATCGCCAGGGCAATTATGATGCTGCCTTTAGTCATCTAAGACGTTCCATCACCCTAGACGATGGCCTCCCTTACGACGAACCCTGGGGATGGATGCAGCCAACTCGGCATGCTTATGGTGCTCTTCTACTCGAGCAAGGGCGGGTTGAAGAAGCGTCGGCAGTGTATAGTGCTGATCTGGGCCTAGATGACACCTTACCTCGTGCACTGCAGCATCCGAACAACGTGTGGTCGCTGCACGGGTATCATGAATGCCTTATTAAGCTTGGGCGAATCGCCGAGGCACGCATTATCAAACAGCAACTGAAGCTTGCAGCAGCTACAGCTGATGTCCGAATCCAGTCGTCATGTTATTGTCGTCGAAGTGATACTGATCAGGTTGAGTAGTTTCCTTGGCGGAACTGCAACGTTGCTCCTTCGCTGTAGTAACTTGACCTGTCGTTGGTCTTTACAATCTTTGTAATTATTACGCAGCACGGCGAAGCGTAGTAAGCATTATACTCAAATTACGTTGACAATCCCCTCTGAATTTCAATCCTTTCATCATTCACTCTGTATCTTACCAACTTTATCTCTTCACTTTCCTCCACAATTGTCTTATCTGAACTTTGCCTCATCCCTGCTCTATGCTCTTAAATGTCATCTTAAACACTTTGAATAGGCTGCTATTGCTGAGGTTAGTCAGGCCTTTTGGTTGACAAAGCGGTTTATTTTATTTTTATTTTTATTTTTTTTTTCTTCAGAAAGATTTCAGAGGGATGAGGATTCAGCCCGACCTGCTTTCACCGCCCCATCACCAAGCCACCCGTTTCCGTATAGAGCGAGACATTTCGATCAGTACCAATGTTGCCAGAGTGTGATATTGTGAGGTGAGGAACGTCTCAAGTCAGTGGTTGTATGGCACAGTCTCTGCTCCAGGGCCAGACCCTCTGCACCCGAGCGCTAGAAAGCAGACAGACATTCTAGAAGCATGGGACTAACTCGGATAATCTGCGTGGGCCCGGCAAACATTCTACTGTGCCATGTAACAGGCCACATTCCTGATGGGGAAGAGGAATCGCCTGGAATTCTTTGACTGTATATCGTCAGAGATCTGCTCAGTCGACATCGAAAAGAGCACGGGGATTTGCCCATCCCAAGTCTTGACCACCACCCCATGCCAATCCCCCTCACTGACGACGATCTCTCGAAATTCTCGCTCGGCAAGGAGTGGGTATGCATCATCGACTCCATGTTTTTCAGGCACCAACCCCACCATCACCAGTCCTGATTTTTCACCGCTCCATCATGAATGCTTTTCTTCGTATCGAGTAAAAACTGCAAAACCCCATCCGGCCCACCTTCTCAGGGACCCCCCTGGTTCTGACAGGTGGACTCACCGTGGAACATGCCTGAGAAGTTCAAAACTTCAAATACTCCGGAGCACGGAATTCCATTCATCCTTTACAGCGTGCTAGCTCGTGGTGATCCACTGCGATGGCAAAAATCCCAGTCCACTTTCCCGCCCGAAGAAGCAGGCCTGCCGACGAAATGGTTCCACAACAGTAAAGTTTGCTTTGCGCTGGCGCCCTGAAGAAGTCGTTGTTAATCCACTTCAATTGGCGACGGCAACTGAAAATGATAAACAAAATGGTTCATTAACACGCTCGTGCTCACTGCCTAACAATAATTGGGAGCGCCATGCCTTCTCGCCTAGATTTCCTCTAGTCATGTTAGTCGGGTACAGTCGCTCGTCGACGGGCCAACCGATGCTGTATGAGGTCAACCTGCGTCAAATGCAGTGCCTGATGCATATGGTATGTTTGACATGTGCAGTTGCTGACACAGGATGCAATCAAGTAGGACGTTACTTTGTAACACCAAAGTGAAAAGGAAGAAGCGAGATAGAAAGCTCCAAAATAAGTAGTGATTGGAGTCCGGGTGAAGTCATGGGTAGCTGTACTACATACTACTAGTAGTAGTTATCGTACCAGGGGGGGAAATTACCTCCTTGATAATGAGTTGCACGTGTTCTGATCCCTTTAAAGGAATTTCATACTGGCAGACATTCCCAATTCTTCCCTCGGGGGCAAATCCGATTACGTTTTCCCTGCTGGCTGATCTCAACGAATTTTCCGAGGCTGCCGCGGCTATAGGTAAGGCGGTATTCATGTGTGTTTCATATGGGTGACTTGTTCGTTGTCTCAATGCCTACGATAAAGCACGGGTGGAGAGGATGGAGACGGCTAAATCGCGAAAACTGCAACCGCCGTTAAATAGTAGAACGCCGCGAAATAAGAATCGTCGCTTGCCCGCACTATGGAGTTATTGTAGCGGAGGGAAGGCCCCACTATGAAACCCATACCGACTCTCCTGTGGCAATGGATTGGGGAAATTGGGGGTTCGAAGACTGCCACGGCAGATCACCTCCATCACCGCTGCAGGTCATCGCAAAGGATTGGTCCATCTGTCTTTTTTGACCTTCTTTGCAGGACATATTCCCCATCAACTACTGTATGTGGGAATCCTTCGTCACTGTCAGCATCCATGTATTTGTGTGGATCGGATGGCTCACTGAGCAACCCGAAGCGAATCACCATCCGATTTGGACGGATGGCGTGTTTAATTGCAGGCTATCTCTGGTTCACTTTCGGTGTACCACGGATTGAAGCAAGTCAACCGATCTCCGATTAAGATTTTGAAGGCTTCCGCCAGTTCCGCCCACTGTGGTGGCTCTCTCGGCCCCATTGGCCCGCTCTTCCCAATGATCTGCTTCGGAATTTGCTCGCTGGTGCTTGGGAGGCTTAGTAGGGCTGTTGGCAAAAAATTCGGAAAAGGGAATATGAGGCAAAAACCAGTTCACTCTAATCTTGGCAGGTTACTGCTTGCTGTCGGTTCTTAAACCCTTTGGCCCACGGCCATTGCTCCACTCTTCTCCAGATTGCATTGCATTGTCTTTCAGACTGTAGTGGTTGTCGGTTCCTTGATTTCCTTGATCATGTCTTTGCCGCTTTCCAATGATGTTCTCCTCCTGGTCGGGGAGTTTCTGGAAGACCACCAAGATCGGTATAACCTTGTCTTTGTATGTCGACGCTTCCATGACCTCTTCCTGCGTTTAGTCTATAGGTGTGCGGCACTCAAGAGTTGTGCGCAAACCCAATCCTTCTTACATGCTATTCTCCGTAAGCCCGAGCTGGCTCGGTCAGTGCGGAGCTTGCATTTTGATGATTGGCAACAACATCGTTCCTTTTCTTCTTCTCTCTCTCCGTCCGAGCAAGACATGACATCAATGAATAAATGGGCTGCGACTATTAGCCATTCCCCTGAGGAATATGTCAAATGGAAGCAGGATCTTCTCCAAGGCGTTGAGGAGGCCTGGATAGCGCTCCTTTTACCTTTGGTGAACAACCTTAGAGAGCTGCGATTGGTATACCCGAACAAAAATGCCTACCTGGATCGGATGCTGCAGAGGGTCATGAAGGGCGAGAAACCCTTTGATGTGCAGCCCGCATTCAGCATGTTGCAAACGGTATCTCTCAGCCATCAGGATTCTGAGGAGGATACCAAAGGCAGTTATATGCCATCACAGATCTTTCCCTTTTTCCAATTACCGTCAATGCGGACATTTTCAGCGGATTCGGTGATTGAGCCTAGCCCTCCGCAAGAAGATGAGCACACATCAACAGCCGAGGCCCCCGTGGCCGGGTCCTCTCTGATCTCAGAGATTACTCTCAACTCCAGCAATGGCTCCCAAGGGATGGAGAACTTGATTGCTTCATGCTCCTCACTCAAGTCTTTCAAGTATCAACACTCTGATTCACACCTGCTTGCCGAGGGCTTCCAGCCGTCCGCGTTTTACCGGTCGCTGGCAGGCAGTAAGAACAGCCTACATACCCTTTGGCTTGATAATTACGGGAACCATCTGCCATTTACTATTTCCGGGGTTAATGAAACCCACGACGAATGGTTCGGTAGCTTGGCAGAGTTTACCGCGTTGAAAGACATTCGTATTCGCCTACCCAACCTGCTTGATATCCGATACCAACCCGAGCCCTCTACTGTGCTTACCGATATTTTGCCGCCATCGGTGGAGTCGCTCTACATTGAAAGTTGCAAAGAGAACACCCTGGGAATGTTGATTGGGCAGCTGAAAATGGTGCTCAACAAGCGACAGACCCACTTCTCTGGATTGCGACGCTTGGACATTGAGGGTTTCTTCCATGATGAGGAAGATGAAGACGCCTCGGGGTACCAGGAGAGCGCGGCTACTACCGGGGGCCAGAAGGCTATCAAGCAGCGAGTATACGAGATGGCTGAGCCACTCCGGGCGGCCTGTGCTGAGGCTGGCATTGACTTGTTCCTCCGCGACCGTGTGGTTTCCTGATGACATCACCATATTTGCATCTCATTTATAGACGGATAGACCGTGCTTTTCTTCTTTTTGCTTGCCTAATACCCGATAGACATGATAGTATCATAGACATGATTTACTTTGGTTTTTGAGACTTGCCTCTTTTTCTTTTTGTTCCAGTTAAATCTTCTTGTTTCCGTGAATGAAGAAGAGCTTGTACATCCGATGGTCCTTCGAGAATCTTTACACCGTATATTCCTTTCAGCTTACAGGGTAATAATCATATCCCCATACATTGCTGATAAAGTCTCTTAGTGGTTTATTGGAGCCTGGGCTTTGTTAACTGGGTTAAATGAAGATGACTGGCTCGAAAGGTCACCGATAATAGCCCACCGTCCTAAGGAGATACAGTAGTATTGCATGAACAAACAATGCATCCTCTTCTGATGCTATTGGCAGGACTCCGACTTTTACTATCTCCCACGCTGAGCATGTGATTCGCATCGTGTTAATCATCGGAATAATAGTAATTTACTTTAATAGGCTAATAGGCTAAGGATGCCCATAAATATCCAATGCAACATCGATAGAACCACATATTAAATCCCGTGATCAAAGTGCTGGAACATGGAGGACTCGTGGCGGCGTAGGAAGGGAGTAACAGTAATATCTGCCTAGCAAAAGCGTCGGGCCTTATATAATGGATTCCTGGGACAGGAAATATCGTGCGGCATCAACCGAAAGGAATGAATCCTTTTCCAATCAAGGCCAGAATTTAACCATGACTGTCGCAACCCCCAATAGCTTTCTCCGCATTCACGTCACATTGGGGTTCCCCACAGCCCCAACGCGCTGTCTGGGGTCCTTAGTTGAGCTAATCATGGTCAACCCAATGGGAGATTTGCACCTCTGGTACCAGTCATCATCAGACCAAATGTTCCTATGCATATGAGGTTGTGGTGCCAGGCACTCCGGTCGCTCAGGCCATTCCGTCTTCCTCACCTGGAAGGCTCGCTAGGCCCCTTTTTTGTCCCTCGTCGTGATCCTTTCACTCCTGTCAGTGATTTATTGATGGGTTTTTAATGACTGGTTTCCCTCAATCATCCATCGGATTCGTTTGAGCGCCCTAGAGAGTACTTACTACTGTTAATCCTCATTGAGCATCCTAGACGATATACGTACACTATACACCATGGCACATAGCTCGATCGATCAAGTGGAAGATCCTCCCACCTATAGTCGCGAGAAGAAAAATGAAAATGGGGAAACGCCGCCGATGTATGACGATCCATTTGGGGATGAAGAATTCGCAGAGGTGAAATATCGTACCTTGCGCTGGTGGTAAGCATTCCCATGAGATCTGAGGTACATAATGCAATTCTAATTACGCGTTGCTGGTTCCGCTAGGCAATGTGGAATGAGTACGTTTCGACCATATTGTGGTAACACGCATGATTCGCTGACTTGACAGTCATGATCGCCGAGACTATTTCGCTGGGCATTTTATCACTCCCTTCGGCCATGGCGGCGCTCGGCCTTGTTCCGTGAGTGTTCATTGGCAACGCCCTCTTGTCGAGACTTTTGGTGGCTTGGTGGCTGATCCTAAGCATTTTGCTTGGCTATACTGAATAGGGCTGTGATACTGATCATAGGCCTTGGCTTGGTAGCTACGTACACAGGATACGTTCTCGGCCAGTTCAAGCTGCGATATCCCCATGTGCATAGTATGGCGGATGCTGGTGAAATATTGTTGGGCCGATTTGGTCGCGAATTGCTGGGCACTGCCCAGTTGGTCTTTTTGATCTTTATCATGGGTAGTCATATCCTGACTTTCACTGTCATGATGAATACTTTAACCAAGCATGGTACTTGCTCCATTGTGTTCGGGGTGGTCGGCTTAATCCTGTCTTTCGTCTGCACTTTGCCACGGACACTGAAAAAGGTGTCCTGGCTATCAATTTCCTGTAAGTTGGGTTAGCTACTGTGAGGAAGCGTGATTGGGCTGACAACAGCAGCATTCATCAGTATCATAGCGGCCGTTCTGATCACCATGATCGCTATTGGAATCCAGCGACCAGGCGACGGACATATCGATGTGACCGTCGATACCAGTTTATACAAGGGCTTTTTGGCTGTGACAAACATCGTCTTCGCTTATGGTACGCTGAATAGGGTCAACACATGCAAAGCATATGCTAACAATGACTTAGCTGGCCACGTCGCTTTCTTTGGTTTTATCTCTGAGATGGAAACACCGACAGATTATCCCAAAACCCTGTATCTGCTCCAGGCAACTGATACAACCATGTATACCGTCACGGCTTTAGTCATCTATCGATATGGCGGCAAAGATGTGTCATCCCCCGCGCTGGGATCGACTAGTCCATTGGTCTCGAAAATCGCCTACGGAATCGCGATTCCGACGGTATAGCTCGCCCCATTAATGTATACTACAGCCACTAATGATTGATTACTAGATCATAATTGCTGGCGTGATCAACGGCCATGTGGCGTGCAAGTATATATACGTTCGCCTCTTCCGTAATACAGATCGCATGCACAAGCGGAATCTGGTGTCTATAGGGTCATGGATTCTGATCGGCTTGGTGCTGTGGACGCTCGCATGGATCATTGCTGAGGCGATCCCAGTATTCAACAACCTGCTGAGTTTGATAGTAAGTTGTACATTCCATCTTTCCTGTATGGAATTTGATGATGCTGATTATCCCGTAGACCGCATTATTCGCCAGCTGGTTTACGTGTAAGTTTCCCTGACTGTTTTTAAAAGGCAAGAAGCTAATACACGCAAAATAGATGGAATGAGCGGCATTTTCTGGCTTTTCATGAACTGGGGCTATTACACATCTTCCCCACGGAAGATGTTTTTGACTGTAGTGAATTTGATCATTGTTGGCATTGGTGGATGCCTGGTGGGTTATCTCCATTCCTTTCTATTCCTCCTCCTTCGTTTAAAAAAAAAAAAAGCTAACGAATATCAGTGCGGACTAGGATTGTACGTATCGGGCAAAGCCATCCACGACGATCCAAGCAACGCGAGTTTCTCCTGTGCTAACAATGCCTGATTGATGGCTTTATAACTTGGTTTAAGATACGATTGGATGTTTATATCACGACTTGCTGTGACAAACCCACACTGTTTTATAGACCTCGCGAAAACTTTAAATCAATGGCCTTAGTTTTCTGGTTTTCGAGTCAATCTAGTGGTGTGCTTTGCGTAATGGCTTCTGACAGTGCAATTAAGGACAGTCAAAGGAGGCGTTGAAGGTGGATGGCGGGGAGGAGAGGTGTTTGGGGGGGGGGAGGGTGTTTATACTCCTTCGGCCCTGCTCTGGAGCCTGAGCGCCTTACACTAATTCACTCTCCAAAAAGGCAACAGAAGCTCCTTGGGAAGTCACAAACTTGTATTTGGAAGGTTCGAAAGGGGTCCGCATCAGAGAATCAAAGTATCGGAGCGCTCCCCACTCGAACCCTGACCCACGATAGTCCACAAAGTAACCATCATACGTATATGGATACTACTTCGTAGTTTGCGTAGAGCATGTTGATCGAATCAATACATGAATACGCCACAACCTTCCTTCCTAGATCTTAAAGCCAAGTTACCAGCTCGACATAACAATCTAACTTTCCACAACCACATCAGACCCAGACTTCACCCATCCACCTCTGTCACCACGAGCATAAAGCTCCCACACTAAAATATCCATACCTTTTGCAATGCCCCGACCTCATCCCCCTAAACATGCCCCTCTTTGCCAAACAACGAAATCAAAACAAATGTGCAACCTCCCAAGTATCCATTTGCAACACACCCTAGCTACTTATTTCCACCTACCCAGCAGGTCTGCAAGCAAACAACCGCTTCCGCAATCTGCCCCAGTCATAGACGATCCCTTTGCAGCGCTCAGCGAAGTCTCTGTTCCCGAACCTGTTCCACGACAGCAGCAGACTGAATCGGCGAGTGAGTGTCTGAGCCTTGAGAGGATGCTTTCCGAAGGTCGGGTTAGTGGGACTATTGAGTGCTTGAGTGAGGTTGCTGCACCGGGGCCTGTTAGGAGGGCCTCTTTCTGAGTGATACTCTCTCTCTCTCTTTTGGGTTTTGGGTTATATAGCATCGGATGGTTTCTTGGGTGGGTGGGGGTCGGGTTTTTCTCTAACTGTGTGGTTATGAAGTTTAGCACCTTATGTGAAACAGGAGATGGGGTGGGAAGGAATCCGTGGAGTGGAGTATTGCTATACTGGGATGTTTGTGGGAGTGGTAATGTATAATGGGATCTCATGGTTGGATATGACCGTTTGCTAGGAGACTTCAAGATGGGGGAATGTGTATTGTTTGTTCATTCTTACCCATACCTCAAAAGTGCCAGTTATGTATTATTCATTAACGGACTATTGTCATAGTTAGCCGTATCTGGGACAGCAATCAGCCCATTCTGAAGTTGATTTTATATCCTTTACATTAATGATGGCTTGTTCATCAAAAGACAACTGATATTTTTAGCATTGCTCTTTTGTCAGTTAGTAAATATCAACCCGAGGTCAAAACCAGGAGTTAAACTTTTAGAACGACCCTAGATAAATCCGAAGCCTCCATGTGGCGAATAATTGAGCTCCTTGGTGGCTATTGCTTATGGAAATTGAACGTTTGAACTGCCCCAAAACGCTCTAGTCGTCATAGAACTAGACAACCAGTTGCCACCAGACAAGATTCTGGAAGACATTTGATCTCAGAACTCTGAAGAACCCAACAGGTCTAATATTAGCTTGAGCCGAGGGACGGCTGTTGGAGAGAGCGTTGAATGCCGAGCTCACTAACTTCCAATTGTACATAGTTATTTGATAACAAAAGAAGGTACACACTCTCTGGATCAAGACGATAGGATATCTGTGGATCACTTGGAATTGCAAAAAGAAGAAAAAGGAAAGAAACAGAGATGGATGGTCAGAATAGCTGAAGACAATCAAAGGCTCATATTCCGATTGAATCGCATTATATGCTCCATAGGTTAGTAGTCAATCTGAAACTCCAGGTTACAGCAAGAAAATATATATTTAGGTACCATCAACTGCCAGTGGATCTGTTTAGACTAAACAAAATACAAGTAATATCATCGAGAACAGCCATTATCTTCTTGCTAGAGGAACTCCGTTGGACCGAAGTCGAAGACGCAGACCTCGGGGCTGTCAGAAAACCATAGTGTTTCAAATACCTGCTTTTGTTTGATGATAATACTACTTCTTCATGGGCTAGCCTATCACTGACGGTGTTTCCTATGCAATTCTCTCCCTAATCTATAGGATTCAGAGTCAAGTAAAACTAGTTTCTTTCCAAAACAGTTATCGTCAAAAACGTGCTTGCTACAATGATCCCTTTAAGGCGGTATTCTACTACTGACGACAGAATAAAAGCTTGAACAGCATTGTTTAGATCATCTCTAGTAATGAAATGATGAACAATGCACGATAAATAGCGCTTAAAGGCCAAGAAATATCTAACGTATGAAGGTTTCGGGACTGGGAAGGCAATTCAAGGTACAGCGCCACTCTCTCCTAGAATGACCCATATCTTTCTATAACTACTATTGGCTGAACGTATAGAAAGTTTTAAACAATGCTGCATTCCGACCGACTGAGGGAAACGAGGAATCCGGCGTCCTGTTCGGATTATTTCTTACCCATGACGGAGAGAAGCTCAGGGCAACATTGAAATCAAGTTGGTAATTTGCAGATTCAAATGACAATTTGACCCTGGTCAGGACCAGTTATCAACATAGATAATGCTATCTCCGTGAGATTCCGCGGGGGGGGGGGGGGCAAAGGGTCGAATAGATATATGCTCATGGAATGACACAAGCAGCCTCGGTAGACGATAACGATAAGCGCGGGAATGACCAATACCGGTGTATCAGAGCGATAACACATGCGAGGTAACGAGATCATGTAATGGAGTCAACTAATGGGCTTTCCAGGACCCCCAGTGGAGCCAAAGCTTGACGATCTTGGCGACAATGTAACCATCAATCAAGGCCTAACAGCGTCTAACATGTCCAATTAAGACCGTTGTAGACTTATCAATTGCCGGTGGGATTCTGATAACACTACCTTATTGCCAAAGATAGGAAAAGTAATTGCGTATTTGACCGCGCAACTGTATATAAGCGATCCACTTACCCCAGTTCCGCCACATCCGCCTTCTCCACGAGCATTGACTTGTCTCCTTGATGCATGAAGATGTCCCCTTGCCTTTTTCTTCAGGGATGAAGTAACATGATCGTCCCCATATCAAACATTTATGTTTTGATTTTCCACGCCCAAAAGTTGCACGCGGTAGAGATGGTGTTGCATCGGCGGACTCCGGGCTAATCAGTGAAAGCAGATGAAGTACGAGTTCTGCTCAAGGAGAGCTCCTATACACGAGGTTGCAGTGGTTCAGTTGTCCTTCGGACAATGCCTTCATGTGTTGATTGCATTGTTCGTTAAGGGATTGACTGCGATCGTTTTTATTAGGTCACACGACTCGGATATCACCGTTATGACAAGAGACGCTTTGGCGAGCCAAGGAACATTAGAACGAAGCGAGATTTCTTGGTTTTCTGGGGTAATGCACATGCATCCAAAATGGACCCAGCAGAGCTGTTTATTAAACGTCGATCCATGAGCAATTGACTCTTTCCATTACTCAATACAATGTTATCTGGCCCGAGGTTGAACTGCCGTCGGCCGGGTCCGATGGGAGGCAAAGCCGAGTTTGGTGGGGACTCACCAACTTAGGGTAGGCGGGGAAAAGGAATGCCACCGCTGTTCCTCCAAGCAATAGCATCTGGGAGGGTGTTACCATGCCTCTGGGAAGTTTCGTTTAGCAGCATGTATACGAATCCCCGTGAAAGTTAGGCTTGGACGAAAGCCACATGGCACGAATCGCCATGAAGGATATCCTCCATGGCAGCTATGATCACCACTTCCGATCATCGGCCAAGCATCTTGGACTCTCGCCTAGTGGCGTACCTCAAGCAAAGCGAAGTCTGGGGAAAGGGGCCCACGTCTTGGTGCCACGGGTACCGCCGATGACCGGGCAATGACCGAAAGGGTTATACCTTTTTATAACTTGAGATGCATCCAGGCTGGTTTCGAAATGGACCTAACGATCGCAGCGGGGCTGAATTGGCTGAGCCATTTCTATATACAGTATTTCCCCGGATTAAATTGCATGACTCTTTCATACCATTGCCTCATAATCAGACCACTTTTAAGAAATCCCTGTGTGTGTTGCATGTCTTGGCCATGCAGCCTTACTTTGGTTTGCGCGGTGCGCTTCTAAATCGGGCCATAATCTGGCTCGTCGTATGCCCAGCATTCGTCTGTTATGGTTACAACCAGGGTGTCACCGGCGGGCTGTTGACCCTGGAATCCTTCGCCCTGCAGTTTCCCCAGATGAACACCCTGACCACTGAGGGTGCCGAGCGGCATTATAACTCCACTATTCAAGGTAATTCTCCTGTGCCACCCTTGTCGCATTGTCACATCCCCTGACTCTCATCGTGTTTAGGAACGGTGGTCGCATTGTATACCGTGGGAGGTATCTTCGGATCTCTGTCATGCATCTACCTGGGTGACCTGCTTGGGCGCCGACGCGTCATTTTTATTACCTCGGCAATCTCCATCATCGGAGCGGTTCTAATGGCGACCTCATTCCAACTCGCCCAATTTATTGTCGCCCGCCTGGTGCTGGGCGTGGGCACCGGTGGTTATGTGGCGACTGTACCTGTGTGGCAGGCCGAGATTTCTCAGGCTAAGAAACGTGGCGCCCACGTCGTAACGGACGGTATTTTCATCGGTGCAGGCATCGCGATCTCCTTATGGATAGACTTCGGCTTTTACTTCGTGAAGGGCAACTCGGTCTCATGGCGATTCCCACTAGCTTTCCAGGTTCTTCTGTCGTTAGTCGTCATGCTATTCATCACAATTTTCCCCGAATCCCCCCGATGGCTTGTCAAGAGAGGCCGAGTGGAGGAAGCACGCGAAATTCTGGCTGCGTTGGCCGACCAGGATCCCCACTCAGAGGATATCAACATGGCTCTCGCCGATATTGAACGATCCCTGGCCATCTCGGGCTCTGGATCTTGGAAGGATATGTTGTCGATGGGCGAGCAGCGGTTGTTCCATCGGACGGTTCTTGCGGCTACCGGACAGATGTTCCAGCAGATGTGCGGAATCAATCTCATCACATTTTACGCCACCACCATCTTTGAGCAGTACCTTGGACTCGACCCGATACAGTCTCGGATCCTTGCGGCATCCATGACTCTCACTCAGCCTCTTGGCGGATTCTTGGCTTTCTTCACCATCGACCGGCTGGGCCGGCGACCGCTGATGCTGTGGAGTGCGGTCGGCATGTCGGCATCTATGGCGATATTGGGCGGCACCACATCGGTGACAGACAACACAGGCACGCTGGTAGCGGCTGTGGTGTTCTTGTTCGTCTTCGAGTTTATCTTCACCGTGGGTTACTCCGGACTGACCTTCCTGTATGCCACAGAGGTGGCTCCGCTGCAGCTGCGCGCGGCCATCAGCGCAGTCTCAACCGCCGCTGTGTGGACTTTCAACTTCCTTCTGGCTGAGGTGACGCCCGTCGGCTTCAATACCATCTCCTACAAGTACTACATCATCTTCGCCGTGTTGAACGCGGCCATTGTACCGGTGGTGTACTTTTTCTTCCCGGAGACCAACGGTCGTACCCTGGAAGAAATCGACGAGATCTTCCTGCGGTCGAAGACCATTTTCGACCCGCCCCGTCTGGCGCGGACGCTGCCCAAGATGCATCTCGCCGAAGATGTCGAAATCGAGGGTGGAAATGAATCAGGGGACAGTGTTGCGAAGGGCAAGATGTAATTGAGCGAAATCCTTCGCGAGTGGTGGAGAAATGAAATTACTATTTGACGGATAGTGTATGATCAACATGATACTTGCTAGTTCCAATACGGATGATCGGCTCTCCGGGCCGTTATGGTTAAATTGAAGTTATTCTTAATGGTTTTATCCGTGGTGTTCCGTGTCGCTTTCGCGGTGCGAGTCTGAATCAATCTGAAACGTATCCTAAAACACTCTATCAGGAAGGATCCTCTCAACATTATAAATTCCTCAGTACGCGCCCAATGTCTTGCATTTACCACAGGTACCAGGATACATTGTTCACATCGTACAAACATGAAGTCATTCCTGCTCCTAATTCCCCTTGTCCACGCTGGAGAGGTCGTTTGGGACGGCTTCTTCAACTCGTCCTTTACTGTCGATCAGCTAGACAAATGTAAGACCGATACTTGAACATCTATCTCCACAGCAAACGCTAATGTCTATTTAGGGTCTTGGTCTAACCCAGTCGGCCCATACCAATGGTACATCCACGGCTCCGAGGCCACTAGCAACTACCTTGAAGTTAGCGCAGATTTCAAGAACCCGGCGGACAAGAGCGATGAGAAGGGCATTCGCATCAGCATTGTACAACGCTCCTCATATACACTTAGCCCCCATGGAAAGTCACTAACGTTTCGTTCTAAAGGATGACACCTCCTCCTGGAATGGCCAAACCATGATGCGCTCTGAGCTCATTCCTCAGACCGACGCTGATCTCGGCTCTGGCACCCTGTTCTACCATTTCTCCCTGCAAACCAAGGAGGAAAACGCCCCTACTGCGGCTCTTGAGCATCAAATTGCTTTCTTCGAGGTACTCTATTATTTATTTATTTATTTATTTTCTTTTTTTTTTTTTTA